GACTGAGTACCGACTTGCCCGCACAGTTTTGCTGTGGCATTAATTTGGGATAAGGAAGCAAAAGCCATTAGCATCTTCTCCACCGTCGTTGGTGAAGTGTGACACTTTTATTTGGATATCTTTGATTTCGTCCGGATTTATACTGCTTCAAGCCCCTTGGGTTCGGAACACTTGGAAAAGGTATTGTGCCAAATTAAAGAAAAGTGTAACTTAATAATATTGAGCGTATTGATTGGTGCGTCTAGTTCCAATTTGTCATATCCAGAATTTGACAGAAAAAATATAAATACCGATCACTTACAATTATTATTATATCGCCGATAATTTATCAAAATGTTTGTAAAATATGCACATTTTTCTTCAAAAGGAAAATACCCTGCCATTACATGGCGATAGAGTATAATATTATTATATTTGGATTAATAGCCGAGCCAATTTAGCCCACACATTCAACTATAAGAACTTGAAAGCTCGGAATTAGCATGCGTATTCTAGAGACTCCAGCTCAGCTCTTTCCACCAAAGATTTGTGAGCCACTTAGAAATTTTCGTTACAATACCTAACATGATCAGTGGCGAGAAGCGTTCACCATAAGCAATGCTTATAACCCGGGCCACTAGAACTAGGATTTTATCCGATTGCTTATTTTATACGATGCCTACACAACGGTATAAAGTAAAAGCTTTTCCTTTGCCATTTACAGATACTGAGCAATCAAAAAATTGCAATGGCTAATATTATAATAATAACGTTTCAGTTTAAATTAATTTCATTTTATTTGAAAGAATCGGACCAACTTTTACCGTGGCTGTCCATTCATCTTAAACCAGTAAAGATGTGTGTGGTATAGATGCTACGGTAAAGTTATCATCTCAACACACATAAGTTGGAACAAGAAAAAAACCAACTTTCGAAATCCGAACATACATACACTCTCAGCTTAGGCATGTTATGTTAATGATAAAATGTGCTGATCTGATTGGAATTTAACAAGTAGTTCTGAAATATTATTAGCAAAAAATTTAGTATCCCAGAAATGTAATGTATATGATAAAAAACACCGACGATGAAATATCTAATGACATTACTTCGATTCGGTACATTTATTGTCGTGCGAAATGTTACTGAAATTATAATATCAATTCCAAGGGTATACAAAAATGTTTAAATCAACATTCAGATCTCTGAAGAACTGCATATGATATCAGCCTACGAGCTTTCTTGTTCATTCATATGTTTGAACAAAAGGTATATTTTTTGGCTATTCTATGAATGCCTATGGCCTTACTGAATCTATAAAACAAGCAACCGGTTCAGTCCATTACTTTTTAAATTGTGGTAAAAATAGTAAAGCTTGGCGACTTGAGGGAGAATGATATCTAAACTGTAACCCGAACTTAGCCGAATAAACTACAGGCGCGTTTAATTGTGTTCCCCACAGAGAGTCACGTAGTTCGGTTTGAGTGGGTTTTTAGTCAATAAAAATAGAGAACAAACGTCGCATCACATCAATAAATTGTCAACTGGAAAACGGGCAACCTGCCGGGCAAGCAACAACAAACTAAAAAGGTGAAAATTTGAACAAAAAAGGCGTGTAGACCTATTTTAGACTGTCAGTTACCTGCCAATATTCGTAAGATAAGATTTTTTTATTCATATTCTTTGTGAAGTATTATTCATATTTAGGCAACATAATTATTTTAGGATACAAAGAAAAGCTACAAACTAAAAGCATTTAAATATTTTCTAATAAACCAAATATTCTTGAACTAGTTTGAAAAGTCGTGAAAACGCCCTTCCTTTTGCTATTGAATGTTTGTTCATAAAGAGCAAACAAGTACGCTTTCTTTTGTCGATATATCTCTGCATATTCCTTTGGGCAATATATATAATATAATAATGATATATATAATTGTTTCAATTACAAATTATTTTTCGAATATAGAAAAACTCCAAGATATCGGATCCAAAACTAGCTTCAGAGGTCGTGAACGAAATGGAATTTTTTTTAGTTTAGCAGGAATAACGACTATAACTTTTTTTTAGGTAACTGCGCGAAATAAGCTGCGATATATAATGTAGCCGACGATTCCCTCTCATTCCTGTCCGTTAAATACAAACTGCAATGTCTCGGCGGTCATACGGACAAACGTCAGAATTTTAAAGTGTTTCAGATGAATAAATTAATAAATTTTTATGATCAGAAAAACTTCCTGCTCTGTTACATTATTTACAAATAATTATCAATTTTACTCTACGAGTAATGAGTAAAAACTCGAATTTCCTTATGACCGTTTCCATCGAAAAATTACTATTAATTAGTAAGTTTACAATCAAAAAGTAAACAAGTGAATCCCACTCCCATCAAAAATTAAAATAGTAATCTTTTCGACGTGCGATCTAAGAAATTTCGATTCATCCTACCAATGACTTTAAACGTAAGTCTGTTGCCGAGCTACCGGCAAAGACCTCGCTAAGAGTTTGTTTGATCACCTGTATTTACTTAATATACCCAACACCCAATATTTGTATAATGCATATCTGAGTATGTTGGTATGACGGTAATTGTACATAAATATGTGATAAGCACATAAAACATTACTTTTCATTATAAATACGAATACACATTAAGAAAATCAGTGCACTTATCTAATTGACCAGCTTCTGATCATTATGTTTGCTCCTCACAATTTTTTTTAACCATCATTTAAGGGAGCAGTTGCTCATTTTAGTAAACAATTTTTGCCATAGCTCTGGCTATAATTACTTGGTAATGACTTATGTAATCAATACTGAGTTTCTGTTTGTCATATGTTTGTGTGCTTGTATATTAAGGAGTTACTGTCACTACATTCATACCCTTTGAACCTGATATTAAATTTTTCTTAGTATAACTATGTTGATTTTGGGTGTCAAGGTGCATTTAAAGAAAATACTAAATCCAATACCTATTGAATATTTTTAAATATGAATATTTGAAGATAATGAAGATCTTGAAATAACCCTAACTACACAAGGTAACAAACTGCAACAGAAGTAAGTTATTTTATAGGTATATATTAATGTCATAGCATTTGTTTCTGCTTTCAAAAATATGTATTTTTTAAAAATTGTGAAAAACGCACATTAAAACAAGAAGAAAAGAATAAAATTATCATAGTTTTTGTAGAGATCTCTGAACATCCATATTTGCTGTGAAGCTTAAAAGCATAAAAGTTGGACAATATAAGAAATATATATGGGTATATATGTATGTCAACCAGAAACGCAAAGAGAGAGAGTTGCACATAGATTTATTTCCATTCCATTTCTTTTTCTTAAGGAATTGGTTTTTTATGAAGGCATGCGTGCTATGTTCTTTTTAAGTTAAATGTGTACCACAAAAATTCTGTTTTACATGTTTTATTATTATTATATGTTTGTGTTATCTGTTTGTATTTTCTTTGGTGGTAAAATAATAATAATGAACAAGTAAAAGGTAGAACTATTAAACTGTGGCGTATTTAGATTACAATATTTGTTTGCAATTATATAATTTACAAAATATAATAAATATCTTTTGATTTCGATACATTTTCAAATCGGAACAATATTTCACAATTTATTAACACATTTAGATAATAAGATCTCACATGGGCAGTGGCAATACAGTAGGATAATAACCATACCATTTATGGTTCTAATAACAGAACGCGCTAGGCACATGGTTAACAGAATAACAGGTAACGTCACATGACGCGTTTCCCTGTTAATATAATAGAGATAGAATACTTTATTTACTTCTTTATTTTCAAATAAACTTAACACTAAGAGTCTAACTAAGGATCGGTTTCCCAATACTTAACAGTTATCGGACACGTAAAAAATTAGTTTTTTTGAGAGTAGTTGGTTAGGCAGTGAGCTCTAATTCGAAAATGTCAACTGCTCTAAAAAGACACATAATGATTCTTGAGTGGCAATTATTAATTTTCTACACATTTTAAGGTACATACATGTACATTTTTATCTGGTTTTTAACTTTTTAACTTTTGAAAAGAGTGTTCTGACTTGTGGGAATTAAACAAGCATCAGTGAGAGTAAAACCAATTACAAAGTTAATTTACGTTTAGTTTCAGTTTTATTTACTTAACAGTTATGAAAGCAACATGTGTATATGTACCTATATACTCCAATACGTTTATCGTATATCTTTCAACTTTCGGAGGTATAACCATAATTTTTTAATAAGATTTTAAACAAATGTGTTTACGGTCTCGCGACTAGACTCGGCTAATGGTTTTGATCAATAGAATATATATGTACATATTTGGTTTTATTCAAATATTTTTATTTTTAACATATTATTTTTTTCAAAACCATTTTATTATTATTATAATTTGCAAAATCCCCTAAAGAAAGTTACTTTTAAAATCTTCATTGTAGATATCAGAAAAATGAAATTGTAATAGTAGGTATGGTAATAGTAGATTGATGCTGAAATATAAGATTCATGAACGTCAGCTTTAAAAAAAAACTTCCTAAAGTCAAATTATTTTATGTGATAATAAATATGTTGTATATGTTGCATTAACTACTAGAAATACACCTCATCTTTGTGCAGGTAATTGTGGAATTTGCCCGTTTTGGAAACCCTAACATCCGTCGGCAATATTATAAAAATAATGAAAGATGATTGCTCAAGCTGCACCCACATAACACAAAGGCAGTCACATATGCAAACCAACACAACGGCAGGAATTTATAGGAAGGAAAGAGAGGCTCGCTGCGAGAGCGAAAAGCACATTGGTACATTGTTTTATCACTTCAGTTCCTGTCTCGCTCTTTCGTAATTACCACTCTGCGTGGCAATAATTACCCCATTACGGAAGTCTCGCAGAGACTCTGGTTCTCTCCCGAATCTGGCTTTATACGCATGATTCGATTTCGGTGGGTTCGTTTCAAATTTCGGAGAGGAAAGGAGAGGAGAGCACAGCCCGAGAACACCGGAGAGACAAGAGACATTAAACAGCAAGTAAACAAGTAAGCCTGCCTCTCAGCTCAGTCGAAAAAAAACGTTGAATGATTCAGATGCGCGCCGGATGGTGAGTTCTGAGTTCTCAGATGATGCGGTTTCGCTGTAGATCTTTATGATGATGTATTTGCCGTTGGCGTGTCTGTGATTGTAGTTGCGATTGTGCATGTGGCAGTGACTATATGTTAATTCATTGTGCTTAAATCAGAAAAAGTCAAAGAAAAAACACAAAGTTATTATTGTGATCTATAAAAGTGTTAAAGAAATTGTAGTATTCGGGAACCATCCTCAATTCAGATCCTAAGGATAGTAATATCTGCCTTAATAATGGGTGCGCGTCGATATCGCTCGTCTACCTGAGTTCAACACTCAGTACTGACACGCTTTTTATTGTGTTGTGCCGCACACTGTAGTTTTCGGAAAAATTGGAAAATATAAGGGCATGAATGGAACGGAAGACAGTCGACCTTTAAACAGTTTTAATGAACTGCAGAGTGTGATCAGCATTAGTAATGCTGCCCACTCCTATTTTAAAAGGATATTCTCGGTACACTAACATGGACGATTCACCGATACGTCTGCATGGATATTCTTTAACATTCTTTTCCATACTACATGGCCAAATTTAGTGAAAAATATATTTTGTAATGTATAAGCACATGTAGCGCAATACAGTCACCCCTATATATGTACCTGCAATGTACATATATGTTCCTGGGAACAAAAACAACTCCCCTTCATCGACAAGAGCAGAAATTCATTTTAATATCATTGAAAGAGATGGCAAATAGTACCGTTTTACAAGCGGGGAATGTGTTAGGGGAAAGATTTTTATTTTTAATTGCATTATAGGCCGAGCCGAAACGATCCTATCCGAACTGAACAGAACTGAGTACATACAGCTCGTTCGTGCCAAGTGAAGGGTGCGCGAAAGTAAATTGGGTGGAAGGAAAAAAGGAGATAGGAAGAGCGTCTTGCAGGAAAAGGGTGCTAGGTTGTTGGATGTTCTCTATAAATTGCTTTCAAAGTCTAATGAGCACGTGGTCCATGAGAGAAATGTATGCAAAAATGAATACCTCCTCTCTCAGGCCTTTTTTGTCCTTGTCGTCCTGACTCTTCTCTCTCTTTCAAGCACTTTGTTCTCGTGACGGTTGGTTAGGGGTTGTGGTGGGGGAAGGGTGACTAAAAATTCCCTCTTGACTGTGTTTGGGCCTATGCTTGTGTAGAAATTTGTGTAAAAAAAAGAGACAACTGTCTCGCTTGTGTTATAGGCGGCCAACTAGGAGTAAAAGTGTTGATATTAAAAATGCAAAAACGCAAAAGGCAAATTAAATCGCTGGGCGTACAGCGCGTGCACAACCACACAACCGTACACTCTCACCTACATTAACATTCACCCACACATATAAGACTCGCTTGATTCGCAGTCGTCTAAGCATATATGTACATGCAGATGTGCATAAATTATAAGTACCTATATGTATACCTATATATGTACGATTGTATGAACCATTTAAATTATTTTTAAGCAATCGTTCTGCCATTTGCCTGTATATAAATGTGTACTTTCTTGTAAGCAAGTATACATACACATTTTTTATAACTGTTTTTTTGAGTAAGTGCACATTTTCATATACGGAATATGTGAAATGACACAAAGTACGACATGTATACTTAGTAACGATCGAATTCTTGTTAAAATAACTCTTTAGACGCCAACTGTAGCAGTAGGTTGACAACCTTTTCGCCTGTCACCTGCCTCCGGTCACGGCAATTACACCCGCATACATGTACATATGCACATTTTATTGTATTGGTACGTCAGTTTTGCACTTTATTTGTTTTTTTTTTTTGAGCCTTCTGTTTCCTGCAATCGTCTTCCTGCCATTATTATTACTATTCTGTCATTGCAAGAATAGCTCCACACAAATGTGAAACAAAGACCTTAGAACCTATGGGATGTGACGAAGTTCAAAGTGACCTGGGGATAAATGCATTTCATTTGTACATTTTTAATTTACAAACTTTAATATTGACTTGATTCAAATAATACAACTGGACAATTATTTTTGGTTATAGAAGAGGACCAAACATTTATTGGCAAACCTTTTTTGGTATATAATAATTTAATTTTGTACTTAACCATTTCCCAGGTACCGCAGGCCAATGAATTAACTCGCCCACGTCAAAAGCGCTCGATTTAAAAGTTCCTATAATATTTAAGCCTAAGGTTAAACATAACACAGTACAAAACTATCGCCGCTAAATTAAAGTAATAACAAAAACTTCATACCAAAATCGACCACCTTTTAAATGCCTTCTGTGAAAGATTCAATGTTTCAGTCAGTTGATAACGGAATGGATGGCTCCTAAGAACGTCAGGTAAGTGCACACCACTGAACTAATCCGAAAAGTTTTGACTTTATTTTAGTTTCTTTAAAAAAAAAATGATTTATTTGCTAATAAATATGGTCACTGTGTAACTATAATACTTTAATATTGCTAAGGTTTAAAACAAATATGGTGCCTCATTCAATTATTTGATTGCAAGGTAATACAAGGATGGGACCTGTTCTGTAAGTTTTTTAAGATTTATCTTTGAGGATTGACTTCCGGATCTCCCTATAGATCCACAAATTCAGTAAATATTTATATATATAATATATTTTATATATATGTATTTATGTTTATATGTATGTATAATTGTATGTTGGGAATATTGAAGTTTTATAAAGATGTATATTTCCTCCGAAAAAATAATTTTCGTTGCCATTAGCTTCACAAACCCGAACTTTTGTCTTTGAAATATTCAAGCAAATTAGTTTTTTGTTAGTAATGTGATACCAGATAGAACGCCCAACTCGAGGACGAAACGGCAATAGGATACTTTAGGTATATTAATTCTATTCCCTCAGATTTCAACTTTCATAGTAAACAGGGTAAAGGGTAAGCTGTTACATAATTTTCCGATAGCTTTTTCCCCAAGCACAAGCAAAATAAATAGCAAGCGGTACGTCATTGCAAGTCACTCTTTGGTTACTGTTAATTACTGGCAGACATCTAATTAGCCAATGACGATGGAGCTTCAAAGGTTTGGGAATGGGAGTAATTGTCGCGTTTTGGCTGGAGATAAAGTTGGTTCAACGAACGAGTCGAGCACTACCGAAATAAGCCGAACGAAGCAGAACAGAGCTTCAAAATCAGCGAAATAATTAAGAAAGACGATGACGACGACACCGAAATCGACAGAGAGCCCATGCCCTTGCTCTTCATCTGTTAAATCTCGGATAATGCCAGCGCAGAAACAGTGGGACCCAGTACGGCAGGAACAACGGAAACGGAATCAAAAGAAGAGTAAAGCAACTGTGCGCGACAACCGCCAAAGCGCGACTTGATTGGTCGGTTGTTGCTTGTTAAAGTCCTCATCCTCTCCCTTTCCTCGCTGCTTTGTTTTGCTGCTTACTCCTCCTCGTATTTTTTCTCCCCTTTGCCATATTTCCGCACCTGCCGCCCCAAATACGTTGTTGGTGTCTTTGGTTCGCTGATTGTGTTTTCCAGCATGTGTGGGTGGCTGCGTTTTTCAACGACTCAGTTAATTGACGCCTTTTGAATCACACCCCCTTCGTGCTGTCACTGGCTGAACTCGGCATTTGAGCATCCCCCAAAATCACTATGTTCATGGTTAGTAAGAAAAATTCTATTTACCGAAAAGTTAATTACTGGACCAACCAATTAAGAACTAATGCTTCCCCACTTCAATCGTCTCACTCGCACTTTTACTCTCCCTGTCATTTTATTACTTACATACACATATTTTTACTTGTTCTTGTCTCTCTTCTCCGTTTGCTATTAGTACCATTACTGGTACTGGAATTCAAACATGCACATGTGTACATACATACGTACATAGATGGGAACCAATTAAAGGCAAGTTGTTTCTAGTAAATAGCTAAATAAAACAGAGTCTGAGTGTCTTCTGATTGAAGGGATTGATCGTTTGCTACTAGTAATTTCTTCCGTTTGGATATTCGAGTGGTATCTAAAAACCACTATCCCCCAATCACGATCTCGATTCTGCCTCTCCTCCATACGTCTTCTTCTTCCTGGCAACGAAGAAAGAATGCAAATTTCAAGTGAAAGATGACAAAATCGATATAACGAGCAACAATATTAAATAAAAAAGATAAACAAACAAAAAGACGAGACTAATTCCTTTTCGAATATGAACGAGTATGTACGAACTAACATTCATGTATGTATGAATATGGTTGTATGTATACATACCTATATTTTAACAGCTCGTGTAACAGCCAAGCCTGTGCGTTCGAGTATTTGTGCTATTGTGTAGATGTGCAGTGGTGAATATGTCGGTTATTTCTACAGACATGTCCACACAAATGTAAATGAGTTCAATGTGGTGTTGGCTTGGGTCACATAGAGAATATTCTTATACGTCACGGCGCTCTTATGTACATACGTACATCATATTTGCCACAAACTTTTTCGATAACCTGACGTAGAATAATCCAAATTTTATAAAAATATAATTATAAATTGGCATTTCCATTTCACCATCCCTTATTCAACGACTGTTTGCTTGGAGAAGAATTTTAAAATATAGACACATTATGCTTTTTTAAAACAAACCAAAATGCCATAAACACTCAAGCAAGTAAAAGTTTGAGAATGAGGGTGGTTTTTCATTAAATAAGAAATATTTCAAAGAAGTGCAAGAATAAATATATAAAAAACATACCAGAGCAACAAAATTTCAAGTCAAAATTACAAGAGAAATAAAATAAAAGAGAGGGAGAGAATAGAAAGAGTCAAAAATGTTTATTCCAATGTACATACCTTGGAATACCATGTCCGCGTAATTGTGTTCTTTATGCTTCCATCTCCTTCGCGCACTCCCATCAGCGCCTCACCCTTCTGTCTCAGTCACTCTTGTCCCAAACCAAGACCCATATCCACACCCACACCCACAAGTCGAAATGCTTTGCTTTGCTCCGTTGCCATAAGAGACGGTGGCAACGAGGACTCCAGTTAGAGAGGGCCGAAAATATGCAGAAAAGAGACACCATCATCCGGGGCAGACGACTCGCTAAGATACTGCCAGTAGTAAAGCCAAGCGAAAGCAGCGCATTATGTATAAATTATTTATTTACATTATATCTGTACTTGCTGGTTGGGGATGTAAATAGATTAAAGGGGGAAAGCTCTTGTTGAGAGAGAGCAAGTGAGAGGGGGGAGGGAGGGTTTGTGGGCGTACCGATGTTTCTCCTGGGATGAATACGAACGGCAGCTCGTCCAGGGAACTTCAGTCTTAACCTCTGCGAAGGGAAAGGCGAAGGCAACCTCGCTGCGTGAGTGCGCATACAATTGCAATTACCGCGCAGAGACACACACGCATACAGGCAAACGGAAAGGGGTACGTGAAACGTAACCCAAACGAAAACAAGGATGAACATAGAAATTAGCAACAAATTCAAATACGAACACAAACAGAACCCGAACCCGAAATCAATCCAGATTCCGAAACTAAAGCCGAACGTGAACGTTGTGCTCGGAGAACCTGTTTTAATTTAGTTGTTTTTTTTTTGTTGTTGTGCAAGAAACTCGACTGGCAAAAAGATTTTTAGCCACAGTCATGTCGCAGAGTGGTAAGGAGAAAGAGACGCTTTGGAAATAATGAAGTTGTGCTCACGCTATCCAACCACTCTCTTCATGGTTTTCGTCAATATTAATTAAATTAAGAGTTTCTCTCCCGCGTTATTTCTCTTCTCTGTTATTCCCCACACCAATCACCATGTCAGAAATTTACGCTCCGCCGTATTTTCTCACATCTCATTCTTTCTCTTGAGCGGTTACACATACATTAATACATATATATATATGCGGGCGAAATCCATCTGAAAGAGTCTGAGCGAGACAAAGTGCGGTGGCAATGATTTAGTCGCTCGCATGGCTTTTGTTGCTTGGATAAATTGGTAGAGGTAGAGATCTGATGCTAGTATATTGGGTTGGTTTTCCCTTTCTCTCGCTCTTGGAAGGGTTTTGCTCCGTTTCGATTATTTCATCTCGCTCGTAGGTAACCCCAATATTTATATCAAGCACAGTGTGCGTCAATGAATTTAAAAGTCGACGAGAGTGTAATAAAGGGTTAAAATAGGCGTGGCGTGAAATATGGACCGATGTCTGACTTTGGTTGCGACTCAGACTCACAATCAAACTCAAAAAAGGGCCTTGCGATACAAATCTGCATATCATATGTAATTGCCAGCCATTAAAAGTGCTCCCAGCGCATGTGTACAAATACACGAAGTACATATGCATTTACATACAGATGTGAGCCTGTTGGCCAAATCTTTGTCCTCTGCTCCTCATATGCAAACATTATGCATGCAGCACACACACGCACATATCATGAATGCTTATGAATGTGTATCCCCCCTACTCTTCCACAGTTGAAAACTTTTTGCGCACAAAGAAAGTAACATATAAATCGCACTCTACCAGAGGCAGAGAGTGTGTATGGCGAGTGAGATGAATATCCGCATAGCATCTTCTGATTGGTCGTTTATATGTACGTTGTGTTCTCCCCCAAACACCCCGCAGCCCCACCCACACGCCACATCTTGCCTTCCTGCTCTCCCCTCGGCGACTGCATTAATTACGATTCTCACATACATACAGCTTCGAGTATTTTAATTGGTCGAGCTGATTGGAAGAATCAGCTAGGAGGAACATATGAGATAGAAACATGCAAGAATCAGTCCTTTTTTCTGTTTTTTGATATATAAGAAATTTATTATTATATAATGATGGAATTTATCCAGTTAATATATCAAATTTTTTTAAAAGTGCTTTTAATTTGGCTGTCTTCTTTACAATTACAATTTATGAAGTATTTATTAAACATACCCTTTTCGACACATATACGATGATTTTCTTTTGTAAGGCTCTGGAAGCCTTTTAAAGCACAGTTTTCATACAGACACTTCGAAATTGGTACGTTTTTAGTATGCCCACTATTACTCGCACAAAACGCGGTAAGCTATTATATAGTTTATGTCTTCGTTTGCCCTTGTATAACATATTTTTGTCAATATCTTTCGATTTACCAAAGATTTTTTCAAATCGGAACATTATTTCGCTATTTATCAAGAAATGTAAGCTATAAGGCCTCGCCTCACATGGGCAGTGACGTTATCATCATTTAGTCAACACGCATTTTTGACAAAAGGTGGCGTTTTGTAAATTTTCACTAGCAAAATGTATATTTTAAAATTGTATAAAACAGTAACGGGTATCTTATAGGCGCGGCACTCGACTGCAGCGTTTCTTCTTGTTTATTTTGAAGTACATATTTTGCCATTTATAATGGATCTAATGCTAAATCTAACACCTTGCCCTTGATCTCCCAGGAATTGTCAAAACCCGAGTCGTTTGTGAATGGACATATGTACATATGTACATAGTTGACCTCTGCTTGTTGAAATTGTGCTTGAGTTAGGAATGTGCGTGTGTTTTAGCACCTACTTCCCATTTCCTTGAGCTAGTGGGTGCTTATTTGTGCAGTCAGTTTCGGCGCTCTCCATATTTTTATTTTCTGTTTATGCATTGTATTTCTGTTACTTTCTGAAGGTATATGTAAGAAGAAGGAAGCATAGTTGTGTTTATATAATTAAATTAGGATTATTGATATTCGTTCAGATAATAAATGCCAAAAAGCATTCCAATACACCTTATAGAAATGTCTCTTGGAAAATTATTTTTATATTACATCAAGGTACAACAAAACTAGGAAACTAACATGTTATAAAAAGGCGGTTTTTTATAAAACCACGGATATTGCGTGCCGATTTGCTTGACCTTGACCTTGACCGATCTTAGGGGAAAACGGTATAAAGTATACGATTATTAGAATGTCACAGGCGTTTCTGAAGTATACTCATATATATTATTGATAAAGATCAAAAGCCGGAGTCAGTCTGTCCGTCTTTTTATGAACAAACATTTAGGATTCTTTAATCACACGTCCACAACCAACTCATACCCCCTCATAAATCCCGAAAAACAGAATCCTATTTTGAATTAATGCTAAGATCTAGGGAACTATAAGACATAGAAAGATAGAAATATCGCATCTAAAGATTGTTTATCTTTGGGCCACGCTAACTCTAACGGCTACAAGCCTAATATTTGACCATTAGTTAGAAATATGCTAACTATGACCGTAACATAAGCTATGAGAAATTATACACGGAGTCAATTTCTTCTACCAAAATTATTATTATAAAATTGATTAACGCATTAAGGGGTTTTTCAATATTAAGCGTATGAATAGGACGATTACGCTTCAAAAGCTATTGAGGATACCATAACATTATAATGGTATCAATATATATTAATATAACATAACTTAATAACAAACATAATTTATTAAAATAACATAACTTGATTAGATTTACATCTTCTGTGTCAACCGTTAAATGTACTAGATGAACTTTTTTTTAGAGAGTTACGACACAACCTTTTAACTCGCACATTAAGGCAAAATCATATATACTTGGTAACATATTCACGCAAAAAATTGAAAATATTGCTTATCAAATCGTAAAGCGACATTAGGTTAATATTATGGTATGATATAAAAAATGATAGATCTTAAAATCCATTTTTTATCGGCGTTTTTAACAAAAATGTAATCTGTAATCATTGGATTATTAATCAATTTTTTATAGTGATGTAAGTATAACAGCACTTTGTAAATAATCGTATTCCCTAAAAAAATTTTAAAATGCTGACCGCGGTTTTTAATAACCTTTATTGAGCAATATACTGATATACTCAAAAGTTATTTTGATTTAAAATTATTTACCGACATTACAAAAAAGACCTTACATTACTAAGTATAAAGTTTTTTAAAGTTGTACATAAGCATGAAGAATGAAAACTTGGCCTTTGTTGGTCTTTAAAACTCAATAGTTCCACCCTAATTTAGATGACTGAACTCCTTCAGCAATAATCACTTTTAATTATGAGTTCAGAAACGTCTCGACAACTTCCGCTGCGTTTATACCGCTCTCATTGTTTTCGTTGCTTTCGAGTCTTCTTCTTCATCTGGCTTAAGTCGCCCGCACTCACAAAAGGTCGCTTGAGACAATACAAGACACAACCAGAAATAATAATAACTCTTTCCAAATAAAACTAGATAGGATAGTGTTATTAATCCTCCTTGTTCGGTGTACCTGGATCGAAACAAAGAATCGCTAAAGTCGAGGCCACGACTGACAAATACCCGTTAAACTAAAGAAATAAAACAAGAAGTAACTCTATAGACGAATGCTCTGATTATGAGATCCCCGTTTCTTGTATTTTCCAATTTTAAAATAATTATTTTGCTATTAGAAATTGACGCAGTGAATAATTTTTCTAACGCCACCTTTTTTTTATAAAAAGGTTTCTTAGTAACCAACGGTGACGTCGCTGCCTATGTGAGGCCTTATAACCTACATTTTTAAATAGATTGTAAAATAATTTTTCAAATTGAGAACTTTGTGCTAAATCAATAGGTATGGACAAAAAATGTGTTGCTCTTATGGTTCTCGAGATTATTGCGTTTTGGAGTGGCCAAATGCAGAAAATGCCACCCTTCGTTGGTATCATTGCGAGGTGCATACATATTCCCAAATTCTTATTAGTTATAGTTACCGAGATCTCAGATTTGCTACAAAAAGCGCCAGGCATTATTCGCTCCCATCTCAAGAATATACATGCTTAGTCCCAACTTTCTAGCTCTTAAAGTTCCTTAGATCTTAGTGAAATTAGTTTTTCGTGTTTCGTGGGAGTTCGCTCCCGCTGAACCAACTCAGGAATCAGAGTGCTTAATCTCAACTATATAAAAAACTGAAGTAACCACTGGTTCAAATATATGCAACTTCCGATATTTTCGAGCTCAAGGGACGTACGTATTCCTGTTATTCTGGTCAGGACAATCACGGTTGATTTTTAACTCTCTAGTTCTATAAGTTTGTAAACTATCTTGGTGTTATTATGTGCCACCTGTACTTTCAGCAGTGATAAAAATATGAAATCTATCAACTCTCTGAAAGGGTATACAAATGTTAAAGGAGTAATTTATTTAGTATGCATACGTGTTTGGTGTTGGCAAGCAGATCTTTAGTGTGGTGAAACTATTTGAAACAGAAATGTAGGTTTGTCACGATGGGTGTCCGCCAAATTACGTGCCGTGACTCTACCATACCCGTGTTTTCACATCTGAACAAAATCTTAGCGATGTCACGTGAATTTAAAATAGTTCAACTTTTTTTTTTGCGTAAAAAGTTTTTTATCCACTATAAATATGCGTATATCAATGACAATTTTGAAATCTTAACTTTACAATGCATTCTTTTTTTGGCAACTTAACTTAATATGCACCCTGTTAAAATATTGTGCTTATGACAACATATTATATTACTTACATAATATTAAAGTTAATAACAAATAATACTGTTTAGTTTGATAACCTCCTTACACAGTCACTGTAATGATAAATAGCAGATGGCTAAACGAAGTACAATAATGAATATGTTTTCTACCCGAGCCGAGTGTTATTTTTAACACAGGTAGCTGTGAGTAAAGGTTATATCCGATTCCCAATCAAATATGTCACAGAGTGACAGGTAGTTTCAGCCCCTGAACACTATAAGCCCTTAAGATGAACACATTTGTTTAATTGATCAAGGCCTAAGGCATTATTTTTGATTTTAAATTAGTCCTTAAGAGACTTTATTAATTATAAATGCTAATAGACTAATAAAGTGTATAAATATAAATGCATAAAAATAAATGTTTTCTTATTTATTTTTAGAAAACTGGCAGTCTTTTAAGGGGATTATGCCATTAATTCAATAAATTGGTAAGTGACACTAAAATACATTAAATATGTATATTAAATGTAAGGTTCCTAATTTATATTAATTTGAAACTTATTTATTTGTGTGAAGATCTGGGTAAGACAACCTGTCGGCTTATAAATATATACTTGGTCATTGTTTTCCGATCTGTTCTTGGTCTTTTATAAGTTTAACAGTTGTGCTGCTGATCAGCACACTCACGTTGGGATTGTATACTCACATAGTTAAATAAAGTTCACTCAAACACTGTCGACTGCATGTAAAGGCTCAACAGCTCGATAGCCTGTCCTTTTCTTTCATTTCCAAACAGCCTGAATCACAATACCCGATTCCGACTCACGTACCAGTATAGACACAAGATTCGTATTGTATTGTATTATGGAGCTCATACATCACTTTGTTTCAATAAACATAAGGCAAGGAAAACAATTCCTTTAATATAAATACAATACAATTTTTTCATATATGTTTTTGTGCCTTGCTGATAGTATACATTGGTATGTTTGATTTTAGTTCATAAATTCGTTTTATTATTTCTGGTTTTTCTACGGTGCCTTTTTCAGTCTTTGGGTCTTTGGTCAATCCTTATTTCCGGCGATATTCTTTTATTCATTCAGGGTAATAGTCATTGTTATTTATTAATTAATAGGGTCAAATTGTGAAGCGATAATGGCTTTAACTCTTACCCATATTAGTCTTTGAATTGACTTGATCTCTCTCGGTGTCAATAGACCAATAAACCATTTACTATTCTTGGGAATAAATATTTGAATTTATTAAAATCAATACCTTATAGCACATTATGATATTAAGCCATATTCTCAACTGAAGTGAAAACTCTACAACCTAAGGAAATCGTTATTTATGTGTTATTGGTAATGGCCAAAAATAGTTTATGTCCTTGTTATTGTTTCTTATAAGTGTAACTTTATGATGTCCCCTCCGGTGTTCTTATAAATTACAATTGAAGACAAACTCTATTCAAAATTATTACAAAAATATTTTATGTTCTCCAAGTTTCAATCTCAACCACTTTTTTTTGTGAGACCCTTAGGACGTCAATTTAAATAAACTATTGACAAAAATATTATTTATAGTTAATACCGTTTTTTCTTGGTTAGTTGGCGTTGGAAAGGGCGTGGTCAAGTGGTATGGATATATTTATAAAATATGTATCAATATTCAATGATTTTGTTATTAAGATAAGTGTAGAACACTAATATTTAAAATATACAAAATTTAAAGTTACTTCTGTCATATTCATTCGCATGTCTGGCGAATTTGCAATTAACATATTCATGCGGCGAATACAATCGGCGACGATTTTAATGAAGGCTTAAAACGAAAATTGTTTGCCCTTTTCTGAACTTCTTTCGTTCATTTTGAAAACAGTTCATCAACTGAAGCTTTGTGATCTCGACTCGATCCCGGGACTCATACCGCTTAGCTTTTGCCTTCTGGTTTCCTTTTTGTCGCTATTCTCCACCTCCCCAGGTATATTGTATCGATTCATTGATCTTACCGAAATGAATGATTGTGGGGCTCTGGCGGAATCAAATGACCACAGATATATACACATACATAAATAAATACTCTTAAAAACGAACCAACTCAAACCGAGCAAACGACAAAGGGGAATAACAATGCAAGCTAACCCCCGGACATCGTCTTGTACCTCTAGACCCTCGGCAAGTGACACTTTTGTTTTATATTCGCAACTTTTTATGCTGAATCTCTGAGAACAAAAGACGATTTCTTAGTAAAAACTGAACACAATCACAGACATACCGATTGTGTATTGTACTTGGAGATTGTACCTTCTCCATCACCACCCATACCGCTTTTACAATCTTTGGATTTGTACTGCTGAAGAGCACCTTAAGCTGTACCTCCTTGGCCACAATTTTACCGAAAATCACGTAAAATTATATTTAAATATACATTTGAATTAAATATGTTAACTACAATTTGTTACTTTCAATAAATTTATAATTTTTGAAATTCAAGCTAAGTTAAAAATTTGAATTAAATATCTTAACTACAATTTGTTACTTTCGATAAATTTATAATTTTTGAAATTCAAGCTCAGTTGAAAATTGTACACATACTTACGTTTTTATGTAAAACTAGGCCCCAAGATAATGTTTATTAAGTATTCCGTGCGGTCAGTCGAAAAACGGTAAAGTAGAACACTAACAATGTGAACCAAGTAATTACTGAGCTCAACCCGACTAGGCAATTATCTAAATTGCGTTTTCCCGACTGAATTATACATATGCATTTAATGGAAACTTGGGCTCCGATGACAACTTAAATATTGTGCGTGTATGCAATTGCACACGAGAATAAAATAAACCAATTATATCATCGTACTCACCTCAACCAATAAATGAACGAATGACTTGAAAGGTAGAATATTGTTTATTGTTTGTATTATATATAAGTATGTATGTTGTTCTCGCGGTTTTACTGTGGTGTAAAAAACCAACATCCTCGTACGTACATACATACATAAGTAATGTTTGAATTATTGGCTAGAAAATTGACGTATACTATACTTTCACATTTTCTAACTTTACCATAAATTGCCATTATATTACCACCTCTTTTGTCATATATTTATACCTAGTTCCTTATACCAAATCACAAATTTGTTAAATTTTATGAAAAAGTGTATTTTTATACCCGTTACTCGTAGAGTAAAAGGGTATATTAGGTTCGTTAAAAAGTATGTAACAGGTAGAAGGAAGCGTTCCCGACCCTACAAAGTATATATATTCTTGATCAGAATCAATAGCGAAGTCGATTGAGCCATGTCCGTTCGTCCGTCCGTGCGTATGAACGCTGAGATCTCAGGAACTATAAGAGATACAAAGTTAAGATTAACCATGAAGATTCTTGAGGTCCCTAGGTTCTTAGGACCCTTATTACAGCATCCTGCCACGCCCTCTCTAACGTCCACAAATCACGAAAAACTAAAATCGCTGAAATCTCAAGAACCATTAGAGCTAGAAAGTTGAAATTCAGAATGTATAATCTTTAGATGCCGGGGCATCTTATATATTATACGGTTACACCCACCCATACGCCCATACACCCACAAGGCTCAACAGACGGTTTCCGCATTTTCTAGAAAAGCTCATATCATAACCATAAGTGATAGAAAGTTTGGATTAAGCATGTAGGTTTTTATGATGCTCCCAATGTGAATTGTTTTTTCGGATCCTCTTGTTTAATTTGTTAATGTTATAGCTTAAAGGTAAACGGGTATAGTGTATTTCTTGAGAAGTATGTAACAGGAAAAAGGATGCACTTCCGACCCTACAAACTATATATATAAATAATCTTGATCAGGATTAATAGCCAAGTCGATCAAGCCACGTCCGTCTGCCATTCATTATAACCTATTTTGTCCATATCTATTTACAAAAGACTTTTCAAATCGAAACGTATTATTTCGCGATTTATTAAGAAATGTATGTTAACATTATGTTATTTGATAATTATGATATTATGTCACATCAGTACTTAATTCTTGTATTCCTATTTTAAATAAATGCTTTTCCCAGAATTGTCAGATCGTACAGAAGAGTGTTAAAGAAACCACTCGAAAGAAAAAAAGGCAAATGCGTCTGCTTTAATATAAAGCCCACAGTGGTAAATATGCGTTTGCTTCATAAGTAGCCTTTGTCAGCATTCGCATTCCTGAAGAAAAGCAAAAAAAGGTTCGATGGGCTAAATGTGCAATGGAAACACGCGGAGCTAAACTTGGGCCTGGATTTGGCTCTGGTCCTGGCCCTGGTTTCAGAATGCGTCAAGAGTTGTTTGCATACCAACTCAACTGTAACCTCACCTTTAAGAACAGTCGAAACCAAAGTCTATAGTCAAACTCGCAAGGCAGAATCAAAGCAAAACACCACCGGGCTGCATGCCACTCGATGGTGGTGGCTGATATATCGCGGAATTTGTATGTGGGTGTACTGGCTACAAAGCATAAGCAAAAGTCTGAAAGGGCGACTGAGTGAAACCAGTTGAGGAATATGAAGAACAGATAACGACGACTCCAGAGAAATAAAGACATACAACAAAAAGGCACGCGCGAATGGTCCGAACGAATCAAATAAGGGACGGATGCAGATCGAGGGTGTGGGGATGACAGCAGGAAAACCTTGACTTTCATTGTTTTGTGCAAAGCCATAAGGCAGTGAACTTTTCTATTTGTGCCTACACCTACAAGCGAGACAATAATTTTGTTAAGTATCCTAAAAGCTGTGATGGGACACCTACTCATCTCCGCACGGGACGGGAAGAATTAAAAAATATTTGGTAAATTTGTAGATATTGACAAAAAATTAAATTATTTTAATATTATAAGCGACACAGTTTTCCGCGGATTGTGGGCGTGGCCAGATATAAACATTATACATGCTTAAAACCCTACTTTCTAACTCTTATAGATCCTGATATCTCAACGATTTTAGTTTTTTGTCTTTTGTAGGCGTCACAGAAGGCGTGGGTGGATGAAAATGTCACTTCAAGCTCCGGTGGCATTTCAAGAATGTGTATGCTTGGTCCTGACTTTTTAGCTCTTACAGTTATCAATATCTTAACGTTTTTAGTTTTTCGCGGTTTTTGGACGTTAGAGTTCCTTAATTTCTCTTCTCAATATGTTCGAATTGTCAATACTTCTTTGGAACTTGTCGTTCCTACGGATTGGTCACTTAGAGATTTCTATAGTAACTTAAATTCATCTGTCGAGACCTCAACCCCAATGAATACACATTGAAAATTTTTTGAGGTGGTAAGTATAACACCAAAAACTATACTAAAACTAAAAGGGGTTCCTAAGAAGACTTTAAGAAAATTAATAAATTGATTTAAGAGGATTTAATTTTGACGTCATACATTTTAAAATTTTGACTGTTATGTGTTGCATATACCATGGTCTTAACGTTTTAACTCGTTCAGGGATATTTTAATTTGAAACCTACTAATATTTGTAATTAATTTGCAGCTACAATAATGGTAATGACGACGGCTCTCAAATGTCCAGTTCTGATGTGGAAACTTTTAACGGCAAAATAGTTTACAATCTTGATGGCAGCGCATACATTATCGCCGCAGACAATGCCAATGGATGTGGATCGGGGTCTGCCCAATGTTATGCCCCAACTTGTGCTTCAATAGGTAAACTCTCTAAGGTCAAAGACCGTGGACAGGGGGAGAAAGAAAAAGAACAGCACCATCAACATCATCAAGAGCAAAGCGAGAAGGAAGGACGAGAAGATTCCGTGGGTGCTGGTCCTGGTCTGGAAGCTTTATCAGGAGCAATCTACAAATCGAGTCCAAAAGTTCACTCTTTTCGTGTGGTGTCCGCGCAAGATGCAAACTCAACTTGCCAAGACCAAATCAAAGCATTTAAAATCCAAAAACCAATTTTAATGTGTTTTATCTGCAAGTTGTCCTTTGGGAACGTTAAGTCTTTTAGCTTGCATGCGAACATTGAACACCGACTCAACTTGGAAGAGTTGGACCAGCAGTTACTTAATCGCGAGTACTCCAGTGCCATTATTCAGCGAAATATGGATGAAAAGCCGCAGATATCTTTTCTGCAGCCTTTGGATCATAATGTCACCTGTGCTGCTAATGACAACACTGAACAACTTCAAATAACACCTGAGGTCAGTGGTGTTGCGAAGTCTTCGTCTCCGCAACCAGGTCTCGGAAATGAGGATGATCTGGAGCTCGAAAAAAAACAGGAGACTGAGCCAGTCCGAACCCTGGAGCAGGACCTAGAGCATGAGCCTGAAACTAATCAGGACACTAGTAGAAGTAAAATGGCGGCACCTAGTGCATATCTTCCGTCATCATCACCTAAAGTAGCAGTAAAATCAACTGTGAAATTTTGTTCCTTAAACTCAGAAACAGCAAAGACTAATAATCTATCAAAAGTATCCTCAACCAGTTCACCTACATCGACATATACATCCGGAGAGGTCTCATTACCCAGTACTGATAATATAAGTATCAATAAGTTAACCAATTTTAACCAAGGAATAGAGCCGCCATCGTCATCGTCATCAGAGATCGAAATGAAAACCGGTTCTATGTCAACGTCACCTCAAACAAATGATTCTGATTTCGTGCAACTGCAGCATGTGGCGACGGGTGGCATACACCCTTCTCAGGTGACTTCCTTCCATGCATCTTTAGCAGCGCTGGCCGCCAATGATTCAAATGACAACCGGGTTAAGTTGATCACCGAGTTCATACAACAGCAACTTCAGCAACATCAGCAAAACAGTTCCATAATTCCCAGCCAGTGCCCCGATCATCCCGACCCCAATGGTGACTGCAAAACCTGCGAGCTCCTTGATATTCACAAACGATTAAAGTCGCCGCCCTCTTCGCATTGTCATCTCTCTCAATCTTTACCTCAGCTTCAAGTTCAATCACAGCCCCAGCAGATTCCACATCGATCTCCATGCAACAACAGTGTTGGCCTGGCCATATCACCCAGTGCCTCCTCGGTAACAAGTGTTGGGAATGCATCTAGCGCCACATCTAGCTTTACAATTGGCGCCTGTTCCGAACACATCAATGGTCGTCCCCAAGGAGTGGACTGTGCGCGGTAAGCAATAACTTTAAAAATAGTAAGGGACAGCAGTTCGGGTTTCAGTAAAGGTCTGGGGGTTGGTTGAGTTTACGGTTGGTAGGCAGATACGGGCCTTGCCGCAAGCGGTTTATGGTTGATTGGTGAAGGGTTGCCGTTAAGGTCTGTCACAGGCCAAGTACAGGGTGCGAATATTGATTTGTAGGCAAGGGTTGCGTCCATATCGCCCTAATACGCGTAATTATTAAGGCTGCATGAATATGTGACTGGAACTGGAAACATCCTGCTACCATTTGACAATAAGTCATTAGGCTGGCAACAATAACGTCATAGCTATATGATTTGTGCCTAAAGGCCAACAGCTCTCTTGCTGTTCATTTAAACGCAAATGACGATTGGGATTCGGATGGAAGGCTCTCCGGTTAGTTAAATCCTGATTGCATTACGATTGATGATGAATGATGTTCGCTCCCAACATCAAAGATTTAGCGTTTTTCCTATTTTCTTTTAAAAATTAGCTCTCTTAAACATGCACTTACATTAAAATAGTTAAAAAACAGTTATTATATTTTGTATTTACCCTTAGTTATTATTCTGTTAGTCTTAATAAGTTTCATGCCACTTTTCGTCCCTGATCCCATGCATATTTAAATTAACTCTGAGTATTTCAATTAAGAGTATGTTTGGAAATTTTTGTTATGTTGATCTTATTATTATGTGTGATCTGTTGGGATGGTGGTGGCTGAACCAAAAAAATTAAGCCAATTGCGCTGATTTCACTTAATAAATGTTTTTGTTCGTCTGTCGGTTCCCAATTGTCACAATTTAATGGTGTCGCCTGGGTCGAGGCGCACAACTGTGGGTTTGGTTTGGTATCATTTAAAAATTTCCGTCACTTTATTGCCGGTGACACACTAATAAATGTGGAAATGGTTAAAGGTGCCTTTTTTTGCGTTTGTTCTTTAAATTAAACAAATACTTCTACTTCTTATTCAATTATAAGGAGCAAATTAATGGTAATATAATACAATACAAGCTTTATTTATTATTTTGACCGTAGTTTAATAAGGATTATATTATTTTTTTTATTGCTTCTTGTCCACAGCTGCGAAATGCTTTTAAGCTCTGCTCGTTTAAACAGCGGCGTGCAAATGTCTACTCGAAACTCCTGCAAAACTCTTAAGTGTCCGCAATGTAATTGGCACTATAAATACCAGGAGACACTAGAGATCCACATGCGGGAGAAGCATCCTGATGGGGAGAGTGCCTGTGGTTATTGCCTTGCAGGTACTTAAGCTAAAAATTACGATTTATTCTAAAAATACAAACCTATTGTAAATTTTTATGTATCGAGACACATTTTAAAAACAGAAATGGTATATTAGTTTAGGTAAACCTAAAAAAGCTGCGTTTATTTCATTTTCATTGAAAATCATAATCAGTTTTTTTCAATTGAGACCAAATAACTTTTAATTTGTAACCTTAAAAAGTTATTTTCAACAAAAGTTTTTTATTAACGTTCATTTTTGGCACAGGACAGCAGCATCCTCGGCTGGCACGGGGAGAATCCTACTCATGCGGTTATAAGCCGTATCGCTGTGAAATCTGTAATTACTCCACAACCACCAAAGGCAATCTCTCCATTCATATGCAATCGGACAAACACCTGAATAATATGCAGGAGCTAAACAGTTCACAAAATATGGTAGCGGCTGCGGCTGCTGCAGCAGCGACTAGCAAGCTGCTAATTTCCAGCTCGTCGTCCCAAACCGGTGCTGGTTCCAACACCACCGGATCCGGTGCTACTGGCGGCGCTGGTTGTGGCAGTGTCCAAAACATTGGCAGCAACTCGACCCAGGGTGGTAATGTAGCGACTGCTGCCACGGGAGCATGTAACTCCAATGCCAATGCTGGAAGCAGTGCCAACAGTGGCAGCGCCAAGCAAAAACCCTTATTTCGATGCGACATCTGCAGTTATGAGACTTCCGTGGCCCGCAACTTGCGGATCCACATGACCAGTGAGAAGCATACCCACAACATTGCAGTCCTGCAGAACAACATTAAGCATATTCAGGCATTCAACTTCTTGCAACAACAACAACAAGGAGTCACTGGCAATGTGTCCAGTCATTGCTCCGGTAGTTTTATACCCGAGGTTGCGTTAGCTGATCTAGCGTACAACCAGGCGCTTATGATCCAGCTACTTCACCAACAGCAACAACATCAGCAGTCAGCTAATACCAAATTATCACCTTTAAACTCACCTGTTGGCACTCCTGATCAGTTTTCTTTCTCACCTAAGCCGGTAAAAATTAGTCATGGATCAGCAGTTGGCATGGGCTTAGGAATGTCAATCGGAATGACCAATTCGAACGAAGTACCTGGCGAGTTGTCTGGCGATCCTCATCCACTGACAAAACCAGATAAGTGGCCCAAGGCTTTCTATAGTTGCCTTATCTGCGACAGTTTCAGTACAAACAACTTGGATGATCTCAACCAACATTTGGTAATAGATCGATCCCGGCAATCGTCCAGCGCATCCTCCGAAATAATGGTAATTCACAATAACAATTATATATGTCGGCTTTGCAATTACAAGACCAATCTTAAAGCCAATTTTCAACTGCATAGCAAGACAGACAAACACTTGCAGAAACTCAACTTTATTAACCACATCAGAGAGGGCGGACCCCGAAATGAGTATAAGATGCAATATCAACAACAACTGGCAGCTAATATTGTGCAATTGAAGTGCAACTGCTGCGACTTCCACACAAACTCTATTCAAAAGCTGTCCCTGCACACACAGCAGATGCGACACGACACGATGCGAATGATATTTCAGCATCTTCAGTATATTATTCAGCAAAGTCAAATGCACAAGAAGTCCCCATGCACTGTAGAAGTTGATCCTCAATGCTCTTTTCCGGGTGAAGACCAGCAAGTGCAGTCAAACTCACCCACGAAAATGCTCCTTTGCCAGATATGCAATTTTACCGCCAGTAACCTACATGAAATGATTCAGCATGTGAAGAGTATTAGGCACATGCAAGTTGAGCAATTTATCTGCTTACAGCGTCGCAGTGAAAACCAAGAAATACCAGCACTAAAAGAGGTGTTTAAAGTGACAGAATGGATAGCAAACACCGAAGGTAAGTACGATTTATAAATGTAATTTTCTTGTTTGAAATTTTAGCTTTTCGAAATATAGAAAGAACCTCGATATAATGTGTTAAAGTGGATGTTGGGGTGAACAAAAAAATGCCTTCTTTTGCGGGAAAAGATGTTTTCATTCATGAAGAAATCTTAAACAATATCAACAAATAAAAACAAGAGGAAACGCTATAGTCCAGTGCCGCGACTATACGATACCCGTTACTGTTTTACACAATTTGAAAATTTCCATTTTGCCAGTGGAAATTCACAAGGTCAGAGAAAGCATGTTGAGTAACTGATGGTGACGTCACAGCCCAGCTTTTCTAGAAAATGGGAATACCGATCACTATAATAGTACCACTGTAAGATGCGCTGGCATCTAAAGATTATAGATTTTGAATTTCAACTTTCTAGCTCTATTATTTTTCGCGATTTGTGGGCGTTAGAGTGGGCGTGACAGGATGCTGTAATATACTTGCGCTGCATAGGGAGATCTCAGCGTTCATACGGACAGACGGACATGGCTCAATCGACTTCGATATTGATCCTGAACAAGAATATATATTCTTTGTAGGGTCGGGAACGCTTCCTTCTACCTGTTACATACTTTTTAATGAATCTAATATACGTAGAGTAACTACGAGTAACGGGTATAATTATGTGTTTCGAATCAATTTAAAGGAATACATTTTATAAATAGTAAAATGCAAACCCTGACACAAATTCTCTCCGTTCCTCGAGACAAGCTCGACCCATTCTCCTGATAAATAATATATGTATGTATATGCACAGTGGCTTGCAGCTTTTTCGCGTAGTCAAGCAAAATCATACCCGGAAGATGTAATCTTCGCGGACTGGTCGATTTTCAATCTTTTAACGATGGGGTGGGCGACAATGTGCTTGACGGCAACCAAACACTGAGGTGAAGCATGGAACGGGGGTCATAATATGTTTGGGCTTGTATGGCAGCCTGTAGCAGCCTGTCGTTATACCTGTTACTCGTGGAGTAAAAGGGTATATTGTATTCGTTGAAATGTATTTAGAAGATAGAAGGATGCGTTTCCAAATATATAAAGTATATATATTATTGATCCGAATCAATAGCCGAGTCGATTTAGTCATGTCAGTAAGTCCCTCCCTGTGACAGTGTCTATCCATATGAACTCATTAACTAAGGAAATAAAAGTTGGGATTAAGCTTGCAACGTAGCACACATTCTTTTCAGTATATTTCCACCCTGCCAAATAGAGTAGAGCTTAGGAACCAGGTCGAAATGTGGGGTTCAGCATTAATAATCTTGAGATGGCAGCGCATCTTAAGGTGGTACTATTATCCAGTCACACCTACTCTGACGCCCACCAAGAACGAAAAACGGACGGTGCTTTTTGTAGAAACGCTGAAATCTCTGAAACAATAAGCGCGTTTTTTGTTCCGTATCTAAAATAATTATGCGAAAAATTCGCGAACTTTAAAAGCTAGAATGTTAGGCTTAGACATGCGTATTTTACTCTATCATAATCTAACGGCCCCAAACCGCGGAAAACTGCGGGTTCAAGGTAAAAACCTTTTATATCTATAAATTTACCCAATATACATATTGACACAATATAAAATAAATGTATTTTAATAAATGCATTTTCCGCATTTCACATTTATAAGTTAATTTGGATCCCTGCAAAATTACATCAAGCATTAGAGCCTATTCAATGCTTTTATCGGTAAAAGAGAAGTGTCATCCTTTTTAAATTTCTTGTTCCCAAAACAGAAGCCACATGCAACAACAGTGGCATTGAATCTTCTGTTTCTGGCCTGTTCAGACCTTAGACCAGCCGTCTCAGTTTACACCGTGTTCCAAGGCTTTTGTTTTTGTTTACAATTTCAAGAAAAATCTCTCATCAAAAATCATAAGTTTTTCCACCAGTTTTTTTTTAAGTCGCCAGAACAAAGTCCAAAAAGAATAAAAACAAATTTAAAAATATATATTTCTTTTCTTAAAGAATTATAATTCATAAAATTATAAATTTAATAACGGAAGAAAAATAAAAATCTAAAAATGCTAAGATATGGGACCTTTTCATCGACTGTCCCAACAAACAAAAATATCAGAAACTATTAAACATCTAACACGTTCTATGAGTAACAGGTATAAAAAATTATATTCCTAATCCATATGAAAATTGTTAGCTTGAATATTTTTGGGCCACAACTTGTTTTGTATTATTTTTATACTATATATCGGCTTAATGGTTACCATTAACTTTGCAAAATTTGTCACGTTTAACACAAGATAGAAATAAATTAAGTTATACAGCTACGAGTATAACAACAAAATGGAAAGTTCGTAAGCTGTTATTTAATATTCCACAATTATCCTGCTTAGAATAAATACATTTGAAAATGTGTATGCAGACTTATGAAGTCTATCATTTACTTATATGAATAAATGAAAACGCAGTTCGTATTTTCGAAATAATCTCCTTCCCATAAACCATAACAATATTGTATTGTATAATACAGTTCATTCCTTCGTAACTCATCATTAAGCGCTGATTTCAGTTCAATTTCTTCAGCCTCGCTCTTCGATTATTATCGTCTTTGTCTTCGTCTCGTCCTTCGTACCCATCATCGCGGAATCATCTTCGCTTTTGCGTAAATTTTTCGTTGCCTTTGCTCTCGTCTTCGCCCTCTCTTTTCTTTTGGCGACTTATGTGCGCGCTGAGATTTATACGCTGAAGCTGACCCTTAAGGAAATTATTACAAATTACTTAAGAATGCAAAAACGATTATGTGTATCCATCGAATTTGCAATTAGTGACGTGCACACTTTGCTCCACACCAGCCTCAGTCTCAGGCTCGGGCTAGTCTTTCCTTGCTCGCGTATGGATACACGATGCCCACAATCCAAAAGGCCAAACAAATTTACTCCACATCGCAGTGTGAGATTCTCATATCAGATGCGCGCGGCATCGTGCAGGGCCGAACCGCAGGCATAGCACCTAACCACAAAACTCCGAACGCCGAGCCCCGATGAACGAGAACGAACCTCGCAGAGACACAACAAACGGTCCACCGCCACACGGATATATAGCAAACACATAGCAGTACCCCGCACCGCATCAATTTGAAGCCAGGTCAGATTCACTTACCCCTGCCCATTCCCCAGCCACCATCAACCGCAGCAGCGCCCACTCCTTTTCAGTTGTTGATAATTGCACATGCTGCTCTTCACTGTTGCAGGGTGTCTGGTGTCTGTATGCAAAATAAAATGCTTGCGAATGTAGACAATGAGGCTCAAACGATCTTTGCCTTCTGTGCCCGATCGCCTCGGATGTGCTCGCCGAGAGCCTTGGGCCTGCGAATTTAAAAATACGGGTTCGTTTGCACTTTGAACGTTTTATTTCTCGTTGATGGGTAAATTTTTTATAGCTCTGTAAAACATTCCATTGAAATATACCACATTTAAATTTACCCTTAAGTCCAACAATATAAACAAAAAATTATAAAATTTTTTAATAAATTACGATTATCTATTAACATTAGAACAACTATTATCTATCTAATTAATTCGCATATTACATAAACAAAGAGAAACGTTTATATAATATATTTCAACATTTTTATGTTGAAGCTATCACGATTTCTTCCCGAATGAGATTTCAAATGTTTAAATGTTTAAATGTCGTATATATATGAAGACGATATTAAAAGATTGACATTAGTTTTTGAAAATTCTGCCATATAATATTACATTTTTTTTTAACAAATGTTTTAAATTTTACGATATTAAAATATAATATTTAAATTTTAGATATTACAGTTGAGGCTGGGTTTAATTTGACAAGGACCTTATCGAAGGATGCTTTCTCTGATACAAGCAATTCTGTGCCATCATCTGCGACTGTAGTCCCTGCCATTTTGAACGCCAGTATAATTTCACCAACTTCTTCCTTAAACTTTGCGACACCGGGCGAAAAGACTGAGGAATCTACACTTTCGACGACTGTATTCAAATGCAAACTCTGCGAGTACTTCGTTCAATCGAAAAGCGACATTGCATCCCATATTGAGACAGAGCACCCAAATGCTGACAGTGATGATTTTATAAGTATACCTACCAATACGGCCGCTCTGCAGGCATTCCAAACAGCTGTGGCAGCCGCTGCTCTGGCAGCGGTGCAGCAACGATGTGGCACTATCAATGCACCAACACAGGATACCGTTGATGCAGGTAATGACACAAATATCAGAGATGGCCCTTTGGCCATTAAGAAAGAACGTCTTGATGAAGACGATTCCATGGCAGTGACGGAGGATATCAAAGAGGTAACTTCTCAGATTCTGGCTTCTGTAGCTCCGGAGTCGCCGAAGGATCAAGAATCTCCAGTGGGGGTGCAGTGTCCGCTTTGCCTAGAGAACCATTTCCGGGAGAAGCAATACCTGGAGAACCATTTAGCAAGTGTTCACAGCGTTACCAGAGATGGTCTTTCACGACTCTTACTTCTGGTCGATCAGAAAGCATGGAAAAAAGAAAGCGAGACCACAAATATACCTGACATAAAACCTCAAACTCTTTATCCGACTACTAGTACTGATGAGGGGAAACCATTATCTAACGAAGGCTCATCCAGTGCCAACACAATAAAAGTATCCACTGCAAGTAGCACAAGCCTTCCAGTGGGAATGCAAGGTCTAGGACTCTCTTGCCAACAGTGTGAGGCTAGTTTCAAGCATGAGGAACAATTGCTCCAGCATGCGCAACAGAACAAACATTTCTCGTTGCAAAATGGAGAGTATTTATGTCTTGCGACCAGTCACATTAGCCGTCCCTGCTACATGACTTTCAAAACCATTTCAGCTATGATAACCCACTTCCAAGAGTCACACATGAGCTTGGTTATCTCAGAGCGCCATGTATATAAGTATCGGTGTAAACAGTGCTCTTTGGCGTTTAAAACCCAAGACAAGCTCACAACGCACATGCTCTACCACACAATGCGGGACGCTACAAAGTGCGCTCTTTGCCAACGCAACTTCCGCAGTACTCAGGCGCTGCAGAAGCACATGGAATTAGCGCACTCTGAAGATGGAGTCCCATTAGACAGGCAAAACAGTCCGCAGCTTCCGACATTAATAGCCGAGGACACTCACAATCTTTCTCTAGCAGAAACTAATGAAAAAGGTACACAACATATTTTATAAAAAAAATTTAATCCAATTAACAAAGCTGTTTAATTTGTTTCAGAGGTCACAGGCAATGATTTTGAGTCAGAACTAAGCAAGGAAACTAGACACTTGTCTTCTAGCCCAATGTCTCTGGATTCACAATCCCAACAGCAATACCTCGCAACTTTCGCAGCTTTGCTCAAGCAGCAACAGCAATGCAATTCAGATGCTGTAGGGAAGCACCCAGAAGACTTTTCGCTCTCCGCTGGAGAATTTTCTCAACACTTGCAGGTATATAATGAGTTTACCACCATGAAAGTCAGTTCACTAAAAGACATTTTTTCAGGGCCTTCAAAATCTGCAACATTTTCAGCATATGCAACAGCAATTCGGTGCCGTAGCTGCCGCATCAGGATTACCAATAAACCCAGTAGACATGCTTAATCTAATGCAGTTTCACCACTTGATGTCCCTTAACTTTATGAACCTAGCACCCCCGCTGGTGTTTGGTGCCAATGCCGCCGGTAGCAGTGCAATCCCAGCGTCATCAATGCAAAACAACATCATTACCTCCTCCTCCACAGTCGCATCTGCTCCTGGATTATCTGATGTTCAGATAGGCAGCGGTATCAACGCCCTTCCGGGAGACTCTGCTAAAGCTACTATAGTTTCAGCTCAATCTCAGCACAATGCAAATTCCAACTCTCAGGTAATATATTAAGGTTTAGAAGGAAAAAAAGGATATAGGAAGATCCCATCTTAATCCGTTTCGGCTTTTAAATATATCTTTACATTTTCTATACATTTGAAGATCCGTCCGTTTTAATGCAAACTTTTATATTAATATAATATTAAATTAATATATATCTCGTGTTATTAACGGCAAGCGGGAAGAGGATAGTATAGTAATATTAAATTAATTTAAAACTAAGCGGAAAGAGGATACATTTTTAAACACCTTAGGTATTAAAAAGATTTTTATAAACTTGCGCTTGTTAGTATAATATATAGTATATGGAATAACGTCATACACGTCATACCATTACGAGATTAGGGACCATCGATTTTAAAAGTTTCCGAACGCCTTAATACCCGTTATAATTTTTGACCCTGTACTCTTTATTGATTGGTACTACTCATTACTTATGGAGTAAATGGTATGAGGCAAGGTAGAAAGTAAAGCATATATATTCTTGTTCAGGATCAATAGCTGGCTATGGCCGCCTTGTCCGTTTGTCTGTATGAACGAAGAAGTACAAAATATGCTATATTGAGATTAATCATGGCTTAGTCCTGCCACACCCACTCCAAAGCCCACAAAACACGAAAACTTAACTCGCTGAGAGCTCATGAACTATAAGAGCTCGAACGCCACACCGAACCTGTATATTTTACGTGTTCTTCATCTAGAATAATATCCAAGTCAGTCACATACTGCCATGTCCGTCTTGTTCGCAAACCATAATAACCATACCATAACTTCATAGATCTTACCGATTTCTATTATATAAATAGCTGTTTTCTGCCGAAATAGATGAATACACACATAAAACATGGGCAATATATTAAGTATATTATTATCAACCCTTTAACGGTTCTTGGCGGTAAACGCTTTTGTCTTTAAGCTGGCCAGCAACCAAAAACGTGCCCGTACGCGTATTACAGATGACCAGCTAAAAATTTTACGCGCACATTTTGACATAAATAACTCCCCAAGCGAAGAGAGCATTATGGAAATGTCCCAAAAATCCAATTTACCCATGAAGGTAAGTCTTCAAAAGTAGACAGTAAAACTTTTATAAGACTTTTTTTATCACAGGTTGTAAAGCACTGGTTCCGAAATACTTTATTTAAGGAAAGACAACGCAATAAGGATTCTCCGTATAATTTTAATAATCCACCTTCGACAACTCTGAATTTGGAGGAGTATGAACGTACTGGTCAGGCTAAAGTTACACCTTTGAATGATACTAGTAGCGCCGCAATAGCAAACTCAATAAGCACATCGACAATGTCATCGGCACCATCTGCTAATTTAAACCTGACCTCTAAAGAGAGCATAACTTCAAAAATACCCGCGTCTGGAAAAGCAATCGCCACAGCGCCAGTGTCATATCCTGCTACAGTTCCAAGCTCAACGCCTGTATCTCGCCCTGAATCGACAAACTCCAGCGGCAATACATCTGATTATTTAAGCAATAATTTATTTTTTGGACAAACAGGTGGAAAAGAGCAAGGCTTGCCGTACGCTGTAGAAGGGCAAATAAAATCAGAGCCTCAGGATGATATGACTGGGGCAACCGATTTTGTATTCCAAGCAAAGCAGCTCTCAAACTTTAACTTTTTAAAACATCAACAGGAACTTATGGATCATCAGGAACAGTCCATAACAAATCAAGAATCCGAGATGTCGCAAGACCAATCCCTACTAGCAAGTTCTTCACTTTCAGTGCACTGTCAAAATCAACAGCAAAATAACGTTTTTGAAACTAAATCGGAAAGCGGTAGCTCTGATGTAATGTCACGTCCTCCTACTCCAAATAGTGGAACTGCAGGAAATATTTACGGCACTATGAATGACTTAATAAACCAACAACTAGAAAACATAGGTAATAACATGGGGCCACCAAAAAAACTACAAATCGTTGCAAAACCATTTGACAAGAACTCAACTCCAACCTCTAGCTCGATTGGTTCAAACACTCAATTCGAATGTAACTCTTCCAACTCATCGAGTTCCTCGTCCACGTCGGGTGGCAAGAGAGCCAACCGGACACGTTTCACAGACTACCAAATAAAGGTATTACAAGAGTTTTTCGAGAACAATTCATATCCCAAAGACAGTGATCTCGAGTATTTAAGCAAGCTACTGCTGTTGTCTCCTCGTGTTATAGTAGTATGGTTTCAAAACGCCAGACAAAAGCAACGCAAGATTTATGAAAACCAACCAAACAATTCGCTATTCGAAAATGAAGAGACCAAAAAACAGAACATTAACTATGCGTGCAAAAAGTGTAGTTTGGTATTCCAACGGTACTATGAGCTTATACGTCATCAAAAGAATCACTGCTTTAAGGAAGAGAATAATAAAAAATCGGCCAAGGCACAAATCGCTGCTGCACAAATCGCACATAATTTAAGCTCCGAGGACTCAAATTCATCAATGGATATACACAATGTTAGCAGTGGAATGCCAGGCATAACAGTAGTTTCACAAAGTGTTTCAACGACTGGTTCAGCAGCAGGACAGTACGCACAGCAAACATTTGGCGCGTCGCCCTCGCCACAGCATTCATTTGCAAAGTCTTCTTCACTCACTGACTTCAGCCCTTCTACGACTCCCACGCCTCCTCAACGAGAACGAAGCAACAGCTTAGACCACCCACAACGACCCTCCAAGCTTGATTGTGATAAGTGCGAATTGCAGTTTAGCCAGTTGGAAAAATTGCGAGAGCATCAGCTAGTTCACCTGATGAGTCCAGCTAATATTTTTTCAGATGCGAGTCTCAACCCTAATCCTGATGACAGTTTTGGTCCTTTCGGTAGCATTTTGCAAAGTCTACAACAAGCAGCTGCCCAACATCAACAACCGCCAAAAAAAAAAAGAAAATACTCTGATACCTCTTCTAATGCCGACGATTCTTCAACTCTATTGGAACCTGAGGCTTCACATAAAAAGCAAGAATTCCTGTACAAATATTTTATGCTGAATGAAACGAACCCAGAAATAAAGAAGCAGTTCATTATGCAAAAACAACACAAGAAAGCAATGCAGATTCAACAACAAGATGAAGGAAATGAATCCGACATTGGACTTGAATTTTTAACTAATTTTTACCAACAAAATGAACTAAAAAAGGTCAGTAACTACGACTTTTTACTGCAGTATTATCGCACACAGGAAGAGGCAGTCCTAAACAAGAAACCCAAGCAACAGCATCTTTTTAGCTCCAGTAAAAAGCCAACGATTGAGTTTTTACTGCAGTACTATCAACTGAACGAGTCAAAAAAGTTTTTTCAGTTAGTTGCCTCGCCCCAAATAATACCTGATGGCTCAGACTACAAGCCCTTGTCGCAGACGCCAATATCTACTATGAATGAACATGAACTAAATAATGTTATCGGTGAACCATCTTTGGAGCAGGCAACAGAATTTAAAAAAGACGAACATGAATATCAGTTCTGCAAAGACATATTATGCGAAGGAAATCTATTGTATGAGAACAAGAATGAAATACAAAAGCTTAATAACAACAACATCAACAACAGTAACTTGGTTCAAACGACAGAGGTGAATGGTAATCAATTGATTGAAATGACAGAAACGTTGTCAGTAGATCCGACATTAATAGCGATTAAAGACAAAAACACACATTTAAGAAGGAGTTCCTTAGAAACAGATGACACGGGCCCAAAATCCCAATATTTACACAATCTTGAAGATTTCCTGGATGCAACAATGATAGAGAACAATTCTCAAACCCTGACATTTAACGATGACGAGAAAGCTGTTCAAACAGATAATTCGACCCACAAACCAAATGATATTGAGAAACGGTCTTCGGTGTCTCCTGTCAATGTTTCGTCAAAACAAAACAAACGCCTACGTACAACCATACTTCCTGAACAACTAAACTTTTTGTATGAATGCTACCAGTCCGAATCAAATCCAAGCCGAAAAATGCTCGAGGAAATTTCTAAGAAAGTTAATTTAAAAAAACGCGTTGTGCAAGTAAGTATATTAATGTATGAACAGAAGTATACCTAAATATAAAACTCTCAAATTTAGTACTTGTAATATGTTTTAAATTCTGCTGTTCAACAGAATCGCTATGTAGAGCTGAATTTAATACACGTACACTTAAGAAATATTTTAGTATATAAAGTACTTTTTATAAAGTATAAAGTTTTTTAATGCTGCCTAATAATTTTATCACTCTTAATCAGTATGATCATTTCTTTTAAATGGTTCCTTTAATAACCCCTGATTTGAATTTTTTTATTTTTGTTTTTTTTTTTAAAACATATCCTAGTCTTGAAATATTCAAGTTTTTTATTTTTGTCTTTGAAAGCAAATGCGTTTTTCAATGATATGTATAATCATAAAAAATAACCCTTTTTAAACACTGTAATGAGCCGCATAAATTCGGACCTGTCGTGGCTGTGATACCAATAAAAAAATACACATGAATATAGCCCCTTAAGAAAGTACCAATAATGTTTGGATTTTCTGTGTCATCAAACCATCTATCTGCTACTCGCAGTGCGATTGACTTATGATCTGTATTCCTGAACGAATCTGCAATAAACGGTAATAAGTTTGCCAGTCTTATTGTAATAAAGTGATATATATGATATACATATATGAATGATACATATATATCTCGCAGTATAAAATAAAGCTTTCAATGCTTTCTTGTAAGACATTGTGCTTTCGTCCCATATAATAATTTGAAACGTTTTGAGAACTTGGCCCATTCCATTGTTTTTTTTTGTTTGATGTTGCATATTGCAGCCTCAGTATTATGTAAAATTAATGGTTGCTTCAATGCTAAATGCGCTGTTCCAAAAAGTTGCCGCAATTTCAGATGACGCAATGGCAAAAGCATTATTATTTTGTGATCGTTTGGTTGCCAAAATGAGCGATAGAAGAGAAGTCTTGGTAGAACCACCGGACGCATCTGTGAAAAACAGTCCACCCCTTTGCACGCATAATTCTGTCATACGCATTGCAGCCGTTTACGATTCTATACATAGATAGATAGATAGTGTTCAACAACTAAGCTTCTTCGTAGCAGCGGCTTAAGATTTTTGAGTAGCGGAATTCAAAAACTTCTCTGTCTTGTTTCATATGAACTAGTTACTTACTATTTGCTACTTATTTTTTACTCGATCAAATTTCTCTAACCCCGGGACAGAACCACTTAAACACTTAAAAATCAATACTTTACCTTTTTTTCTTTTACCTTTTGTTTTAAATTTAACGTAAAATTTATTATTTTCCTTTTATTAACTTTTATGGTTTTTACTTTGTTTTTTAGTGAAAAAGGAGCCCAGACCTATAATATGATAGACATTCAAGAAAAACAGACTGTTTTTTTTTTCAAGTCTTTAACCTTAAAGGTAAATAATTCAATATATTACATTTAAGTTCTAGGTTTCTAAAAAAATTAATGTCGGCAAAATACACATAAGTTTAACGGGTCATATTGTATTATTTTTTCCATTTTAAGGTCTGGTTTCAAAATTCTAGGGCAAAAGACAAAAAATCCCGCAATCAGCGACATTATGCGCACATATCAGATGATAACAGCTATGATGGATCCAGTGGCAAAGAGGTGGTCAACGACCAAAAAGGTAACGATGAACCCGTGGAACCGGATCTAGAAATAAGTCTTCAGGACTGCCAGCTGTGCCAAGTCACCCAAGTAAACATCCAAAAGCATGCTTTTAGCGTTGAGCATATCTGCAAAATGAAAAAGCTACTCGAACAAACCACCGAGCTTTATGCCCAGAGCAATGGCAGTGGCAGCGATGATAACGATTCCGACCGGGAAAAAAGATTTTACAACTTATCAAAAGCCTTTCTGTTCCAACATGTTGTTTCAAATGCTACAAGGAACGCTAATCTTACTCCAGGTTCTGGAAAAGATTTAAATGCTTCTCCTGAGGAGAACTCGTTGCTTAACTATGATACTACGAGTGGCGATTCGAAGAGTCATATCCAACATAACTCGCCTACTGAGGTTGTCTCCGAGGGTGTGCGAAAAGTCTCTAGTAATCAGGAACTTATTCAGCAGCTATTTAACCGAAACCATATCACCGGTAAGAGTTTCGGCAGATTAAAAAAAGTGCTTTTTTATCTTATCTCTTGATCAGATTTTACCAGCACATCTTGATTTTTTATATTAGCCTTCTTAATTTTTTAATTAAACAAGTTCTTATGTGTTTTATTGTTGCTTCTATACAAATTGATGCTCTATTCATAATATCTATAGAATTTTGACGGAAAGCATAATTTCTAAAATAAAAAATAGAAAACTTATTAATAGGAAAATATATTTAACGCCTCGCAAATTTACAAAATAGATGATTTATAAAGAAAACATATGTATATTTTATTTGTACAATTATGTATAAGTACAATAATTACGCAATGAATGTGTGTGATTATGCAATTTTGCATAAGTATATCTGTACTCGTTTGAGGTGGTTTTAAATTTCGTGGAAAAATATGTGACAGTCAATTAAATATTTATGACACTTAAAGTGCATACAAAGCAGTACGTGGTACTTTTCCCTCTATCGTCTTTTTGCTGTTTGCTTTTAAATTTACATTACGTTCAGCGCTCACCATATCATTAAAATACTATATAAATAAAAAATATTATAGATATTCATGTACGTATGTGTTTTGGCAGGAATCGATTGAAATTAAAATTTTTGGTGCTACAATTATTGTCACTTAATAGTGATTTAATATCATTATATCATTGATTATAAACCAATTATTAATATACTGGAAAATGTACAAAAATAAATGCTTTATTTAATTCAAATGTTTTTATATCCTATTTGCGTTTTTATTGTTTATTGTTACTAAGTTTTATTTTCAAATAATAATTTGGTTTGTAATTTTAATAATTAATATTTACAGTTGGCGTAATGTAGCGCAATCGAGTTTGATAATTTTTCAATTGGTGAAAACTAAATCTGTAACTTATTTTATTAGTTATAGGTGGAAAATAATTTGGAGTGTTTGTATGGCCTTATAACAGCGGATAGTGGTTAAAGTGTGGGTAAGTTGTACTCCCTAAACTCATCCTAATACATCTAACATTCTTTGCCTTACAGACTTCGAATTAAATAATGCTTAAAAATGGGATGCGAAGATACGTAAATGAGAAATATACTACCATATACAAACCATACTACGAAAACTAAAAAGTTCCTATTTTACTGAAATTTATAAAAACATTGACATTTCATGAACCAAATGATATAAAGATATATGTATTGAAATTCTTACGAAAACTAATACTGAATATTAGTAAGAATTTCTTAATTATACGGAAGTGTTCCTAACTATTCAAAATATAACTTAAGCGATAATCGTAAATTATACACAGTTGAGGCAATCTAAAACAATTCCAAATTGGGGCTTAACCTTGATAAAAGTGGAAAAACAAGGCTCCTCCAAACAACAATATGTAATAACGTAATTAGGAGTAATGCAACATAAACTGAGTTCCTAGCATTTGATTGCTTTATGCCTTTGTTTCCTATATTAGAACGTAATTACTTAATAATAAGAATTGCTTCGGCATGCCGATCTTTTAAAATATTTTGAAAACTAGAAAAACGTGATTCCTATACATTTTTTCAAAACTGTACAAGTTTTTTATCATGATTCTTTTCTGCTGAGAATAAATGTGCCAATTATTTAATTTGCAATGCATTCGTATAATATAGAAATTTGTATTTAGAACACCATCCTTTTTAAAAAAAGGAAGATAAAGTAAACGGTTCAAATAGCCTCTAACATAGTTAAAAATTTGTTACCACGACTTAAATTATCCGTTTGCATTATTCATTTTCATAACAAAATTATTTTGTTTTTCAATTAGATATAAAATTATTTATAATTTATGTTTTGGACAAAAAACAATAAATGTAAGCTTCTAAGGGAGAGACCGAAGTTACTATTTCAATATTGCATTAGTTTATGTATGAAAGCTTCCAAACAAAACTTAGAAATTAAAGTAATATCTCAGCTTATTATCTAACCGTTATTTATTTTTACAATCTTTAATTTTTCATGCTAGATTGTAAAATGACACTTTCGATGGGCGCGATTAAAAACAGATTTATGAACAAAATAGTATTAGACTGATTCTTTTTGAAAAACAATTTTATTTACACATTTAGAGTTTTTTAATGTCATTCCATATAACATACATTCATACGTACTCCTTTACTTATAGGTGTATTGGTAACGGCAAATAAATATAGACATATAGATGTTGCGAAACATAAGATAAATTTACCAAGAAGTTCCTATAGAATTTAATGAAATAATATTTAAATATATTTAATTGTAAGTTCAGGACTTTAACATAATTTTCTGTTAATTTTATTTAAAATGTATGACAGGCAATTTATTATAATGGTATTAACACATGTTAAAATTAACATTGGTATATCTATATGTGAAGTGTTTTGCCCCATAATCTTTTTTTAATATATTTATTTTCATACTTATGTACTTAATCATTCATAATTGCCAACTAGCACATATTTATATATATTGACATAATATATAAATATGAACGTGAATATAGGCCCTCGCAATTAAATTTATAATTCATTGGAAAAACTTATCGAAGTCCACTTGCATTACTATGCAATATATACTAAAATCCACAAATGAATATGAGAAAAAAATATGAGATTTCAAAGGTGAGAACAGAACTATGCTCAATTAATAACCACCATACATACAAATGTATGTATGTATAAATATATAACATATCACCATAAAACTAACTAAACTAAACTAAAATTTAACAAGTTCCTTCTTTTTGTTTCTGTCAATATTAGTTCTCTTGAAAGACCTTAGGTAATTATTTGGAAATTAAAATCATTTATGATATTCATTTATGTGTGTATGTATGTTCATTTATGAACTCATTTTTATCGAATTCATCAGCGTTGTAAACTTATATTAAACATATTCTGGCCAACGATTCAAGTTATAAAATCCTTGATTCAGTATAAGTAAACTTAAACAAAAATGTAATTTTAATGTCAACCCATGTATTCATCAGATTTACTACTAGTACTTGGTAAAACTTGCAAAAAAGAAAGTATAAATAAATATATATAAAGTTCCTATATATTTAATAAATGGCAAAAGATGTGCATATATTATAAAATTATAACGTAATAAAGATATGAACAAGAAAAAACACAATATTTACTTTTGACATTTAGGGTAAGACCTTGTGAAAACTGAGAAACGTAGGTTGTGCCCGATGTCATACTGTAAGGGAGCGCGAACAAACCACTGCAAAATAATTTGTACGCGTACATATACATCCATGTGTAAGTATCTCCAATTGTATTACCACATGGTTTGTAACATATAGGCGCAGTTCTTAAATAAAAATAATTCTTCCCGTCACTCGAAACGGAATTTCTAGTTTAAAAAGCATAAAAAAAATGGTTTCCTTAAAATATATATTCTTGATTAAGATCTCGGGTATACCAGTATAAGAGGTGAATGTCGGGATTAATTATGTAGATTCTTTAGATTATATTATTGCAAACTGCCGGAGATGCCCAATCTAAAATGTTGTAGAGGTGAGCAGTAGCCTGGCGTAGAAATTTTTCCTTCAAAAACTTAGTTTTATAAGAATAAAATTTCCATCTACTATTTTACCTGTGCATTATGGTGTGCAATCAATTATGGCTCTGATCAGATATCAGAGGTTCGGGATGAGAAAATATTTAATTGAAAAATTTGTCAGATATTAGTGTTAGTGCATATTTATCCGTCTTACAATTAAAGTTAGTGTTGCGAAATTCGATACACAGATTCAAAATTTTTAAATAACAAAACGAAATCGTGAAAGTGTTATATAAAAATAAATATGCTAAAATACCTTTTACCATAATTTTTAAAGTTGTACGTTCTTCTTGAATAAATGTATGACTTCAATTTTAGGTTTATAGATAGGTATTGACAACAATTACTTTAAGGTCAAAACAAAATCATCATTTATTTGCACGGACAGTGGTGAGATAAAACTATAAGTTGGAAAATTCTTTCGAAAGATTTATATGCAGCGCAAGTTTATTTTAACATTCGGAGAAATTTGCCTTAGTACAAGGTTTTACCAAAGATATCACATCTATTTATAAAAATCCCTCGATTGTTACCATCCATTTGGTTTATTTTTTTCAATTATTTATATGTTTAAGACCGTCTATATCCGCCTATATTATAAAAACTACGATGTTAAACCTTTATTCTCGTTTCAATTCAACTCATCAAATTACACAATGAAAATGCACGTTAAAATTAATAAAGGAGCTAAATGTTATCTTTATCTAATTTCCGAATTCTTGATATATTAATAAGGGATTGAATATAATACATATATGGTCGTTCACTGTTATATATTTTAATAAATTTTTGCAATCTACGCAATCCGTCACAGTCTTACTTACATACATATGTATATATTTATGTCGCATTAATAGCATATAATGTAATAGCATAGTATTTCGACGTCTAATGCTAGGTTCCTTTAATGCTTGAGTGTACAATTTCTGAAGTGTTATTTCATCGAAAATAATTCTATAGGTATTAGTCGACAGAAATGAACAAAGTTGAAGAAATCGTTTACATATAACTAAAATATACTTTTTTAAAGGGATTTTTATAATAAGAACATACCGAAAATTGAGACATTTTATTCCACTTGGTATCAAAAAATATATCACAGAGCAATAAGTACTTGCTTATTTGTTTGTTTGCAAAATTTATGTTACTAAACAACGAAAAAGTCTAGTTTTTGGATCCAAATTAATAATGCTAAAAAATTTTAAACAATGGGTCAGTTTACGAGCGTTTTATAATGAAATAATTTATTTTTTTACCAATATGACTTTTCAACTGGTGCATTAGACTTTTAATATTCGTTTATTGATTGCACTTCTCGGAATTGCCTTTATATTAAATTATTAATTAAAACTTGCTATTATTTTTATAACTTTATATCCACAAACTTAAATGAGTTACAATAAATTAAAATTAAATTGTTTTTTTTTTTGTTATAATATGCACAAGAATTCTTTCAGTGTCAAAAATTAATAAATCTTATTTTACTAAATAGTGAACATTTAAATTTACATTAGTTTTATATTTTAATGTATTTAAATAAGTTAGACTCTATGTTTTATATCGATGTGTGTTTTTAAAGTACAACAGCGATTCCGCACCCAACCTTATCCTTATTTCGTTATATTGTAAAACAAAATATATGGAAAGTGGATATTGCACACCAATTAAATTAAATTGTAATTTTCTTTTTGTTTTTATTTCATATTGGCACAAAGCCACCACTTCATTCGCGAAGGGTCACTGCCAAGAAATTCCGGAAACTACAATATAACTAGTGCAGATTCCAATTATAATTAAGTCCATCCGTCCATAGGACTAGAATGAGATAAACAGTGCATTCTAGGAATGCCTACGTAGCTTTAGATTATTTTATAGCCGGTTATGACCACTTTAACGCCACAAATCGTTCAAAAGTACCAAAATTGTTAAAAAATTAAATTTTAAAAAATTACACATACCCTGTGCACATGCAAACCTTTTAAATCTGGAGAGAGCACTGATGCTAAGTAGTGTCATTCAGTGGAAAGCTCGAAAAAAGTATTTATAGTCAAAGCACATAAAAATATCATGAAACGACTTATTGAAAAATTGCACTGATATCAGCATATGTCTGCTACTAAGCAACGAAAATATATTATATGGGTTAGTGCAGCCAATTTCGTTTAAATTTTTATCTTTTTTGGCAGTTTAAAATCAATACTAATTTCTTAATTCTTTATTTTTAGTTTACGCCCAATGCCTTATAAAAACGTATTACGGATTAGCGACTTTTAATCTGCAACTCAATACCATAATCAGTAAAATCATTAAATCATATGAATCTAATGATTTGTAAATATTAAAATTAAAGTTTTGTGATAAGCGGAAAATTAGGAAAAATATAATACAAATTGTTAATATTTATAAAAAATTCATTATCCATGTACTTTAGAATTCTCTTATAGTCATGTCACGACATTTTTTTGGGCTTCAATCTATACATAAATATTTAATGAAGTCTAATTAATAACTTGAAATATATTTATATAGTTTACATCTTTAAAATATAGTGCTTGTGAATTACAAATTCAATCCTGCTTTTGTGTTCGATATTGCTTTGAAGATTAATAAATCTTATTATTAATTTATTATTTACTAGTAAGTTATGCTGTATTATATGTAAATAAAAATATAAGTTTAAATGAATTCGTATTAAGTACAAACAATTTTTGGGAATAATTGTTTCCTGCATGTTACGTATATAATTGAAGTAAACATCATATGATATATTTGTTATTTAAGAAAGTAACGCTTACATGTTTATGTTAGGCGGAGTCTTTGGTTATCTTATTGTATATATAATATCTAAAAGTTTCTTAGTGTAGGATCGGCAAAGCCGCAGATTGATAAATATTGCTGTGATGCGGCGGGACGCAAAATCGTAAAAGGTTTAAATTCACATCAAGTCGCTGTATTCGGATTTTTTAAGTTACAATTTCGGTACTTGTTGCTTAAGATTCTCTGAGTGTTATTTTAATCAAAAACCGCCGTACCCACTTATGTCGGACGGCTTTAGGTGGTCAAATACACTCAAATGATGTGATGGTTGACTATGATGCGAATGATGGTGAGTATGAGTGTGAGTATAGCTTGGGTAATTTGCTTGGGGCGGAGCGTGACTATATGGGTGATGACCAAACGGATAATTTGGACTCGGTACATGTAAAGTTGAGTTAGTTGGCCCAGTAGATTGAACGGTACTTCCTAGACTATAGAGACTATGGGTTACTGCATATTCTCCTGTATTATGTTGTGGATGTGTTCCATATGCAGATGGACCATACATTGCATTCACATTTACTGATGAGATATGGGCCATATGGTGCGTTTGGTCCATATACATTGGATGCGGATGTGATTGAGAAGGTGCAGGCGGATGGGAAATACTCGGCCCTAGCGGGCTTCCAATTAACTGCGGGGCCTGATGATGATAACCGGATGGGTTATGAATGGGATAATCATTGCTATTGCTACAATTATTGCCGTTACTATTGTTACTTTCATGGTGGCCACGTGTTTCTCCGCCATACATTGCTTCGTTATCAGCCCTTGCAATCAAAGCGGATGCAGCTAGACTGCTTACCGAGAAATTGTTATTCTCCCTTGTTAGTCTAAATGATTCTGCCTGTGCAGGACTCTCTTGATTACAACGTTTTGGTTGCTGCTGCTGTTGTTGCTGAGACTGTTCTTGCTGTTGGTGATGTTGATGTTGCTGCAAGCCTAAAAGACGACTTTCAACAGCAGCTGCTGCCGCCGTTGCTGTAACCGATGGTATATTATTGCCGCACTCATGCTCTTTAATTGCTGGTATTTGGTCAACCAGTGATTCAAGGCCGCACAAGCTTTTGCGCGCAACGTCAGAGCCAATGTGTCCTGATTGACAGGAATTATGATGGGTTTGATTTCCGAGTCGTGGACTCAAATGTTGATGATGGGCAGTAATCAACCTATAGGGATTTGAATTCTGTTCTTCATATCGCTGCCAGTTTTCCGAATGCTCCTGATGGAAATGTTGCATAGAATGCTGAAACTGCTGATGTGTCACTTTTTGTGTTGGTTGATGACTTTGGTGAGGGTGAGGAGAAAGCCAATGTTGGTATTGTTCGTGAGACTGACCTGCGTTCGCTTCGGTATCATGTACGGGGCTATCATACTGGTTCTTTTGTGCTATAAGCGGTTGCCTTTGGCCCAACTCAACTGCTTTATTATGATCCGCTGAAACCACCTGGGAGTCGTCATTGGGTGGGTCGAAATCGACAGCTGTACAAATATTTGGTGAGCTTGGGGGGGGCGTTTCACCCAAGTGCGGTTCATCCCGCATGTCTAGTGCAGTTTTCAGGTTTCCATGCTGATTCTGTTTCTGAGAAACTAGTTGCTCGTTTTGCGGATCAATTATGGGCGTCGTTCCCTGTGCGACGGAATTCGCTTGCCCTACCGGTGGTGTTCCATGGCCGTGCAATTGAGTATAATTGCAATTAAGAGCGGGGGACGCCATCGGTGATGCCGATGCCGTATACAAAAGGTGCGAAGGTGGTGGGGTATTGTACAGACTAGGCGGCATTTGATGACTGCTCTGGGGGGATGCTGCTATTTGCTCCATGGAGAGGGGATGCATTGAGCTTACCAACAATCCTGCTGCAGTGTTTGGGTTGGCGTTTCCGTGCTGAAGCTGTTTGACTGTCATTACGTTGTCAATAGCTGGTTTCAGTTTTTTTGGTCTTCCTCTTTTTTTTTTGGGGGTTTCGATGTTGCCACCGCTGGGGACCACTGAGAGGTTAAGAATATTGTTAAAATCGTGATGGGGCATATGTTGTGCGCCCATTTTTCCGGCCACATTATGATCAATAATCTCTTGTCCTTTTATCTTCTTTGGGCGTCCCCTTTTTTTTTTTTCTAGTGGATGTTGTGTTTGGGATAGCTGCGAACCAAACACAGATAAGTAAGTGCTTTCACTTGGGGGGAGATTGTTATTAGATACTGGTAGCAATGATCTTTCATCTCCTGAATAGGAAAATGATCCTCTATTATTACAAGATGATACATTGGACACCATACTGGGAAGCAATTTGTCAGATTTTACCTGTTCTGACTCTTCGAGAGCATTGCCACACTCCACAGCCCTTGCACTAGAACCACTACAGTGTTCCACCAAAGCTAGACCCGCTTGATGATCTGTAAGGGAATTTTTATCATTTTGCTTCTCTTTACCACTGGTTTCCGCATGTTGCTGCTCGCTAGACTGCCGGATCCGCTGATCTGTAAACACACACTCTGACTCAGCGATGTGCGTTATGTCCCCGTTCAGAAAGTCTCGAAACTTTTTTAGGGCCGCATAAAACGGAACTTTGTCAGCAGCGCGTGGCAACTGAGCGCATCGTGCTGATGATGATGGCATCACCCAAATGTACTGAAAAAATACTTAATATTTAATAGAGTTGTGGAATACATATACAAGCATTATTTTACATGTACATAGAAATATTTATTTTTTTAAATACGAAATATGGGTCAAAAGTAATATTAAAAAAATATAAGTCGAAAAATTTTCCATTACTACTAATTCTAAAAGGATTATATCTGTAGATTAATAATTCACAGATACATTAAGGCGTTAGAAGTTACCGAAATCTTTTATAAAAAGCATATTTTCAAATAAAATTAAAGAGAACTAATAACTACTTACTGTGTCAGTGCCTTCGACGCGATCCGGCTGGCGACCAAAGTGGAATTCTTTTTTTCCCGAAAACACCTCGAAAATAAGTTTACCATTGAAAACGGCAATCTTTGGTCTAAACCTCTGCAGCTTTTCCAGCAAAATGCGACTACCCTCCTTTATTTCCTTTCTTGTTAGGTCAGCTGATCCTTTGGTGGCTCGGGCCACCATGTTGGTAAATCCGATTCCTTGCTTTAGCAGTTTGTAATCTTCATCGGCGCTCATCTGTTCCACAGTTAGGCCCGCCAAGTAAAGGCATTTCCAGAAGTGGTTGCCTGGTCCTGCGTAGTGGTGACCCTTAAATGCTGCAAACAATCCAGGATTTATTCCGACCTGCAAAGGAGAAAATCAATAGTTATTAGTGTCCTCTCTATATTATTGTATTTTGTATATCCTTTAGTATAAGTTCGAAATTTACAACTCACTATAACGATATCAAGATTATCACAAAGATGATCAGGAATTGTCCGTTTAATTACTTCCTCCTCCGACATTCCATTGAATCTATCATGCTTTTTGCGCTCCTTGGGCTTTATTGCTTGGTTTAGATCACTACCATCTTCGCCGACGAGAGTGCCGCCAGAAATGCTATTTAATAATATCATTTTTTATTTTTTGCTTACAGAAAATTAAATGAATATTATTGAAAATAAAAAAGGATTTCTTAATCTAGGTTAAATGCTACATGCTATTGTGACATGTGACATGTGCGCTACATGACATGTGATTGGTATCTACATAGTAATTTTAAAATTTTAAAGAGAGGAGAAGATGGACCAAAAGCAACAACAGTAATTATTCATAAATTTCCAGTAAAAAACGAAATAAATTGAAAACCCAATAATATAGGTACAGTGTACAGTGCATTTAGCACACAAAACTTAAATACGCCGTTGAGTAAAGAGATTAAAGTATCCGATTATAAAAATTCTGCAAAAGCGGAATCGAAAAACCATTTTAATACCTTTAATAACAAATACCGATTGATATAAATAGAAACGTTAAAATCGAGTGCCCCGATCATACCCAATACCCGTTACTTTCCTATTATCCCGACCCTATGAATTACAGATATCTTTGATCTGGATCAATAATCGAGCGAATTCAACCGCGTCCGTCTGCCCGTATAAGAAGTCGAAGATCTCTAGAACTAGAAGGTAGGAGAGATACCTAGGTAGCGCAAGTTTTTTCAGAATGATGATGGATGACAGATAATAATAAATACGATTAGGCTTAGGAATACGTAATTTAGAGATGCAACTGCAACTCGACATGAGTTCTCAACCGGCCAAGCCCAATCTAACGTCCATAAACCGCGGACAACTGTGGTGTCCATAATATTATAATGTCTTTCTTCGTTTCACCTTGTTTAACATATTTTTGTCAATATCTATCGAATTACCAAATATTTTTCAAATCGGAACATTATTTCGCTGTTTATGAAAAAATATAAGTTAAAAGGCCCCACATGGACAGTAACGTCACCATCAGTTGGTAACATGCTTTTTAGACAAAAGATGGCGCTTTGTCCATTTCCACTGGCAAAATAAATATTTTAAAATTCTGTAACACAGTAACGAGTACCTTATAGTCGCGGCACTCGACTATAGCGTTTGTTCTTGTTTTATATCGTACATCCGTATGATTTATATATCCAATCTGGAAAATCACTACTAATATCCTTACTAAAGTACAATTGTGATCGGGAAGGGTTATGTATACAGTTCAATGACGGTGGATTCACTTACTCCTGGTGAATTGCTGATGTTGACATCTGTTTGGCATCTGTACTGTCAGAAACCACCTTTTTTTTACGCCCTCTTTTTTTTGGCGTTGGTTTAGAATTTAAGCCGCGATGAGAGTTATCAGTTTGTTCCTGAATACTTGTAATCTGATGAGTGTGTTGGTATATATCCTCGCTTACGACTTCCGGATTTCCATTTGGCACTGCCATTGCAACTGACGCCGTCGCATACCGCACAGCCTCAGGATTGACAGTCTCCATAACTTGATGTGTTGGCGAATGCATCCTTATCTCTTCATTAATATAACTATAGCCATCAACAACAGAGGCGTGACTTGAACATCTAGTGCCAACGCTCATATCAATATGGGTCTGAAGGGATGGTCCTTGATTTCCGTTAGATGCACATGCAGTTGAGTTCTTTGTCAAGAGCAGATCATCAGGCTTTTTCTGGTTTTGCGGCATAACCATATTGGGATGTTGCATTTGATGCTGAGGTGTAACAGAGTGTGTAGACGAGCTATGGGAATTTGGGGTTAAAACGTCACCTGCACTAGTCTCGTAACCATCATCTTGATTCTCAGGTTTTGTGTTGCTTGGAGAAAGTGCTCTGAAAAAGTTTAAAACATTATTTAATTTAAAAAATTTGAAATCTCAAAAAAGAAATAATCCGAATTATTTTTGTCAAATTCAACTTTTAACAAAAATTTGATCAACTTTTAATGTATTAAAGTAGCCACAATTATAGCGGAATTACTTTTAATTCTTATATAGATTAAGAAAGAAAAATCGCTTTTAAAACTGTTTTGTAATCATACATATCATCCTTTTCTTTGATACAACACTCAGGAACTCTGTTAAGCGTCCTGGCACGCCCACCCTAACGCCTACAAGTCGGAAAATGTGTGGTCAAATTCATTAGCAGTGATTTGAGCTCTCGAACCACAGTCATAGAATGTTCGGATTAAGCATGCAAATTCTAAGGAAGTCTGTAGAGCGTTATCTTACATGAATACTTACTGTTACAAAATGACTTTTATTTCATGTAAGTAATTAATAATAAATACTAATAATATAAAGATAAAGAAAAGTAACTGTCGTGTATTTAGAATTTTTATATTATTTAACATTTTTAATAAATAATTATAACTTACAGTTTAAAGGCTGGGCTGGGCTCCTCGTGGTATTCATCCATAATAAGATCATGGTAAGTTTCGTGCAATTGCTGTTGTTGCTGTGTCGGTTGATGTTGGCGCTGATGAATTTGCTGCTGTTCATGCTGCAAATGATGTTGGTGTTCTTGGGTAATATGTGCCAACTGATGTAAATGTCCATGGCACTCCATAGGATGTTGAAGGGATTGCTGCTGACGTTGCAGATCACTTTGATGGGTACCAAACAACGCGGAATTCTGGTAATGAGGAATATAGCTGGTATAGTTCATGAGCTGCTGATGTCGAGGACTATGTTCATGTATGTTCTGTAAGTCAGAATTTTGATGAAGGTGCTGCTGCTGCATCATTTGTGTATAAAAATTATTATGCAACTGACTATCCATGATAGAAGTCGGTTCTGTTTGGCCATATTGCTCCTGCGGAGAATTATTATGGTCATGGTGCAATGGAATTGAAATCGCCTGTGGAAATGAACCCGTATCAGAGCTCTCCTTTTCGATTTGAAGCAAAAGTTCCGACTGCCGATGCTGATGCTGATATGACAGTTCTGAGCTTACATTCACAGGATCTTGCTTATTCTCGCTTGTCGCTAACTCTATATGCTGATGCCTTTCTTCAGTCTGATCATGGTGAGGTGTCCACAAAGAAGTGCTTCGATCGTCCAATAAAATATCACCCGTTGCTGCCGTTACTGCTAGCTTAGTAGGAATTCTTAAGTTCAAATTGGAAGAGTTATTTGCACAACCATCGTTCGCTAATACACTTGTACAACTACTAGAGTTACACAGGCCAGGCGTACTCAACTTCAGTTTGTTATCAGTTGTAGATGACGATGCCGTTGATTTTTCTCCAATGGAGCTTTGATCTTGGCCCTGACCGACCAGTATGCTTGACGAAGAGGCCTGAGAGGCTGAAACTACTAGCTCCACGTTAGTAACCAGTGCCTGCTCCGGAGGCATATAGCAATCGTTATCGAAAGACTCTAACTTTGTTGTATTTTTTTTCTCCGAGTGGTCTACACATAATGTCCTCTCAATGAAACTGTTGGAGTTGCTCGGAAGTTGCTTTTCCATCTTAGTAAAATCATCTCTTTTGTTTTCAGACATTCTCGCATTCGGAGCTAAATCTGTTTCATCGATTGGATTATTCACTTTATTTCTCTGGCTACAGTTCAGACTAAGGACAGACAACTTTTGACATTTGTTATTACATGGAAGCCCAGAATCATACTTTTCTGATTCATTGTTACCACTTTCCGAATGAGTTGGGTAGTGTGATGATGGCATCAATATCGGCACTGATCCATCTGGTGACAAGATAACATCCACCTTTGATGACATTACAGAGATAACAAGTTTCCTCGTCTTCTTTAGTATTACTTGATCAGTCAGTGCAAAGTTTAAAGTTCGAAAAATGTTGATTGAAAATATGCCTACGACTAAAGAAGATACAAAAGGCGCGTGAGTGAAGGAACTACTTATTAGTGGGATGTTTTCACTTTCCACTTGCATCTCCTATTTATTTAACGTCCATTTTAGGAGAAAAACTTTGGTCGAGAGCTATCGTTTGTATAATCACCCTTATCAGAAATAATTATTCATATGCTATTTCGAACTTTTTAAATTCAGACAAATTAATTTGAGATGTGTTAAGTTCCAGATGCGCTATAAGCAAGCCTAAAAATAAATAATAAAAAAATTAGTCGTAGGAAATATGTAAACTAAGCTTAAAAATTTTTAAACGACTACTCTGGTGATGTTAATTAAGAACATATGCGGGACGCTCTTCTCCTATGGCACTACAGAACAATTGTTCAAAACTTGAAAAATATAGATTTTTAAAAATAATGCGCAATGCTTTTCAAATAGTTTTTATTAATATAGTTATTAAAGTTGCGTACTTTTTATACCCGTTACTCGTGGAGTAATGCATTCTTTGAAAAGTATGTCGATCTAACTGTGCCCAAACAATGTTTGGAATCGTAATGCTAATTTTAATGTTTTATTCATCGATACTCATCGATCTATGAAAAAATGTTGGAATTAAAATATTTCACAATTAATTAAGGATTAACGTAGTTAGAACTAGTATGGGCATTCCTTCTTATTTGGGTGGTGTTTTAATAATGAGTTTAAAGAAATAAAATAAAATGTACACGCCGCTATTAAGCTTTAAGGTAAAAAAAACTATTACTTCTACTATTTGCTATTCTTTACTAATAAAAACCTTGGGGACGTCTCAGAAAATATTGCAAAAAACTTTAATATTCGGTTTTTCATAAGTAATTAAGAAATAACTGCTTTATCAAAAAAGCAAACTGATCCTAATATTTGGCATGGTGGCACTTATTTTTTATGATATCGCTAAATGTTTTGACATATTTTAAATAATTTTTTATGGTATTTTTTCAATATAATTGATATCAGGTTATTGGAGCAGCGTTTTCAAGACTATTGGATAATTGTTAAGCAGCCTCACTTTATATGCATTTTACGCATTGGGTTATTGTCCTGATACAACCTAAAAAAAGAAAATTACCATTTTCTCTGCCGACTGCTTCAAATCTTGCTCTGGAAACCGTTCGTGGTACCATAAAAAAGGATGGTACAACGAAAGAGTCGGTCGAAGAAAACGCTTTACGGACTGAGCGCAACCCAAAGTTACACGAAAACTTTCCAAGGATTACTTTAAAAAGAACCAACGCTAGTGGGACGATGTACTTTTCCTAAACGAAACAAATTTATATTTTTTTTGGCAGTGCCGCTAAAACGAAAACCGTCGACGGGAGTGTTATGATATGGAGGTGCATTCCCTCAAAAGGAGTTGGAAATCTCGTGTTTATCGATGGTACTATAAATCAAGATCTGTATCTCAAAATCTTGAATGAAATCTTGAAGCAGGCGGGGGACATTTGATGGGCATTGGAGGAACTTTTAAGTTGCGTTTTTTTCGTTTTAAATAATTAATAAAATTAAAGTTAAGGTTTAAATAAGCTTGACTATACCATTTTTAATTTTGTTTAATTTTTTTGTTACAATTTATAAAAAAAAAAAATAAATAAAGCTATACACTTTTATGTTGGACGGCAAAGTTAATTTTGCATTTAAATTTTAAAGTCTGTTGTTTTGATTTAAAGATCGATCCCGACGAGTTAGTATTCAGTTTGTGTTTCAAAAAATGCAACTTTTAGATGTATATATATACATATGTACCAAAGTATATATGTAATTATATTGTATAATTTCAGACATAAATATTCATAATTCTTACATACTTTTGTATATATGTGTCAATTTATTTTTACATATGTATGTATTTTATTTTTATGTGGTGAGAGGCCCACCTATTCGGATTAACGGACGAAGTACAAGAGAAATGCAGACATGATACCAAAATAAAATACTCGTTTTTTGTTCACATACATATGTACATATCTACTTTACATATGTATGTATTTCTATGAAGATGACGTTTCTGTTGTCGCTTTCAACAGTAGATGTGCCAGAAAGATAGAGGATAACGATGAGGAGAGGATTAAAAAGAAGAGAACGACGAAGCGACCAACAAAAATAAGTTTGTTTGCATGTATTTATTTTTAATATACATACATATGTAGATAGAAAATATACGAGCATGTACATATGTATAATCAGATGTATGTACTCACGTTTCGCTCGACGGTTTAGACACAGTACAGAGGAATTCGCACATACAGTGCGTAACAATTAAATTTCCATCGATACCGCGTTTGAAGCTTTGCTCCTTAACTTGGTTAGTTAGTATATTGCACATTTTGCATAATTTCAATTTCGTGTGTACATGCAGGCATATGTATGTGTACACATTTTGGTGTATGCATACATACACACGCACAGTATAATAGTTAGATGGTACACAACTACTGATTTACACCGTATCGCTTCACAGTTGACTTGTATATCGCACTGGGCAGATAGTATCGCAACGCGGGAATCAAAACAGAACTCTAGATGAGATTTATGATAATTTTCTACTTTCTGTTCTGTCACGACGAGTCACGAACATCAACCGACACCAGTAAAGCCTTAAAAAGACTAGGAAAAAAGCTTTGCTGACTTATGTGCGCATTATCTGAGCTTTTTTCGTTCAGCCTTCGTAAGCGATGCGATGTGTTACGTTATATTAAATTTGCTCCTTACGTAGTTCACTTTGTTCTGTCAACTACGTCGTTCCCGCTTGTTTTCTCTAGGGCGTCGTCAGTGTCGGTTGCTTTTTATTTCATGGTTTTAACATGTAACAGAAATGTTAAGACAACTTTTATCTAACAGGGCTACGGGAACGGTCTTTGCAACTGTTAAAAAATCTTTTCATTTATGTCACTGTAACATTTCTGTGAAAGTCGAAGATATGTACATAGATTGACAGGAATTAAAATCTATCTGAGCTTTTTCAACTAGCCGCCGAAAATGCATTACGTTATATTAAATTTGCTTGTGATGCAGTACGTAGGGTCGGAACGAAACTTTGAGAAATACCCTAACGCGTTAAGGTCAGTTCTGCACTAAAATCATCCGTTCGGTGCTTGGAGAATTTATCAAATCAATGCATTAAAATAATCCAAAACATAAGCGGAATTTGAGCACATTCAAACATTTAAACATTCCAAAAAATGCGTTAAGGTATTTCTAAGAAGCTATTCGGGACTTGTTTTTTCACCCATATATTACAAATTTTGTGGTTTCGTTTCGACGAATAAATATAATGAGCGAGTGTGTGTACATTGCAGATGTGCGTATTGTATTCTTAATTATTTTCGGGTTGAAAAATACGAAAATAATGCAAGCTGCTATGATTAATCATTTAAAACCAAAAAGCTCTCATTTACAGTTTACAATATTTTTCCCCTTATGCGATTTGTAATTGTTAAACTGTGCTGAGGGATACGCCAATATATACGCATAGAAAGCTCCGTTCAAGGAAAGGTCACTAATCGTATTTAAAGAGTATTTCTTAAGTAATTACATCGACTTTTAAGTTTCTTAAAATTAATCTTTATTATTTCGCGGTACTGGAGATTAACATTTATTCGAACAAGCCGGACATAAATTTTTGAAAGGCTCTAACAAAAACTTAGCAATTTACTTGTGAAAGTAAAATAGCGCTTACTCGTGTGTGTGTATACATATATAAAAACCTTGAATTCTTTTTTCCTGGATAAACTAATCAATTAAGTTTAACCGAGAAGTCAACAGCTGACGCATTAATTTTATATACAATACAAACATATTTACAAACAAGCAAAGTAAACAATATTTTTATTTTATGTTAAAGGTTTTGCATTACTAAGGAGACTTTAATGATTTAAAACGATCGTTAAAAGTTTTGCAATCATAAAAGTAACAGTTGCATTGAAACTTACATAAACAATTAAAGCAGAAATGAATTTAATGTAAAATATGTATGTTTTCTTCGATTTATTTTTATTTATGATTTTATGTAGCCCATTTATATTTTTAAATGCAAGATCTAGCTTAAAACTGCCAACACTGTTGAGGACTTTCTAGGGTCATATTAAAAATCAAAACTTAAGCTAACACAAGTTTGACATTAAGTCACTCGTGTTTTTCAATTCTGTTTTGCTAATCTGGAGAAAAACGTTACTTTGCCGTTATAGGTGATTTTGCATCAGGCATTTTCCAAAATAGATATTTATAAAACCACATCTAAAAGTAAAAAGTTTTTTATTTATATTATATATGAGGTTACAAGATACATATGGGCAGTGACATCACCGTCAACGTGATGTGTATATTTAATTTTTTTTATGCAATTTGATAAATTTAAAGTTATGCTAGGCGGCTTATTGAAATTATATTTAACATGGGGAAATGCTTATATGTTCAACTAGAAGGCGGTTGATTGAGTCCCAAGAGTAGAGGCAACGTGCTAAGAAGAGAACGGAGGGGCCGTAATTATTTATCCAGCCACGAAATTATAATAAAGGTCAAATCGTAATGTCTGATTTGGGAAGCGGAGATGAAGGCATCTCAGGATCAAGTAAGTTATAGTTTTATTAATAAATTTATGAAAACATAAATTTTTTAGAATACAATGTTGCAAACATGGAGGGTTCTTCAAGTAGGAACGAGTTCGAATCTTCTATAAAAGGTATAATGCTGAATGTTTATCTTGAACCATTTCTTACGTGTTCTGCTTTTCTTACCGTTTCAGGCGGAAGTGGTGTGGAACAAGAATTGGCTACTAAAATGCTTCAAATCCAATCCAAACGATTTTATCTGGATGTGAAACAAAATCGGAGAGGTCGTTTTATAAAAGTAGCAGAGGTAAATCACACATCTGGCGATCAATGTGTGTTTTCAACTAAATTACATGTGGTTTTGAGAAGCGTGACATTTCCAAGCATAGTTTTTAACACAGCTAATAAAACAGCTAAGAGGGTATACTTTATTTAGTTGACTTGTAAAATGAATTGACCCTTTAAAGTATAAGGATCAATATCGGAGCCATGTCCGTCAGTCCGAAGCCAACAAAACAAGAAAAACTATGAACTCTGTGATCTCGTAAACTTATAGAGCTAGAAAGTTGTGAGTAAAAATACAATCTAGAAATAGCTGAGTCGCTCTATTTTATTATAACATCCGACCACGGCAACTGTTATGCCTTTCAATGTCCTCGGTCCATAATATTGATCTTAAAGTTTCGGTTTGTCTTTATTAATATTTTGATAATATGTTTCGATCGACTTAAAACTTCAAAATCGAAACATTATTTTTCCAAATTATTAAGATATAAAAATAAATTACCTCAGTCAATAGAAATGACTTATGTGGGTCTATCAAGAAATGGCGGCAGTAAAGTTTTATACGGCGTTTATTTTTTGTAAGCATAATTTTACAATTGATTTGGAAATCAAGTTTATATTTTATATTTTATATTTCGACTGAGTGTGCCTTTGTAATAGTCCCAAAACATTTCAAAGATTTGCTGTCCACATTACCACTCATAATTTTAATGGTGAAATAAACAAAATAAATATAAATATATATAAATAAGAATATAAATATAAATAATAAAATATACTTAGGTTGTTTTTGTGTATAATCGTTTTTTATGAATTTCAGATTGGCGCTGATGGGAGACGAAGCCAAATTTATTTAGCCCTTTCAACTGCATCTGAATTTCGCGATCATTTGTCGTCTTTTAGCGATTACTATGCTTCTCTAGGTATTTAAAGTTTCCAATAAGGTGCCCTTCAGGAATGTCATTTTGATAGACATCGACTTCTTAGCGTTTTACAGATTTGTTAAGTTGTCAATTTAAAAATGCATCTCTTAAAAAAATTTAAACCAGATTTAGTTTTTGAGATAAATTAGAACGAAAACATATTTTTCTACATTTTTTAAGATCGTGTTACCTTTTATGTATATTTAGTTATAAGACTGGAACACAACATTTTTGTAGTTTCACTTATCTCATTAAAGCACCAGAACGATACAATTTGGGTCCCTTTCGTTTCGTTTTTTTATTATAAAAATCGGGATATATACGGTAAAATATTCTTAAAATCAAATTTTATTTTGGTAAAATAGGCCAATTTTTTTTTAAATATTTAATTTTTTTTTTAATTTTTTTTTTTTTTTTACTGTACCGAGACCAAGATTTTTAAGTTTTTTGTATAAAATAAAACTAAAAATTGTCCACAAAACAATTTTATTTGTAATTTATTTAAAATTTTTTGTTTTATTTATAGTTATCAGATTGGTTATATGGCTTTAAGTCGGTTGCTTCTTATTAGAAAATGTAGAACATTTGTATTCTCATTATTTTTTGTATTGCATTAATATTTTTTGTTATTTTTCAAATTAGACCATTATCTCGCCATTTTTTTTTAGAAGTAAAGGCTGAAAGGTTTCATTTCGATAGCTTCGATCTCCTTTAATAATATCTAGTTGTGTAAATCTTCAAATTGTTGTTTTAATGCATTCAATTTTAACCTTTTTAAGAAACACACATATAAAGATATGCATTTTAAATTATTTATTAAAAAGTTTCCTAAGCTATACTCATTTTGGAGTTAATAAAGTAATTATTAATAAAAAGCTGGTCAAAACACAGGCCCCCCAAACACTGAAAACTTACCAGAGGATGGTAAATTAAAATCCGAAATGATGATAAAAGATTATAGAAGATATTACTTAGATCTAAAGGAAAATGCTCGAGGGCGATTTTTACGGGTAAAATGTTTAAACATACATAATATGTTCTTAGTGTTACAAATCTAAACTTTAATTTTAGGTATCACAAACCATTACCAGAGGCGGTCCTAGATCTCAAATAGCTCTTCCGGCTCAGGGAATGATCGAGTTTCGCGATGCCCTTACAGATTTGTTGGAAGAGTTTGGAGCGAACGATGGAGGGTAAAGTATAAAGTATAAACTAAAAATGTTCATAAATAACATGCTTAAAAAATGCATTACGATATATATACATTAGGATATATAGAGAACTTTTTAGAAAATTATTAAATGTTGTAAGATAGTTGTAAAACTTTTTAAAGCTAAGTTGTCGGCAAGACTGACTAAACTAATGATCTTGGTCAAAGCAACACAATTTTTATAGACGGAAATCCTAACCTTCTACTCAGCTTTAAATCCATAAGTAATTTAAAATAAAGTTTTAATCACACATATAAAAGGCAATCAAAAAATACTTATTAAATAAATTGTATATAATTCGAAAAATTCAAAGTTCTTTAACCTAAGTAATTTATATTATTTATTTTTTAGCAGATTTAAAGGAGATTTGCCTGAGGAGCGGCATATGAAAGTGGATAATAAAAACTTTTATTTTGATATTGGACAAAACAACCGAGGAGTCTACATGCGGATAAGCGAAGTAAAATCGGAAATAATTTTTTATAATAGATTGATTCTTATTGTATTTATGGTATTACTTTTTTAATTTAAAGGTAAAAAATAACTTTCGAACTTCAATAACTATCCCGGAAAAATGTTGGATTCGCTTTCGAGATATTTTTAATGATTATTGCGATAAGATGAAAAAATCGTCCGACTCAATTACTGCCGAAAATAATCTACCGACATCCTCAAATAGTCTTAAATAAAAAATTCCAGTGATTTATGCATTCTTATTCGAAGGCATGCAAAATACATTATTATATGTCGATTGACCAAGAAACAATGTAAAGCGTGTAATGTCTAACATAACCAACAAGTCTTAGAAATATGCGAATAATTAAGCTTGAATAACAATGATATTGTTATTTACTAGCATTTTGCCAAATATGTGTTAGTATTTAATTTTAATTATAAAAATAATAATTTAGTTAGAGTTAAAGTAGAGAAAATGTTGTCTTAAATTAAAAGAGACCGAATTAAATAATCATTTGGTGCCTGGTTGAAATTGCAAGTGCAAGCCTTGTCACTGTAATGCTATAACATGCAAAAATTGAAATTATTTGACAATGGTCCTGAATGTATGTTTAGAGATGAATTTTTCATTTCTAATAATTTTTCATTTTTAATCATATGACATTTATATTACAATAATATTTTTTTTTTTTTATTTATATAGCTTACGTTGCGAAAAATCCTAAGAAAGTTTTTCTTTTCACTTTATCGTAAATTATGCAAATAACCAGCCCTTCATTAAGTACACTTTTGCGTATACAGTTTAATGATTTCTAAATAGATTGCAAGCTGATGTGGTTAATGGCTATGTTCACTTATATTAAAAGAATTACAAGATGGTGTACGAAAATTAATATTTAAAAAAATAATATGTCTTTAATTCAATGGTATTACATATATGACTTTAAATATATTTTTTTCAATTGGAAATAAGAACAATGATCATTGATGTCAACCGAAGTACCTAAAGAAATACTGAATTAAGTTTAATATTTAACAATTATATTTCGTCAAAGAAAAATTATTTTGCTTCCCATTAAAACGATATCATCCAACAAATTCTACCAATCACAATACTTAAAATTATAATTGATTAATTTCCTGTTAAATCTATTAATTATATATCGACGTTAAATCTATTTGGAGAAAACAAAAGAGCTTGTAAAACCAAATCTGAAAATCGATAAGTATGTATGTATATGCAATCAGACTTGCGCCGTACATTACTGATTACGGATTTTCAGCTCTCTTACAGTCCCAGCTATTAGGTTTTAGATTTTTCTTAATGAGTACCTTTCTGTTGGTTAATTACGTATTCAAAAAATGTTAATTTTAATCAGCTTTATGCTTACAAAATTGTGAAATCTTCTAAAAGTAATATTTTGAATAACATTATATATGTTAAAAATAAAATCCTAAACGCGTTTTTAAAACACAAGTTTCAATGTGATCACGTAGAATAAAAAACATTACTAAGTACGATGAATATGCATAGCAAAATTTGAACATAAATCGGAATCGACACACCGATACCTACCGGTTAAATTTACCCTAGGAATATTGTGTACAGATGGTGTGTGCTAATTACCAAAGTAGTGCTACTAATTATCTAGTGTTTAAAACTATCACAGTCCAAGTTATGGAAAATGTGAGATCTTGGTCTCGTTATAAATATATATGTATCTATAAAAACAAGAGACGGAAACAAAATATAACATAATTTAACTTAATTTATTCTAATAGTATTAAAACTTTGAAAGCTGAGAAAGTCCTACAAATTTCCTTACTAGAGTCGATGTTAATCTGACTATAAACTTAAAACCGTTAAATTTATCGAGCAAATACGAGCGGCAATATGTTATTGACGATTAAAAAAATTGGTTAAATATTATAAGATGGTTTATCTTAAATGTTGTTTCGCAAGAATGCATAATGTGTAATTTAAGAGTTTTGTGAATACATATAAATAAAGTTGAATTTAAACAAAAATACACATATTTATTTATATACTCAAGCTTTGTAAGCGAAACAGTAATAAAAAAGAATATAGAACATCTAATTGTAATAATATTGGATATGGAGTTTTACAGAGTACGAGTGTCATTCACCAAACATATACAAACAAAATTAGCCAGTAATTGATTGAATTACCCTGAAATATGTGTATATATGAACCTATTACTAACGTAACCTCTTCGTTAAGGCGACTGTACGGACAAAATGCTATTAAATAAATAGAAGTGAGATCACAATCTAATCTAAAGCGCAGTGTTCCTGACCACGCCTGACGCCCATCTTAACCATACATATGTACATAACATTGGTGGAAGAAATATGATGAATTTCTTGCTGTCGAACAAAAAGTTGAGACCAGCCATTACAATAATAAATTCAAATAAATATCGTTCCAAACTTATTTATGATTTTAATAATCAATATGGGAAAACATATTTAACAAAAAATTATCGATCGATTTCCCCAAATACTACATCCAAAGTACCAATAATCGCAACGACATCAGCAAGCATGTGCTGCTTTCCAATCTTCTCTAAAGCTGCCAAGTGAGCAAACCCTGGCGCTTTAATTTTACAGCGGTAGGGACGACTCGATCCATCTGATACAAGGTAAACTCCAAACTCGCCCTTTGGAGCTTCTATTGCCGTGTACGTTGCCCCTGGTGGAACTTGATAGCCTTGGGTAAATAATTTAAAGTGGTGAATAAGAGCCTCCATGGAAGTCTTCATCTCGGATCGAGAGGGAGGCGCCACCTTAGCATCGTCCGTTTTAATTTCGCCAGCAGTCATTTGATTTAGGCATTGATCAATTATTCGCAGGGATTGGCGCATCTCTTCTATGCGACAGAGATAGCGGTCATAGCAGTCGCCCTTTGTGCCGATAGGAACATCGAAGTCCACCAGATTGTAGGCATCGTACGGCTGTTGTTTGCGGAGGTCCCACTTTATACCGGAGCCACGCAACATGACGCCACTGAATCCATAGTTTAAAGCTTCTTCTGCCGTCACAATTCCAATATCCTCGGTTCGCTGCACCCAGATTCGATTCGTCGTCAACACATCCTCCACTTCGTCCAAACGCTCGGCAAACTTTGATGCAAACTCATAAATATCGTCCATTAGGCCAATAGGCATGTCCTGTAAAAAGGCGTTCGTTTATGAAAACATTTTAAATACGGTAGAGAATGTATTACCAATGATACACCACCAGGACGGATGTAGGCAGCATGCATTCGAGCACCGGAAACCCGCTCATAGAATTCCATCATTTTCTCACGTTCCTCAAATAGCCAAAAAAATGGCGTTAAAGCACCCACGTCTAAAGCGTGGGTTCCGACAGCCATTATATGGTTCAGAATTCGAGTAATCTCGGCAAAAAGGGCTGAAAAATAATTCTTTAGCGCATGTGTTTCTAGGGAACATACAAACATTCATCGCCATGACATTTTGCTGTTATCCCACATGTTAAATATTGTTTAATAATAAAATTGAGGAGTCGCAACTATTAGTATCTTTTTAGTTTTTTTCCCGTTATGAGGAAGTTAAAGTGGGAGTGGCCATGTTCTAAACAACACACTACGGTGACATCTCTCTTTCTAACACTAAGAGATCCCGAGATCAATTTTCATTCAGAAAGCGGATAGCGGTCGTCCGTTGGCATCTCTAGATTATGCATGTATACCAGTTTTCCGGCTTTGAATACCAAAGCACTTTTTTTTATTATCTGCTATAATAGGTAATTTCAATATTTTTTTTTTTTTTTTTTTATATTTTTAAGTACAAAAAAAAAGATTGTAAGAACAACCTGGACACCACATCCAACCAAAACTCCGGCATGATTCTTTTTGCGATTTCTTGAAGGGGAAATAGCATCTTAGCATTGGAATTCAGTTTTCAGTGGAATTGTTTTATCAATAAAAAAAAAAAATTTAAAACACTACTTACTGAATCTAGCAAGCATGATATTTCAGATGGGTCTTATTACTATTATTATTTTAACCAAGTCGAAAAACTGTACCACGTGTATACTTACTTCGAATATATTTGGCTCGGAGAGGCACCTCTATATTGAGAAGCTTCTCTACGGCCAGAGAGTAGCACTGTTCGTTGCACATCATGGATACATAGTCCAGTCTATCAAAGTAGGGTAACGCCTGTGTATATGTCTTGTACTCGATGAGCTTCTCGGTTCCGCGGTGCAACAGGCCGATGTGCGGATCAGCACGCATGACAGTCTGCAAAGCGATATAGTGGGATGTAGATCTGTCGAGCATGTAAGCGATTAACTGCTCTAACCTCTCCATCCAGCTCAAGCACCAGCCGAAGGACTCCGTGGGCGGCGGGATGTTGCGGTCCAAAGTTTAGGGTCAGGTTACGCACGGACTTCTCAACAGGCGTCACCTTGCCTAATAGATGAGGAAATTAAATGTGTTAGTTTAAGGGTTGCCCTGATTGGGTTACAAACTGACTGTTCCATGGGGGCACCTTCCAGAGCGATGTAACTTCATCTGGATACATAACCGGTCCACTAAACTGCTTCATAAACTCCGGATCTGGATACCATTTTGCAGCTCCACGGCGTGTCTCATGCGAACTATATGTAAAGAATTAGATCATGAGCGATGGGATGCAAGGTTAACAAAACTAAAGTAATTGATATATTGTCATATTATGTAAGAAGGTTACCTTAGCACGTTCAATCTTCCTGCAACAATTTGCGGCAAAAGCCTTATGTGGGATAACCCAGGAATCAGGCTCCGTCTCGTTATATTGGCAAACACCATTCTGATAACCAAATTGCTGTTTTAATATTTATAACTTAACGTTCCAGCTAATACAAGAAAACATTAGACGTAATCGATAGGCCGAAAAAAAATATCGAGAGGCAATGTACACCGGCAAATCGGAAATCACATATGGTGGATGTCAAAGAAATCAAATTTCCATTAATAAAAAATATATTCTAGTAAATAAATAATTTTTAATATAAAAAATTGTGAAACATAATTGTGTTTTAGAGTAATTTGACCTGAAAATGCTTTATATTAAATACTACGCACTTTAAGGTGCATTTAAAGTTTTGCGGTATTTGATTATTTGTCAAAAAAAAAAACGAATAATAATAGTAGCATGTAGTTATTAAGGTATAAGTAATAAAAATATGATTATTTTGACAATACCTAGTGTATTTGGTAAAGAAAAATATTTTTTGGCATTTTTGAATTTTAATAATAAATACCAAATACCAAATATGGTAAATAACAATTTAACAATTTATTTGGGTGTAATTTAAGCTAATCATATAAAAAATGTACAGAATTGTTAACGTCATATTTCTTCGTCTTTTATTTGCCAAAGTTGTCGGTAAAAATAAAAAAAAAAACCGATCGCCGTCGGAAAGGGCATTTGATATAATATGGCGTCAATACAAAAATCTTTTACATTTAAAAATTAAATGATTATAGTTGGATTTACAACACTTTGTATAGATTTAAATTTGATTTAAGGGTGAAAGGGGATTTTTTAGGTTCAAATCAGGAATATTACAACTCGTGGTGAAAGTTTAACCATCTGGTAACACTGAGTGAAGATTTTTTTACAATAGTTCTAGAAATACAATATTTATATATACATGCATTTATTGTATGTAATCAAATTATAAAAATATGAAATTGCCGTAAAATTAGTTAAATTCGAGCGTTTACCTGAAGGCGGAATACTGTTTTGAATCTTTTTTAAACGACAAGTGAAAAATGTAATTATTTAAGAAATTTATTTGGATCTAGTTGTACTAAAGGGTTTATTTATGATTGTGCTAAGTAAGGGATACTTTTAGAAATAATTCAAACTGATGTTTCCATGTATCACTTAATGTCTGTATATAAGTACATATGTATCTATGTAGTTGTTTTCGTCTCCACTTTGGCCTGTGTAGCCTTTGTGTATGTATACAGAAAACGTCTCTTCGTACATACATACAATATACATCTATACATACACATATTATATACTTTGCCGTTGTGATGTTTTAATGGACTCAATGAGAACAAATTTTGTAGAACTTTGTAATCGAATATAAAATACATGTTTGTCGGCCCATCCTTTTAAAAATAACAGGAATTTCTTTTAGATACAGAGATATATTCTTGGGGATTCTTAAATTATAGATTACCTCCGTATATATGTATATGCAGTAAGTTAAATCAAAAAAATATCAATACGAAAAAGTGAACAAATCAAAGCTGGCCTAGTAGATTCATTTGATTATGATTAGTAGTTAAAATTAATCGAGGTTGTCATATGTAAATACATATAGTATGCCAAAATGTGTTTACACAATAAAATTAAACTACATATTTTTGTTTCCATGCAACAAACAACACTTTCTTTTCAATGTGAAGTTGAAAAATTAAGCTTTTATATAGAATGGGCTTAATTGATAAGTAAAAAAAGGTGAGAATAAAAAACAAAACCATAAGATTACAAAAGTTTGACACTATTAAGAAACTGTTTACTCACTCGTTTTTTATACTCTTGAAGATCAAGGGAGTATAGAAGGAAGCGAATCCGATATATGTATAAAAATAGATACATATATATAATCTTTATCAGGATAAATTGCCCAGTTTATTTAGGCATTACCGTCGGTGTGTCCGTATGATCGCTGAGATCTCAGAAACTAAAAAGGATTCAAAATTGGGATTTAGCATGCAGATTTTTGAAATGCCTAAGTAGCACCAAGTCATTTTAGCAACATGCCACGCCCACTTAAATGTCTACAAAACTTGAAAAACTTAAACGCGAACCTCTCAGAAACTACACAATCTAGAATGTTGTGATAGAGCATGTATAATCTTGAAATGACAGCGCATCTTAAGGTGGTATCATTGTCCTGTCACGCCCAATCTTCCGCCTAACTTGCCTTTTTTTTCATATTTTTTCTAAATATCTATCTTTAACTATATTTATCAAAAATTTTGAAAATTTTGCAATTTATTTAGAATTGTAGGTTATGATCCTCAACAATATTCAGGTACCTTCATTACTACTTCATTTCTTTCAAGACATTTTAAAAACCTTGATATTTCATTTATGGTGCGAATAATTAATTTTTTTTACAAATTCATTTACTTGCGGGTATGCTATGAAAGAAAACTCAAAATCCATGCTTGATGGTAGGTTCAGCTCGGTATTTGGTCGCTACCAGAGAACGTCTGTTTTTGGCACCCGAATCATACTTATAAATTTCGAGTGTTAGTCGCACTCACAAATAGGAAGAAAAGAGTAACACACACCCGAACGCACAAATCGCTTTGGGTGTTTTGTGTTTTTGCTTTTCGTCACTTACTCAATTCCATATACTCGATTCTATTGCACAGCAGTGTTCTAAGTTCCCAACACGCACAAATGATTAGGGTACACTTATTGTTTGGGTGTACCCTTGGCGTTCTCTGGTAGCTACCAAACATATTGTAAACAATCCTATTAAAAAAGGGACATACTTCCAATCGTCGGTGGAGATGATATCAATCTAGAAGGAAGACGATTGGAAAAGATGTCCTTGGAACTGGAAAACGAGCCCTTAAAAGATACTGTCAAGTTATGTTTGGGCATAAAAATTCTAGTAGTAACTAGCCCACATTTAGCTCTAACGCCCATTATGATTGGTTTATTTATGTACATTGATTGCTACCGACAGTATTGATAGAACTTTAATTATCATATTCATTTTAAACGATATTTGCATCTCTGGTACCAAATTATATATGATACATTTTTTCATATCATTTTATTACTTGCAGATGGAGCAAGACACGCACTGGTTTGTGCTGGCACGGAAATAGCTGTAACCTAGACAAAATATTCGTAAGAGGTAGCTATCTTCACAAATAGGGACATTCAGTAAGCTGGTTTAAAAACAAAATTAAAAACAAAGTTGCTGGCGGAATGCAAGAACGTCTAAGGGTTTCCTGGACTCAGAAAAAGTCGATCAAAGATAATAATAAACGTAGCAATATGTTGTCTTGCAAAAGACGCTTAATATCCAGTAAAGTGCTTGCCGATCCACCACCATTATTTGTGTCTTTCCCGAATTGTAAGGACCAACATAACGTGCAGTTATACTCTGGGAGTTTATTGAATATTAAGCTATACGCGCCGGTGACTATTGATACTAGTCCGCAAATTCAAAATCAACCACTAACGAAGACGAATTATCAACGACCAGCTATGCATCGAAAGTCCAAAAGCAAATGCAAGCTCACAGTTTTCAACAACATTTCGCCACTTCTTTCCTTAAGTGAAAGGAAAAATCAACCATCCACCGAGCATTCATCGGAAACAGCAGTAACAGTTCAAAAACATGAAGAAACTTCTGCCGGGATAGAAGTGAAGACTTCCCAGTACTTACCAAGTATAACAAATTCTAAAAAGGGATGTCATTACCACAAAAGGATTAAAAGCAAAAACGGATCGCTTTCGTCATCCCTGTTATCATCAAAACGATGCAAAATGGCGATTCCATTTCCGACATTGGGCGCAACATCTTTCCTTACTTTGCTGACATTAATTTGTATAGAAACTATTTTGCTATCAACAATGTCCAGTTGCGCAAAAACTTTCTATATGCATTGGAATACATCGAACAGCATGTGAGTAAATTAATAATTTAATGGAGACTAAATATGTAATCCTTAAATGTTTTTAAATTTACTTTTGTTTTTTTATTTACAGATTTCGGATTGATAATACCGATCATATAATCGATGTTAATAAAGGCAATCTTGCATTCGAATTCGATCAGGTCCATATAATTTGCCCAGTGTATGAGCCAGGGACTTTTGAAAACGAAACAGAGAAATATATAATTTACAATGTGTCTAAAGTGGAGTATGAAACATGCCGCATAACAAATGCAGATCCGCGAGTAATAGCTATATGTGATAAACCTCAGAAATTAATGTTTTTTACAATAACTTTCCGGCCATTTACACCGCAGCCAGGTGGTTTGGAGTTCCTACCTGGAAATGATTATTACTTCATTTGTGAGTTCGTTTAAATTACTGTCTGTTTTAGACTGTATGCCAATTAATTTGTTTTACCTATATTTAGCAACTTCATCTAAGGATGATTTATATCGGCGAATTGGAGGCCGATGTTCCACAAATAACATGAAAGTTGTCTTTAAAGTGTGTTGTGCCGCTGAAGGAAAGAACAAAACTACAGCGTCAAGCAAATCTATTTCAGGCGCAGAAACGGGAGTAGCCATTAGTGTCAACATAGCAGCCAATGATGATAGTCATGTTCACGGCCAAGGCCTTAAAAATATTGGTCTCAATGGAGGCCTAACTTCAGGAGTATCTCAATCCGCTGGAATGCCGCTCAATCCAATCAACGGCAATATCAATTTAAATGGCATAGAAACTACTATAAATTCAAATATTGATCAGTTTAATCGGATACCAATTCAACCAAACATAATAGGTAACAATGTAGGAAATAACGTCGGTGGATCTGCAATTGTTGGTGGTGGAATAATGTTAACGCCTGGCCATGGGCATGGCATTAATATGCTGCAACCAGGACGCGGAGGGGTAAATGTGGCTTACCCTGGACATCATCACATTCAAACTGGGATCCGTATAAACAATGTGCCTACGCAGCACAGTTATACACCTCACAAAGGTATTGTTAAAAGCAATAATAACGGAAATGGTACGTACAGATCTCACTAATTTGACTGAAAATGTATTATTGATTAAGAGACCTCGTATAGGTTTTTATCAATAAATTTAGGTAATAAGGAGAGTATGAACGCTAAGATCTCAGGAACTGTAAGAGTTAGAAAGTGGGATTAAGCATGAATGCCAGCGAATATCAAGGTAGTAAAATTATCTGGCCACGACCACTCTAACGCCCACATACAGCGAAACGCTTGAGTCGGATTCTTTACAGACTCTGAGACATCGATAACTGTACGTGATAGAAAGTTGGGGATAAGCAATGTCGAAAACTATAAGAGCTAAAAAATTAGGATACAGCTCAAACCGCGTCCATAATTTTTTTTTACAATTTATGTTGTCGTGGCGCTGCTTCAATTTCTGTTGCAATCTGAATAGTTTATTTTATATATGTATATACATACATATATATATATCAGTACACAAAGACGGATTTTCAAAAGAGTATGGATAGTTTGAGCCGGCTGGCGATATGTGTACATAGAGCAGGGGTGCTCAATATCGACTTTGCTTTCAGCTGTGCACTGAGAGAAGGAACATATTTTTTTGCTAGCCAATTCAACACTCATTTTACTGTCCGTCCAAATGCGAAATAAAGTCTAAATTGCAAACAGAAGATATAAAGAATGAATTCCAGTGCAAGTGTTCGAAGGTGTTACAGAAAAAAAACAAGAACAAATTATATTGCAGTTGGCGACGGAATGAGGCAAACAAAAATTTGTTAGTGTAAAATTGCCGCGACTTGGCTTTCAGATGCGCACTGAGAGAAAGAACATATTTTCTTGCTAGCCCTTATGGTACGAGCATTTATAAAAACAAATGAGAACTTAGAGGATAGGCGTTGAGCACCCCTGGTATAGATACTTTGGATACTAGTGGGTCCAAGTTTATTTCGTGCAAGTTTAAATTTGACACCACTACTAAACTAGCAAAGATATCAAAAAAATTAAGGCAGTAAAACAAAAATTCTTAACTACAAAACTAAATAAATTTTCATATTAAAACTAAAAAACGAGGAAATTCGGATTCGAATAAGACAATTTTCAGTTCATTTTTATTGGAAATATGGCTTTTCTGAATAGATTTGTATAAAATTTTTATAAGATTTCGACAAATTTCCGACGCCGGATGCAGCCATACAGGCTCCAAAGATAACGGGGCCAAAGCCGTGGTTAACCGTTGCTTTTATGTTTTTTGTATCTACATATGTACATAGCTCTGTATTGGGGCGCTGCCAAACATAGTTCCTCCCATCGGACCCAAATATGTTAAATTCGGATTCGTCCGCAAATATGACGTCGTTACCGAACGAAATCGGACGAGTTTCGAAAACTTATGACATATGCTTTTGTCAGTTTAAATATACCATTATTAAGGAAAAAATTGATTTAACATTAAAGTAGTTGCACGAAATAAGCTTGTGCGCCAGAATTTCCTTATTGTTTTAGTTTTTGTATGAAAACTTATTTCGTTTTTTAAATTATTATTTTAATAATATGCGAGATTCTTAACATTACTGTCTCTTGTCGTTATATAACAATCTAAGTCGTTTGTCTCATTTGTAGCGCTTATTCTTTTTAAATTTCCATTTTTCATTTTATTGTACTTAACTATATTTATAAAAAATATTTTCAGATGACCACCACAATTACGACAAACATCCCAACGAGGTTGTAAAAAACGAAGAGCTAACATACAATAGTGGCACAGCATCAACAGATCGGCACATTTTAACTACGTGGAAATGGTTCTTGACCTTCATCCCAATGCCATCTTTTCAATCTTGCTGTTTGTCTGCGTATTGGATAAACTCATATTTAGTATTAAGCATTTTTTCAATCCTTGGTTTTCACTATCTGGTTGAAAACGTGCTGCAAACCACGATTCCGTGGTATGGATCTATAATGATAGAATGCAGTCCAACAAGCTTATTTGTCTCCACATCCAATACTGTCATAATTGATAGGTAAATTTTAAATGAACATCAGGTTTTTTTTTCCTGTTTAGCATTTATTGCTAATGAATATTAATATCAATCGATATTTTTTATCACCTTACTCCAAGTATGTTTATATTGAAAGTGTTAAATGGAAGTGGAATGGAAAGGTTGGAATACTCGTACTTCCTTATATTGAGAAGAATGTGTAATTGCAATTGATGGGTTAGTCTTACTCGAAATATATTAATATAGATCACATAAAAAGGAGAAAGGTGAAATAGAATTAATAAGTAAAAAATTAAATATATCAAATACTTTAACAGTTAGATATAGCGGTGTAGTTATAATTGATATCGTTTAAGAAAAGGATGATATGATAGCTAATGCTATTTCGAAGATGATCAGTATACAAAGCACTTGCAATATTATCGATTGCATATACCACCATAAAGTGTTTAGCCACCGTGTGTACTGACCTTTCTTATAATTGTTTCTGTGTCCTGTCTTTGCAAAACCATTTAATGCGGTATATGTGCAGACAAAAAAATAGGCCCATTTGCAGAAATTATAAACTGATTTACAATTACAGCTAAAGCTTAAATATTTGACTGTCAGTTAAAATTATCATTCCGGCATTGACTTGTCTACGAAGGAAAGGAAATGTTCAAATTAATAGTAAAAATGTACGGCAAACAACAGATTAGCACGGCTTTGGAATGGCTTAATTTTAGAATTTACCTTATCTTTGGAATTCGGAAATATAAAATGTTAGAAAAACAAGTATATATTTAAACTTATTTGCTCCCCGTGCAAACATCTGTACGAAGGATATATCGACTGAAATTAAAAAAAAATTATTATTGCTTATTACAAAAGCGCATAGAAAATAATTTTAAAATAGACAGTATAATGCGATTGTGTAAATGTATTTGTGTAAGATCAAGTGAATTTGATGTATGTGTGTTTAGTATATTTAAAAGCGTGGTAGGTATTTTGAATATGGTAAAGGTGAAATTCAAAGAACTCAACTATAAGTTTTACGTTCTTTTTCGTTTATTTTTAAATTTAAGTTTACCTTTAAAATGATATAAATTTATTTTTAAAGTAACCAAGCAGTATAGAGAAGTGATTCTTAACATTTAAGAAAATATATATGTATATACATATAGAATACAATACACTAACTTATATACAAAAAATGATTAGGTGAAACGTTATAAACATTGTAAAATTAATATAACTTGACTAAAGTTTAAAAAAATAAAGAAATTATTTAGAAATCGCATAACATACAAAATTTGTGTAAAAATAAAAAAAATCAAATTTAGAGCGCGGTTATGTAAGCGTAATTAAAATTTAGTTCGATAAACGTGTTTCGATACCGTGGGCAAAAAATATCCGGCAGCTAGTTAACTATTTAAAAATCATTATTGAAGACATATTGTAAGCTGACTACATCCCAAAATCGAAAAATATAGTATAATATAAGATTTTGGGTTTGCTACACTTAAAATAAATATAATACTTTTGTTTGTATTTAGTGTAAGCTTTGTTATCTTATACATGTTTAAAATTTTTTTATAACCTGTGCTAGTTTATCTACTGCAATGCATCTTTAAGCTACTTAAATTCTATAAATTTCTACATATTTTAAACTCTGGGCGTAATTTTATTCTTGTACTGCCACAGCAAACCTGAAAACTAAACCGAATTTATTATGATCCAATGGTAAAAATCGAAATTTAGATTCAGTCCCATTCTATGAGTAAATACTATGAGTAAATTTTGGATTGCTCTACTTAGGCCTGTATCCAGGACTTCCTGTCAATGTGTTGACAGCTTTAAAAGCTACGAAATATTTATATATTTAATCTTAAAAGCTGTTTTTACTTTGAACGGATACAATTGGTGCGGACCTAACAGTAATTTATTCAATTACTTAATATCATATTTACAAGCACCATTACATACCACATACAAAACTTACATAGATTCATACAATAGAACCATAACTAATAAGACAGGAGACAAAAATAATATAATGAATCGATAGAACAACACTCGTGCAACACACAATTTATACATACATACATATGCGACCAGTCTTTTATAAATTTAGTGGTGTAGATTGCCCATAAGGAAATATGTATTTTACTAGCATTCGACCACAGCAAACGGAGAAGGGGATGTTCAAAAGTTTATTTTACTCTATCTCACCTCCCTATCCCCGTCCTGAGCAATGCTTTCTTAAACAATAACAAAGCGCATTATGTTTGCATTATGAGCTTTAAATTTCTGATTTTTTAATTTTTAACGTTTTGTTAGAGGAATGTGGCATAAGTGCAAACGCAAAAGTGTCTTTATTTATTTGTTCATTTGAATAAAATTTCATTATTGAAATAAATTTTAATTTTAGCAACTATTGTGTATGTTTTATTAAAGAAATTGTGTACAAAATGATGTAGTGAAAAAGTGTACAAATTCAGCATTAATTATTTATTTTGATTAAATTTTGTTACTGAAATAAATTTGAATTGTAACAAGTAAATAGTTAATTATGTTTTTACAAAGTCAATTGCATTATAATATTACTAGGTGTGCCGCTGAAATACGTATTATCGTATACAAAAAGCTTTTCAAATAAATTATCGATCTTTTTTTGACTACATGATGCACAAAATATCTGTTTACCTTTCTAAAACATAAAACCATTGCAAAAACAAAGCCGATATTAATGTATATGATTTAATATTATTGAAATGAAGAAATTGTATGAATTGTGTGCAAGACATAGTATGCATTTGTATTTATATGTTACTAAGAAACGAGTATAATGTAGTTTTTAATAGTATATTGTTTAAGGAGTATTATAAGTCAGAGCCATACAAAAATGATGTATGAGCATAACAGATAGCCAAGCGCGAAATAATAAAGCATTTTTGGCGTAAAGATGATAAAATGTATTATTAAAAATAAAATAATTTTGAATTTACATTTAATTACAACAGTATTGTTAAAAGCAATAGTAACGGAAATGGTACGTACAGATCTCACTAATTTGACTGCTGAATCTTCCCTACATATGACACAGTTATGTGCTTAACTTAAACCCTTTCTATATCTAAAGTCTCGAATAGAGTCTTTAAAAAGGGGTAGTGATTCAAATTTACGTAGGTCGTTAAATATGAGCTAAATAAAAAAGAACTGGAATTGTCTGTTGGAGGCAGAGTCAATGAAAATTCATTATTGATTAAGAAACTTCGTATTAGTTTTTATCAATAAACTTTATGCACGGCTAGTTTTGATTGCATAATTATCAAAAGTTAAGTAAGTATTAGGTACAGGGAACCGTTTTCGGTCATTAGCTAAGATGATTAAACTTTTACGTCTATACTTATGAACGCTGAGATCTCAGGAACTATAAGAGATACAAACTTAAGAGTACGCAGCGCAAGTTTATTACAGCATCCTGCCACGCCCATTCTAACGCCCACAAATCGCAAAACACTAAAATTGATGAAATCTCATGTACTATTGGAGCTAGAAAATTGAAATAACCTTTAATAATCTTTAGATGCCAGCGCATCTTATAGTGGTACTACTATCCGGCCACACCCACCCATACGCCCACAAGGCTCAAGAGACGGTTTTCGGATTTTCTAGAAAAGCTGATATCTCGGTAACTATAAGAGATAGAAAGTTCGGATTAAGCATGTAGTTTGTATGATGCTCCCAATGCGAATTGTTTTATTCCGATCAAGCCACGCCCATTCTAACGCCTACAAAACCCAAAACCAAAAATGCAAAAATCTCGAAAACTATAAGAGCTAAAAAATTTTGCTCAGGAACACGTATTTAAGAGATTCCTCTGCAACTTGCCACGAAGTTGCATCTAGCCACGCCCACTCTAACGCCCACAAACCGCGGAAAACTGTGGTGTCTATAATATTATTATGAATGCCTTCGTTTGACCTTGTATAACTTATTGTTAATATCTATCGATTTACCAAGGATTTTTCAAATCGAAACTTTATTTCGCTATTCATAAAGAAATTAAGGTTATAAGGCCTCACATGGGCAGTGACGTCACTATAAGCATACTCAACATACTTCCTCTGACAATAGGTTTTAAAATTGTGTATAACAGTAACGGGTATCTTATAGTCGCTGCACTCGACTATAGCGTTTCTTCTTGTTATTTTTATGCGTCTTGTCACGCTCGCTAAACCGTCTACGAAACGGGAAATCCCACAAACTCTGAAACCTCGGGAACTATGTATAAGAGCTAGAAAGGTAGGATGAGGCATACGTATTCTAGAGATGCAACCGCAGCTCGAGGTTAGCCCTCAAACCGAAGAAAACTGTGGCGACCATAATTTTAAAATTTGTGTTGTCGCTTGACCGTGTATAACATTTTTTTTTACAATATCTATCTGTTTCCAAAATGTTTTCAAATTGGAACATTAAATTTCACAATTTGTTAAGAAATGAGGCCTCACATGGGCAGTGACTGACAAAAGGTGGCGCTGTTACTTGAGGATTAACACTTTTTTACAAGTTCTGTACAACTATTTCTTTAAAGACATCTTAAAAATCTTTAACTTTTTATTTTATGTGTGAATTTTGTTTACAAATAAATAAGAGGAATGCAAAAATATCGGTGCATTGAAAAGCATCGACAACCGTAAAGTTCCATTTTTTCCAAGAAACTCAAAACAGATTAAAAAAAGAGTCTGTAAACTGTTTCTTAACAGTATCAATCTAGTGTAAGCTTAAGTTTTGACTTTAATTCCCTCTCATTGCAACATTTTGTGTATGTATGTATGTTTTTGCAATCATTATTTAAGCACATTCTATATAATAGCTAAATTTTTTTAAAGTGCCCATTAAAAACACCTAATTTTTTTGCATTCAAAGTAAAAATATGTAGATTAATTTCGCTATGTAAGCAATTTATTGACATACTGAGCGTACACTATTAATTCCTATGCTCAAGTTTCCTTCTTATGCTAAAAAGTAGGCATTCTCTAACATTATAATCTTTTACATTAGCATAAATAATATTCTGTCGCAATGCTTGTGTACGAGGCATCAGTGTGCAACTGGTTCCTTTGAACAAAATACAAAAAAAAAAATTTCACAGAACAATGTCGCGCAGCCTCCTGGAATACGAAAAACCCACCACCACTCAGACTTTTTGACCATGAATTTGTCCAATTATGACTAGTACATCGTCGGTCACCCGAAGTAAACGCATTTATATCAAGTGCTTACTCTGTAAAGCTTAACCATTCTTCATAATTGTATGTAAAATATACTAAGTTTTTGAAAATATGTACACAGATTTGTATGGATGCATATGTACATATATAAAAACTCAAGTACATAAAAAAACTAGGATTTTGAGCCTTTACATAACATATGTACATATTTTCAAAGTAAAGAGTGACGTCAAAATGCAGGTTTGCTGGTCATAATTCCAAAGTGTTTACATAGGATGCTGAGGAGGAACTAGGTTTAGTTTTGTTTATTAGTATAATAGGAAAGAACGTGATGTAAATTTGTATTTATTTATGTGAAAACTTTATAAAGAATTAATTAGTTAATAAAGTATTTGTTAAAAGAGGATATGAGAGAAAAGCGCTGTTTTTAAATCCTTTTAAATTTCAAAATGCTATTATGAAAATCAAACTCTTACACACGAAATACTTAATCCAAAAAACCCTAATATATAGTGCCTTGTTTGATGTGAAATTGCATAGTTTTTCTTTTTCCATCAAAAACGCAGCAATGGAGCTCGCTTTTTAAATTTGTTGTTATGTTTTGAATGATAAAATAGTGTTTAATACAAAATAAAAACTTAAGTAAACCATTTTTTACTCTCATATTAAGAAAAACATGTATTTAGTTTATTTTTAATACCAAAGATGTTAGGAGCCTTCACCCGCAATGAACATAACGATGAACTATAAAGATTATAAATTAGAAATCCAAAAACAAAAAAGAATTTCCCTACATTACCGATAATATCTGAAGAAAGAATGCCGAAATGTATGCTTAATTCATTTTATGTTGGTATTAAAAAAAAATTAAAATTAAAAAGACTATAAATGCTAATTGAGACAAAAACATTTCTTCGTTAAAAAATTTATTTTGTAATTATTTATTTTCAGTGTAATCGAATAGATTAAGATAAAAGGAGCTTGTCATGTCATGGGAGAGCATTAATTCAAAGGATCCGTTTAGGTATTAAATTATATTTATTTTAGATACATATAAAATGTTATATTTACTTTTAGCATCCCTCCTAGCCAGAATCTGTCTGCAACACATTTACTTACATCGCCTGATGGATCTCGTTTCCCATTGGAAAAATCAAACGGTTTGAATATCAAACAAACATACATATATATGTACATACATATGTGTTTCATTTACTGAAAAGAAATTATCCTAAAGTCCGTTTTCTGGAGCGCTAGTTATAAAACAGACCGAAAGAGCCGTCGACCAGAAAAACGTTTCGTAAAAGCAAACGAGAAATATACCAAAAAAAATAAGTGTGTTAGGGAATGTTACCTATATATATTTTTTTAAAAGAATTATAATATGTAGTTTCAATTTAATGCTATTATCTATAAGCTGGAATCACAATTCTGGAGTTCGGTGACTGAAGTTGTTTGTGGTGCCTAAAAAAAACAGAAATCTATTTGTAAATCATTCTCGCTCATTCCTGTTAGTGTTTGGTTTTCCAATGCGTGTTGAAGAAGCTAGATATCTGTCTTTATTCTTAAGAAAATTAAGTATTGTATTTCATATTCATAGCGTATTAGTTCGCAAGATTTTTTTAAAATATCCGTTCCAAAAAAGAAGATGTGCTTTTTTGGTGCTGTTGTACTCCATTTTCATTCTAATTACTTATCTAATCTGTATAACCTTTTAGAGGAATGTGATATTGTATTAAGAATAAGATCTTAGGTAACATATGCGACAGTCAGGTTTCCGTCCATAAAAAGTCAATAATCAAGCCGAAATAGCTATGCCTACCTGTCTGTAGGTATTAATTTAAATATAAATATAAATATAAATATAAATATAAATATAAATATAAATATAAATATAAATATAAATATAAATATAAATATAAATATAAATATAAATATAAATATAAATATAAATATAAATATAAATATAAATATAAATATAAATATAAATATAAATATAAATATAAATATAAATATAAATATAAATATAAATATAAATATAAATATAAATATAAATATAAATATAAATATAAATATAAATATAAATATAAATATAAATATAAATATAAATATAAATATAAATATAAATATAAATATAAATATAAATATAAATATAAATATAAATATAAATATAAATATAAATATAAATATAAATATAAATATAAATATAAATATAAATATAAATATAAATATAAATATAAATATAAATATAAATATAAATATAAATATAAATATAAATATAAATATAAATATAAATATAAATATAAATATAAATATAAATATAAATATAAATATAAATATAAATATAAATATAAATATAAATATAAATATAAATATAAATATAAATATAAATATAAATATAAATATAAATATAAATATAAATATAAATATAAATATAAATATAAATATAAATATAAATATAAATATAAATATAAATATAAATATAAATATAAATATAAATATAAATTTAAATATAAATATAAATATAAATATAAATATAAATATAAATATAAATACGGTCAAATCAGTACCGTTCTATCAAGTTTCAAAAATTCATTGTAGATTATGTTCTCGAGTGTGTCTTCTTTTAAGAAGCAATATACAGTTGTTGCTCAAGCATTAGTTATTCACAAATTATTTGTCTATCCAGATATACTTTAAGAATTATTAACTATCTTGCAGAATTATGCCAATTAGATGAGAGTTTTTCCCGATTGGCGGGATATGGGTCCAGTCCCGACGTAGGATCCCGTTCCGTCTGGGCTAGTCAAGGACTTTTACCATCACGATCTGTTGTAAGTTGCTTTTTGTCCTGCCAACAAAGCTTAAAGCAATATATAGCTAAACGAAAGGTATATTTCTTTCATATATAGTATACATATAACGAGTATTAGTGATCTAGTCCATTTGTCTCCAGATTGAGAGAGGACGACGTCTATATGAGCAAAACAACCAAACAGAGGCTGTACGCACATGGCGTAGTGCATTGAAAGGAACCTGTCAACAAGAGGACTCCTTTCAGCTTTTGGGGTACTTATACCAGGCCCATATGGACTGGGGGAAGTTTCGTGAGGCTATAGAATTTAGTCACCAGCAGCTTGGGTGAGTTTACTTAAGCTTTTATTCTAACCTTTAAAGAACGTAGCGAATGTTTAGTATTTCCCTATAAAGCTTTTATATTTCCTCAAGATAACCAATCGAGAATGTCGTTTGGCTGATGTCCGTTTTTGACATAAATAATATAATATTTGATTATTTTTTAACCAAAATTTTTCATTTTATAGAACGATATTTATTGAATTATAAAATATAATTTCCTTAGAATTTCAGAGGAGCTAGATTCCCCAAATATGCGAGCTGAGACTTATTTAAATCTCAGTAGAGCACATGCATGCTTGGGAGGCTTAGAGCGGTCCCTGAGTTATGCAAGGCACTCACTTTACAATGAGTGCGGCACCAAAATCCGAAGTGGACTTGTACATTTGACGGTCGCTCGCGTGTACCTTGAAATGGGCGGATTTTCCAGAGCATTAGAGGGATTGCAAGGTGCTTACAAGATTGCTACAGCCATTGAAGATCCATCACTAGAGTTACAAGTTTATGTCGCACTGTCTGAGCTTTTTGGACGTCTTCAGGATAACGATAAAAGTGCAACATACGCTTCTAAAGCCTACGATTTATCTCGCTCTCTCCAATTAGGGGACCTTAACTCAAGCCACCATAGAGCTGCGCTATTGCGAATGGCAGTATCTCTTCGAAAGCAGGGCGAGCTTGGAGATGCACAGGATTATTGTAAGGTTGTGTTAAACTTATTCATGCAATCAACTTCAGAGGTGTAAACTATTTTTCTATTTCCAGGAAGCCACAAAACTTTCGCTTATATCTGGAGATCAAGCCACTTACACAAGAAGTATTCGCATAATGGGTGACATTTACCGAAAAAAAATGGAAATGGATGTAAGTAATGTTGCTATGAATTACAATTAAACTTATATATACACATATTTAAATAGCTTTAAAATTGTTTTAGGAAAATAAATTATATAAAATTTGTATCCATAATCTTGTCTATTATTATACCTGTTACTTGTAGAGCATAACGTATTTACATACGTACATACTTACATGTATTACAAATACCGTCTACTAACTGCTGAATACGGCGGTCTATCCCAAAAGAGTTAATTAGATCTGTGCACTTCGTAAAACACATATTTCAGTGTCTGACTCATAATACTAACAAAAAATTTTTACATTACCACCGTCGCAACGGGAAAACCATTTAGATAAAATGTTGTTCCCAAACTACTATAAGAAAACCACCATATTCTATTAATTTTTCATAAAATATATTTCCTAAGTCTTTAATTTTTTTATGTAGCGCAACCCAAAATACCTTACAAACTTTAAGAAAAAAAATTTTCAATTTTTTGACCCCCATTCTCGATTTCAAAATTTGACGATTTTCAATGGGCTGGTAAACAATAATACATATATATTTTTTTTTTCATTAAACGAAGGTATTATTTTCGGCGGCGCAGTGATTTCCGCTCACTGGAACGTCTGAAACAAAAATTCCAAAGGGATTAGGAAGAGTACATGTTTGGCTCTGGTATGAACTAGGATTATTAATCTCGCACAAAAATTACCAAAATGACAGACCTTTAAAATTAGTATTTTTTTAAAAAAGAAAAAATCTTCACCGATTTAATTTATCCGTGTTCATACCACAACTATATAAGTATAGAATAACGTATTAAAGTTTGGGGCAAGTCGTAAAAATACTGTTTCGAGAAAAACACATTTAAAGATTTGAGAAGCTTTCGCCGTCGCTTGACGCTTCCACCACAAATCGGCTTTATCTTCAAAAGTTTTAAAAAAATTCATTCGAATTAAATAAAAAAATCAATTTTTTTAAACCGAGAATGAAGGGGTCTTAAAGTCCATTTTTATTAACTAATTACAATTCCTACCTCATTTTATAACTTATTTATGTACTGTTTACATAAACGCGTTTTTTATAACAATTTTATGTTCTTATGAGATTCATATTATATAATTTCGTTTCGTTGATTTTTATATGATTTGCTAAATTTTTATAGTTTGTTGATTGTTCCTGATGTACTTAGTTGTAATTATGACGTCAACGAAGGAAAAAAAATTATATATTACTCTTACCAAAAATATATATATATAATAAAAATTTTATTTTAGCGTGCATTTAGGCAATACGAACAAGCAATGGGTACGTCAGCAAGCTTAGGTGATCGTATGTCTCAAATGGAAGCTATGGATGGAGCGGCTCGTTGCCTGGAAACACTGCGCGTTCAAAATAAGATTTGCAACTGCAGGCCACTAGAGTTCAACACACGACTTCTAGAAGTTGCTAGCTCCATTGGAGCCAAGGTAAAAAGTATAAAGAAAATTATTTAAACAGGAAGTAGAGAGATATTTATTACATATAAATCTATTACCAGTTAGTAGCAGATATTAATTTAGAACGAAAACCAGCAAGCTACGAAATATAAAAAATAGCTTTAAAATTTTTTTTTTCTATTTTAATAGCTCCACTTTTTGTGAGAAAAAACACGTTTACTACTGTACGTTAGGAAACTTCACTGCCCATGTGATGAGGCCTTATAACCTACATTTATTAGTAAATCGCGAAATAATGGTTCGATTAGAAAAATCGATAGATATTGACAAAAAAATGTTATACACGGTCAAACAAAAACTTACATTTTAATATTGTGGACGCTACAGTTTTCCTCGGTTGAAGAAATGTTGTGAACTAAATATTTAAGTTGTACACGCACTTATCAACCTTAAAACTCATAGTCGGAAGGAATTGCGGAGAAAAAATACATGGAATACTATCCAAGTTTATCATTGAGCCTAACACAACAAAGATTAGGAATAAAATCGATCGTAGTTTTTTTGACACGTACAACTACAACAACTTTAGTTTAAATATGAAGAAAAGCCAGTAAGGAAGTTTACATGTGAACCTCGACACACCATTGGGAGAATGCAAAAATCAAAAAGAATAAGAAAAATTCCGGATAATTAAAAAAGAGAAATTCAAATATTGTGCGTTTATTGAGTGTGATAAAATTTGTTTATAAAACTCCAAGGACATATTAATCAAACAACATTTTTTGTTCAAACTTATGATTGAATGTTTTAAGGTGTCAATATAAAGCCACTGTTGGCTAGTGTGAAAGCGACGTTAAGTCAAAGAGTCTTTTGTTTGAAATGTTAACCAACTTATTTTTCTGAACTCGTTAAATTATTGTCGTGTTTGAAAAAAGTTAGGTATGTCCGATGTACACTCTATATGATCTATATTTCAAATGGTGGTCGGTTCTGTTATGGTTTTCAAAGTCTGAGATTTATCAAACAATAACTTTAGACAATGAAAAAGTTTAAACCTACGTTGTTTTTTTATAGTTTCTGGTTCGCAAGATTCGCTGTCGACTAGCACTCATCTACCGTGCTTTAGGCGATGAGGAACAATACAACACCCATTTTCGTTTGGCCAATCAAACGGATGCTGCTTTAGGCCTGAACTGCGGTGCATGTGGGGAGTTGTTTGGACTAAGGCCGGAAAACTTGGAAGCTCTACCATGCGCACATATTCTGCATGCAAGGTAAATTTTCATTCATTGTATTTCGAAGAATTTTAGTTAAATAAAATCTAAGTGCTTTTTAAAACTTGGGATATATATATTTACTATTACATTTAAATATTTCGTATTATTTTTTATTATATCTTATGTGTTCATTTGCAGATGTGCCTACGAAATATTAAGACGTCGGGATAAAAATGCGTCGAGATCATGTCCCGCCTGCAGCAAGCTGGTAAGCTCTCGTACGCATCTTTGCGGCATCGTACCGGTTGAGGGTGAAAGTACCAACGGAGTCGCGATTGCCCTTAATGCTAATGCTCTGTCAGTCGATGGACTCTTGGGCATAAATTCAGACGTTCTATTACCTTCGACAACAATTTGCCATGTCAACAAACCGGCACTGGTTACCGAAAACAGCAGTTTATTGTCACCCAAAGTCATACACCACAGCAACTTATCTCTGGCTTCATTAAGTATGCGTGCATCTAGCCTGACGATTGACAGCGGTCAAAATATAACATCATCTGTTTAAAATGTATATGCGGATTGGTTGTGGTGTCGACATTAAGCAAACCAAATTCCAGTATCACGGTCAAGATTTTATTCCTAGTTATTATAAATAGATACTTAGTCTTATTTTAAAAGTAAACAAATGGTAACAGCACTTTTGTGGGGACCAACTTAAGCCCGTTTTATATAGTGGCTTAATGCTGGAACCTAATTTATTATTTAAGTCTTCACCTCTCCAAGCCTATTACTTGTTAACTTCTTGAGTATAGTTAAAGTTTTAGAATTACCAAATATGCACTAACATTATATGTATAAACCAAAATAAATCGTTACTATGTGTTAAATACATTATTAAGAAGAATCGCTTTAATCGGTATAAGTCATTATCAAATTTGTCGCCGCGTATAATTATATTCGCCTCACATATTGTTAATATCATTAAAGTACATACTATGTATGTATGTATAAACTGACGGTGACGCCACTGTCCTTATACCATAAACTAGGGAATATTTTTATAATTTGTTACTTATTATCAAATTAAGGTACCAATGTCACCGTAACAAACGACTAATGTTGTCAAGGTATAAGTTTCTTATAGACAAATGTTTTTCAAATTCTTTATCAGAGTAAAACCGGTGTCTGGTAATCGTATTCCTTTTTGTTAGTTCTCAATTTTTGACATTTTTAGTTTTTAAGACCTCGAAGTATGTTGAATATGTTTTTTTTTTATCTATTATCAATATTATTTAAACCCTATAGTCGAATGCCACGGCTATAAGGTACCCCTTACAGTTTTAAACAAATTTAAAGTTCGCGGCACGCGAGTATAGCTTTGTTTCTTGTTTTGCTAGTAAAAATGGACAAAGCGCCACCTTTTTACAGGAAAAGCATGTTGAGTAAGTGATGGTGATGTGAGGCCTTATAACATTAATTTCTTAATTAATAGCTAAATGGTGTTCCGATTTAAAAAAATATTTGGTAAATCGATTGATGTTACTTAGAATTATTATAGAAAGTCAAACGTAGACATACATTTTAATATTATGGACGGCACCATTTGTCGCGGTGTGTGGCCGTTAACATCGTTGGCATCTTAACACTTTTAATTATTCGTCTCTTGTGGGTGTTATAGCGGGCGAAGCCGAATGAAAATGCCATTTCGAGCTGAGCTGGCATCTAAGAATACGTAAGCTTGATTAGAGTTAGAGTTTGCGTGCCCACTATATGGATAATCTCAACTTTCTATCACTTATAATTACCGAGATCTCAGCGGTTCTACAAAAAGCGAAAACCGATTTTCACTGATAGGGGGAGTAGGTGTGGCGTGGATTATGGTACCACATTGAAATGCGCTGCAATCTCAAGGGTATTCATGCTTAATGCCAACTTTCTAGCTCTAAAGCATAGTTCCTGATATTTCAGCTACTTTCGTTGATTGTGCACTGCGTAGACATTTGAAGAATCTACAAACTAATGAATTATTTCTAATAGTTCCTGAGATCTCAGCGGATAGTCGGACAGTCGGATAGACGAACAGATGGACGAGCAGACGGACAAGGCTTAATCGATCTGCCTATTGATCTTTATTAAAATATATGTATGTACTTTATAGCAGGGATACTGACATTTGTCTTACGTCTGAGCATTTCCTAAAACAAATACCCTTTTTGATACACTTTTTTTGCTAACCAATTTATCATTTATTTTAACACTATAACGACGATGGTCCACTGAAATGTGAACTCTAAATTGTAAACAGAAGTTATAATGAATTAATTCCATTGCAAGTGTTCGAGAATGCTCCAGGAAAAAACAAGAAAAATGATATTGCAATTAGCGACGGAATAAGGTGGAATATGTGGAATAGCTAGGCGAGCACTCAAAACTTATGGGTGCGAGCTATCGCCTCAGAAATTACCCTCGGAGGTTCCCCATCGAAACCCCCACGGGAGTCAAACATCTAGCAACCAAATACTTTGTTGGCAACAAGTGGCCAATTACACAGAAACATCCGGGCGACTCGGTAGGCGCAGTCGGTAGGATGCCAGTTATCTTGAAAGGATCATTCGTCTTTCAATGCTTAAATGCTTACATGTAATTTATGCTGACCTTGCGAAATCGAATTTAAATTGGAGTGGATGCTATGTGGGGTTTAGATCTGAAGTGGCCCCGATGTTTGTGTTTGGTTGGCAACTTAATTACATATCATACAATTCGGTACGAGTAACCGATATAAAAAATATGATGAAGTGAAGTGATGCATCCTCTCTCTTTCTGCACCTTTGTGCTATCTATACCTATACCTACCTTATGATGCCTATATTTTTCTGGCACATCAAAATACTAAACAAATTATTTTGCCTTTAATTTTTTTATTGCATTGCTTGATTTTTACATAAATACTTAAATTTGTAATGTGCCTAAACATGACTACCCTTCCTTCGCAGTAGGTTGGAAAAGTTTAATTAAACTAAATTGACTAGCATACATTGAGAGGTGTATCTTAAGAACTAATTTTTAAATTATATTCTACATATATTAACATAATGCCTGCCATAATAACATTTGATTATTGTTTAAAAAATTTTATCGTGTTGGGTTATCCATTAAGAAAGCAGGCTGTTGTGCAATATCTGCATTCAAACTTAACTGGAAGGGTCTGTAGATTATTAAATGTATATACAATGCCCTATATTTATAGTCCGATTTATAATACTTATATTATTTGCTATTTTAAGCCTCTGACATATTCACAATTAAAGAAGAATACTTCACTCGTATTATTTTTTTCTAAACAAAAATTTAAAAATAAAGGTTATTTTTAATATTATTAAATAAGGATGAGTATGCTAGTGGAATAAAAAATTCCATAATATTTGAATGAACTTTGTAAATTAAATTTTTTTTATCTTAAAAAATTCTCTAGATACAAATAATTTGACATTAATATTAACGTTTATCCCTCTGAAATTGTGTTTCCCAATAGGCATTTTGTTACTCGATCTAAAATATCTAAATTCATACACATTTCTGTTTACAGCTTAACCAATTGCCTAGGGCAAATTGTTTTTTTCTGCCACTAAGGTAACGTTAAATATATTTTTTAAATTTATATTAATTACATATAAAAAGAACATCAGCATAAAGCTTAACTGATAGACTGAATATATTCAGCGAGCGTTAGCTACACTACATTTTGTAATAAAAAACTTTAAAGTAATTTTTTGAATTTGTTTATAAATTCCTACTATATTTCCGTAAGGGTTGATTTTAACATCGTAATCGGCAATTTATAAAATTGTTTTGTAGTTTCTTTAGACAAAAGCGTGGAAGTAAATTGAAGCAGTTCAGTCCTGACGTATCCACAAAGCTGCTTTGCTGAACTGCATAATTAATTAAGTCAAGTCACTCAGTTAAACTTTAAGAATTGTGAACAACGACACTAAATCATAATAGGTTATATAAAGTAAAAGCTGCCCAAAAAAAGTAAAAGTTAATCACGAATTTGTACAAAGTAGACGGAGTTAATAATTATTTATGGGCAATAATAATAGGTAACACAAAAATGTCAATCATCAATACATCAAGAACGATTATGGAGTATGAAAAAGTATTTTACTCTTTCAGCTATAACGAAGTAGATCATTTTGGCAAGACTGTTTCTGAGACAAATCTCGAGTATTGGATAGGAACTGCATTTCCTTGTACTTACAATTTAAACTATTTAATATCGGCAGCCGAATTTCCAAATTAAGGACATTACATTTTGAATGATGTTATGACAATTAGACCCGATTTTAAAGCTGAAGTTGAGAATATCAAAATGACACGATCTTTTAAATTGAAAGTGCAGTTTACCGTTTTCTAAAAGAGTTCACCTCTATAACAGATGTCTAATGATAGAAATGTTGTGAAATAAGTTAAAACCGTTAAACAATCTCAAAAATGTAATTGATTTATAATTGTGATTAGGTTACGATTCCAAATCTCTAACGTGAATTATAGATACAAATTTATTTACAAAAGTATTTGATAAAGTTACTTTTGAGACTCTGAAAATATAAATGTGTATTTTCTATTCCTATAAAATATAAGAACCTTCATTTTTTTAAATAAAAGCAGAAACATTTCTGTGCTCAGCAGACAATCATCACCTTCAGGTCATCAAAAGTATTAGAGATACCAATATCATTATTTAAGATATTGTCCTCCTGCTCAAGAACTTCTGGACGAAAGCTGTGATTTATTACAATCTTTTCATTAAATAACCGTCTAGCTTGAAGCAAATGGTCGGATGGTGCCTCAACACGATCATGGCCATAGCCACCGTCGGAATAGCTACCATATTCGTTTTTCTTTCTAATAATGCGTTGGATATTTATATCCATTGCTTTCCTCAATGGAATCATGTGCGTACGAAACTGAGTACAAGTGCGGTCGCAGTGGCGCATTCTTGAACATTTGTCCACTGACTCCATAACCATTACTTTTGTTTTGTTAAATTTTTGATGTCTATTTTGGTTATGCTGTCACAACATTTCGCCGTTTGCGTCATTGGTATCTTCTTGATCTTCTGGGTCCACCAAATCAAAATCGTGACCTTCCAGCTCTAAGTCCATATCTGCGCCTTCGTCAAAGGCTCCAAGGGGAGACATGGCTGTTGTATGGAGATTTGAGAAGTGTTCATGCGTTAAGCTATCACTGGTAGCCTGATTAGGATTGTGATTGTGGCTCTGACTATGAGTCTGACTCTGATTCTGGTCATCTTCTTCCTCATGCTCGTCTTGATGTTGTTGGCGGTTATGCGTCAAATGAATAGTGTTCTTGGTGTCATCATCCCGCCACTTATCCATCGATCGCCTACGGGCGTTCATAAAAAAATTACCCACGGTAGTAGGTTCCAGACCCAGCTGCCGCGCTATCGTAACCTGCATTTCCTTCGAAGGTCTCTTAGTCTCCTATGATGTAATAAAAGTATAAATTAATAGTAGTCTATATAATTCAAACCTCTCAAAATTTAAAAAAAACTGCTTGATACAAACAACGAAAATTTTTAAAAACTTTAGAAGAAATAGACAGTTTGTACGTACCTTAAAAATCGCTTGTAATGTTCGTCGCTGGAGATCGGTAAAGACTAATCTTGGCTTTTTTGGCTGAGGCATTTGTTCTATCTGAGGCTCTTCTTTTCGGCGACAATTCACGACGCTGGTAATAGAAACATTCGTGATACGTGTTGATGCAGATGAAGATACCGAATCATTGGGAAGAGCTGAGATTGTGACAGAGCGGCAGATGAACGACATTTAAGCAAAATAGAAAATGTTGTAAAAACCAACTATAAATTAATAATTTTAATTTGTTGGTTTTGGAAATAATTTACTGGGGTAATAAAATATCAGTTCGTACAAATAAACAAGAAGAAACGCTTAAGGACTATAAGATACCCGTTATTGTCTTATCCAATTTAAAAGTTTAAAAGTTCATTTTTCAGAAGAAATTGACTCAATGAATAGTTTTAAAAAGACAGAAAAATTATGCCTAATAACTGATGCTGACGTCACTGCCCATGTAAGGCCTTATAACCTAAATTTCTTCATAAATCGCAAAATCGCCAGACTCGTTGTTTTTAAGAAAAATGTGCACAATTGAGATAAGCAGATGTCTCCCTCTAAACGTGAAAAATATAAATGTATCAAACATAAACTTTTAGTTTAGTAACTTTTTTATAAATATACAAGAGTATATAAACTTCGGCATTACGAAATCACTTTTATGTGTTATTTTCATTCTTTCTTTAATTTTAAAACTTTCGTAAGCTCAATCAAAAGGAGCTGTTGATGCTGATCAAGAATTTACAGCTTCTATCGATAGTGATGTGTTTGTCAAGCTGGATATATAATATATAATATTTTCTGATGCAAAATGAAGATCATCATGTTAAGTTACACGATTGTGTACAATGTTGAATGTACACTGTAGGGATTTTGAAATAAGCTTTTTTATAGCTGTTCTCTTTAAAATGCGATTTAACTCCGCCTCAAATATTCATACCTGTGCCGTCCATAATATTACATTTTCAGTCTTGTTTTTCTCTAAATAATAATAAATCTGCTTATTTACATTATAAGGGTTCACAAGCGCCACCGTTAGTTATTGAATTGTACTTATATCGTCAATTTTTGTTATCAAAAATATTATGAAATTTATTTGGTTGGGTATCAGATAAAGGGTATAAGATGGTCGCTCCACTCGACTCCAGTTTTTTTTCTTGTTTTTAATATAATTGGTTAACTTGGTTTCAATTTACATTTCACTTACCCTTTGGGGTTGTCGTTGACCCACCGTGTGAGTCCAAGTCTGTTGACATAGCGGTTGCGGAACTATTAGATCCAGTTGCGGATCCCAGACCAATACCAGAACCCAAGGGTGCTCTCTGAGGAATTTGGGCAGCGGCCATCCGCAAAGCTGACATGCGCTGAAACTCGGGCTCCTGGAGCCACTTAAACATTCTGCGAAATGTCTCACGGCCAGACTTTAGCTTGGACCACGGCTTCGGATTGCGAAGCAAATCGGACAAGGTACCTTGCGAGCGACAGAGGACTCGTTGTGCGAAGATCGCCTGGGGAATACTGTATCGCTTGAGCTCAGCCGATATGCGCTGGGCAAGGTCTTTCGTGTTGATCTCCTCCATGTCACTACTGTTTCCGCTGCGGCTTGATCCCGCTCCTCCAGAGGCCGCTGGCGCCTTTGGAGAGGCAGAGACTACAGTCTTGACCTGCTGGCCGCCACCTTGAAATCCGTTCAGATGAATTGGTTGGGACTCCTGGTGGATCGCACAAACCGAGAGTGCGGAGCCCTGGATATTCGTGCTGCATTGATCTATTGTAACAGTGATGGTCTCTTGGCTCTTGTCAAGAAAATATTGTGATCTGTGCCCTGGAGACAATCGATCATTTAGCTTAAGACCGCCCACCGTATCGTCTGTTATGGGAGGCGGAGTCGGAGTAAGGGAGACAACCTCTGGCAGATCGGTGGAAAGACCAACAATGCTTCTGTTATCGGGCTTCCAATCATCCGCTTTCCAATCCGGAGGACAGTTTGGAGTAGTCGCAGCAACCTGTCGACTTAGGGGACCACGCTCAGAAGGCACATTAAGCCGAGTTCTACGCTCTGATGGAAGGTGAAACCGTTCATCCAGCTCAGGCGACATATGCAGCCGAACCTCGCGCTCCGGGGCCATTTGGATCCAATTCCTTTAAGTAAATGTAACATTGCCTCAAATTGAATAATTTAATAATTAACTCAACAATGTATACTTTCTCATATTGGAAAGCTTGTTTTTGTAACCTATAGTTATATCTGTTACTCGAAGAGTACAACGAATAATGTATTTGTTGAAAGTAATATTTGATTAACCTTCTATGGATAATTTTTTAAATCACACTACATAAGAACACAATTTATTACTGAGTAAATGTAAACATGGACAAAGGCCTCTAATCGATCGGTACATACAGATCAACAAATTCAGTAATTACCCCGGCAAGCCGAAGTAAATGCATTAGTCCAAAAAAAAATAAAATTATCTTAAGAATTTCGTAAATTACAACAATCTTAAACAAAACAAACCGTTCAAAAAAGTTACACCTTAATTTCAGACATATAAATCGGCTACACTTTAACCAAGACGGAGAACGATAACGAATAACGATATTTTTAATACTAGTTTCTGGTAGTACACATACGTTCTTGCGTTTGCTTCTGAACCGCTATCTCTTCCAGAGATATGCTCAGAATAAACGAATTTCTCTCTATTGACATCTGCATCTCTGCTATCTCCTCCAGATATGTGTTCAGAGTAAGTAAACTTCTCCCCGTTTACATCAGTATCGCCGCTATCCCCTCCAGAAATGTGCCCAGAGTATGAAAACTTTCCTGTATTACCATCGCAATGTCCCTGGGCGTGCCCGTGGGCTGATGCTGAGTCCTTTTTGTGCCCGTTATGAGATAGGTTAAGTTGTGATGAGTTACGCACACGTCCGGAAACCGACGCATGCAGATCGCACGACACCAGGTAGTTATTGGGCGGAGGTGAAATCATCGCAGACAGCTTTTCGTATGAGGAATAAGGTGATTGGACGCTGCCTAAAACGCCCATGCCCAAATGTCCACTTCCTATGGGCATGGTAAGGGTGGAGAACGAACTGCAGTCGTTATTACTGCACCCAGAGGAGCTCACATTGCCACTAGTGATTGAACTAGTTGTCACAGCCTCTGCCGATTGGTTACCGATGTCACTACTTTCAACTGCTCTTCCACCCCTCTCTCCACCATTAACATCCGTGTCGCGGCTGTCGCCTCCAGAGATGTGTCCTGAGTAGGCAAACTTCTCGGACATCGTTGATATAGGCGGCAGTGGTTGAATGGGGGTCAAGGTGGCATAAGAAGTCTGGCTGAAACCAGGCGGTGATAATCGATCATTCACCGAGGTTAGCGTTTGATATGAGCTAAGCAGCTGGTCTCGACTGCGAGAATCCCGTAGATCGTCGTCTTCATCCTCTACCTCCCCTTCCTCATCTCCATCCCCGTCCGCCACGACTTCGCCATCTAAATCCTTATCGCTGTCCTGGCCGTGGACAATAACCGATAGAATCTCCCCGTGAACTTCCTCAAGGCCCATTTCCAACTGAACTGATCTGTGCTGTAAGTCATGAAGCCCCTGCGCGTGAGCTTGGTGATGTTGATGGTGGCTAGTGAGACCGTATTGCTGCTGATGCCTTAGGAGCTGTTGGTGGTGCTGGTTCAGCGTAACCCCTTCGTCTTCACAGCCGATCTCATCAGATGAAATATTATCCAATTCGTCTACATCCGCTCTTATGTCTGAGTTTACGCTCGTCACATCTACGTGCATTTGAATACGCTTATGGTTTTTATTCAGTATCTTAGATTGGGCTAGAAGAAGCTTTTGCTCCTGCTTTATCATCATTTCTTGGGGAAGAACAGCTTGTGACATCGTGTCTACAGTCAGGCCATCCAAGCTTATATCGGACGAAACAAAATCTACTGGGCTGCTATGAACAATACGTTCCTCCTGTGTAGAGTGCCTATCTTGCTGGAGCAGCCCGAATGGCAAGGTCATTGTTCTAGACTGCAGCTGCTGAGGCACAATTTCATATGAAGTTTGCATATTGCTGTGGTCCATTGAGCCGAGTACCATGACAACAGAATCGGATCCAGATACAGAACCGGAACGGAGTTTCCTCTCTCCACTCGAAACTTCCATCCTAGGGCAGGAAATCATTGTTTGGATGGACATACCCATATCCTGACTGGGATCATTTGTTGCCTCTTGCTGTTGATGGTGCGACTGAGATTGCTGCTCTGGCCGGTGTCTCACAGTGATAAACTCTGTTGCATCCTCAACTAGATCCTGGCTAAATGTCTGGTGGTTAATTATTTCATTAATGGACTCCATTCCTTACAGATACAGCTTAAGTAAGCTAGCAACCATGTATATCTGCAAAGAAAGAATAAAAATTAATAACATGAATTTTAAGCCTGTCAAAGAATGTTTTTTATTATTATTCACGGACCTACAGATTACGAGTTGTAAGTATTAGGACATAATGAACATATAAAATAATACCAGTGATCACAAACGGTGTTATAGTAAGTGTATTAGAAATATAAACGTGTGTAAGGCTTGACTTCCGCATATTAGCAACTTTCAAAGTTCTTTTTTTTTTTGTTATTCGTTGCACTGAATATTATTTGTCGTTGCCATCGTCGCCGACCTTAAGGGTTGCTTTGGAAATGCACAAACATAGATACATGTATATAAGTATATTCTTGTGCTTACATATAAGCAGTAGACAAAGGGTAGGGGTTGCTGTTTTTTTTCAAATATTTAGCGCAGCTTATGGTTAAAGTGGCCTTAACGTTGAATCATATGATTAAATTAAGATTAACTTTTAACAACTTCTACCAAAATTAACGACCTTTTAGCTACATTATATTAAAACAGCTTTCGTCGATCCTTTTGCATTTAGAAAAATATTTATCTCAAACACTATTACAAAAATCTCACGGCTTTCTGACTTAAATGTCTTAATACCGGATATAGAAACCGCATAAATCTAGGCACAATATATAATTCGGAACTCTCACTTGTTAGTTTTTGGCTAAAACAAACTGAAGGAATACTGGATGCTTAAACACAATCCCTCTTATGTTTTCATAACTAAAACCCTTAGCTAGAAAATTATCTACGCAGGTACAATTATTCACACATCTACAAACATGTGGGTGGGTTTTCCAAGTGTATATTATGTGACCACCGCGTTCCCTAAATTCTCAGCCGCACGCGAATTATACCCAATTCGAACTGAACGGAGCCAAACCAAACAGAACGGAACTACAAATTTACGGTCATAACGCACCCCATCGGTAAGGGTTGCCACAGGCAGATACTGCACCACAAACCATAAACCCCACCCCTAAGTCCTGATCATGCGCAATGTGATAAAAGGAACTTGAAAGATAACTAAATTTCGTAAAAGCTTTCTTTTTTGGAATATTATTTTTGATAAACACTTACAAATCTAGACATTGAACAAGTATAACGAGTATTTATGTTTTTAATATGATTGCATATGTATATGTTATGTTGTATATTAAAAGGGTTAAGAATTATTATTCGATTCGTTCATTTGTTAACTGATTATAAAGCTTTAATACGGCAAAATTAGTTGGTTTCTAAATATATTGGATTGGAGTGGATTCAAAAAACACCCTAAGAGCTATTCCAACGTGTCAATTATAGCACAAGAATTTGAGTTTCAGGATAAATTCTCGGCTTTGAATTACCTTTTGGATTCGCCCAAAATACTAAATTAGAAATGGAATGGAATTGGGAAGTTCTTATTAGCTTAATTTCAATTCACCGCCCTCTTAATCCAATAAATTTTCAAGCGCCCAACACTCATCAGAAGCCAAGATCCAGTGATTCCTTCGCAACTACTATATTTGGTTCACCTCCAGCTCCAATATTTAAAACCCTGATGATTGTACAATTATATCAATGCCATCTGAATTACGTCTGCAAACTTTGTTAAGCTAGTTTCGAGTCCCGGCTTGCTTTTGATATTAAGAGAAGGACCGTCAACAAACAAAGACAGTTCCGAAAATTTTATTAATTCATTTAATGGTTAATCCATTTAATCATTTCTAAACACACGCTGTCGAGTGCAGATTTTTATCCTCCTCTCTACATTTATACATAAATTAAAAAGACAGATATTTTTTCTTTTGAGTAAACATCTAGCTGGCACAGCCAACTTTGCTATTACTCTGACCAAACCTTCGACTAATTTGAATCTCAAATATTTTGTTTATATCTATTTATAATTATAATTTACCAGCCGTATTCATAATTTTTTTAACCTAATGGAATAACTGATTTAAAAAATCTTTAAATTAATGTAGTAAAGTCTATCCCGATTAAGAGCCTCAATATCACCAGTTTTTAGAGTCAATCTTATCCCTTATCCCTACTCTAATTTTTTCCAAACTGACATATGTAACCATTAAGTTTTTGACCCTTATTATTAGAAACATGTCTATCAAAATATCAAAAAAACAAATTCGTATAGGTTATTGGCATGTCAACATATAGATTCCACTGACATAAGCTTTTCTAGCATAATGTAATTTAACCCGCATTGTAGAAGTGGCTGCATTTTAAACAGTGCACTCTTGGTTCTTTGTAAATATTTTCATTCACCTAAAAAAGGAAATTTCGTGAGAGTTAGAACGCTTTACATAGGCAGAGGTTGTACCTACTACCTACCAAGATACATAAACCTTAATGAAATTTTTTCCCCAACAGTGCAAGTAATTTTAATTCATGTTAGTTAAGGAAAGTGTTTATGCAAATTGCATAATGGCTAAAAATATATATACATCGTCAAAACAGCCACCACAACAAGGAAACCTTCATAAAAATATAATATTTTAATATTAGTAATTTTAAAAAGCCATAATGAATATTGTATAGTTCCATTTCAACGTTGCAATTGCTCTGTTAACCTTTTTGACGATACCTTGACTTATATAATTATAATATTTTTTATTCTTAGATATCCGCAGCCAATTTAAATTACTATCGATAAATAGTACCCTAACTACAAAACCGGATTAAAATAATAGCGTGAATATAAATAATACTAAAAGTTAATATGATGTTTGTTTAAAAATGTTTTCTTTGTTATTCCTAGTTTTTAGACAGAAATTATTCAAGTTTATTTCAGGAAGATTAAGAGTTGTGTACTACTATCCGCGGATGACTGAAAATGTGTTTAATAACAATGAAAAGCATAAAAAAAATATAATCTACCCTCAATGTTAATGCACTTGTGATTATTCCAGTGACTTAGCTATTGGAATAATAGTATGCTTAGAAGCATTACACAAAATCTCGAAATCTTGGTTAGCGTCCCTTTGGCTTAATAGAATACATACACACAATTAATGTGCCTATATATACAAACGTGTATGTATAAAGCAGCAGCAGAAAATGCAGGTATATCTGTATCAATGCAGGCCTGTATATAAATATACATATGCACATAATGCATTGTAAGTGGTAATTCTTAAAAATTGTGCATCAGCACACCTCTATTATTCTTGTCCTGTTTTTTAGGCTGTGTGATGTTATCAATGTTGGACAATTCGCATTATAGTGCGTCAAAGCAAAAAAAGTAATAAATACGAAATAAAACAACCGGAAACGACCTCAAAAAATTTAAAATGGGATATATCTGCTATCCTGTAATAAAAGGAAACGCAAAAGGCCACTTTATCGAACATGCCGCATCTTCCAAAAGTAGATTTACTTTCCTACAAAATAAAATCTTTAGCACACTTCACCCTGCTTTTAATAATCTTCAAGCACATATAAGAACGCGAAGCAGAATTGTTTACAGAATGTCATTATTTAGCATTATACTGGTTGTCTTAGTTTCGCTTATCTTAAGATTGGCGAAAGCTGACCAAGGTACGTATTGCCTAACAATATTTTGTGTATATAATCATAACATTTTAAACTTTCAATTTTCCGCAGTTGTACTGTTGGATACGACTAGGGAAGCTACATTGGAGTGGACCAGGTATCCGTATGGCCCCCAAGCCCAAACACCAGGGGTACGTAATACGTCAATTCTTATTCACGCTATGTGTAACCATCAAGTTATTTAGCATACGGATTTCCTCTGTATATTATCGAAGACATTTTAACGCTGCCAAAATCTTATTTAACATAGAGACTTGATTAATATTTTCTTATGATTACTTATGTTCATTCATTCTAAATAACTAACACGTCCACAATAATTGTGGTGTTATTCAAACAATACCTGCAGTGAACAACATTAATATTCTGTTTTTTATTTGATCAACTTGAAACGCTAAGAAAGTGGTTAAAACTAAATAAAAAAGAAATTTCAAAATGGTATTGTAAAGATTATTATACTCGTAGGGTAAAAGGCTAGACTAAATTCGTTGAAAAATATGTAACAGGTAGAAGGATTAAGCCACGCCCGTCTATCCATAGCAACGCTCAGGAACTATAAGAGACTAAGACTATAAGAAATTTTAAAATGGTATTGTAAAGCTTATTATACCCGTTACTCGTAGGGTAAAAGGCTAGACTAAATTCGTTGAAAAATATGTAACAGGTAGAAGGATTAAGCCATGCCCGTTTATCCGTAGCAACGCTCAGGAACTATAAGAGTTATAAAGTTGAGATTAAGCATCAAGATAATTGAGGTCCCTACGCAGCGCAAGTTTATTTCAGCATCCTGCCACGCCCACAAATCGCGAAAAACTAAAAAAATTAGAGCTAGAGCTAGCAGTGACGTCACTATCAGTTACTCAACATGCTTTCTCCGACAATAAGTGGCGCTTTGGGAATTCTCACTAGCAAAATTAATATGTTTAAATTTTGTAAAACAGTAACGAAATTTTGAGTTACATAAATTTCGATTTGTCCTTATGTAACTATGAAATAACTATTATACCTATAAAACAAAGTTATCCTAATATTTTGTATGATATCCACATTTTTTTGATATTGCTTGAACGAGATAAGATATTTATCTTGGTTTATAGTACCAGCGATGAACGCAAGATTTTTCACTCCTATTATGGATATGCACCCTTAAATCATCACATTTCCCCGACGTGTTGTGTCTCCGTATTTGGTTTTCGTCTTGCTAGATCTTCCGAAAAGATTTTGCTTTCGTTTAGGAAAAGTACTCCTCCCACCACCTGCTTTGGTCCTTTTTGGAGTACTTCTGGGCAAGTTCTGCCGTAACATTCTGCCGTTGTAGGAAAAACCAAAAAACCGGAAAACCAAAAATGGGTAAAATCTCGGGAACTTTAATAGCTGGAATGTTAGGCCTAGGAATACGTATTTTAGGGAGGCCACTGCAGCTTTCGCGAGTTTTCATCTTCCACGCCCACTCTAACATCCACAAACCGCGGAAAACTGTGGCTTGCATAATATTATGAATAACTTCATTTTATCTTGTATAATATATTTTTGTCAATATCTATCGATTTACCAAAGATTTTTCAAAGCGGAACATTATTTCGCTATTTATAAAGAAATGTAGGTGTCACATGGAAAGTGACGTAACAATCAGTTAGTAAACAGGATTTTTTTGACAATAGGTTGCGCTTTATCCATTTCCACTAGCAAAATAAATATTTTAAAATTGTGTAAAACAGTAACGGGCATATTATAGTAGCGGCACTCGACTATAGTGTTTCTTCTTGTATTTTATTGTGGTATTGTATTTATATTGTTGGTTATATTTAAAGCTCTTAAAAATTATAGATATAAATATACATATATATTTATATTTATATATCTATATATTTAATAATAAAGATATAATTGTGTATTAAAGAAATTTTCCTTTTTTTCAATTATATACTTCGTTTATATAGAATAAATATTTTAATATTTTTTTCTTTCACTTTCAGTGGGTAGAAGAGTCATTCACTGATTTCGTAAAGGGAATTAATTGGAGAAGTTATGTGGTTTGCGATGTAGCATATCACAATGTCAACAACTGGCTGTGGTCGCCATTTATCGATCGTGGACCAGCAAACCGACTTTACATTGAAATTCAATTTACAATACGCGACTGTTCTTTATTCCCAGGTAAAAAAAAATATGACAACGGTGACAAAAAACCAAAAAGAATATGCGTTTTTTATATTAAGGCTTATGTTTTGGTTTGACCTTATATAATAATTATTTTTCAATACCTATTGTTTTCATTTTAAAGTGCGTTATAAGTTTTTTTTTTTTTTTTCAATAAATAACACTAGAAAACTTTTTAAATTCAATTTTGTGATAGCAAAACTATTCCTTAAAAATTAAAAAAAAAGTAAATTATTTTAAATAATTGAAATCTTTTTTTTTATTTATTTCTTATTGTGGTTCCACATTTAGGAAACGCTTTATCGTGCAAAGAAACTTTTAGTTTACTTTTTTACGAGTTTGATGCTGCTACTCGAGAGCCTCCTCCGTGGCAAACAGACAGTTACAGACTGATTGCTCGCATTGCAGCTGGAGAGGGGCGCTTCAATCAGAACTCCGATGTAGATATAAACACTGAAGTAAAGAGCATAGCGGTAAACAAAAAGGGCGTTTATTTTGCATTTAGAGATCAGGGCGCTTGTATTAGCGTTCTAGCTGTAAAAGTGTATTATATCACTTGTCCTGCTGTTACCGAAAATTTTGCCCACTTCAACGAAACTCCCACAGGTAGAGAAATAACTATTATCGAGAAGCAAAACGGAACTTGTGTCGAAAACGCAGAACCCTATGAAGCACCGACGTACTTATGCAAAGGTGATGGAAAATGGACAATTCTTACTGGTGGATGCCGGTGCGTGGCCGGATATGAACCAAGCAATTTTAATAAAACATGCACAGGTTAGTAATCTTTTAGATATTTAAATAAACATATACAATTTTAATTTAAAAACGAAAAAAAGTAGTTTTAAATATAATTTTGTTTCCAAATTTTGAAATTTCAATGGCCGTATATCCTTATATCTACAAAAAGTAACGTATTGTCCCTTTATTTTTATACCCGTTGCTCGTAGAGTAAGAGGGTATACTAGATTCGTTGAAAAGTATGTAACAGAAAGAAGGAAGCGTTTCCGACCCTATAAAGTATATATATTCTTGATCACGATCAATAGCGAAGTCGATTGAGCCATGTCCGTCTGTCCGTCCGTATGAACGCTGAGATCTCAGGAACTATAGCAGATACAAAGTTGAGATTAAGCATGAAGATTCTTGAGGTCCCGGGACAGCGCAAGTTTATATCAACATCCTGCCACGCCCACTCTAACGAAACAAACCGCGAAAAACTGAGGCGTCTATAGTAATATTATGAGCGCCTTCGTTTGACCTTGTACAACTTATTTTCGTTAATATCTATCGATTTACCAAAGATTTTTAAAATCGGAACATTATTTCGCTACTTATGAAGAAATTTAGGTTATGAGGCATCACATGGGCAGTGTCGTCACTATCAGTTACTCAACATGCTTTCTCCGACAATAGGTGGCGCTAGCAAAAAATGAATATTTTAAAATTGTATAAAACAGTAACGGGTATCTTATAGTCGCGGCACTCGACCTCTTGTTTAACATAAAATTTGTTAATTTTTTTGTAAATTTAAACGTTTTTACACTTTAGACTTTAACAATGTTTCTTGATCTAATTTTTTAATTCTGTAAACTGAACAACATAACTTGGTCAAAATAGTTCAAAGCAAAACCAAAAAAAATACTACTCTAGTATATTAGAACCTCTATTTTACAGCAAACAGTTATTAATAATTACTCATTTTTTAGTGAACAAATAAATATTAAATATAATTATTTCTTCTTATCTATATGCCAGCTGATCCTTGAGTTGATTAACAGACATCTTTTTTTGCACGAGAGTTCTTCCTATTTTTAAATACAATTTAATTTTTAGATTCAAAAGGAAATATACTTTTTTTAGAACTAAACCTTCTTGAGTAAACCACTTATTTTTTACATTTCAGAATGTCCGCGTGGAACATTCAAATCAACAGAGGTAACTAAGTGTACGCCATGTCCTCCCAATTCAAATTCATCAAAAAGTGGATCGCCATTTTGCAAGTGTATGCCAGGATACTATAGACATCCGAATGATGGACGACATATGCCTTGCTATAGTCCACCACCTGCGCCGACAAATCTTACACTGCTGTTTGTCGATCAAACCAGTGCCATAATATCTTGGAGCATACCAACCAAGAATGAAACAAATTCGGCTGAAGCGCAGACTAGAAAATATCAAAGTGATATTGTTTACAAGATAAGATGCAATACATGCAGTCCAAATGTAATGTACAATCCCTCTACTGACACATTCAACGAAACGAAAATTACACTAACAAATCTTGAACCGGTAACCACTTACACTGTGCAGATACATGCAACTAATAGCATGTCGCACCTCATCGAATCAAACCGGAACTACAATGAATCGTCTCAGGTGGCAAGTAATGATATAAATTTTTCGAATACGTCATATTTGAATATACCGTTGGACTTAAACGAAGTAAAGACCGGTCACGCCGAAATCGTTTTTACAACCGAGTCTGTATTGCTCTCGACAGTTTTTAACTTACGTATATTGGCTATAACTAGTAAGGATGTTGATTTAGAGTGGGACAAGCCCGTTCACAGTGATTCTCCTCTTGAGTTTTATGAAGTGCGGTGGTTTCCCAAGGCTGAATTAGATGCCATAAATAAAAGTGCGTTAAATACAAAGGAGACTAAGGCACATATAGAAGGATTGTTAGAAAACACTGAATATGGATTTCAAGTTCGCTGTAAAACAATAAATGGATTTGGCTCTTATAGTAACATAATTTATGCCCAAACACCAAATCCCGTAGCCTCAGGTCAGTTGTATGGGATTATTAATTAACGATAAATATTTTACCAAGCTGTTCACTATAATAGGCTACGACGATTCTGTGCATATAAGGTTTATTGCTGCTGCCATTGTTACTGGTGTCCTGTTTCTAGTAATTTTTATAATAGCTACAGTCTATTTCATGAGATCCAAACATCAGGATGAACTTGATAAAAAATCTACAAATCATTTGCCCTTACCACTGGACTACACCAGTAACGAAGGTAAGTTATTTTATTATTGTATTATAAGTTAATCATTTTGATACAAGAGTACGCAATTTACATTTGTTTACGGTAGAGTAGAATTATATTTGAATTGTGTTAATGTTTTTAATATAAAAGTTATTATACAGTCAGCACATAATTTATTCGTACACTCATAAGTTTTAAGCGTATTCCTTAATATCTCGAGAAATATATAAATGAAATTAGAATGTAATATATCATATGAAAGATATACATACATGCATATATTTTAAGGATAAAATTAACAAGATTTAACTTAAATATTAGATAATTTTCTTTATAACACAAAAAAAAATCTTTTTATTACGCTCAACAATTATTCGTACACTTTCGTTTCTTGACTTCTATTTCTGAATGCATCGGAGCATTTCTGAATCGGAGCAAGTTTCGGTGTGATATTCTCAAAGTTTTTTCGTTAGTTTCACTGCGTTTATTGCTGCAATTGGATGAAATGGATCGGGGTCAAGATTTATCCCTAGATTTTCGAAAAACTATAATAAAATGATATTTAGAGCATCGCGTTATCCCGAAATTGGTAGAATTATTCTCAAGTCACCTTCCACAATGCAAAGTGTGATAAAAAAAATACGTAAGCACTGAAGAATTTGCTGCAGAACATGAAAAAGCTGGAAGGCCCAGAATATTGACACCACGGATAGAGCGTAAAGTTGCAAATACAGTATTGCAAAATCCCAGAACAACATCTAAAACAATTCTTAAAACCCTAGAAAAGCTTTCAGAAAAAAATTCCTCTCAAACCCATCCGGAACTCCATGCACAATCCTGGTATATATGGTAGAGTTGTTCGTAAAAAACTATTGATTTCTTATTATAAAAAAATACGTTTGGAGTTAAAAACAGCATGTGAGGAGGAAGAGTTGAAATCATTTTGGAGAAACGTTATATTTAGTTATTTAGAATCAAAAATTTATTTTTGACCCGACAGGCCTTTTAAAGTATGTAGAGAGGAAAATGAAGCCATGAAGGAAAACAACTTGATTCCAACCGTTAAAGAAGTTTCTCACCTTGAGGACCCCAAAAAGTGAACTTTTCTTAAAAAATTGTATTGAGAAAACGCTTAAAGATAAAGGGCTGCAAATTTTTTCTGAATATGACATATCTTATTAAGTGAAAACAATTTTTAGAATTGAATAAATCAAAAAGAGGGTAAATTTTCTAATATTTAAGCTAAAACTTGTTAATACGATATTTAAAACATCTGCCCGAAATGTATATCTCTCATGTGTTTCATTTTAATTTCCGTTGCATATTTCTCGAGATATTACTAATATTATTACTATAAGCTTGAAACTCACGGGTGTAGGAATACATTATGTGCTGACTGTATATATTTCTTTTTTATTCTAATTCTTTACTTAACACTTAGAGAAAATGTACATGCAAAAGTCTGCTTACAGTTTATCAACATGCATTTCTTGCGTAATATCCTTGATATTTGACAAGGGCCTTGGCTCTGGACTTTTTGGATCTTTTTTGGATAAAACCCCAACCTTTTGTAGTTTTTAGCGTGTAAACAAAAATTTCTTTGTCAGATTGACAATATTTACTTTTATAAACATAAGGTTACGGCTTTTTTCATTTGATATACTGGGAAAGTTAGTATAATTTAATTATATTTTTATAGCCGTTACTCGTAGAGTAAAATTTATATTATATTCGTTAGAAAGTATGTAACGTATTCACGTCATGAAAAACTAAAGCGCTGAAATCTCAGAAACTATCAGAGCTAGAAAGTTGAGATGCCAGCGTATCTGAAGGTGAACAACTATCCGTTCACGCTCATTCTTGCGCTTCGTTTGACTTTTTATAACATTTATAGATTATATCTATATTATTTACCACAGATTTTTCAAATCGAAACATTATTTCGTTTTTTTTTTTAAGAAATGTAGGTTATAAGGCATCACATGGGCAGTGACGTCATTATAAGTTACTCAACAAGCTTTTTCTAACAAAAGGTGACGCTTTGTGAATTTCGACTAGCAAAATGAATATTTTAAAATTATATAAAACAGTAACGGGTATCCTTTAGTCTCGGCACTCGCCTATAGCGTTTTTTGTTATTTATGTATTCTATATATCTTTTTAATGAAATAGATAAACATTCCTTTTTTAATTATTCTTTAAGATCTAAAATAATTTTTTAAGAAGTAAACTTGCTTTTTTAGGTAATTTAAGAATTAAATTAGTGAAAAAGCAAAAAGCTCTTCCCATTCATTTAAGGTATTTATAAAGTCGTAGGCCATGAACAATAGTCAAAGATAGGTTGACAAAAAAAACTGAAAACTCATTGCCTGCTTTCCCTATAAAAATAGTTACTTAAAATTTCTATTTTTATCTTGGAAGCTTTGTTTTTGTGTAGTTAATTGAGAGACCAATATTTGCCCATACATTTAATCTTGTTAGAAATTGACGTTTTAAATTTTTTATTGTTTATCTTAATTATTTATTAACTAATGGTTTCAGTGAAGTCTCTTTGCAATGTGTCAAATGGTTTCTGTAAAGCTAGGTCGATAATTTAAATATTCTTTTATTCGGTTAGATATGATACCGATTTTCTTTGCTTAAGGCCCATTTAATGACTTTTGGTTTGTTCCAACAATTGTAGATACCATTTCGTCTAGGAGTTTTAATATGCATGGTTTTAAGATCACAGTTCATTGCTGTTAACTTTATAAAGTCCGCAAGTTGTTTGATTTCGTTTCATATAGTTTCTGTTTTTGTGGCTGGTAAGATTCTAACTCTAATTTCCCTTTTGTAATTTGTCTATGAGGTTTTCGCCTATTCAGTTTTTTTATGTAGCAAGCTTTTTTGCGGCTGTAAGTAATTCATATTTGTATTTGCACACTTGCTTGTCGTATTAAAAAATTTTATTTTAATAGAGTAGTTGCTTCCCTGACGATTATTTCAAACTTTAAACTCTCGGTGGATCTTAAGCTCAGGTGAACAAAAGTCTAAATCGAAGAGTTTGCGTTGAGAAATATGGGGCTTGGCCAATATCTAAAATTTGTAATTTTGAACTTTTTTTATAGAATAGAGTAAAAGGGTATATTGTATTCGTTGAAAACTACGTAACAGGTAGACAGAATCCGACCTTATAAAGTTTATATGTTCTTAATCAGGACTAATAGAAAAATTGTTTACGCTGAGATCACAGGAACTATAAGAGATACAAAGCTGAGATTAAGCATATAAATAGACAAATCGCGAAAAATTAAAATCCCTGAAATTTAAGGAACTATTAGGGCTGGTGGTTGCTAACTTGGAATTAAGGACGTACAATCTTAAGATGCCAACGCATTTCAAGGTTGCACCATTATCCGGCCACGCCCACTCTAACTCCCACCAAGCTCGAAATATGTTTTTCGCTTTTTCTAAAACCCCTAATATCTCGATAGCTATAAGTTATAGAAAGTTGGTACAAAGCATTTAGTTTCCAATGATGCCCCCAATTCATATTATCTCTTGTCATTTCTTCGCTTATTATGAAGAAAAGTACCTTATAAGGCTTCGCATGGGCATGGTTTCTCTGACAAAAGGTGGCGTTTTGTCAATTTCCACCAGTGAAATGAATATTTTAAAATTTTATAAAACAGTAACGGGTATCTTAGGCGGAAATTGTATCAATAATATAGATGGCAAATGTTGAATTGTTTTTCTGTAAAGATTTATGTCTTGTTTAACTAATCTTTTTTTCCTTTTTGAGGTCGTGATCAGATATACTTAGTATTCGGATTGCTTCGTTTTTTTTTTATCAAGTGCGCAAAGGGTAACTAGCAACAAAGGAAAATAACAATTGTCAGTGTATGTTCGTTTTGGAAGCTCGGACATCTATAGGCTTAAGCTTTTTCTAATGATTTTTTATCCTGGGACCGTTAAGTAATAATTATTTTGTATAATTTCGATGAAGTTCGGGCTGTATCATTTTATAACAGCCGCTTCTTATTAAACATTTGTTTGCAGATCGATGCCAAAAATCGAAAATCGTTCGCAGACTTTAATGTATATTTGTTTTTCTTATTAAGTTTAAAATCAATAACAAAAAGTAAAACAAAAAGAAACTCTATAGTCCAGTGCCGCGACTATAAGATACCCGTTATTGTTTTATGCAATTTTAAAATATTCATTTTGCTAGTGGTAATTCTCAAAGACATGGCAAAAAAAAGCATGTTGAGTAACTGATAGTGACGTCACTGCCCATGAAGACCTTATAAGATAAATTTCTTCATAAATAACGAAGAATGTTCGAATGTTGCGATCTTTGGTAAATCGATTTATATTAATAGAAATAAGTTGTACAAGGTCAAACGAAGGCATTCATAATAATATTATGGACGCCACAGTTTTCCGCGGTTTGAGGGCGTTAGAGTGGGCGTGGTCGGATAAAAACTCGTGGCAAGTGGCAGTGGCATCTTTTAAATACCTATTCTTTAGCCTAATTTTCTAGTCCTTGTAGGTCCCAAGATTTTTGCATTATATCTGATAATATATTTACTTCCTTCTAGCTGTTACATACTTTTCAACGAATCTATTATACCCTTTTACTCTACGAGTATAAAAATATGATCCATTGAAGGTTATTAATTTAAGTTACGTTAAAATGTATATTAAACGTTAAAGACTAAGCAATGGGCTCTTATATGAAAGTAAATAGCTGATTCGGTGTAAAAAATATAATTTACAATAAAGATACATCATCAATCGCAAGTTCAAATGTAAGACATCTGAACATATCTGTTTCTAAATTTTTTTTAACTATAATTCTAACAAATATAGATTGCTAATGTTATCCAAATCTAAAAGAAATATAAAGCACTTGATTAAAAATTTTAAAATTTTGGCCCTATGACCTTTTTGGCGCCTTTTGGTCAAGTTTGGTTACTCGTAGAGTAAAAGGGTATATTAGATTCGTTGAAAAGTATGTAACAGGTAGAAGGAATCGTTTCCGACACTACAAAGTATATATATTTTTGATCACGATGAATAGCGAAGACGATTGAGCCATGTCCGTCTGCCCGTCTGTTTGTCCGTCTGTCTGTCTGTCCGTATGAACGCGGAGATCTCAGGAAATTGAAATTGAAATTCAGAATGTATAATCTTTAGATGCCAGCGCACCCACACGCTCACAAGGCTCAAAAGACGGTTTTTTCTCTTTTTTTAAAAAAGCTGATATCTCATTAACTATAAGAGATAGAAAGCGTGTAGGTTTTTATGATGCCCCAAATACAAACTAATAGAAGAGTTAAAAAATTAGGCCTAAAAACACTTATTAAAGAGATGCCATTGCAACTTGTCAAGAGTTTTCATCTCGCCACGCCCACAAACTGCGAGAAACTGTGGCGTCTATAATATTATTATGAATGCCTTTGTTTGACCTTGTATAACTTATTTCTGTTAATATATATTGATTTACCAAAGATTTTAAATCGGAACATTATTATTATTCGCTATTTATGAAGAAATTTATGTTATAAGGCCTCACATGTTTTAATTGAGAAGATGTGGAGTATATGCAAGTATAGATAGATATAACAGATAAACAGTCAGGTAAATAGATAGACAAATATATAGAGAGATGAATTTACATTAAATATTTAAAGTATTTAACTGGCAAGGACAGTCGGCCATCCGACTATAACCATCGTACTAGTTTGAATTTGTAAATTATATCCATCATATTTTCAACAATATTATTTTTATTTTTATTTTTAGTTAATACTATGGATACTACTCCAATTGTCAAAACCCTTCACTTAAACGGTATATCTTTTAGTAAATTTATATTTCTTTGCTATTTTATAAATCTGAGTAAGTTGTGTATTGTGTTATAGTAGATCAATATAAAGAAATAACTTTAATTGCTATCTGTTCAGCCAAATATTTTATATTTCTTATAACTATATAAAAACGATCAGTTGGGTCAATTTAAAACATTTTTTTTTTCTGAACTACGTTATGCAAACTGAACAACATCAGAACAGAATGTTAAAATCTGCAAATCAATACATATTTTTTTTACATAAACCGAAAACTACTTACGTTGGTATACAGTCACTGTTTTTACAGACTTTTTTTCTCTAATATGCCATTTTTAAGTTGTTTCTCGGCCCAATTTACGAACATGCGACGATTCTTTTTGTCAAGTGGCTTCACTTATTTCTTGAACTTAATCTTGTAAGACCAAGATCTTTTCGAAAAATTCGCTTGAGAACGACCGGTTAGAGACTGATGTTTGTCTTTCTTAATTGATGCTCCTTCTGCATAAATATTCTCTACATTACGGGCACTTCTTTCTCTCACTGTACCATTAAAGTTGAGGCCAATAACTTCGAATGACGGTAGTAAATTATATTAATTTCAACTCGTTTGATTGAAGAATAAAAACGGAAAAATTTAGGGCGACGTTTGCTGTCGTTATTATCGATCTACTTTTGTAAAATCCCTTTTGAAAAATACGTTATAAGATTTTAGTGTCGACTGTTAACGCAAGTTTTATCTGGTCCACCGGACCAACAAACGAATCAGAATATTTTTAGTAATATATTAAACAAATTTAGGTTGTAAGGGCTCACATGGGCAGTGCCGACACCGTCGGCTAAAACACGTGATTTATATGTTTCTGACCTGACAATCACTGGTGATGGTTAAATTGTACTCGGGGACAATTAGTGGCAAAATGATTGTTCCAACTGTAACTGTATGTAATCTTTGCTAATACATGCATAGTTAGCTTTAGAATATGGATGCCAATTCCAACTTTTCTGGATTGGTTAGTTAGACTTGGTTAGACTGGATTATGATAAAGGTAAAGAAGGCTTCCTCCCACCTAAACCATAAGTTTTAAGGAATACTGTGTACTCTTTTATTGGTATAATTATTAAATAACTATTATTTAAGATAATTACTGGTAATATTAATAAGCTTCTTATTTGCCGTTGTCGTTGTTAGTGACGACGCCTCTATTTGGAAATAGTAGAAGCTATGTAGATCCACATACATATGAAGACCCCAATCAAGCTATACGGGAATTTGCCCGAGAAATCGATGCAAACTACATTACTATAGAAGCTATTATCGGTAAGTTATTATAACAGCTGAGTTGAAAGTATCAATCATATTTATTAAAAATGATTAGGCGGTGGAGAATTCGGAGATGTATGTCGCGGCCGTTTAAAAATACCACCAAATTTTGTGCAGGACATTGATGTAGCGATAAAGACTTTGAAACCAGGTAAGCTTATATTATTCTCCACAATATAGTAATTATTTTTTAGGGTTGCCAAAAATTTTTTTGTTGGATAGCGTGGTTTTATAACCTTAATCAGAGTTTATAAAAATCTGTTTTAACAGGATCTTCAGAAAAAGCGCGATGTGACTTTTTGACAGAGGCTTCTATTATGGGCCAGTTTGATCATCCAAATGTTATTTATCTCCAGGGTGTAGTTACACGCTCAAATCCAGTTATGATTATTACTGAATACATGGAAAACGGAAGTTTAGACACATTTCTTCGTGTGAATGATGGAAAGTTTCAAACCCTGCAGCTGATAGTAATGCTTCGAGGTATCGCCAGCGGAATGGCATATCTAAGTGATATGAATTATGTACACAGAGACTTGGCGGCACGAAACGTTCTTGTTAATGCCCAATTAATTTGTAAAATTGCGGACTTTGGATTATCACGTGAAATTGAAAACGCCAGTGACGCCTACACAACTCGGGTACGTACAATAGAGCGGATAATTTGAGAAGTTCCCATTTATTTTACTATTAACAAACTTAGCATAGTAACTGTATATAAATTTAAGTTAACTTTTGAATTTTCAGTCGGTTATATAACATTTATATGTATATTTGCTGGGCTTCTTTTATAAGTTTAAGTTTAAGACTCATTCTAAAATTTTTTCATTGTAAGCATAATTAACATAATTAATTAATAATCAAACTTTCAAATTTAAATTATATACCAGATGCTTTCATTACAATTTCAACTTCACAAATTCTCAAATTCAACGGATTTCAAATAAAACCAAACATAATTTTTTGACCTGGGTAGTGATACCGATCAACAAATATACCTGTAAAAGTATACATATATCTATATATAATGCGTGTTTTTTAGAGGTATAGAACTTTAAATTTAAATAAAACAACGATGGATTATTCGATTGACATGAATTCATATTATTTTAAAGATGATCTTGTGGCAATATATATTTATACCCGTTACTCGTAGAGTAAAAGGGTATACTAGATTCGTTGAAAAGTATGTAACAGATAGAAGGAAGCGTTTGCGACCCTATAAAGTATATATATTCTTGATCAGGATCAATAGCGAAGTCGATTGAGCCATGTCCGTCTGTCCGTCCGTCCGTCCGTCCGTATGAACGCTGAGATCTCAGGAACTATAGCAGATTCAAAGTTGAGATTAAGCATGAAGATTCTTGAGGTCTAGCCACGCCCACCCTAACGTCCACAAAACCCAAAAAACCAAAAATGAAAAAATCTCGGGAAGAGCTAGAAAGTTAGGCTTAAGAATACGTATTTTAGGGATGCCACTGCAACTTCCCTCGAGATTTTATCCGGCCACACCAATGTCCAGCTTGTGAAGCGGAGCGCGTATCGCTGGTACATATATGTATTGACAAGATTTCAAATTTATATAAAAATTTTTTTATACCCGTTACTCGTAGAGTAAAAGTATGAAAAGTATGTAACAGATAGAAGAAAGCGTTTGCGACCCTATAAAGTATATATATTCTTGATCAGGATCAATAGCGAAGTCGATTGAGCCATGTCCGTCTGTCCGTCCGTCCGTCCGTCCGTATGAACGCTGAGATCTCAGGAACTATAGCAGATACAAAGTTGAGATTAAGCATGAAGATTCTTGAGGTCCCGGGACAGCGGAAGTTTATTTCCGCATCCTGCCACGGCCACTCTAACGCCCACAAATCGGAAAAAACTAAAATTGCTGAAATCTCAGGAACTATTGGAGATAGAAAGTTGAAATTCAGAATAATCTAATTCAGGTATAATCTTTAGATGCCAGCGCATCTTATAGTGCTTCTACTATCCAGCCATACCCACCCATACGCCCACAAGGCTCAAAAGACGGTTTTCGGATTGTCTAGAAAAGCTGATATCTCGGTAACTATAAGAGATAGAAAGTTCGGATTAGGCATGTAGGTTTTTATGATGTTTTTTTCCGATCAAGCCACACCCACTCTAACGCCCACAAAACCCGAAAAACTAAAAGTGCAAAAATTAGGCATGTAGGTTTTTATGATGCTCCCAATGCGAATTGTTTTTTTCCGATCAAGCCACGCCCACTCTAACGCCCACAAAACCCGAAAAACTAAAAGTGCAAAAATCTCAAAAACTATAAAAGCTACACGATTTTGCTTAGGAACACGTATTTAAGAGATGCCTCTGCAACTTGCCACGAAGTTGCATCCAGCCACGCCCACTCTAACGCCCACAAACCGCGGAAAACTGTGGCGTCTATAATATTATTATGAATTCCTTCGTTTGACCTTGTGTAACTTATTTCTGTTAATATCTATCGATTTACCAACGATTTTTCAAATCGGAACATTATTTCGCTATTTATAAAGAAATTAAGTTTATAAGACCTCACATGGGCAGTGACGTCACTATAAGCATACTCAACATACTTCATCTGACAATAGGTAGCGCATTGTGAATTTCCACTAGCAAAATAATATTTTAACATTTTGTAAAACAGTAACGGGTATCTTATAGTCGCGGCACTCGACTTTAGCGTTTCCTCTTGTTTTATTTTTAAGAAATAAATAACAATCATGTTTATAAATTTAAAATGGTTTCATTTAATAAAGTTTTTGGTTAAAAAAGAAAATATCCGGTTCGAGCTTTGAGGCTAAATCTTATTTAATGTTTTTAATAAGATAATAATTGCGCCTTATTTTTATTCAGTTTTTTAATTTAGGTCAACTGATAAAGCTCACATATGTATTTGATTTTACAGGGCGGAAAAATTCCTGTACGTTGGACTGCACCAGAAGCCATTGCATTTAGAAAGTTTACTTCTGCTTCGGATGTTTGGTCCTATGGAGTAGTTCTATGGGAAGTCATGTCCTACGGGGAACGTCCATATTGGAATTGGTCAAACCAGGTTTGAATCAGGCTAAACAAAACATGAACAACTTTTATATTTTGAACTTGTAATTTATTTATTTGACTTATTCAATTGTTTTTTTTAGGACGTAATAAAGAGTATTGAAAAGGGGTACCGTTTACCAGCTCCGATGGACTGTCCAGAAGCTCTCTATCAGCTTATGTTAGATTGCTGGCAAAAGCAGCGAACTCACCGCCCCACATTTGCCAGCATCGTTTTAACCCTCGACAATTTGGCAAGACAACCGCAGTCATTACTGACAACTCGAAATTCACCCGAATCAGACGTTAATCATATTTTGGACACACAGCGCGGTCCAAATATATTTATAAGCACTGACCTTTGGTTGGAACATATTAAAATGTCAAGATACTGTCAGCATTTCAAAGAGGCTAATTTAATTAATGCTCAACAGGTAACATAAAAAAAATAAAGCTCATTGTATGAGGTATTTAATTGATAATTTACGTATTTAGATCTCTAGATTAACAGCTCAACAATTGTCGGATATGGGAATTACCCTGGTGGGACATCAGAAAAAGATTTTACATCAAGCCCGACAACTGGACACTATAATATAACCGTTCTTTTTTTACTTCGTAGTTTAAGATGTACATATAAAAAACATTATTTATATATATATATATATATATATATTATATATCAGTATATATATATATATATATATATATATATATATAACAAAAATATAAATATATATGTTATTATATATTATATACATAAATGACACGTGTGAAATACAAAAACACAGGAATAGAACATATAAGGATTTTATAGGTTCTCTTCACAAGAACTTTAGAATATAGCATAAAAAAGTATTGTTTTTATAATAATAACCACTTCATTTAGGTGTACCAATTATTTATAATAACATGTCTCAAGCTAATTGTATAAGAATAGTATTGCTTTCTTTGCCTATATATTTTAGTTAAATTTTTAGTTGTGATAAAAGTAGCATTAACAGAATGGTTACTTTTTATTAGACTTCAATCCATATCTTTCTTTGCAAAAAATATTTTTAAAAATAGCTGAATAAAACACATTTGTGCGGACCGTAATTTTTTTCGACCTTTAATAATATTATTATAACTTCGTCTTAACTATAAATCGCATAACGAGCTAAAGTCTCTTGGGCATGTAGCAGGAGAAGCATCCCCACCCGACTCGGTTTAATAAACCGGTGTTCAACTTCTAAATGTTGGAACATCCAATGTATTAGCGAGGCGTACATATAATCAGTACAAAATGAGGTTTATTCTTTATCGTATATGAGAACTTGGCTTGTGTCCTGTGAAGCGGTAAGCAGTGTTGGTGTGATGCAATATGCTGAAACCTGTTTATCATAGCCAATACAAGGGTATTTTCACTAACCTGTCATACATACTCTGGGTTCTTCTTAGCCTTTCTAAACACTTGTTTTAGCCTTCAGTCCTTACAAACAAATCCAAAAGACCTTCGGGGGGCACTCCGAGCTTGCCTAATATATTATTTTTGCTTCTGTATCAGAGTCATGCCGTCGATTATCCATCATGGTAGTTCTAACTGCCCATTTCTTTTGTGTCAGCATCCATGACAGATAAGTACCCGTACCAAGAACCCTCACGTGGTCATTATATGCGCACATTCAATTTATCCCCCATGGACCAATGACCGGCGGGTTCTGGCAAGTATAAAGAGTTTGTCAAGTTATGAGTTGAAATTTATTTGAATGTGTTAAAAATTAACGCCAGGAAAAAAAAAATGTGGATTTCTAGTACCTTGTTGGTTTCTTAAATCGTGTTTTTAGAACTAAATTTTTTTAAGTAAAAATAATAAAAGTTCTATTAACCTATTAAATTACATTGAATCTTAGTAAAAAAAAGTTTATTTTTAAACTTACAGATTTTTTATTATTTAAAGTAGACTATGGTTTACAAAACTTAAATCTACTTCGTAACCATTGTATCTATGGCTTTCGGGTAAAAATTTCGTAAAATTTAAATTTTTAATAAGTATGTTTTTATATATTTGTATTATATATTTATATATATATATATATATATATATTATAATATATATTTTATATATTTGTATTATATATTTATATATATATATATATATATATATATATATGAAATATATTAAATATATATATATATATATATATATATATTTAATATATTTCATAGTAAGGGCAAGGTAAAGCAAGGTTTAGTAAACATAAACATAATTTTAAGAACAGGCGCATTCTACAACCTGCATATCACTCCATGTTGAAATTTTGAGCTTATCGGTGTGCTCTTCATCTACGTGCAATATTTCGAGCATATCAAGTTTCGAGGGTGCGCAACATGGACGGGGTGCTCGATTGTGATCATCTTGCCATATTAGACTTTGCAAAAGGGCATGGTGATGGGCAGGATTGTGACGTGGTGGACATCGTCCTTGACAATAACCTGCATCGAATACTTTTGGCTGTAATATGAACTCAAACCCCTTAATATCCTTGAAGGCAACATTCAACTGATTTCTACAGCATCGTTGGTGCAATTTGTAACAGTTGTTGCTCCATTTATTTCTCCATGTGGTCTCCTGATTGGAACGATGATGTACGTAGTCATCGCTTTTATTATTGGTCAGTATAATATGATGGACGTCTGAGTCACCGTCTTCGTGGGCGTTCGGAGCACCATGTCCAATTATATTTAAAACAGGCATTATGTCGAAGTGTTCGACGCTTGGAGCCGCAGATTTAACGTATGATGACTGCGACGAGCTAGAGTCGCTAAGAATACGAGCACCTATACTTTTACATTTATCGCATTGAATTTCTATTTCTAAATTTTCATGGCTTTTATTTATCCAACTACGAACAGCTTTCGTCACATCAAATTCTATCCACTGAGTTCGAGTTTCTTCGGACCCAATATTTTCCGTTTTAATTTTGCGAGACGCTAGCAGCTTTCGTCTGTTTGTTGAAAGAAGATGATATACTTTGAGGTTCAATTGCCGACTTTGAGTTCTTTTTGATTGGTTATAGCTGACATCTCCAGAATTACAATTCTTAATAGTGTTCAAAAAATAATCAGTTTGAGATGCGTGGCTGGTTTTTCTTTTGTTTTGTCCTTTCAACCGTCGGAAATCAGATGCGAGGGATGAGCTATAGAGAAGCATAAGCCTAACATTGGCTTCATCAATTTTATCATAATGAAATTTGGCGTCTTTTACGTTTTTTAGTGAAAAGTGCAGAAGAATGTTTGTTTTATCCCGTTGGTAATATTGTAATTTTTCTTCATTCATTGTCTGTGATATCTTTTTTAAATGTTTTAATGCCCTTTTATTACGCCAACGTTTGTGACTAATGTCGTTGAATTTGTTTGTAATGATGCTCAACAAATTTATGTCTCTAAAAGAATATGCTCCAATATGATTATTAAAATAACTTGCTCCCTTTTCGTGGTTATCTCTCAGGCGACTTAAGTATTCTTTATATTTCTTAGAATATTCAACTTGGCTTATATTAACCTGTAAATAATAATAATAATAATATCTATTAAAAAGCTTATTTTGTATACGTTTTTACCAGTATTACGCATTTGTTTTTATAAGAATTAGCAACATCTACCATTTAGTTTCTTACCTTGCTCATATCTGGTATTTTTTTCATTCCAAGGCCCTTTAAAACGAGGCGTTTAAGACTGGCTTCGTCAATATTTTTAGGTTTTATATTTTGACTCTTTGCATCTAGGCGAATATCTCTGGTTTCTCTAAATTTCCTATTTTGCATTGGTACTCTATTTTTCATTTTAAAGGATATTTTTTTATTTAATAAGTAAGACGTGTTTTTAGACTGGCTTATATTAATCAGACTAAATGTATTTATACTGACATTATAAAATGAGGGTTTATTTTTGTGTAAGTAAAGGCCCTCTTCAGAAATTAATTTTTTGGCTTGGTTTTTTGGTTGTATGCGGTGATAGGCTGGGAGGCTCTCAACTACATCATACGGATTTTTAAGTGGGGAAGTGAGCATTTTAATACTTGAAGGCAGTAAATTTAAATTTGACGTTTGGCGGAACGTTCCATAACCACCGACTTGATGCTGTGTAGGCAACAATAAAAAAACCATAAACCATATTCGTGAGTACCTGGACGACCTATTAATGACTTGGACAGCCTCAGAAAGAAAATGTTCAATATAAGGCGTTTGTTTTACAGTAGATTTCAGATGTTTAATGCTTATTATATTTGTAGTGCGATAAATATAAATATGAAAAATAATTTTTAAAATCCAGGTGGTCTTGTTTTCAATGGCTAACAGTTTTTTCGATTTAGTTTCAAATGTGTATTGAAAGTTATTGCACCACTTTGTTTTGTTTTTTAACGTTAAGTTTGTTTTAATGTCTATTATCATTTTTTCTGTACATGACCATAAATTTTAGTTTAATAATAATTCACTCCATTTAGTGATCCTTGCTATCCAAATTTATAGGATCCAGATATGTTTGCCTTTAAAGTCGGAAATTGGTTTATAAGTAATCAAATAAGGAAACAACACAAAATACAAAAATGATCACGGTTCCACGAAAATTTGTACATCTTTTCGTCTCGTTCCCAGTCTTCTTAACATTCCTACACACATTTATGCCGAACCTGTTCGGGCGTTGCTTCAAATTCGACTAAAATACTCACGGCAAATACCTACTAAAGAGAGAAGCAAAATAAACAACTACATTTGTATGCACATATGTATGTATGAATATACTTGCCTAACAAACACAAGCCAAAGAAGAAAAAATGCTATAGTCAAGTGCCTCGACTATAAGATACCCGCTACTGTTTTATAAAATTTTAAAATATCCATTTTGCTAGTGGAAATTCACAAAGCGCCAACTTTTAGTCAGAAAAATCATGTTGAGTAACTGATGGTGACGTCACTGTCCATGTGAGGCATTTTTAATAAAAAGCGAAATGTTCCGATTTGAAAAATCTTTGGTAAATCGATAGATATTGATAAAAAATGTTATACAAGGTCAAACGAGGTCATAAATTAATATTATGGAGGCCAGTTTTCCGCGGCTTGTGGGTGTTGCCTTAGGGGCATTATTGTTGGGCGTGGCCGGAAAATGGTGCCACCTTGAAATTCACAGATATCTCAAGATTATAAATGTTTAATCCCATCTTTCTAGCTCTAATAGTTCCTGAGAATTCAGCTTTGTTCTCTTATAGCATCTGAGTTCTCCGCGTTCTTACGGAAAGACGGACATCGCCTAAACGACGCTGCTATTGATCCTGATTAAGATAATATATATATTAAAGGGTCGGAAACGCCTTCTTTTATCTGTACCCAACTTTTCAACGAATACAATATACCCTTTTACTGTACGAGTAACAGGCATAATAAATCCATCCAGTTGGTCGCCTCCGGAGGCAGAACATTTTTTACCTACCCTTCTCTTTCTCCTTTCGTATTACTATACAATTGCCCGCTATGGAGAACTTTTCGCAATGTTTCTACATTATAAATTCATCTTTGCAAACAGAGTTATGTATGTATTTTGAAAATTTTTTTTTTTTTAATATATTTACATGTTAGTTAATAAAACTTTTGGTGTGTTACTAATAGTAATAGTAACTAATACTGTGTATCTTTTCATCAAACTTTTATATTGTTTTTGGTCCAAAAGACACATGGGTGTATATGTACATAGATACATATGTATGTATGAATATATCAAATTTTGTTTAACAATTTTATAATGGGTGGTACGCCAAAATATTTTATATTTGTCAATTACTTGAAATAGAAAAACCCTCGAATGTGACTAGAAATTATTTACTTTAATAACTGAAAAGACTGTTTCGTCGACTTGAATGTTAGGCTTTCATTTAATAGGAACAAATCCATTAAAACTATTGTGGTACTCAGTATTTTCAGTGATGAAGGTATTTAAGTTGAACGTTTTAAGCATTCTTTGGTCATCGCATAAGTTATCAATCCAAAACACAACCAAAAAACATAGTTTTCAGTATTTTTTATGCCGCAGCCTATTTTGTTTAGTTAATTTATGCTAATATAAAACTCTAAATTAGTTATTTTTATGTTTTGTGTGTTCATTTTTAGGGCACAAAAAATACACATCTGCATACATATATATATGTATGTATCTGGTCCTTCAACTCGTTATATTCATATCATGGGGGGCCGAAATATATCAAATAATGTTATGTTACGACTCTTTATTGGGTTCCTTAGGTGTGAGTAGAACCATGATGGTTGGATCTTTCGACATACAGTGTTTATTTTTGTAGACCTGATGGTAATTCTGAGACATGAAACGAAACAATGACTGCGGTCCTGTTTTTGGGTGCCGTTGAATATACCCCACTATTCTTGAGTTGCTGGAACATTTTTTTGGGCAACTCCCCGGGCACTGGATACAGATACATGATACATATTTATATAAATAATAACAAGAATAAATAAATAAATAATACTAGCAAAAATTATACGAGATAGATTATTTTACATGGGAGTATATATATATAGTGGAGCGTAAGTAATAGGGTTCTTAATAAATTTTTAAACTTGGCGATACTGCGCCTTCCTGTTAATTTTCTTTTTCCTCCCAGAGTTCTAGGAGTTGCGATCGAGTTTTGGAATCACAAAACCACTTTAACTATGTTTCTTCTTTTTTATACATACATCACCACTCTCACTCTGGAAAATTTCTTTGCCGGATCACATCTAACTCCTCTCAACTCTTAGATCGCTGTGACTTGCTTTTAATTGCCCTTCTAGTAGGGGACTCAATTAGCTTTTCGGGAGAGAGATTCGAATTTCGTATCTGTCTTGACCCCGATAGGAACCAGGGCTACTCCGGAACCAGTTCCCCCATCCCATCCCTTTGGCCTGTTTTAGTTTTTGTACATGTGTATCTTATTTCTGGCAGACCATAACAATATATATATGTATGTATGTATGAATTGAATAGCTAAAAAGCTTTTGCGAACTTCGAGCATTTCTCAATAAAGAGCATAAAAGCTTCTGGAAAGAACAAGAAGGTACCTTCTTTCAAAATAAATATTTCACCGGGAGATAACGCTATCTGTAATTTAAATAAAAGTATGTGTTTGCAAAAAAATAACTTTTTTGTTCAATCTATAGCTATTAACTTAATGAATATATGTGTTTTCCATATACAACCAGAAAAATATATATATAGTATGTTGTAGTATGTTGGCCAATTTCAAAAAATAAAACTAGCAGACATTTATGCTGTTACAAGCGCCACCTATTGCCATATTAAGAATGTTTAAAAACTAACATGAGACCTTAAAACCTACTTTTCTTAACAAATTTAAAAATTATGTTACAATTTAAGCAATATTAGTAAGTCGATAAATATTAAGAAAATATAAAAATAGAAATAAAACAAGAGGAAACGCTATAGTCGGGTGCCGCCACTATAAGATACCCGTTACTGTTTTACAAAATTTTAAAATATTATTTTGCTAGTGGAAATTCACAAGGCGCCACCTATTGTCAGAGGAAGTATGTTGAGTATGCTTATGGTGACGTCACTGCCCATGTGAGGCCTTATAACTTAATTTCTTTATAAACAGCGAAATAATGTTCCGATTTGAAAAATCTTTGGTAAATCGATAGATATTAACAGAAATAAGTTACACAAGGTCAAACGAAGGCATTCATAATAATATTATAGACGCCACAGTTTTCCGCGGTTTGTGGGCGTTAGAGTGGGCGTGACTGGGTGCAACTTCGTGGCAAGTTGCAGAGGCATCTTCTTAATAGGTGCTCCTAAGCAAAATTTTTTAGCTCTTATAGTTTTTGAGATTTTTGCATTTTTGGTTTTTCGGGTTTTATGGGCGTGGGTTGTTCGAAAAAAAAATTCGCTTTGGGAGCATCATAAAAACCTACATGCTTAATCCGAACTTTCTATCTCTTATAGTTACCGAGATATCAGCTTTTCTAGAAAATCCGAAAACCGTCTTTTGAGCCTTGTGGGCGTATGGGTGGGTGTGGCCGGATAGTAGTACCACTATAAGATGCGTTGCCATCAAAAGATTATACTTTCTGAAATTCAACTTTCTAGCTGCAATTCCTGAGATTTCAGCAATTTTAGTTTTTTGCGATTTATGGGCGTTTGAGTGGGCGTGGCAGGATGCTGTAATAAACTTGCGCTGTCCCGGGACCTCAAGAATCTTCATGCTTAATCTCAACGTTGTATCTGCTATAGTTCCTGAGATCTCAGCGTTCATACGGACGGACGGACGGACGGACGGACGGACGGACAGACGGACATGGCTCAATCGACTTCGCTATTGATCCTGATCAAGAATATATATACTTTATATGGTCGCAAAAGCTTCAATCTATCTGTTACATACTTTTCAACGAATCTAGTATACCCTTTTACTCTACGAGTAACGGGTATAAAAAATTAAATCTTAAAAAATGAAGGCCACAGTTTTTAGCTGTTCGTGAACGTTAGAATGAGCCTTGTTGGATGAAAAGGAAACTTGCGCAATCTTTGAAATCAACATGCTTAAATGACATACGGTCAGACGGACATTGCAAAATAGACTCGGATGGTGAACCTGATCAAGAATATTTATTCTTTTCTTTATAGACATTTAACAGTGGTTGTTGAAGTTTTTATAGTTGCCGAGATCTAACCGTTCATATAGATAAATAGATGAATGAACGACAGCCCGTTCAGATGATTATGGCTACAGTTACTTCTCTCGTAATATTAATCAAGAGTATATGTATGTATGTATATTCCTTTTAGGGTAGGATACGTATAAACTGTAGCACTCAATTATGTCGATCATTGTTGTATTTTATTATTTTATTATAATAAAAATGTAATATCACACATATATAAAACCATCAAAACATTTTTTGTTGTTGTTGGACATCAAAATATGAATGTGAACACACGTATACGCCTTGAAGGAAGAGAACGCAGCCTACATTTTGAAAGAGTCCAAACATTGTGTTTTCTAGTGCTGCAGTGCATTATTATAATAAACACATAAATTGTTATAAATGAAACGTCCGCCCATTGTGTTGGCATATTGTGTATTTTCAAATTAAATCAATTATATATGCACTTAAATCATTTTTGTAACTGTGGAACGGTTTCGAAGTAGATAACGAATGTTAAAAAGGTAAATATTTAATATATGAGCTGTAATTCCAATATATTTTAAACCAATTAAAATATTTTTTGATATTTCTGCATTGTCTTATCAAATAGGGTTGTAAGAATTGGATTGCCAAAAGTAGTAAACATAAGATAAAATTGAACTTCATTTAAAGTACTTAATCCGATTTATAGATTTCCAAAAGTCCTTTTTATTGTATGGTTTTATCACAAAAAATATATACATACCAGTAAAAGATTATTTTTTTTATGCACTGACCAGCCTTCTGCTTTCAGCTATAAAAAATATTTCAAATGGGTCAGTAAATTGCTAAGCATTTTTTCGACATGGGGGACATGTCCATCCTGTGCAGTAAAACATAGTTAATGATTACCGAGGATCTTATTGGAACCCACCACTCGACTGTAAATTATTATAAAGTATCCACTGTGCCCGTATATCTATACTTAAATTGGACCATGACAGCACCCTCTTCTTAAATCATTATTAAATTAAATTGTATGTAAAAGAGTCAAACAATCGGTCCCCTTATATTTAAGCGTCGCTTAAATTGTCATGCCACCATAATGGAAAATCTCAGTTTGAGAAACAGAGCATCATTTTGGGTAGTTTAGATACTCAGTTTGATGCAAACAAGTGGCCTGGTAGGGTGCTGTTTTTGTGATTACGCTGGGCTTTGACGAAAACGAAACTTGATCAGACCGGACTAGGTTGTACTAGTAACGCCGTAGTGTTCTGTTGTCCTTCATTATTTAGCTATCGTCCTCAGTAAAAAAACTGAATTTCTTCGGAAAGGCAATACTAACGAAATGTACCTAAATTGCGGAAACGATGGTGACGGAGGAGGAGATGGGTGCAAGGCTGAATCTATTGAATTGGCAAAAGATTTGATTCGCCCAAAAAACTTGCAGTCAAACGTACCAATCAGTATGGACACGCCCAATAAACAACAGGTTAGTAAAGGCTGTTTATAAATTTCTTGAGGTTCTTGTGTTGTTTTTGAGTTAAATCAGAATATTTGAATGAATTTATTAAAAAACTTATTGAAACTAATTTTTTACAAATAATATCATATATATCGACTGATAGCAACTGTCGTGTTGTTTCTTTCTATGAAGTTTGGAAGGCCTTCTTTTACTTGTTCGTTAATACTTTTATACCTTTTTTATGTATTATTTTTACAAGTTATGAGTTTAAATATTTTGGAATTAAGTAAAATAGAGTAGATCATCTAAATCAAAATAAAATATTGCATCCTTCAACAGTTACTCACCAAAGTTTCGGCCATTTTGAACGCGCAGTTTTTAGTTGATCGGAGAAAATTGTGTACTGAGCTCTTATTACTTACTTCGTTGAAAAGTATGTAACAGGTAGAAGGAAGCGTTTCCGACCCTATAAAGTATATATAGATTCTTGATCAGGATGAATAGCGAAGACGAATGAGCTATGTCCGTCTATCTGTCCGTCCGTCCGTATGAACGCTAAGATCTCAGGAACTATAAGAGATACAAAATTGAGATTAACCATGAAGATTCTTGAGGACCCTACGCAGCGCAAGTTTATTACAGCATCCTGCCACGCCCACTCTATTGCTGAAATCTCAGGAACTATTGGATCTAGAAAGTTGAAATTCAAAAAGTATAATCTTTAGATGCCAGCGCATCTTACAGTGGTACTACTATCCGGCCACACCCACCCATACGCCCACAAGACTCAAAAGACGGTTTTCGGATTTTCTAGAAAAGCTGATATCTCGGTAACTATATGAGATAGAAAGTTCGGATTAAGCATGTAGGTTTTTATGAAGCTCCCAAAGCGAATTGTTTTTTTCGAACAAGCCACGCCCACAAAACCCGAAAAACCAAAAATGCAAAAATCTCAAAAACTATAAGAGCTAAAAAATTTTGCTTAGGAACACGTATTTAAGAGATGCTTCTGCAACTTGCCACGAAGTTGCATCCGGCCACGCCTACTCTAACGCCCACAAACCGCGGAAAACTGTGGTGTATATTATTATATTATATTGAATGCCTTCGTTTGACCTTGTATTACTTATTTCTGTTTATATCTATCGATTTACCAAAGATTTTTCAAATCGGAACATTATTTCGCTGTTTATAAAGAAATTAAGTTATAAGGCCTCACATGGGCAGTGACGTCACTATATGCATACTCAACATACTTCCTCTGACAATAGGTGGCGCCTTGTGAATTTCCACTAACAAAATTAATATTTTAAAATTGTGTAAAACAGTAACGGGTATCTTATTAAAGGCAATACTCTTTCGCAATTAAAGATGAGTTGGACTCTGTGTTTGGAGGCTCTGCAACTTCTTTTACAACAGTGAAATTTTAGCAGCTTAATTAAATCGCGGCCGTAAGAGTTTGGGAGACGATAAACGTTCGGGACGTGCAAGGAGTTAAACTACTGACGATAATATTTCCAAAGTTCACTAAATGGTGTTAGATGAAGTTTTGCAGAAGTTTTGAAAATATCCAAAGAACGTGTTTATCTCATATTAAATCGAAATTTGGACATAAGAAAGCTATCCGCTCGTTGAATGCGGCGTTTGCTCACGTTAGACCAAAAACGTGCTCAAATGAACATTTCCAACGCTCTCTTGGCGCAGTTTAGGCGCATTAAAACACCAAATGCAGAAAACGGCCCAATTTGCAGAAAAAGAAAATCATGTTTCACCAAGATAACGCGGCGGTCACACCACAGCGGTAGCAATTGTAAAATTCTACCAGTTACAGATCCGAACCGAGCGACTTCATTTTGTTCCCTCGTCTTAAAACTGCGGTCGGAGGACAAAGAGAAGGCCTTTGTGAACAATTATTTTCAAGACAATAATGCAGATTACTATTTGGGCGGTTTACAGAAATGGGAGCATACCTGGGAGAAGTGTGTAGAGTAGCAAGGAGACTATGTAGAAAATCAAATAAAAACAAGAAGAAACGCTATAGAAGAGTGCCGTGGCTATTAGATTTCCTTTATTGTTTTGCTAATTTTAAAATATTCATTTTGCTAGTGAAAATTCCCAATGCGGCACCTATTGTCGGAGAAAGCATTTTGAGTAACTGATAGTGAAGTCACTGCCCATGTGAGGCCTGTGGGCGTTATAGGATGATGAAATAAACTTGTGCTGCGTATGCCTCAAAAATCTGGCTGCTTAATCTCAACTCTATATCTCTTATAGTTCCTGAGATTTCAGCGTTCATATGGACAGACGGACGGACGGACACGGCTTAATCGACTTCGCTATTGATCAAGAATATATGTACATACTTTATAGGGTCGGAAACGTTTCCTTCTACCTGTTACATACTTTTCAACGAATCTAGTATTGCCTTTTACTCAACGAGTAATGAGTATAAAAATGAAAAAAATATCTGCTTCATTGTTAGGTCGGAAAATTTTCAGACCACTCTCGTATAATAAAAATATCATTTCGTCAACCAAAGTCAGAAGGGACGCTAACATTGTTAGGTCGGAAAATTTTCAGACCACTCTCGTATAATAAAAATATCATTTCGTCAACCAAAGTCAGAAGGGACGCTAACTCTGTTTGAGGCACCCGACTAAAATAGAATTCTTTTATTTATGAAACGTAAAGTTCTTTGTTTTTTAACTTGTTAAGATACTTGTAAAGTTCGCATTTACATTACATTAAATTGTCGAAGTTCACTTCTTATCAACGTTTTTATATAAATGTGTTTTCAGTTGGTTAAAATTGAACAAATCCCCGATCGCGGATCATGGTCGTCCAAAATGGATTTCATATTATCAGTAGTAGGCCTAGCTATTGGTTTGGGAAACGTTTGGCGATTCCCTTATTTATGCTACAAAAACGGAGGAGGTGCATTTATATTACCATACATAATAACTTTGTTTTTAGCTGGGATTCCAATGTTTTTCATGGAGTTAGCTCTTGGTCAAATGTTGACTATTGGTGGACTCGGAGTATTTAAAATCGCCCCAATATTTAAAGGTAAGGCCCGATTTCTTTGTATTAAACTACTTTTATTATCATTAAAAGCAGAATTGATATCAGCAAATAAATCTCTCACCTTAAATTTACACTTTCAATTAGCAAAAAGTATACTGGTCAATATCTATAGCCGAGTCGATTTAACCATGTTTGTCTGTCTGTTCATATGAAGGCTTGAATGTGTAACTACGAGGTGTGTTCAAAAAGTAAGGTGACTCTTCAAATTTCGCGAATTTCAAATTTTTCGATTATCGAAACCTTTTAGAAGTTATACGAGGTGTGTTCAAAAAGTAAGGTGACTTTTCAAATTTCAAATTTTTCAAATTTTTCGATTATCTTCAGTTTTGGGAACAAGAAAAAGTCACATGGGGCCAAATCCGGTGAATATGGTGGCTGAGGCATTATTGTGGTGTTGTTTTTGGCCAAAAAATCCAAATCCTTTGATCCATATTTTTCGATAGCAAAAAATCGCCGAGCTCGCAAAACAACTTGTAACTTTACGCCTCTCACAACCAAACAAAAGAGGATGTTCCATTGAAACTTGGTACAGATGTTAGGGAAGAGTGTACCAATATAACAAAACAAAAAAATCGATAATCGAAAAATTTGAAATTCGCGAAATTTGAAGAGTCACCTTACTTTTTGAACACACCTCGTATATGGGATGATTGTTAAAAAAAAAAAACAACTTTCTACCTCTGCGATTTTAGTTATTCGTGTTTGGTGAGCGTTAAAGTGGGTGGTAAAGCGTAGCCAGATTCCACTTGCGCCAGAAGCATCTCACGAATCTGCGTGCTTTATCACAGCTCTGCATTTCTTATATTTCCTAAGTTCTCACCGCATATACGGATAGACGAACGGACATGGCTAAGTCAACTCGTCTATTTCAATGAATACAATATACCCTTTTGCTCTACGAGTAACGCCTATAACAAGGAGTAAAAATTATCTATTTGTATTAAATTTACTAATTTTTCTATTCACATGTGTACATAATTAAATACAAGAGCTTAGCCTAGCTTAGCTGTTTACATATTCATAATGTTTTAATATACGTATCGTTTCTACGAAAGGAATTGGATATGCTGCCGCCGTTATGTCTTGTTGGATGAATGTTTACTATATTGTCATATTGGCCTGGGCGGTATTTTACTTCTTTATGTCCATGAGAGCAGGTGTGGATATGTTATTTTATATAAAATAATTAAATGAATATGTTTTATGCATAGTTAACAAATATTTTTTCAGATGTACCTTGGAGAACGTGTAATAATTGGTGGAACACACTCAGTTGTGTCAGTCAATATGAAAGGAAAAATTTACATTGCTGGGATAAGATAATTAATGGCACTTCACAAAAAGTATGTTCTGTATCAGCGGTAAACATTACGTCTTCAGAACTTACAGATCCAGTTAAAGAGTTTTGGGAGTACGTAACTTATTTTTTAATTTTTTATTCGAGCACATATGTATGTATACCGATTTCATTAAATAAACGGTTTCGTTTAAGGCGTCGTGCACTTCAAATATCAAATGGCATCGAGGATATAGGAATTATTCGGTGGGAGTTGGCTGGAACTCTGTTACTTGTATGGATCCTCTGCTACTTTTGCATTTGGAAAGGAGTGAAATGGACAGGGAAAGTGGTATATTTTACTGCCCTATTTCCATATGTACTTCTGACCGTTTTGCTCGTTCGGGGAATAACTTTACCTGGCGCTTTGGAAGGAATTAAATTTTATATTATTCCCAACTTTTCCAAGTTGTCAAATTCTGAGGTTGGTTTGATTTTTAATTATTTTAAAATTCTGAGGTTTGTTTGATTTTTAATTATTAAGTAAACTGTAAGCTAAGCACATATTGAGCAGTGAGCAGAAAAGGAATATTTTAATCCATATATACTGTGCCTCTCAATGTCTCTTCATCTGTCCGTATGAACGCTGAGATTTCACGATTTCGCAACTGCATTCATATAGTCCTGCATTCATAGTCTAGTCTAACAAAACAGGCACAACTTAAAAAGTTAAAATTCCAGGAACTATAGAAGGTGGAATGCTTATATAAAACATTATCTGGGTCTACAAGTAATAGAAAGTTGGGATTACCGACCGCAGCGTATTATTTTTCCACGTGTACTCAAACTCAAAAAATAACTGGAATATGGGATTAAGCAGACATATTCCAAGTGGTTTCATCACCCGGGACCGCCCACACTAATTACAATTTACGTTTTATGTTGATTAAGCTATCGGCTTGCTTTTAATACGTAGGTTATACGGCCCCATATGGGCCGTATCAATGTTTTTTTTTTTGAGAATTGGGGCGCTGGTAAAACTGTGGACTGCGCCAATATCTGCAAGCAAAATTATAAAAAAAACTATATTTCAGTTTTACATTTATTTGTATTTTTTTTGTAATTTGTATTTGTTCATTTTGTTAATAAACTAAATTTACAAAAATGTCTTTCAGGTCTGGATAGATGCGGTTACGCAGATATTTTTCTCATATGGTCTTGGACTAGGTACTCTAGTTGCATTGGGAAGTTACAACAAGTTTACCAACAATGTTTATAAGTGCGTTGTTATTGCATATTAAAAGATTTTAAAGAATATAAAATAACATAATTATTTTCAGGGATGCACTAATTGTCTGCACAGTTAATTCTAGCACTAGCATGTTTGCTGGATTCGTTATATTTTCTGTTATAGGATTTATGGCTCATGAACAACAGCGACCAGTAGCTGAGGTAGCTGCATCGGGACCTGGTCTAGCATTTCTTGTTTATCCATCGGCAGTTCTGCAGTTGCCGGGATCTCCAATGTGGTCTTGCCTCTTTTTCTTCATGCTTCTCCTTATTGGATTGGACTCACAATTTTGTACGATGGAGGGTTTTATTACTGCGATAATTGATGAATGGCCACAATTGTTGAGGAAACGTAAAGAAATCTTTATTGCTATTGTATGCGCACTAAGCTACTTAGTGGGCTTAACCTGCATTACACAAGTAAGTGTTAAGGCTTGAATTTTTGTAAGGCGAATTTCAAAGGGTCTCCTCATTTTTTAGGGAGGAATGTATATATTTCAAATATTGGATTCGTATGCAGTTAGCGGCTTTTGCTTACTTTGGCTTATATTCTTTGAGTGCGTTTCAATATCTTGGTGCTATGGAGTTGATCGATTTTATGATGGTATTAAAGATATGATTGGGTATTATCCAACGGTTTGGTGGAAATTTTGCTGGTGCGTTACTACCCCAGCTATATGCTTGGTTAGTATTTTTTGGAATAATGGTTTCAAATATAATATATATTATTTTGTTTTTTATAGGGTGTTTTCTTTTTTAACATAGTTCAGTGGACTCCCATTAAATACTTGGACTACAGCTATCCATGGTGGGCGCACGCTTTTGGTTGGTTTACTGCATTGTCATCCATGCTTTATATACCAATATATATGTTCTGGTTATGGAAAAGAACTCCCGGTGACCTCGGCGAGGTAAATTTATTAAAAATTTGTTGGCCCTAATCATTTTACACATAAATCTCTTTTTTAGAAAATCCGAGCTATAGTTAGGATAGACGAAGATGTAACTGGGTTACGCGAAAAAATGCAGAGAGAAGCTTGTGCCAAGGAGATTGAATTTAACTCTTAATATATATAAGTTTTAGGTTGCTTTTTCGTATAGCTAAATTTGATTTAAATTGATTTCCTTTATTTTAGAAAATGATCCAATAAGAGACAACGGATATAGGTACTTTTCTTCGATCTTTGAATCATCTTTCCTATCTTGGCTCTAACCTTTGTAATAGTTCTCTCTTTTTTTAACTCTAAATAATCAAGCGGAATAAACCTGGGTTTTAAATGAGTATTGCAGTTTCACATGTGGTACTTACTCAAAAATTGTGAGTTCAAAATATCTTGAGTGATTGGAATCTTCAGTTTCTGAATATTCTGCTTGTAAGCTATTGTATCTCCAAAAGTACAGTGTAGAAGCTTAAATCCAATTTTAATTTGGTTGGCTTTTAGCCTGCCAGAGTCAAGTTCTCATCCATTAGCTTAGGTTACTGATATAAAAGATAAAAAAAATACATATTTAATATTGCAGATGTAAAAAATAAAGCACTCAGCCATTGAATTGCACATTTTGAAAATTGATTAATAACAAAAATCGTATGCGCTAGCAGTATTAAAAGTTTTTCGATTATAATTAATTAAAATAATTCGTGAAGTGCCCTTGCTATGTGTGGCGCTATCCTAAAACTTCATGTAAAAACTTAATGGGATGTCCGCAAGAAGAATACAATTTTTTAAAGCTTCCTTTCATACTTTCATGACTGCCACAACTGCTGGGCTTGCACTTATTTATCTAAAAGAGTAAAACAATGTTTCAGTTTGATTAAAATACGTTTTTTTAAACTATTGACAATAAAAGGTAATTTGCAATATAGTTATGTTTCGGAATAAGAAAAGTAATATAAGATTGTCGTTATTTATATAATTATTTTAAAGCCCCTAATGGTGTTTCATGCCCTTTTTTGTAATTTATCTAAAAAATGTTTATATGTTGCTTACCTGTCAAATAAATTAAATATTTATTTATTACATATTGATGCAGCTTACTTTGATCTGATTTGATTTTTAAATGACTACTTTAATTGGCGGTATAGACAGTAAGCATTTGGTTATCAAATGTTACAAAAGTTTTCGCTGGGGCTTTCCAAATCAGTAATTCGTTTTAAAACTATAAAATCTTCTGTTTACTGTTTTTAAAACATGTTTTTATCTTTTTTATAAACTATGTTTTTATGACTCGCTTATAAAGGTTGTTTTTTTAGAAGCTTAAGTTGGCATTACTGTTCAAGATTTAAAAGCTGTCAAGTGATTTACGCCTGAGCAACGCTTGCAATTTTATTTCGAAAATAATGCTTCTGTACAAAATACGTATCGCGCACCACGTTCATTTTATCGTCGACAAAATCGATGAAGCGCACTTCTGGTTGAATGGCTACGTCAACAAGCAAAATTGAATTCAAATAATTCGAATTCATGTCAATCGAATAATACATCGTTGTTTTATTTAAATTTTATGTTATATGGCTAAATAGACTTTAGTGTAATAGTATTCAAAATTACCTTTTGTGTCTTTAAATTTTAAATGAACATATATGATTTTTTTTTTGATTATTATATATCCTTAAATAATATATACATATAAAATATGGATTACAATTCCACAAAGCAGGAAACCAAAAATAAAATGTGTTAGCTGTATTCGCTGAAAAGTATGTACGTCTTCTGAGCAAAAAGTATACATTTATACCAAGAAGAAGCGCCAAATAAACGATGTGTGGTACCTAATTTTAAAATAATAATTTATCTAGCAAAAATTGACTCCGTGTGACTTCCGTGACTTTTCATATTTTCACATGTCTTGGCATGTTTATGTTAATGACGTCACTGCCATAGGCATTATAACCTTTAATATATTGTTAAATAAGGATCGAACTTGAGAAAATTGTCATAAATCAAGAGGTACTAACAAATCCCAAACCATAAAAAAATGTACGCCACAGTTTGTGGTTTAATATCAAGTTCTTAACTCTTATAGTTCCTGATATTTCATCATTTTTAGTTATTTGATTTTCGTAGGCATTACGATTGATAGAATGCCGAAATAAACTTGAGCTACGAAACCATCTCAGGATTCTGGGATCCCAGCGTTCACACTGACAGAAGGAACACACATGTAGATGACAAAAAAATATTATAAAAGGGCAAACGAAGAAAATCCTTTTAATAACAATATAGACGCCACAGTTTTCCGGCTTGTGGGCGTTATAATGGACGTAGCAGGGTGCTGAAATAAACTTGCGCTGCGATGAACCTCAAGAATCTGTCTGTATCTCTTATAGTTCCTGAGATCTCAGCGTTCATACGGACAGTCGGACGGACGGACAGACGGACATGGCTTAATCGACTTCCCTATTGGTACTGATCAAGAATATAAATATTTTATAGGGTCGGAAACGCTTCTACCTGATATTTTTCAACTAATATACGGTACTGCAACATATTTTATTTTGGAAATCAAGAGTCAATCAAGACTATTACAACAGGCAATGAGTCTTAAAATTTAATTTTAAAATTTGTTTATAACTTGCATATGTACGAGATGCGACTTCAAATGCATTGTTCCGCCCATTCATAACATCAGAAATTGTACACGGAGAATAATAGTTTAATAGGAATATATAGATCTTTTACAATACAAAGTAAACGTAATCGACATTTCAAAATCTAAAATTTTACTTTAAGGTTATATATAGGTTGGTATTTGTGAGAAATTACATTTATTACAAACTGTATTTAGCTCTGGTCTTTTTTGTTTGTTCATACACCAAGAAGCAAAGCGCAATTCCTCAAAAATTTCAAACCAAAAGCAACGGTTTGGTGGTGTATAAGTCCATTCGCTATTGAAAACCACTCCTTGGGTTAAGTCATGTTTGGCATTGACACCTGATAAACCTCTATGATGCTTTCGAAAATTATACCAGAATTCGATGAGCGCCACAACAGCAGCTACAAAAATTCCAGCTATAAGCACCACAAACACACCACCTGGAAAATTTAAAATGTATTTAACTGCATTGAACAATTAACGTGTTAGAACTTACCTATGCTTTCCAGACCGAGAGCATTTGCTTTTGATTGTTTGCTTGCGCTTTTTCGGGTACAAGTTTCATCCGTGTTTTTCCACCATTTATCATACAACATTTGAATATCCCCCTTTTCCTGAAGTTCAAGTATAGCCAAAGAAATTTTATCCCGCCAAGGGGAACCTTTTGGTGTTGCTATGCCATATCCTTTAAAATTTTAATTTTAGATATGGTTGATTGATTAAATTTGATTTATTATGCATTTATATAATGTATAAAACTGTAGACGCAAAGTAAAACAAAAATAAACTCTAAAGACGTGAGTGCTAAGCAACTTTCAAATATATTAATTCTGCTACGGGAATTTGACGCCGTGCAAATTTATTCTAGCCCATATAAACATTTTTCGTTCACGTCAATGTCCTTTATAATAGTGAAATAATATTCCGATTTGAAAAATCTTTGGTAAATCGATAGATACTACCCAGAAGTATTGTACAAGTTCAAAAAAAAACATAACGATTAATATTATGAGCTCCACAGTTTTCGGTTTACGGTTTGTTGGCCTTAAATTAGCCCTGGCCGGATCAAAAATCACGTCGAGCTGCAATGGCATCTCTAGAATACGTATGCCTAAGCATAACTAGCTCTTATAGTGGGAGGGACCGGATGAAAATACCACGTCGAGCTGCGGTGGCATCTTAAAAATATGTATGCCTGATCCTAAGATTGTGGCCAGATGGGGAAAAAATAATACGCATTGGGGTCATAAAAAAACATGCTTGATTCCAATTATATCATCTATAGTTACCGATGTATCAACGAGCTCATTTTTCTGTGGCAATCTGAAATCTGGGTATTACAAGCTTTTGTTTTGATAGATGATATTGCGCGAAAAGAGAGGTATCGATCGTAGATATCAAGAGTAATTAACATATTTTTGATCTCTCGTTACAAACCTTCCTATTATGTGTTTATGTTATTTGTACATTATTAGTCATGAATATTATATATATATATAGCCATATTATATATATATTATAGCCATTAAGTTGAATGATTGACTTTTAATAAATTAAATTAAATTGTGTTATCCAAATACATATACATCTTCTAAAAATGTATCATTTATACCTTTCGTATCCAGCAATCCTCCGATTTGTGTCAAATTACAATCTCTCTGCACGATATAATCAAGCATTGTGGATTCCATCAAAAATGCATAATTACCCTGATTAACTCGCCTTATACCATCCTCATATGTTGTCGTAAATGCAGTTGATCTTTTATTGTCCATGCTCCTCCACATTTTTTTGTATGTTTCAATCATCGAATCCTGGTAAATTCCCAGCAATAAAAGAATTTAAGTAATATAATTTTGCTTACCCGAAAAAAAGTCATCGTAGAACCGCTATCCAAAGTGCCATAAGATATTTCTGTCTGTGAAGCCAAATCTTCTGCGTTTTCAATAGGGTTAATCATACGTTCAGTGGTTAGAAAAGCAGCTAAATTAGCAGTGTAAGACGCCACAATAATTAACGAAAAAAAACCCCAAATACTGCTTATTATTCGTGTTGACATTGCTCTGGGATAAATATCGGTAGACTGTTGCATTAGAGTTCCAATAGTAAACCAAAAACTATCAGATAGAGAAAACTGGTTGCCAATTGAAATAATATCTAAATTGCAGGGGTGGATATACTTCCACTCGTTGGGCGATAGTTTACCAACAACATATATAGAAATAGATACAAGGAAATATGCAATAAGCACATATATCCAAATTTCTATTGCCAACGGATTCATAAAGGAAAATAATCTTGTCGGCTCTGAAGCTGGGACCTAAAATAAAAATAAATTATGCTGCGGTCAAATCTTGAAGTATAATAAATGGTATTTCAAACCTTAAATAAAATACTTATTCCCAAATTCATAAATGGTTTAGTGAAATCGATTACACTCTCTCTTGCATATGTGATAGTCATAGAACCAACGGCTAAATCCGCCTTCTAAATATTTGTTAATGTTAATGTTATGTTATAAACAAAAAAGTTATACATAACGAACATTTTTCATCAGCTGAGCGACCATTCCATTCCATTCACCAGTTTCAGGATCTTTGGCCCCATATTTTCTATCGGGAACCAAATCCAATATATAATCAAACCCAACCTCATGAGAAATGGTTTCAAGTATATCAACGCAAAACCCATAAAATCGTTCGTTGCCCGTAAAATTTTTACCGTAATGCATCATTACGTAAGGAGTTTCCTTAAAATAAAATGATATAATCCTTTACATATTGTATACTCGATTGTTTTTCCTTACATACCAGTATTGTTATGACTACCAGTGTCACATTCATAAAACCAGTATCAAAGAACATCGATGGTTCTGTAATGTTTAAATGTCCATGAGGTGTCCATTCACCAACTTTTATAATGGAATGTTGTTTCAGTTTTATTAAGTCCAACTTAAATTGTACTCGCTGGCCCTCTTTAAATTGAATGGGACCTGTCAGACCTTTCCATTCAACCTAAAAGAAAATGTTTTTTCATAGATAAGAGCCAAATTTAACATTTTTATACATTTTAGTTAAACTGTGAATTAGTTTTCGCAATGATCGACTTATTATATTGAAATCCATAATACTTAATAAAATGGTAAGAACGGGTTTTCTGAAGCAAGATTGTACGCTTTATAGAGAGCGTGCCCGGATGAAATTTAGGGGCACGTTGTACTGGTATCTCTTAAATACTTATTCTTAAGCACAACTGTCTAGCTCTTATAGTTCCCGATATTCGCATTTTTGGTTTTTCGGGCTTTTTGGGCGTTAGAGTCGGCATCTAAAGATTATACATACTGAATTTCAATCTTTCTAGCTCTAATAGTTCCTGAGATTTCAGCGATTTTAGTTGTTCGTGCGCTTGCGTATAGACCAATAATAATCTCAATAATCTTCATGCTTAATCTCAACTTTGTAACTCTTAAAGTTGCTGAGATCTTAGGATTCTTACGGACAGACGGACCGACATGGCTCAATCGACTTCGCTATTGATCCTGATCTATATACATATATACTTTATAGGGTTGAAAACGCTTCCTTCCACCTTTTACTCTACGAGTAACGGGTATAATAACATAATTCTTAATCAAAAGGACTATGTGACTTTATCCATTAGTTTAGGTTTTGGACTGTTTAAGTGTGTAGAGGGTTTCACCCAACAATATCAATATTACTAAGAGGAGAAAACTATGATAATGAATTACTATGATGAATTTTTTTCTTAAATTGATTTTTAACTAAAAAGAGGATTGAGTTCAGATTATGTTAGTAAGTTACAAATTAAGATATCATACGCACCGCATTTAAATAATTAATTAGGCTCAGACCCCCATTCCATGGATTTTCCTCGTCGCATGATATTTTAGACAGGTTTAAAGTATGTGATTGTTTCAATGTTTGTAATCCAATAGCAAAAACGTACACAGAATCGAACATTAAGGCAGGCTCTGACTGAAAATTGTTAGCATAGTAGTTATAAAATAACTTACATTAAGCTTACCTCAATGGAAATAGATTTTCTGACATGTAGATTTTGTGGCTTTTGAAACATATGGTGCTGAAAAGATCGGAGACCCTTTAAAATCTGCTTTACGCCAACATCTTCTATGTCGACCAATCGAAATGATGTAATGTTTACAAAATTATATTTAAAATCTTCCAGATCATACATTTCCAAGTCAAAACTGGTAAACAAATAATGGTATTTGTATTCATTCATTTGCTGCTGTAATATCTAAAGTTTTATATAGGAAAAAAGATTAATACTCAGGCTGGGTTTACACTTACATATGTTGTCTTATACGATTTCTGCATTACAGCACTTTTTAACATACATACTTTATCATACAATCACAATATAGCTTTAACTATATTTTATTTACCTGTTGATATGTATATAATCACGAAAAACTAGTGTTAAAATAAATTATAAATTTAATACAAATTAAAATACGATATTTTTACAAATAGGTTGATTTTAAGCAGCCTTTTTTCTTTTTTAACAAAAAAGTTGGGTGCCGCGAGTATGAGCTATGTAGGCATCTTAAGATTCGGACTTGATTAATTCCAGCTATATTTCTTACTTTATGGGATCAGATTCCTTCTACCTGTTAAATACTTTTCAACGAATACATTACATACCTTTACTTTACGAGTAACGGATATAATAAGGGAAATTTTGTTGAACTTGTAAAATATACCAATCTTACATTTTTTAATAAAACCGAAATTCCGTCCGAATTAGTATCAATTATAATATTGTGAATTTCCTTTCCCTTAAAAGCGTTCAGAACAGACAGATACGACCCTCGAGAAACTTGTCTCATGTGCACTTCACATTGAATAGAGCGGGATAGCTGTTTCAAATTTATAATTCCTGTAAGTACGTAAATATTTAAACGTAAGTACCTGGTACTCTGTTTACCAATTTAACAAAAAGAAAAACTATAATCGAATCAAGTGCTACGTCTATCAGATAACTATTTATTTGACAGCATACTCCGGTAAAAAATAATAAAATAAAATACAGTAGCTCAATATACCCTTTTACTCTGCGAGTAACAGGTATGCAAATACACTGAGCCTTTGTTACGTAAAATGTTCATGGGTGGATTTACTATAAATATTTTATGTTTTTTCGCCAAACGTTGATGCTATTCACCAAAAATGGTTCACACGGCTAAACCGACCAAAGCCTGAACAACAATAAGCATTTTTCTTAATATCGGAAACGATTTATACTACCTGTTACAAATACGAGAAACTCTTTAACGGAAAATAATGGAATAGCAACATAAGTTAAAAATTTTTAATTTTATACAAATCGGTTGCCCTGTTTTAGTGTTACAAATACGAGAAACTCTTTAACGGAAAATAATGGAATAGCAACATAAGTTATAAATTTTTAATTTTATACAAATCGGTTGCCCTGTTTTAGTGTTGGTTTAAAGGACTCACCGTGTTTTTTTTCATGCAAAATTCCGAAGCGGGTCCAATTCAGATAATGAATTACATCGTTAAATGCCTGATTTACGTATTGCTGCGATGGAAACACGTTCAGTGAGAAGTCATGGACAGACCGGCCTATACTTGGTATGTCCAAGGCATCGCAAACTGAATTAATATGAGTAGCCAAAATCGTATCAGTTGGACTAAAAACAGCTTGAACACCAACATTTATAAGTTTGCACACTAGTATATATGAACGATACAATAAAATAATATTTAAATTTTGTGCTGTTAGCCTTACCCTTTTGAACTGTCTCAAAAGAGTCAAATCGGTTTACATGTTCGATGTAGTAATCCATGGTAGTCTCTGGCAAGAGACTTTGGTCCATATTTAACCTATGTATAGCGTATTTAAATGCCATTTCCGAAGTATACTTTTCGGCGTGGTTTGAAAATATGGCACCTTAGAAAAAATATCAAAAGCTTGGATCGAAAATTGCAGCTGTAGTTTACCAATTCTAACTAAGGGAGGAACTCCCGAAGCGTATGAAATAACTTGAAGTAGTTGTAAGCCATTTGCTATCAAATTCATTACGACCGCAGCCCCGTGGCATGGAAAAAAGAACTGGTGTAAGTTAGTTTGCTCGAATACTGAACTAAAATACTCACGAAGCCGTTCAAATGTATGTATGTAAAAAAAAGAAGAGGAGCTAAAGTCGAGTGCCGCGACTATAAGACACCCGTTACTGTTTTACACAATTTTAAAATATTCATTTTGCTAGTGGAAATGGACAAAGCGCCAGAATAAGCATGATGAGTAACTGATAGTGACGTCACTGTTCATTTGAGCCCTTAAAACCTATATTTCTTTATCAAAAGTGGATTAATGTTCCGATTTGAAAAATCTTTGGTAAATCGAAAAATATTGACAAAAAAATGTTATACGCCACAGTTTTCCGCGGTTCCATTGCTCGCGTCGAGCTGCAATGGCCTCTCAAAATTCCTAAGCTTTTATAGTTCCCGATTAGCATTTTTGGTTTGATGCGCTGGCATCTCAAGATTATACATACTTAATCCCAATCTTCAAGCTCTAACAGTTCCTGAGATTTCAGCGATTTTAGTTTCCATGATTCACGTTTTCATTAACAGCTACAGTGGTCGCAACCATATGATTACCGGTACTCTATTTGTCAAGATACAGATAAATAGGTTGAACGATCCGTTAATTTCAAAATAAATATGCTAGCAGAAGAAAACGAGATCTGTAATCTGTTTGTAGAATCCCTTTTTTATGTTTTCACCTTTTATAACTTTTTTCAATACCTTTCAATTTATAGAAGGCAGGGTATGAGGGCCCCACATGGGCAATCGACAGTTACGAGGTGTGTTCAAAAAGTAAGGTGACTCTTCAAATTTCGCGAATTTCAAATTTTTCGATTATCGATTTTTTTGTTTTGTTATATTGGTACACTCTTCCCTAACATCTGTACCAAGTTTCAATGGAACATCCTCTTTTGTTTGGTTGTGAGAGGCGTAAAGTTACAAGTTGTTTTGCGAGCTCGGCGATTTTTTGCTATCGAAAAATATGGATCAAAGGATTTGGATTTTTTGGCCAAAAACAACACCACAATAATGCCTCAGCCACCATATTCACCGGATTTGGCCCCATGTGACTTTTTCTTGTTCACAAAACTGAAGATAATCGAAAAATTTGAAAAATTTGAAATTTGAAAAGTCACCTTACTTTTTGAACACACCTCGTATAACTTCTAAAAGGTTTCGATAATCGAAAAATTTGAAATTCGCGAAATTTGAAGAGTCACCTTACTTTTTGAACACACCTCGTATAACAACCTTTTTTACTGACAAAAGGTAGCTCTAGGAAAATTTGCTTCAATTTCTGGTAGTAGAATTTCTTATTTCCAATATCTCTGGTATATTATTTGTTAGTTGATTGATAATTTTAAAAAAAAATTCGGCAAAACTATCTTGGTTTCGCATTTTAATTTAATTTTTAAAGATGCAGAACGAGTAAATGATGGTTGATGAGAGTCAGCTCTGTCGGTGTATAGCACCTGCTAGCGCATATTATTTGCCGCCAGACATATATGGACTACCGTGATAATTACTCAAGCTAAGATGTATGAATTATGATCCTATTGCTTTTCCAGAATGGGTTTCAAATATTACTGGATATATACAACGAGCTCTAATATTTCTATAAAAATAATTTTTAATTTTTCCAAAGGAAATATATGTAAAGATATAACGAAGATTACACCTGTGATCAAGGCGTCAAAATCTCATTTCAGATTTTCTTTTACTAAACAGATCAAGAGGAAACGCTATAGTCGAGTGCGGCGACTATAAGATACCCGTTACTGTTTTACACAATTTTAAAATATTCATTTTGCTAGAAAAAATTTGAAAATTCCCCTATTGTCGGAGAAAGTATGTCGAGTAACTGATAGTGACGTCACTGCCCATGTGAGGCCTTATAACCTAAATTTCTTCATAAATAGCGAAATAATGTTCCGATTTGAAGAATCTTTGGTAAATCGATAGATATTAACAGAAATAAGTTATACAAGGTCAAACGAAGGCATTCATAATATTATTATAGACGCCACAGTGTTCAGCGGTTTGTGGGCGTGGGCGGATGGAAACTAGTGGGAAGTAAACTCAACTTTGTATCTGCTATAGTTCCTGAGATCTCAGCGTTCATACGGACGGACAGACGGACATGGCTCAATCGACTTCGCTTTTGATCCTGATCAAGAATATATATACTTTATAGTACTACGAGTAACAGGTATAAAAACTATGACTGAAAAGAATTTATTCCCACAGAGATAATGGCTTAACAGTAAAAGGCAATAAATAACTTCATTGATATTTTTATTGTGATTTTATAATGTATAACCGAATTTTTTCGGTGGGAATGCTTTAATGAAAGCAAAACCGTATTAAGATTATAACTTCCTATAATGAATATAACACAGGTATTTTCCTTACTGGAAACACAAATACACTCATGAATAGTAGGCGTTTTATCGATATGCACAAGCAGCAAATAAGGACTTAGCCCTAATAATTATCTTTTTACATAAAACGTATACATATAATTTTATCTAGTATATGTTATCTCTATGTCAAACGGGAACATTAAACGCTTCAAATAAGATAATTATATTAGACTTTATCCCTTAATGCTACCGACACTCGTTCAGTCGTTACTGAAAATTTGAATTTTTCATAAATTTATGTATTCTGTTGCAATACATAACATTTATTGATGTATATTTTACCATATGTGTTTGCATGCACTTGAAAATACTTCCCTTTCCCAAGACCAGTGATGGGAGTCATAGTCATAACACATTGACTTAAATAGGACGGTATGCTTTTATGATATAGCAAACCAACAAATATATCAATTTTTTGACATAATTTATATGTATATCTATGTTGGATGTTTTTTGTTTTATATTGATTAAATTTAAACTTACATATACAAGTTTAGATCTATGAACGATGAAGAAAAATAAATCTACGGGCATACAAAATTCTAAGTCCATTCGTCTATCAGTCAATCCACTGTAATATTCTTCACAACATGGTCTTGCTCTTCATACGTACTTAGTATCGAATTATTTGAAGCTTTTGGGTGTGCTTTGAGTCACAGAATGCGGTAGTCAATGGCCAATGACCAATGAAAATGATCATTGACTCTTTAATCATCAACAATGGAATAAACTAGAGATATATAATCAAAGTCAGCTTCTCTGCCTGATGACCTGCTTTGACCCTGAAGAGCTTGGGTTTGGCTAGTTTGACGCCATGTTGAGTTGGTGCTATTAGTTAGGTTAGAAGCGCTAGACTGCCCACCAGTTATGTTTAGATTGTTTGAACTACTCTTTGAGACAGTAGTATTTGCAGATCCTGGGCCACCGTTTATAGAATTGCTACTCGATGTTCCGGCTCCTACAGAACCTGTACCAGAGCTAACTGCTCCGCCAGAAGAGTTTGAAGCAGTGCCCCCACTAGAACCAAGAAGGTTCGAATTTGTCAAACTTGTGGTGTTCTGGTTACAAATGCCCCCGCCACTACTGGTGCCAGTGTTATTGCCATTATTGCCGCTGCCACCGCCACTAGCACTAGTATTTCCGTTACTGTTGCCGTTACTAGTGTTTCCAGATAAACTAGCTCCAGAGCTACTGGCGCCATTATTAGATGGAGTTCCGACGGCTCCGCCGTTGCCAGCACTAGTTCCGCTTGAACTTGCAGAGGAAGCTATTTGTGGTAGGTGCTGCATTATGTTCTGTACATCATTTTCGCTAGGAGATTCAGCAAATATAGTAGTGTTAGCGAGAACACAATTATTTAACGCCATTTGTGCTTTGTTCGCCTCCTCTCTAGTTGTATATTTACATAAGGCAATTCCTTGGTTCAAATATAGGTGAAAACTTACGAGAGGACCATGCTGCATACACAATGTACGTAATGTAGGTCCGTCAATCTAAAATAAAAAAAAACAAACTATTAACTATCGGTTCAATGAATAGTTGATTAGAAATAAAATAAAACAAGATCGAATTCTGTAGTCTTACTCTTTTAACTAATTAAAAAATGATAATTGCTAGATTCGAGTGCCGCGAGTATGTAATGCCCGTTATTTTGTTATCCAATTTAAAAATAATCAGGAATTGCCGCCATGAATAATATTACCAGCACCACCTTTTGTCAGAAAAACATGATTAATAGCTGAAGATGAAGGCACTGCCCATTTGTCGTCTAGATACCAACATTTCTTAAAAAATTGTGAAATAATGTTCCGGGTAAATCAATAGGTATTGTCAAAAAAAAAGGGTAATATTGTGGACCTCCCGTAAAGGAGATGGGCTGGCATACCTACTTTAATCCTTTCTAGCTCTTATAGTTCCAGATATCTCAGCTACCTACTTTCGTGTTTTATGGGCGTTAGACTTGGCATGACTGAACGCTGAGACAAACTTGAATATGCACGCCTAATACCAAATTCGTATCTCGGGATTTATACGGACAGGCGGATATTATTATATCGACTCGGAATACAGTACAGAATATACAATTTTACTCTGCGAGTAACGGGTATAACAAGAAGAAACGCTTTAGTCGAATTTTGCGATTACTAGTTACCTGCTACCGTGTTAATTAATTAAACATTTATAAATGTTACGCCACTTAAATTGATTTAATTGTAAATTAAACTCTTATGCAAGAATAATACTTTTAGCAATGTGAATATGCAACCTGAAATTCTAACCTAATAAATTTTAAGAAATACATTTTCAAAAATATTGGCAAAAAACATAAAAAGTGAAAAACAGTTCTGAAATACTTAAGATATTAATACCTGTGCTGTTAGGTTTTTAAGCAGCAACCAACTTGACCCCCACGAGGAATTCCCACTAGTCCAGGTTGTATTTGTCGTTTGAACACTACCACTTCGAGTTTGAAGCCATCCATTAGCACCGCCGGTTACATTAGATGGCGTTGGCGTACTAGCATTCCCTCCGTTGCCAGATTTATTTGAATTAGCAGTCAATCCTGGCGGAGGACCTCGTGACGATGATTTATTTAAAGGGCTTGTCCAAAGCTCTGAAGTAGTAGCACATTGTTGACTATTGTCAGACCAACTATACCATTTAAAAGAATAGTAGTTTTAAGTTTTTATCATACGTATTCGATAATATTTATTACCTCGGGAAATTTTGGTTAGGATTAAAGCTCCATGTAGACGACGATAAACTAAGTGGCAAATCAGTCGGTGAATTCTTGCCAGTACTGGCAAAGATGTCAGCATCTTTCGGCGTCGAATTAATGGATAGTGGAGATCTAGCAACGCTTCCAGGTGTAATGCTTGGATCGTCTTCTATGCTCTTGATCTGAGAACCCTTAAAAACAAACTTCTGCTTGGATATGTTTCGGCTTTATGCAATTGAACAGTTTTACCTTCCATGGCTTGCCTGGCTCAAACTCTTGGACCATGTCCGTATAAGCAGTCGCTGCTGAAGTTGGCTGAGCAACTGACCAGTCTTTATTCTCGTTATCAGGTTGAGGATCTGGCCATCCGTCACCAATATTGCGTCCAGTTGACCAAGTACTATAATATCCAAATACATATTTACATTATATTCTCTAGAAAAAAACGTTTTGTAAAATAATACGGAATTGTGAAAGTAACTGTTAAATAAATCAGGCCATTCTTAAGATATTAAGTTTATTAGGCCTTACGTGCATATTAACGTCTCCGTCAGTTAATAAAGATTCCTAAATGTTAAGATTATTGATGGCGTAATATTTCTTTCGAAATCGATTTACAGAATGACAGGTATCTGGTACCTTCGTAAGAAATTATAAAATGGAAAATTATTAGATTTGCTAGAATTCCAAAACTATAATCTTATGAATATCGATATATCGACGTTGATATAGATTACTTATATTGTATATTCGGAAATCGTTTTTTCTATCTAATAAATATTTCCCGTGTAGCGTAGCGGGGATTTTAGGCTTTGGCTTGCTGAAGGTAGAATGTCCTTTTCATTGTTACTTACCCATCATTTTGTAATCCCAAAGAGCTTATGTTGCTTGAGTTGTTTGTTAAACTTTGTTTAGTTGTACCTGGAGCACGGGAAAATTCCGTATTATCAGAGTTCATGTCCTTGTCTAATACTGGAAGCTTCCACTGATTTAACCGGGATTGTTGATTGGACGCCCCTTGATATCCACTTGGCTGAAAACATATCGTTGAGAAACAATTTGTATTTAAATATAATACTATGAAGAAAAATTCCCGTCAAAAATCAACTTTGGAAAGGAACCACAAGGTTTAAGCTTTAATATTGGAAAGCTAAATTTGTTGTTCTTACCTTATTAATATTGAGCTCAGAAAAATTGCTTTGCAAATTATTTATTGCATCGTGACCTCTTAAATAGTCGTTCCCTGAGTTATTTAGGTGTGACGAGGGATGTTGCTGCTGTTGTGGCTGTTGTTGTGGCTGTTGCTGCGAAGTTTGCTGCATACTTGGTTGTTTCACATATACAGCCTGTTGTGCATTTATTTGGTTCTGTAAATTTTGAATTTGCTGCTTGTATTTAGATATAGCCACGTTCACTGCCATTGGGTTCGCATTTCCACCGCGGGCAAGGGATTGTTGGGCTGCTTGAAGATGCTATATTAAAAAATGGCATCCAAAAAATTTTAATTTAAAAAGAATATATCTAATAATTCAATATTAAAAAGGAAATCTACCCGCCGCAACTATCAGATACCCTTCACTGAGTTAACCAATTTTAAAATAATAATTGTGTTGGCAGAATTTTACGCAGTTTACAACTTCTGTAGTGCCAATATCGGCTTAAACAATATAAAGCATGTTTAATAACTAACAAACAAAGTGCCGTCAGTGCCCATGTGAGAGGAAATAACCTTCTTGACTTGAACAGGTGTTTCTAGAATCTGCATCCTTAATCTCAACTTTCTATTTTTATGGTTCCCGAGATCTCTTATCTCATACAGATAAGCGGATGGCTATATCGACGAAAATTTATATTTCATAGGGTCGGAGTAACCCATTCATCTAGACTTTTACAAACTTTTTAAAGAATACTTAACGGATATAATAATGAGTACTGAATCCATTATTTTAAGAAACAACTATTTTTTAATGTTTTAATCGATTCGTAATATGGAAAGTATAGGATGTGAAAATTACCTTAATATTGCTAAGAAGTTGGTTTAATAGATTCAGTGTAGTTTGCGTTAGTGGTTGAGTCAATATCTGACTAGATATGAAACCACTATGAATAGCCAACTGAATCTGCTGTCCAAGCATGCGAATTTGTTGGCCCGATGGTTGATTAGTATTAGCTGCTAAATTTACGGAGGCAGTGGATGCAACTGCTGCGTTAGATGTATTCTGACCAAATCCAACGGAAACGGCGGAAGAATTACCAACGGTTTGTGGTCCTACAGCAACGCTATGTTGGCCTTGATTCAAATACTTTTGCACTTGCAAAGTGGACATGCTTGTGTTGTTGTTACCACCTCCAGTTACAGCCGTACCACCTATGTTATTCAGAAGATTGTTCTAAAAATGAAACAGGTGGATGATTAATTTAGTATCTGCCGTTTTAAACGCATGAAATAAATAATTTAATGCAATAAATAAATAACATAAGATATGGTATTTAGTTAAAGGTAAATGTTCTATATCTTTTAAAATATACATATTTGAATTCTGTATACAGCATATGATCACGCATTTACTTACATGAGTAAAAGCCATCGAAGGTTGTCCACTGCTAACTGGGTAACGACCAACAAATCCGCTGCTGCTAGTTGAACTTGTATGGTCGGAGTAAGAGCCAATGGATTCCTCATGTCGACGCCAACCCTCCATTGCCAAAGATGAACTTGCGCGTAGCATATCGGCTGCTTCTTCGATGTTCATATTGGCAGTCACTAATGCCCGCTCCACGTCTTCCTTTTTAAATCCGTTTTCGACAAGGATACGGTATTGCTTGCTCTGCTTAATCATCTCAGCATTAATGACATTCACCATTCCCACACTGAGTCCGGGTAGTTTTTGCTGTTGCTGAGATTTTCCAATTATCCCTCCGTGTGCATTCCAATCAGAACCCAGGTCAACGCCATCTGCCACACCCACACCTGCTGCAGTGCTCCAACCAGATGAGGTACCAGTGGATGGTAATTTACTTTGCTTATTTCCCCAACTAACTCCCGCTGCGTCACTCCAAGAGTTTGGAGCCAAAGTCGCGTTGGATTTGTCATCCACCCAATTACTTGTAGATACATTTGCACTGCTCGGGGCGCTGACATTGACATTGTGAGTGTCATCCCCCCAAGTGTTTACAGCAGCTACATTATTTCTGCCGCTTACATTATTTGAGTGAACCCACATGGTGCCTCCGTCTTGCTTGTGTTGCACTCCTCCTACAGATGGTATACGAGCTTGGGGCCCAACTACACTGTTCATAGGATTGTTGGGATTAGCTCCCACTGGAACATTGCTATTGCCAACACCGGCTATACCTATGCCACCCGACTGATTTTGACCGCGCATCGGATGTCCGCCACGACCAATGGAATCTGTCATGTCCTTCCAGTGACCGGTTGCACCGGGAACTCGGGTTTGCTGACCCCATAACGAAGTACCATCATCGTAATTCGGAATGCTACGGCGCTGAGGCGGTGGCGATGGTTCCTCCCATCCACTTATCTGCTTTGATATGTCTTTTGGGCCACTAACACCAGCGGCTACTGCTTGAGCCGGCCCCCACTGTGTTGGGATATTCCCAGATACAGAACCAGAACCAGGAACTCCAGGACCGATGCCCGTGCCTGAAGTTCCTCCAACATTCGTACTTACAGTTGCTACAGTTTGACCAACCATTTTGTTGATGTTTTGCATCTGGTTGTGGGACATTTGCGGATGATGGCCCCACATTTCTGATGTCCCATTAAGACGGCCTGAGATCCCACGAGGATCTCCTCGTATAGGATCACGCGGATCGATCATCCTGATATCGCGGGGATCACTAGAGTTTGCCACAGAATTGTTAACGCCGCGATGATCAACATTCCGAATATCCATAGAATTTCCTCCTGCCAACGGGCGAATTTCACGGGGATCTCCCCATCCGTTGCCAGTAGAGCTGGAGTTTCCGCTGGCTCCCGAGACTACTCCAGCTGTTCCAGTTAAATTGCTTGAACCATTACCTGGAAGTACTTAATAAATTAATATCTTATAATTCAGTAATAAATTTTCAGTACATTTTTTTGTAATAAATACTATGAAAATAATAACGTAAGTTATTATAAATACTGATTCCTAAAAACTAAAACCCCCTTTAACAGATTCATAAGTAATCTATACGATCACCGTAAATTCATCTGTACAACATATAGCCAAAGCAAAATTTAATTTTTAACTGCTATAAAACTTCTGAATATTTTTTAAATCAATCGATATGGTGGGATACATAAATATTTTGTATCAGGGATGACACAGAAAAAACTTTCAATTACATTTGGTTGAAGTTCAACCATTAATACAAATTGGAAACTTTATTATTCAAAGGGAGTTCTGTGATGCTTACCAGTTGATCCCAGTCCGACGCCAACGACACCTTGTCCCCACTGAGGTCCAGAAGTTGAAACACCACCTGGACCAACATTGACTCCGCCTTGGTTCACTACCACTGCTGCTCCAGAGCCCGCGTTACTGACTGATCCTCCTGTCCAAACACTACTACTGTCGGTCCCATCATCATCCTCTCCCCACGTTCCACCAAGGTTGGAAGAAGGGGTATGACCCCACGATGGCTTTTGAACTTGCTGAGCGGTAGGTTGACCACCGTTTCTTAAATTAGACTCCCACAGATCAGTGCCATTGTTAATGCTTGGCTTCCACATTGGTGGTCCAGCTGCATCTTTATTAGTGGGTTCTGGTGAACTGGGGACTTCCCAATTGGTGTCCTGGTTGACATGCTGACAGCCCCAGCCGTCTTGGGAAAAAAGTGCTTCGCGCATAATGCTGAAGTGTTCTAACTGATCGTCAGCGCTAAAAGATGCACTCCCAACTATTCGACTATGAACTTCAATTTTAACGTCATTATCGTAAGCACTTGTCGCAATTTTTATAATCTGATTAATTTGTTTAATACGGAATCAATTATTCTTAATCCTTGTGCTCTCCGTGATTTCTATAAATAAAAATCATAAAAAACAATTAAATATGCTTCACATTTAATAAACACTGCATTAATGCTAGTTTTTATGACTTGTCATATTGGTATTTGAACGACCATTTTTAAACGATTTATTTGGAATTATATAAGTCATCCTTAATTCTGACAATAACGATGGTGACGGAGTCTTAATTCGTTCCGACGAAATTAATAAATTTAAAAATATTTGTATTCTAAATAAATTGGTATTGCCATATATTTACAGTCAAACCAAAACATAAATGTCAATAAGATTGACGTGGTTTGTAATCTCGGGATCATCTCCAGAATATAATATTTCTATCTCAAAGAGTTCCCGAGATCAAATTGTTAATGCCGGGTTTTTTTTTTAAATTAATAAGCAAGCCGATTTAATAATGCATTTTTGAAGACAAAATTATTATGTATACTTAAAATCTTGACCTAATCGAAATATTAAATGTTTATAAAACTTAAGTGAACCTATAATAAATTAAAATATTTAAGTATAAATTTGTAGTTTACACACTTAAATAATGTTCATATAATTTCTTTTATTTTGTTTGTTATAAATAAAACTTGTAAATAAAAAAAAACATTGAAAAACGTACAATTTCATTTGAAAGAGAAAAAGGTTTAAAGGAGGATATATGCATATGTCTTGTGCAGTAATATATGCATATGTGAATTATTACTATATATGAAAGCGCTACATAAGTCAAAATGTAGTAATATTAACGTAAAGCATTTACATATGTAAATATGTATCTACATACATAGAGATCTCTGCACCACCAGGGTTGCAGAACAGCAAGCATTTTTTCCCAGTTTTGCATTTATAATAATGAATAAATTAAGATGGATAGAAAAAAAAATATAACTCAATATTTAATTTCAAAGTATATAGTATAAGTATATTAAACCCTATACACATTTATGTATGAATGTACATAATATAATAATATAACATACAATATATACATACATACATACATACATACATACATTTATAAAACTTATTTGACAACTCTGGTCCGTAGCCATCATTGACGCAATCGCCCTATTTTAAGTCATCCTTTGCAAATCTTGCACTCGCCAACAAGCCCATTAAATCTTGCTTTTTAAATGTATTCTTCCTAATATAACATTCATATCCTAGATATACAAACTTTCAACTTTCTTACACATGTACTTGTCCATGGATATGAAAATGCAATCGAGATATACACACTTGTGTACATACATTTATATGTATGTATAAATTTTCTGTACACTTTTATGGACAGGAAACTTTTCTATCAAATAACAAATTTAGGTTCGTTCATGTGTAGACAACACAGAAGAAAACGAGAAAAATTTTAAAATGTACTTTCAACAAGAACCTACCAACTATAGGGGAATTTTATCTTTTAATTTGCAGTGTTTACGATATAATTAAGTTTAATAACTTGCGTTCACGCTTATATATCTAGGAGAAATATTGACTACTATTTTTGATTCTGCCGAACGACAACTTGGTTTTCTCTATATAAGTACATATGTATGCATGTATATTTTCGTATGTATGCATGCCAAGCCACTTTGACGATTTCACAAAGTGTGTATGTGTTGTAAAACATACACACACACATTCAGCAATCACATTAAAATTTTCACATTTCACAAAATAAGATATTTTTAATTATATTGAAAATTAAAATTTTTTAATTACGATACATCTAAATATTTTGATTTAATTGAATTTGTATTTCGGTGCACGTTTAACGACGGGGACGGTACAAGTTTCTAGTGTATTAAATAAACGCATACGGCTATGGCTGCTGTAAATATTGCCACCTAGTTGAAAACCAAACATTGTTTAGTAACTTGGATGAATCCTACAAACGTAATATGTACAAAGAGCTCAGGTGTTTGGCTAAGCTGAATCGTATGTATTTTATTACTTGGCATGTTTAGCGTAAAAAGTGCACAAAATTACGGAGGCATATTCATATCATATCGTACGTCATTATGTAAAATATTTAAAGCGTGGCAACTCTTGATTTGAAACATTGTATATACTTTTAACAATCACTTTCCAATGCATAATAGACTAACGAACAGAACGTAATGTACATGTTACACGCATACATATGAAGAAATACGTACATGCACGTATAAGTCAATCTCGCTTGGATCTATATGACAATTTAGGTTATGCATATTTAGGTTATGACCGCAAGTTTAGCATTCGGTCAGAAACGGGCAGTATTTTAGCATACATATGCACATACACGTACATGAATGTATGAATGTACACACACATGTTTTTTTGCGCTGCAAGAAAATACCAACACAATAACACTAGTCTTTATTTTATCGGTACTGAAATTTTTCAAAGCTTTTTATTTCAATGATATATGCACACCAAAACAATCACTTATCGTCCTAATTCATTTTTACACACGCGCTTGATTTCAAAATTACCTATACTATAGGACGCTCTCGCAGCTCTTCGCCAGAAAATACGATGAGGGCTTATTCGTGGACATGCGATATTTTGCAATACAATCGATATTAATCGAGTTGACTAATGGCAAGTGTAGAAACAACTCTGATTTCATTAAGAACAGAAAATAAACTTATTTTTAATTTTTGCTCTTGAATTATAGGATCGCACATTATCATATAATCATTTTCTTTGAAACGATACTCCCCAATATGATTTTAAAGTAATTAGGAGAGTATACAGATCAGTCCAGCCACTATAATGACGTCACTGGCCTTTTAATTTTAATCTCGTAATAATTCTAAAATAATGGTCTGATTTAAATGTTGGTGTCGATACTTATTCTCAAAAAAATGTAATATTAAAAATAAAATACTTTTACTGTAATATCGCCAAAGAGTTGAAACGTTTGTGAGCGTTGCCGACTTTTAGAATGAACTTTTGATGTATGTATAGGATCTGCATGTTTATTTCCAACAGGCATACATAATATGTACGTACGTACATATGTATGTATAACTAGCTCTAATATTTCTAGAAATCCCTGCACTCACATGGTACGTGCAGTATGTCATGAAACAGTTAACACAATGAAATTAAGCATTATTTGTACAAGGTAGAAGGTTAGGATTAAACAGACCTATTCCCCGCAGCTCGAAGTGGCATTTTCGCTAGGATACGCCCATTAAAACTGAGATCTCAGGAGTTATGAGTGCTAGGGTATATCAAGGCAAATATACCATTATTTGGCCACGCCTACCAAGCTAAAAAAAATTCGAAAATTTCCTAGGCCTGACTTACCCGTTACAGTGGGCGCGGCGAGATAGAGGGAAAATGATATGCAATGAGGGCATTATTAGGAACTAACATGCGCAATTTTAATTTTCTAGCTCTTATAGTTCCTAAGATCTCAGCGTTCATACGGGGATTCGGACGGACATGGCTTAACCGCCTTGGCTATTGATCCAGATTCCTTATATCATCTACACTGAATACAATATACCATTTTACTCTACAAGTAAGATGCTTTTTTAAGTATGTATTAAATATCTAAACAACAACATTTCCTTCACTTTTCGGACAATACGTCTCTCCTCGTGGTCATTAAAAATTGTGTTTGGAGCATCACGGCCCTTATCTGCCACCCGATTTTCGAAAAAAAGCGTTTGGGTTATGTATGGGTTTGTACTAGGGCTTGAGGCAACCATTTCATGGGTTTTCCCATCCTTAAAATGTTTAAGGACTAATTCGCTCAATAACAATTGGATTTAAAAGTCCTAGTTTAGAGTTAATAACCGTTAAAGTGCTTGCACGAAATAAGCTTGTGCGTCGGAGTTGCCCTATTTTTTAGTTTTTGTATGAAAAATTCTTTTGTTTTTTAAATTAGTAAAAACTTTTGTTAGAGAAATTAGTAATAATAAATTAAAGGAGAAAGGGGAAAATAACATTTGTCAAAACTAAAACTAAATAACTAAAAATGACCTTTTCCAAAAAAAATAATAAAAATACCGAAGCTTATTTTGTGCAGTTCATTTAGGCTAAAATAAAAATCCTAATTAGTATTTATACCCGTTACTCGTAGAGTAAAAGGGTATACTAGATTCGTTGAAAAGTATGTAACAGATAGATGGAAGCTTTTGCGACCCTATAAAGTATATATATTCTTGATCAGGATCAATAGCGAAGTCGATTGAGCCATGTCCGTCTGTCCGTCCGTCCGTATGAACGCTGAGATCTCAGGAACTATAGCAGATACAACGTTGAGATTAAGCATGAAGATTCTTGAGGTCCCGGGACAGCGCAAGTTTATATCAGCATCCTGCCACGCCCACTCTAACGCCCACAAATCGCAAAAAACTAAAATTGCTGAAATCTCAGGAACTATAGGAGCTAGAAAGTTGAAATTCAGAAAGTATAATCTTTAGATGGCAACGCATCTTATAGTGGTACTACTATCCGGCCACACCCACCCATACGCCCACAAGACTCAAAAGACGGTTTTCGGATTTTCTAGAAAAGCTGATATCTCGGTAACTATAAGAGATAAAAAGTTCGGATTAAGCATGTAGGTTTCTATGATGCTTCCAATGCGAATTGTTCTTTTCCGATCAAGCCACGCTCACTCTAACGCCCACAAAACCCGAAAAACCAAAAATGCAAAAATCTCAAAAACTATAAGATCTACACAATTTTGCTTAGGAGCACCTATTAAGAAGATGCCTCTGCAACTTGCCACGAAGTTGCACCCAGTCACGCCCACTCTAACGCCCACAAACCGCGGAAAACTGTGGCGTCTATAATATTATTATGAATGCCTTCGTTTGACCTTGTGTAACTTATTTCTGTTAATATCTATCGATTTACCAAAGATTTTTCAAATCGGAACATTATTTCGCTGTTTATGAAGAAATTAAGTTATAAGGCCTCACATGGGCAGTGACGTCACTATAAGCATACTCAACATACTTCCTCTGACAATAGGGGGCGCATTGTGAATTTCCACTAGCAAAATAATATTTTAAAATTTTGTAAAACAGTAAGTAACAGTCTTATAGTCGCGGCACCCGACTATAGCGTTTCCTCTTGTTTTATATTTTATTTGCCCTTTTTATTTTTGTCAGCTCGTTCTTAGTGGAAATTGTCCTATTACTGCTTAAACGAAAAAGAATCACGCATGCTTAAATTATGTGATTTTGGTGGTACAAGTACGGTTTTGCATTCACTATTCAATCAAGTAATACGTGGTTACCAAGCCCAAAAGTTGGCATATAGGCCCAAACATGACATGACCCTGGCCTTTCTTGACCATGGCTTCTAAGTGCTTGCTGTCTCCAAGAAGCATTTTTTTATCCGATATCCTCCTGACACGCTTTTATTTTTACGGACGAGTCAAAGTTCAACATTTTTTAATCGAACACCGAGCTGGAGAACGAATACTTTGAACGTTGAGATGTATAAACTTATATATGTACATAAACATGTATGCATGTATGCATGTACATACGTATGATAAAGGGCGTACGATACATAAGATACCCGTTACTGCTTTATATAATTTTAAAGTATTCATTTTGCTATTGGAAATTCACAAAGATCAAATTTTTGTCAGAAAAAGCATGTTGAGTAATTGATGGTGACGTCACTCTCCATGTGAAGCCCTATAACATAAATTTCTTTATCAATGGCGAAATAATGATCTGATTTGAAAAATCTTTTGCAATTCGATAGATATTGACAAAAAAGTATTATACAAGGTCAAACAAATTCATTCATTGTAATATTATGGACGCCACAGTTTTCCTCTGTTTGTGGGCGTGGCCGGATGAAATCCTATGTCCTAACTACATATCTAGCTCTTATAGCTCCCGAGATTTTCTCATTTTTGGTTTCCCGGGTTTTGTGGGCGTTATAGTGGGCATGGTTAGATGGGAAAAAACAATTCGCATTAGGGGCATAAAAACTACATGCCTTATGCCAAAATTCTATTAATTTTTTTACAAAAAGCGAAAACCGTCTTCGCACATGGTGGGCGTAAGAGTGGGTGTGGAATGATAATGGTACCACCATAAGATACGATGGCGTCTCAAGATTATAGATTTCTAGCTCTAATAGTTCCTGAAATTTTAGTTTTTCGTGATTTGTGGGAGTTCGTGTGGGCGTGGTAAGAGGCTGAAATAAACTTGGGCTGCGTAGGGACCTCAAGAATCTTAATGGTTAATCTTAACTTGGTATCTCTTATAGTTCGTAAGATCTCAGTGTTCATACGGATAGACGGACGGACATGAACTTAATCGACTTCACTATTGATACTGATCAAGAATATACTTTATATATTTTATAGGGTCGGATAAGCTTCCTTCTACCTGTTACATACTTTTCAACGAATCTAGCATACCCTTTTACTCTACGAGTACCGGGTATAAGATGTGGAAGAAAGTAGTGCGCTTCCAAATTCCAATTTACTTCCAATTAGTATTTTTTGCATCCAAATATATAGCAGGGTATGACTTCGAAATAAGTTCTATCTTTCCTTTACTATAGCTCTGAAAAAGTTGGGACTGTTGTAATTGCTTGGGTTCTTTAAGATAAAATCGTGGTCGTAAGCTGTAGTCAACAATTTATAAGAGCTTTAAAAAATAAAACATATTTTGCGTGTGCAATTTTTTTTTTAAATTTATTTTCCTGGCTTACTCTTTTTAATTCATTTGTGATACCTTTAATAGTGGACTACGAAAAACTAAACAAAATGGTTATATTATTTACTTAAACATATGTACTAAATATTAAAGTATTTTTTTTTTAATTATGAATAATTTTGGTTTATTAGGCTTATAAAAAAAATGGTTTCTTTTCTAATTTAAATTATGGGCCATCTATATTAAGATCTGCTTTAACTTACTATGTTTATTTTTAAATATATATAATATCAATAAAAAAAGCAATCAATCAACATTGTTATTATGGACGCCACAGCTTTTCGAGTTTTGTATGTTGGCCAGATGCTGAAACAAACATACGCTGTGCAAGTGTCTCTAGAATCTCTGCACAGAGATATGACAAATCTAATCGCTTCCTTCTATCTGATACATTCTTTTTAATGAATGTATTATAATCTACGAATACCAGTTGTAATAATTTTTATAAGAGCTAAAGAAATTTATAGCACTAAATGAATTATATATTTCATGATAATTGATATAAAATTAATATTACCAATTACTAAGAAAATCGAAACCTTTTGGGATTTGCAGTTCAGGAGTTAAAAGTTTTGTCTTTTCGTCTTGACGTTGATTCTTAAGTTCATTCTCATCATCAGACAAATCATTTGACACACTGCTCTTCGATCCAAATCTAAAAACTAATTCCAATTTTTCATCATAATCGGTGTATTCGTTATCATTATGAATTAATTTATTTCTTTGTTCATTTTCAGGTTTACTTATGACTTTATTAACGTCTATCTTATTACTAGCATGAATCTGAACACTTTGGTTGCTAGAAATATTCGATTTTAATTTTAAATAAAGATACTGTGTTAAATGGATGGACGATTTGAGAACGGGAATTGCATCATATTCTCTTAAAGACATGTTTATTTGTGATTTGGTTCGATAACTAAAAGGAGATGAATGTTCATCTCGACAACCGGAGGTATTATCGTCATGAAAAATTTTTAAACCTACATTTTGGTGATTATATGTGTGTAAGTCTTTTCCGTTGTATAAATATACAATGTTTCTATAACTAAACTGTGGGTAATCATTATTCAAAAATTCTGATCTACATTCAGATTTTTGTCCTGTTAAGTTCACTTCAGTTCTATTAATGTACTTAGTATATATATCCTTATTTATAAAATAACTGTTTAAAACTTCTTCCTGTTCCTTTAAAGTCAATGCCAGCCAAGCTTCTCGGCTGTATGAAGATTTAACGCTATGTACATCTAGTGTGATCTTTTCAGAGAGGGAATTAAGATGTGAAAAGTATGATTGAATTCTATCATGTTTGGCCATCGTTATTCTGAAAGTAAATGGATTTTCCACTTAGTATCAACAGTATAGTATAATATCAAAACTTAAGTTAGTTCTCTAAAAACCTTTAGGCAATTAAATTATGCACTTTTAATTAGTGTGAAGTGTACAGCTTGGATATCTAATGCATCTAATGAAATCTTAAATAAATAATTTAACTCGTTAGTTATAGTATAACATATTTGTTTTTCGTTAACATTTTATGGTATGGAAGTTCATATATAGTTCGTAGACAGCCTACATTTCACAATACTTTTGCAGATTGAAGCCACAAAATGTTGTGGATGTAATTTTCTGGTAATCGATTTTGTAACTATTCTATCGGATAGGTACATTCCTAAGGAAAATATTAATTTAAAAACGGAGGCCAAATACGAAGATGCAGTCAATATATTCGTTATTTGTAGATTAAAAGGTCATAATAAAATTATTGTTTTTAATATACGAATGCTGAGATCTCAGGAACTATAAGAGATTCATATTTCGGATTCTGAGATGCCTACGACGCCCATAAAACTGTGGTGTCCTTAATTTACCACTTAATCTTCAAATTGGTTAATCTAATCCAATTTCACAATTTAACATTATTTTTAAGTTCAAAAAGAAATGTATGTTTTAAGACCCCATATGGGAAATAACGTCACCATCAGTTACACTCACTTACAAAGTGATTATTTAAAAATTTGATAAGTCCCGACACTCGACTATATCGTTTCTTGTTTAAAATAAATTGCATTATCGCTAAGTTTTTTTTTGGTCTAGAAGAAATATATAAAAGGGAGTACCCTGCAATGTTTAATAAACGAGAATTATTAAAAAAATGTATAACAAAAATCTAGACGGCTCATAAATGACAGAAATCCACTAAATAATATATCGGTTATAATGTAATATATTTTTGTATTCTTTTTATTGGGAATTACAGCACAATCCCTACCTGATGTAAAACTTACAAAGTCCTGGGAGTGTTTGAAAGGTACTTACTTCCTACATAACTTGAAAAAACTATGTTTTCAATCATGTTTAGTTTCAATCAGCTACACTCGATTTTAATGCGCCTAAATTTGTCATTGTCATCATTCCAATAGCAATCTTTTCAGTTCGTTTTTAGTGGAAATCTTCCTCTTAAGAATAGCCTGGTCCAACATGCTCTATAAAAAGTAAGTCTGGTTATTATGCAGGTGAAATCACCATATTAGGTAAATTCCAGAAAGCCTAAAATTTCACAACGCCTACTAAATGCATCGGGTCGTTGTCCTGGTGGAACAAAAAACCATTGACACTTTCAAGAAAATTTTTTTATGGTGTTCCAAGTACAGTTCCGCATCCTAGATTACGTCACGAAACACGAGAATACCTGACATGACTTCAAAATTCTAACCCGTGGCTTTTAAGTGTTCGTTATCTAGCTTGGTATGTCGTTGTTCCTAAACATATTGTCACCCATGCGATTCAAAAAGGTTGAACTCCGACTCGCCCGTAAAGCTGACGGAGTCTCCGGAGGAGAACGGATGAAGAAGATGCTCCTTGGAGCTGGAGAAAATACATTGAATGAAACATTTCGAAGCCACAATCATGCCTGGCGGGAGTCACCTAAAAAAAATATAAATTAAAGTTTTCCTTTCTACCAGGACAACGATACGAGGCATTCAGCGGGCAGAGTCAAGTTTTAGACTTTCTGGAAGTGTCCAAATGTTTTGATAACACCAGCACAATCACCAGGACCAGGATTTTCGTAAGGTTAAGATTTTAACCGAAAAAGAGCTGAAATGTTTCTATTGGAAAAATGGCAAAAATCCTTATTTAAATCACTAGAAATATGGTTTCTTCATGGGAAACCCATCTTCGTACTCTTAAGAAGCATAAAAAATGACACTAAAAAAATGTAATAATTATGATTTTTATGTTACCCTAAATGAACTGCATGAAATAAGCTGCGGCATAAAAGTAACAAAAAATTTGTTTTTCTTAAGTAATTTTGATGTTTTTATGTTTAAGTTGATTTTTAGATAAACATTTTAATTCCAATACTAAACTTTTGAATTATCTTTCTTAGTTTAGCCTCAATAACGATTTAAAATTTTACGCCTATGTCTATGATATCTTGCTGCTTTTAAGGATAGGTTGCTCGGAGTAACTAAATGAAGGGTGTATATCCTAAAGATGCGTATGCAGCTCAGGGTTATTTTATTGGGCCTTACTACTTTAACGGTTAGCAACGATGCTGTTATAAAATCCTAACCATACCTATGTATACTTTGCGCAAGCACATCAATAGTATAGACATAAATAGGTATATGGATACAATATTTTCCAAATCCTTCAAGCTTTCAGCTACTTGTACTTACATAGATGCGAATAACAGGCTTGGTAAGATTGTTGTACGTTTGTTTTTTTTTTTTTTTTTTTAGAAGGTAATAAGTATAAATTAGAGCTGCGCAAGTATCGATATTCCATGAACTACTATCTATTTTATATTGCGTTCACACCAACGTTGCATAGGTATTCGAAAAACGACTGTGTGGTTACTTTAAAAAAGGAATGTACATAAAAAATGAAAAATTATAAATTATACTTTTATTTACTATTTTTCAATATGTTTAAATTCATTGCAGTAAGCGTCGGCGGCTTGTCGTTATTTTTTAAAGACTGTTAAGAATGGAAACAAAATTTATTAAATACCATCCTCTCGCTCTCGAAGGTCTTTATTTTTTTCATTCTTAATATATAATAATAATCAAGTATGAATTTTACATTTCATACAAGGAAAATGTATATATGTTGATAGGAAATATATAGTAGATATTTGTCTTTTCCATATGTTCCGTCCGTCGTTCGACAAGGTTAAGGAGAAATTTTTAATATTTTTACAATGATAGGAATTCACGAAGAAATTTTACGAAGTTGGTAATATTGATTAACTAAAATTAATTAGTAGAAAACAAGTTAACTGACCATTTTTGGAGTCGTAAGACCACATAAAAAACGTATTATATATACAAATCTTACCCTTTTCGTACCAATTTTCTGAGTGAGAATCAGGTGTTCGTTATCGACATAAATCTTTGTATTTATTTAAATACAAGGAATATTCCTTGAATGTGAACTGCTATTATGTTGGATATATTGCATTTTTTTAATGCGGTCACACTGACAGCCGACGAAAAAGTATCTATACAATTAAGTGGAAATACAATATGAGCTTTTGTTAATAAGTTACCAAAATGAATGAATGCATAGTCGAAGTGGAGTACCAATATGTTGTGTTAAAAGTAAGTTTACAAACAGATATTTCCTGTAGCCAGGAGGACATCTTTCCCAAAGAATAGTGCTGGTTAGCCACTACGGGTTTTTAAAAATTAAAAAAGAATATGTTTCAGGTAAATGGTTTCGATATAAGCAATATGCCAAGATATGAAGCGGTTCAAAAGTTCCTTCAAGCTAAAGAAACCTTAGTAGTTGAATTATGCAGGCAGAAGCACAATGCATTAGGATTACAGGAAGACGCCTACACCGAACAATCAGATGCCAATAAAACGGTTCCAAACGTTTTGCAATTAAAGAATTCGGAACTGGAAAACGCAACATCGGAATCGGTTACAAAAATTTCTAGTGCCTCTCAACCAGTTAAGGTCATCCCAGCCCAGCCAACAACTAATTCGGCTTCGGAAGTGACAGGAACAAAAAGTCCCATCGTCTTGACTCTAAGGGCTTTAGGCCATGAAGAAGGCTTGGAAAGCTGTACAGTTTTGGCCGCATCGAAGGAAACCCAAACTTTAAATTCCGTAGACTCCGAAGTGTTGAGGGATAGTGACATGGTCCAAACGATAGCAGACCATTTTATCGAGCAGGAACACCACTTGTTTGAACAATGCCTGGAACCGGACATCGATTTTGAGGTAGATTACCTACGTATTTATAAGCTTAGATATTTTTCACTTCATGACGACATAGTTCCATTTTTTCTCAAATATTTTGGGACTCGGAAAATACTGCCTTCGGTATTGCTTATAATATGTTGTAAGATACGCTAGTATTACCTTCTTGTCGCTGGACAATGATATTAGGGCGAGGCCTTTTTATACCCGTTACTCGTAGAGTAAAAGGGTATACTAGATTCGTTGAAAAGTATGTAACAGATAGAAGGATGCGTTTCCGACCCTATAAAGTATATATATTCTTAATCAGGATCAATAGCGAAGTCGATTGAGCCATGTCCGTCTGTCCGTCCCTCCGTCCGTGTGAATGCTAAGATCTCAGGAACTATACAAGACACAAAGTTGAGATTAAGCATGGAAATTCTTGAGGTCCCGGGCAACGCAAGTTTATTTTTAGCATCCTGCCACGCCCACTATAACGCCCACAAATCACGAAAAACGAAAATCGCTGAAATCTCGGGAACTATTAGAGCTATTCAGTATGTTTCAACTTTGGATGTCAGCGCATCTTCTAGTGGTACCATTATCCGGCCACACCCACCCATACGCCCACCAAGCTTAAAAGACGGTTTTCGCATTTTCAAGAAATCCTGATATCTCGATAACTATAATAGAAAGGTTAGGTAGGTTTTTATGATGTCCCAATGGCGAATTTCTTTTTTCCGATCAAGCCACGCCCACACTAACACCCACAAAACCGGAAAAACCAACAATGCAAAAACCTCGGGAACTAAAAAAGCTAGAAAATAGGCTAAGGAATATGTGCATATTTACAACTTCCCACGAGTTTTTATCTGACCACGCCCACTCTAACGCCCACAAACCGCGGAAAACTGTGGCGTCTAAAATAATATTATGGATGCCTTCGTTTGACCATGTATAACTTATTTCTGTTAATATCTATCGATTTACCAAAGAATTTTTAATTCGGAACATTATTTCGCTATTTATCAAAAAGTATAGGTTACAAGGCCTCACATGGGCAGTCACTATCATTATCAATTACTCGACATGCTTTCTCCGACAATAGGTGGCACTTGGGTAATTTCCACTAGCAAAATGTAACGGGTATCTTATAGTCGCTGCACTCGACTATAGCGTTTCCTCTGGTTATATGTATATATTGGATTAACTCTGACTTAAATCTTCGTTAGCAAGCGTGGGGTATTTTAAATCGCAGCATATTAATAACAATAGTGCTATTGGGTTAATTGATGCTACGTTAAAAAATATCTTAAAATCAGTAGTGCGCTCTACCAAATTTTTTCACACAATTTAAAAATTACAATTTCAACTTCGGAGAAGTTTACAATGCGAAGAGATTTTGTACTAGTAGAGTAAAAACAAGAAGAAACGATATAGTCGAGTGCCGCGACTATAAGATACCCGTTACTGTTTTACACAATTGTAAACTATTCATTTTGCTCGTGGAAATGGACGAAGCACCACCTTTTGTCAAGAAAACATTCTTTTGTATATCATTAGGTATTGACAAAACAATGTTATGCAAAATCAAACGAAGACAGACATTATAATATAATGGACGCCACAGATTTCCGCAGATTTTTGGCGTTACAGTGGGAGTGCATAGCAGGTTCAAAGTTCGGCCACTCCCATTCTAAAACCCACAAACCATGAAAATCATACCTCCATATTCTTCGAAGTTGTTTTTATTGGGATTCATGAAAAAGTCAATAGTTTTTTTTTTTTGGCTTCAAGATTTCGTTCAATATCTCTTAATCTGGATTGCAGTCAGTTCCTCTACAAATAGCCACCAACTGCCCAAATTTAACAGTATTCAAAACTAATTTATTCCTTCGTCTTAACAGGAAGTAACGCTCATCAAAGCGGTGGAAAATTCAACTAGCGATCAAATTGGGCTGATTGTTTGTTCTTCTGGATTTCAGTCGTCAAATATCGATGCGAATAAAGGCGATATACTGTGCACTGATTTAGAGCAAGGCGAGGATGTGTTTATTAGTGGTATTCAACTGCATAGTATAGCCCATAGAGATGGTCGCCTACGGCAAGGTGATCAGATTCTTCGCATTAATGGTATGGACGTGAAAAACCAGGAGGAGGTAGAAACACAAATAGCGGAAAGTACCACCTCAGTCACGCTTTTAGTTAGTCGAATACTATACCCTGTAAGCTTGATTTTGTTAAACAGTGCATAATTAATACCTTTTTTAAGAAAAAAAAGTGCAAAATTCTCTGCCCAAATTGGGCTTTAGGTTTAATATTCTTATAATTGGTTTTTTAAGGATACATACAAATGTTTTTAATTATGCACTGAACAATAATTTCTTTTGTTTTAAATAATTAAAGTGATTATTATAGGAAGACGAGGATGACGAAGATATTAATTTTGATTATGCCAATTCGTTCCTCCCAGATGACTACACAAATGTAGTGGATAAATTGGATAGGGTCTTATTAAACCATGTTCAGTCCATGGAAGATCTTTCAAAGGAAGACGATGAGCGTTCAGACAAATATCATTTACCATCGGAACAGCATCCATTAGAATCGAACGTTAGAACATCCTCTTTACCGAAAAAAATAATTGACCAAACTAGTGAAATAAAACTTCATTCGGATGCATGTAGGGATCATCGAAAATCTTTAAACCGATCTTTAACGCAAAATCAAATTAATTTGCGGTATGAATATGACGAAAGCGAGCACATTTACGAAACCATTCCAGAAGATTTTGAGTCTGAACCGCTGTACTGTTCACCGTATCAAAGTTCAAATGGCAAAACGTCAATGGGTTCCTGTTCAACCGAAATTGCATCGACCGAAACGACAATGCAGCAACAAACTCACCGAGTCGCTCAATGGTTAGGCTTAAAACCGCAATATCCCAAAACTCTTGTTGGTCGCCCCCCCTTAAAATTGACCCAGCAACCAACTTGTAGTCGTGTTTTTACATTACGCAGCACATTAACCAACACAAGCGGATCCAGCAGTAGTGGAGTGGCATACAGCGCTGATGGACCAAATAATATAGTTAGCGGAAACATGGCTCCTGGCGAAGAGCTTGATAACTCATCAAGTGCCTACAACACTGGTGGCTCAAACAATAGCGCTTCTCCTCATCAAAATACCAAAAATGTTAACGACATTATTACCGTTAGCCATAAGCTGGAAAACACAGAAATTGACGGCCCTAAAGGGGCTTTAGACTCAACTGCAATAAACAGTATGCTGCTGATACCATTCGGCAAGTCTGGCCGTATTGGTCTCTGTTCTTCCAATCTGCCAACAGCGTACGTCAGCGGTAAGCTCATAATTTCCGTTATTTTCTTGCAGATTTTTTACCATTGTTTTTTTAGTCTTGGTTAATTAATAGTAATAAACTGTTTCAAAGTAAACTTTAAAAATTATTTGTATTGGCCAAAAATATTTTCTGGTTTGTGGTCGTTATAGTGGGGGTAGCCGAAAAGAATCTATAAAAAAATGTATGGTTTCGTGATCTCATTACGAACTTTTCAAGAAATACGATATAGATTCTACCGGTAACGGGTGTTTAGTTAATCGAGAAAAATTTGAATAATTAACGATTTCTTTATAATTTAAGTTAATTGTGTCACTATCTTAATTTACCAAAGTGATTAACAAACCAATCAATATGATGATGCATTATTTATTTCAGAGAGACAACGTAAGGTTGCGTATGAAAATGAAAACCATCAGCCTAAAAACCATCTTAAATTATTGACAGTCAAGCCAACTGAGGCTGGGAATTGTCCAGAATTTAACGCTCCAAATTTAAGTAGCTACCAATTCGTAAGTAGCCAAGAGGTAAATGAAACTTTTTTCTTTTCAAGTGTTATTTTCATCACGCACGCGTGTGCCTAGACGTGTTGTAATAATTATGGTAGAAGCATAAAAGTAATTTTTTGTGTTCTTGTGGACGTACTCTAAACTTTAGAGTCTTGACTAAATGTATTCCTGATCCGGATCGATAACCTTAGTGGATTTAGCCATGTATAAACGCGGATATATCAGAACTAAATTACAATGCAAAGGTGCGATTAAGCATGCAGATTCTTGAGATGCCTACGCAGTGCAAGTTTATTATCAGCGTCCTGCCACGCACACTAACGCTCACAAAACGCGAAAAATAAAATTGCTGAAATCTCAGGTACAATAAGAGCTAGAAAGTAAGAATTAAAACTGATTTCGCATAAATCATTTTTTACCGAATTATTTTTGAATATATTTATATATATGAATTGTATTTCTTATAGGTGACAAACAGATGCCAGAGTTTTACAAGTCAAAAACAAAACACCGAAAATAGTGACGAAATACCAATGGTTTGGAAAGTTAAGAGACGACCGGATGGAACCCGATACATTGTAAAACGGCCAGTACGTAATCGTACCGAAGTTGGATTTCGCAGAAGCATGCGCTTTAACGAGCTTACAACAACAGAGGAAGATACAGTGTCTGAAGTCAAAATTGGTCGCTATTGGACAAAGGAAGAACGCAAGCGTCACATTGAACGAGCTCGGGAAAGGCGTCATCTTCAGACACAGCAACAGCAGCAATAGCCAAATTACCATTATTATTTTTTATTATTATGCAGTATATAGCTTTAAAAATACATTTTCTTTTATTTAATTCTAAGTGACTATCACAACAGATTTAACGCTTTCTTAGGTTGTCACGACAATCGAAACTTAGGATTTACATTCATAAGGTAGTTTTCACGTTAGTGTGTAATCAAGGCTTGTATTTACTCCTAAAAATGATGGCTTAATCGAAATGTAGTTTTGGTTATTTCAAATGAACTCATAATTGGTCTTAGGCTTGACGAACTTTAAAATTTCATATACGTATAACTTATTATTGTGAACCGTTGTAAAGGAACGTTTCACACATATTTAGGTTTCGTTATTAATCGTTCCTATAATAGTTATTTGTTATTGTAATCATATCCAGTCATACAGTTATCGTTGATGCTGATGTATGGTGTACAGTATATACACATATTACTTAATTTTAAAAAGGTCTTATTAGTTAAAACATAACGAGTATTTTTTAAGATAAGATAAGTAATATTGTTTCCTTATAATAAAGAAAAATAAAAGTGTATAAGTTATTCTAAATTTGACAGGTGGTAGAGTTTCCAGGGTCAGATCTTGTTAAAACTTTACTTAAAGTAATAACGTAATTTTAGTCAGTCGTAGCGCAAGAGATGAGATCAACTATCGCACTAATTATGTACAGTGACTCTATCTTATAATCGGACAAAAACTTTTATAAGATAATAGTGCCTTAGAACGAAACGAGACTAGCTAAAGCCAAAATTTTGATGTTTTTTTTATTTTTTGGACGGTTTATCGATATATATATCTTTATAGTTTATCAATATATTTATATATATCTATATCTACATTTATATATGTATATATATCTATATCTATATATTTATTTAAGTCTATATACAAAATTTTAATTTTCGATAAGAAGTCAATAGTTACCAAGAAATGCGAATTTATGAGGTGTTTTGGCGCTCAACGAATAATCGGGAAAACGGATTTTAGTCGAATTTGTTCAAAAACTAGCATTTTACTGTCAAAAAGGGAAAAATTGAAACAAACGGAAAATAATCATCTGTGGAATTTCGGTAGTGGATTATTAAACTTAATTTCTAAGGGCAAACTTCTACGACATAATTAAATTCTGGGATGAAAGTTAATTTGATTTGCCAATTACAATCGGGATGGCCAAATCAAAATATTATATGAGCAAAAAAAGCAATCGGTTTAAATACAAAAAAATAATTAAACAAAATCCTCTTAAAATAGACAAGAAAGTACAAATTTTTTTAAAAATCAAAAGTGGCAAAGCATGGCATCAATACTAGAATATTAACCGCTACTTTGATCAGGTTATGATTCTTTTAAATGACAAATACTTTAATTTTAATAGCGGATGAAAAGTTGAACAGTTATTTTCCCATCTATAAGTTTCTTACAAAGGTGGAAAATTTAGTAGTTTAGTTTTATTTCCTTTTATTGCAGTACTTTCCTTCAGGAAAGTGTGTCATAGATATTTTACAACTTGTTTTCTCTAACCAGAAATTGTATCGTTCTTAACCTCCCGGTGTATGACCATTGGTTTGAAATCGTTATCGGTTTCCCCTTTTTACTGCATTTCGATATTGTACTATTATTTTCCGTATCACCGTCTGGTAACACTGTGATAGCCGGCAATGTAACGTAATTTGATTGAGTTCTTAGTATGGTGCGCTAAATCAACAATTAATGTTTCGGTTGAAAATATTTATCAGGAAACGTTCTTTCATGTTATTCATTATATTCTGTTTTTCTTCCTGCTCATTACATTTACAAAAGGCGTGTCGAAATACTGCCGGGATGTGTACCTGACAATCTATGTTTTCTAGTGTACACACGTATATGTTGGGTCACTACTTCGTTTTATTAACAGATTTACTTGTAAGATAAAACATTAGTTGTTAGCTTGGTTTAATTGCTAGGAAACAATAAAAATACAATTTTAAGATCGGCGAATACATACCGTTGCTATATATGTACTTATGTGTTTATATGTACTGTGTTCTTGGACTCAGAGAGGGTAAAAGGAGAAAATAAGTTACAAGGGGTGAGTGACACAGAAGTTGTAAGTTAGGGGTTGGTTATGAGCGCGGCTTTCGGTGTGTCCTGTCCCACGACATCGCGGGGAATCGGATTCAATAAGAAGGGGAATTAATTTTTTTAGATTATCTTATCGAAAACTATTGTGTTATAAAGATGTTTGAAGTTTGAGTTACTGACTTTATACCGTAGTGTCTTTAAACCAGGTTTATATTCTGATGTAGGTGAATAGGCGTACCAATTTACATATATATCTATCACTCCCATTAACATGCGTATGTATACCCCAATGCACTTTTTGGTGTCTTTATATTGCAGAAAAGCCACTAAGGGATAAATACCAAATATTACGGTGCTCATACATATAAATTGAATTTGACTCGGAAAATGTGGCCGTATGACAAAAGCTTAGAGTTTAATACATTGACATGTCTATAGCACACCTAAAAACTGAATTTACTGGGTTCAATAGAGTAAGTTCGAATTCTGCATCCAGTGCCATCTCATCTTTCAACATCCCCGCGGCTACTGTGTCATCGAGCTCTTCTTCATCGCGCGAAAGTGCTGTTGCGCCAGTAATCATTTCGCCCAAAAAAAGGGATAAAGGTGCTGTTGTGATGTCGGCTCAGGTCACATCGAAGATCCTGGGTAACATAAACACAAAAGAGTCGATTCAAAAGACAAACCCCGTACACCATCACGAAATGGCCGAACAAACTAAAGTCAGTGCGACATCTCTACCGCTGTCCGACGATCCGCGAACATTACAACTGGCGTTGGAACTATCACTTGTCGGATATAATGACAATCGTTATACACAACCTGTTCAATCCCTACCATTGCCCCTTAATGCACAAAGTGACTTTGAATTAGGTACAATGCCAGCGTTCTCCAAAACAGACAGCACCCTGCCACTTGCATCGGCTCCGAGTTGCCTCTTATTACCTGCTGCCGGCACCGTTAGCTTAGAAGACCGATCTAAGAAGTCGCAAAATATGACCGAATGTGTTCCAGTCCCCAGTTCTGAACATGTTGCTGAGATAGTGGGCAGACAAGGTGAGTGTTTTTGATGAACTTAAAACAAACTTTTTGCATATCTAAACACAAAGGAAATCTAGTAAATTTAAAGATTTTTGTTGAGCTTATAACTGATAACATAATTATTTTTATAAATTTTCAAATTGAAAACGAATAAAAATGGAAATAAAATTAACAGAACAAATTTTTATTTTATGATGTAATTGATTTAACAAAAAACAAAATAACGTGATTTATTACATTCCCGATTTTTACTGCTGTGTAGAAACAATAAAACCTAATTTATCATATTTTGATTTTTAATTTATTTGCCATACTAAATTTGTATATTGTGTTTATTGAAAAGTATACAAGTAATGGGAACCTACCCTTTAAGCCCAGGATACATAATGATTATATTATTTAGTTTGAACAAATTATTATGCGTAAGTCGTTGTCTTCTTCTTCCTCTTCTTGATAAAAATGACTAAAATAATTTATTTGGATAAAATAAAACAATAATTAATTATACATAATATTTAGCAAGCAACACTCTTGTAGTCGTGACACCATCGTATACCGATATATTCCGTAATATACTTTTTTTTTTCTATTAATATACATCCTTATCTATATTTTGCCAACAAACTAATTTTTTCTTGCGTTTTTAAGGTTGCAAAATAAAAGCTTTGAGGGCCAAAACTAACACTTACATTAAGACACCGGTTCGAGGAGAAGAACCAGTATTCGTGGTGACTGGTCGTAAGGAAGATGTTAACAAGGCTAAACGAGAAATACTTTCCGCAGCTGACCACTTCAGTTTGATACGCGCTTCACGCAAGCCCATGAGCGACGGCCACAATGGCGGAGGTTCAGGAAGTACGAGTGGTTCCGGAGGTGGAGCAGTTCCCCGCTTACAGTCAGGTCCACCATGTATGCCTGGACAAGTTACCATACAGGTACGTGTTCCCTACCGTGTAGTTGGACTTGTTGTTGGGCCCAAAGGCGCTACGATAAAACACATCCAACAAGAAACTCAAACTTACATTGTGACACCATCGCGAGAGAAGGAACCTATTTTTGAAGTGACTGGCTTGCCAGACAACGTAGATACAGCACGAAAGCAGATAGAAGCACACATTGCTCTTCGAACTGGAACCGGATCTGGACACTGTGATGCTATTACTGTGAAAGGTAGTGAATCAGTTGAGGCAAAAGAGTTTTCGCCCCTGCCGACAATAAATTCTTTAACCCAAATACTAAATGACGACTTAAATTCAGAAATTTTGTCTTCTATATACAATAATGCTATTCCATCTACACAAGGTTATGCAAATAATTCAGTTAAAATTATTGGAAACGATTCAATGAAGCCTATACCAAATCATCAATCTGGCATTTGCTTTACAAAAAATGAGTTTCCTGATATGGAATTGGCAGCACATATAACGGGAGCAGGAGTATCAGATAAACATCTTCCGGGAAATGAAGTTGCAATGCCCTTTGCCAAAACTAATGTAGTATTTCGTAACACATCTAATAAATCATTGTCCTTCTGCACTCCCACATCTACATCAGCGAGTGCAAATATATTAACAAGATCTTGTTCGTCTGCTTCCTCAACAACTTCAACAAAGAGTACCAATAATAGCGTTAACACGCCTCCGGAAATATTGAGTATATGGAAAAATATAAGTGATTCAATTGACGTCGACGAGGGTATAGGGGATTCGCCAAGTATCTGGAATCAACCGCCAAATATAGCCACAGCTCACTGCTCACCCACTATCTCAGTTAGTCCAACGGACTCACTCTTAGGCCTGGGTGAACATTCTGCAAATCCAAAGATTCTGCACCACAGTAAGGGGTCGACTATATGCATCAACCAGCAAAAGACACAATCCATTCAGTTGCAATCTAACACCGACAAATTTTTAATAAACCGCGAATGTTTTGTTTGTAATGAAAATGATGTTACTACTGCTTTGGTTCCATGTGGGCATAATATGTTTTGCATGGAGTGCGCAAATCAAATCTGCATTTCCATGGAAGCAGTTTGTCCGGTTTGCAATTCTATTGTTTACCATGCAATGCGCATTTTAGGATAAATCGAATTTGATTAGGTTCTATGCTACAGATTGTTTAAATAATTATTTAGATTTATAATTTGTTAATGATACTTTCTTGGTCTTGACTTCAAGAAGTGCATGAAAATTAGTACTAAAGTTTACAATTTAAACATTTGACTTTAAATAGTTTAGTTATTTTAGGTGATTCGGGCTTTGCGAATTGTAATATTTATCATGGTGCTAAAGCGCATCCGAAATTTTTGATCGAAAATACATTTTTGAAACAGTTGGAAACTGTAAGCTAAAAGTGGCTTGAAATTAACCTTTTTTACCAATTTAAAACATTAAATGATTTTTAAGAAAATTTAACTGTCCTCCAAAAACATTTTGTTGTAACCTTTTGCATTAAATTTAACTTTAGATAAAGAAGTTACATTTCTGCTACCACTGGTTGGGTCAGGCCTTAAAAAATGTCTATCCTAGTTTAATTGATGAGTGTTAAGCAAGTAATATTTGTTTTGTATCGAATTAGCCTATATTACTCCTATTGTAAGGACACATTTCTTCCTTTCGAGTTAACGGAAAATAAAAAGAAGAAAATAGTGTCTATTAAATGTGATCATTGTATGTAATGTATGAGCATATTGCAGTGGTTGTTGGCGACATTTTCAATGTTTAATATTTTTTTTAATTTAACAACGCCACCCCCTTTTTTATTTCATATTGCATCAGATAAAACTTTTTTTGGAGTTTAAAAACTTTAAAATATTCCTAACATATTCTTAAATTTTAAGCCGAAACGTGTTATGTTATATACTAAATATGTCAATCAAATAGACTTTTATAACAGTTTAAAAAGCTATGACGACCAATTTTAATATATTATAAACGCACTCCATATTTTTTACATAAGTAACATGTTTTCGCTTTTTAGAATTTTTATTTTTCAGACAAAAAGATAATTTTACATATCATTCCGATAAATAGGCTCTTATAGTTTCATATTTTAAAGCGGTCGTAAAATAATAAAATTGCTAATAGAATAATTTGTTGTGGTAAATGTTAAATACTCGATAAGAGGCTATTATCCCAATGCTAAATACATTACTTTAAAGTTGGTTATTTTTATAACAGAACACTAGTCATGCATGCATTAAACATTTTAACTGGAAAATGAAAAGAAAACTACAAATTGGCAGAAATACAGACATTTTTTGATCAATGTTAGTGCAAACTAACTTACAGCAAAACTGATATAAAGTGTCTGTGTGTACATAAAACCAAAACTAAAAATTGACTTCACGATAAATAAATAGTATAAAGATGGAGGAATTTTTAAAAAAATAATTTTTTTCTATTTTATAAAAAACGAAAAAGTCACCGATAGCCGCTACGCACTTAAAATTTGAATTTTTAAATTTAATATCCAATATTTTTTATTCTATTTTAAAAAAATAGATATCCATATTTTTGATCAAGCTCACAAACCGAGTCGTCTACTTATTGGCCATACATGGAAATACAAGCTTCTAGAAAATACATATAAATGATAGTAAAGATAAAATTCCAACATTGAATAAAAACAAGAGGAAACGCTATAGTCGACTGCCGCGACTATAAGATACCCGTTACTGTTTTACACAATTTTAAAATATTCATTTTGTTAGTGGAAATTCCCCATGCGCCACCTATTGTCGGAGAAAGCATGTCGGGTAACTGATAGTGACGTCACTGCCCATGTGAGGCCCTATAACCTAAGTTTCTTTATAAGTAGCGAAATAGTGTTCCTATTTAAAAAATCTTTGGTAAATCGATAGATATAAACAGAAATAAGTTATACAACGTCAAACGAAGGCATTTATAATATTATTATAGACGCCACAGTGTTCCGCGGTTTGTGGGTGTTAGAGTAGGCATGGCTGAATGAAAACTCGCGGAAAGTTGCAGTGGCATATCTAAAATACATATTCCTAAGCCTAACATTCTAGCTCTTTTAGTTCTTTAGATTTTTCCATTTTTGGTTTTTCGGGTTTTGTGGGCGTTAGGGTGGGCGTGGCCAGATGGAAAAAACAATTCGCATTTGGGGAATCATAAAAACCTACATGTTTAATGCAAACTTTCTATCTCTTATAGTTACCGAGATATCAGGTTTTCTTGAAAATGCGAAAACCGCCTTATGAGCTTGCTGGGCGTACCAACTAAAGGCTGCGCTGGCATCCAAAGTTTATACATACTGAATTTCAACTTTCTAGCTCTAATAGTTTCCGAGATTTCAGCGATTTTAGTTTTTCTTTATTTTTGGGCGTTAGAGTGGGCGTGGCAGGATGCGGAAATAAACTTGCGCTGTCCCGGGACCTCAAGAATCTTCATGCTTAATCTCAACTTTGTATCTGCTATAGTTCCTGAGATCTCAGCGTTCATACGGACGGACAGACTGACATGGCTCAGTCGACTTCGCTATTGATCCTGATCAAGAATATATATACTTTATAGGGTCGGAAACGCTTCCTTCTATCTGTTATATACTTTTCAACGAATCTAGTATACCCTTTTACTCTACGAGTAACGGGTATAACAAGATCAAACGCGACTATAAGATACCCGTTACTGTTTAACACAATTTTAGAGATTTTTGCAACTCTTAGAGATGTTTGCATTTTTGGTTTTCCGGGCTTTTTGGGCGCTAGGGTGGGCGGTGCTAGATGGCCGGTCGCATTTTGGGCATCATAAAAACCTACACGCTTAATCCACTTATAGTTACCGAGATATCAGCTTTTCTACATCAATATCTTCATGGTTAATCTCAACTTTGTATCTCTTATAGTTCCTGAGATCTCAGCGTTCATACAGACAGGCGGACGCGCAGACGGACAGACAGACATGGCTTTATCGACTTCGCTATTGATCCTAATCAAGAATATATATACCTTATACGGTCGAAAACGTTTCCTTCTACCTGTTACGTACTTTTTAACGAATCTAGTATACCCTTTTACTCTACGAGTGACGGGTATAAAAAGTAGGAAAATCTTTGACAACTAATAGGTCATGCCGAAATTTCTAAAACAACGAATTTTTCAAAGAATTTTCAACCAAGATGTCGTAATTACTTGAAAGATTTGATATTTTTACAAAAAGGTCTTCAATTTGTTGTATACAAAATCAATAAATCGATATTGCCTGGATCAGTTTACAGATGGCAAACAAAAATATGGAGCAGAAAAAAATTAGATTTCATTCTAACTTATATTTATTTTTTGTTATTTTATTTATGGAATTTGTATTGCTTGTAATGGCATTGTTATTATGCATCTACATAATTAAATTAACCAATTCGGTTTACCAAGACTTAAAAGTTTCAGGGTTCAAGTACCGCACCTATAAGATACTGCTACTCTGTTGACCGTTTTTTAAACTTTCTAAGCAATTGCCTGGTTCGAAAACTTACTATGGGGCACAAATACAGATGGACGCCACTGGCCTTCGCTAGATCGACTCGGTTAGTGATCCTGATCATGAGTTAAGAATATAGAGTCGGGAATGCTGTCTTCTATAAATAAAAATCCCGAAGAAGCATGTTGAACACTTGAAAAAATTGGGAAAAGTATTTATGTTATTTTCTTATATTGCACTTAATTGTGGATTTAAAACCACAAAATAGTCTTATGCTAACAAGTTAGTTACCTATGTATTTTTTGTATTTATGTATTTAAATGTGCAGGTTTTTCATTTATTTGCTGTCAAAAACAATTTCTAAAAAAATATAAATTTTTATGTACACTCATGGACAAAATAATAGGTGTGAATTTTTTTTTTTGAGGATATCGATTTTAATTGATATAAACATAACATATTATGGGAAAACTATACTTTTTTATTATGGTTACACTGTTACGATCAATTTTTGGTGAATTCCCGGAAGTCAGAAGCTTTCTGAAGAAAATTGTGGATATTTTATTGCTCAGACTGCAAATTCGCCTGGACAATAAAATAGGTGTGTCGAGCAAAACTTTAATCTAAAGCTAATTAGGATAATTGTTTGGTTGCAGAAAGTAAGGTATTACGATAATTTAACTAAATCGGGAATTAACAATCACTAAAATTGTATTAAATGGGCCGTGGGAGACATTGCAGTGCGGAAGAGGGGAAGCTCATTCGACGACTCCGAGATGAAGGAAAAACATATAAATCGATTGCTGTTTTAATGAAACGATCTCAGAATTTTGTAACCAATGCGTTAAAACCGAAAAAAGTAGGTGAAACTCGGGGAGCACCCAGAAAAACATCATCTAGGGCCGATAATCGCATGGTTCAGTTGGTTAAAGGAGACCCGTTCAAGTCTTCCAGGAGGATTTCCAACGAAATTGGAAATTTTGTGTCATCACGGACCGTTCGGCGACGTTTGGCAATGGCAAACCTACCAGGTAGGATTGCCCGCAAAGTTCCTTTGCTTCGGCCGAAAAATAAAAAGATGGGGAAACAATTTGCTCTAGATCGTAAAGCCTGGTCAGGACCGGAGGGTGAGAAAAAATGGCATAATATTCTCTGGAGTGACGAAACCAAAATAAATTTATTTGGAAATGATGCTAAAAGGAATGTTCACCGTCCGAAAGGCAAAGAATTTGATCCCAAGTACACCTGTAAGACTGCAAAACATGGAGGTGGTAGCCTAATGGTATGGGGATGCTTTTCATGGAATGGTGTTGGTCCGATTCATCGCATTGATGGAATAATGGACAGATTCGTATACAGAGACTTATTGGGGACAGTGATGCTGCCATATACTGAGGATAATATGCCAATTTTATGGAAGTTCCAGCAGGATAACGACCCAAAACACTCCTCTCTACTAGTCAGGGAGTGGTTTCGTGAGCAAAATGTGGACGTTCTGGAATGGCCGAGTCAATCCCCTGACCTTAATCCCATCGAAAATCTCTGGGGTGAACTCAAAAGAGAGGTAGGAAGGTCCTCGTGTCAAAATAAAAACCACATTTGGGATATTGTTCATAAAGCATGGTACTCCATCCCAATTGGCACTTGTCGCAAGCTGATATCATCCATGCCAAGACGAATGGCGAAAGTTCTCAAAAATAATGGAGAGTATACCGGCTACTAACTGCTACATACTCAACTTAATGTACAAAAAGATCAAAAATAGTGAAATATCCATTTAGTTTAAACGTTTAGTTCCTTACACCTATTATTGTGTCCAGCCAAAAATGTCCAATTTAGGAAAAAATCTACTTCTGTTGTTAATGATAAGGTTTATAGTATTGTTTCTTTTTTTCTTTTAAAGACAATTAATATACGTTTTAAAAAAACTTTGTTTTAAGCTGATTGGAGAAAGCATGACTTAGAAATAAAAAGTTAAAAATGAAAAATAAAACACACCTATTATTTTGTCCATAAGTGTATGTTAAGATAAAAATACAGACACTAGCCGATTTTAGTTGGCTTTAGGAAAAGCGTTCAATACATTTTTTGCAAACAAAAATTACGTTTACAACTCACGTAATTAATGGTATTACTGGATCTGAAAATTAAATGTTATAACACACTATTTCTCTGAAAATTAAAAATTGACTGATAAAGTAACATTAATATTAAGAGCATCACATACTAATTATATTTATATCAATAAAGAAAGTCAGAAACAAATATTTATATATATTTAAATTACGATGGCCCACATGTGACAACTACCTTAATAAAGCTAACGATTAAAGTGAATAAAAAGACTTATACATTTATAGTCAATCATATTTAAAATTTATAATACAATGTAAATTACGCAGAATGTTAAGTAAACCAAAATACCGTATTTCTGTTTAAAATTTGATATTCTTTGTATTAGATTGTTTTACACCTGTGTTATGTTTAGTAGTTCCCTTGATTATATTAATCAATCTAGTCCAAATACTTGTAAAAGAGGCTGGATAATATATACTTATATGTATATCATTTTAAAGAAAATATGTAAGGTTAAAAATTTAAACGAGTGAGACTAAATTATATTTTTCAATCGCGCAAATTGAACATTTAACAATTTTTAATAACTGCAACTAGATCAATTCAGTTAAAGAAATATAATTTACAGACATACTTTAATATTTAGATATATAAGATATATATAATATATACATATATTTTATATTATTAAATTCGTAAGCTAGAGAAATATTTTAAGCAATTCAATACGTTCATATATATATGAATAATCAGTATTTCAAACAAAATATCTTAGGTGTATTAGAGTATGCTATAAAATAATTTAGTTTTTGTTTCAGAGAGATAAAAAAGGTACCCTAGACCTGGTTTGGGCTTATAATAATCTTGAGCCGTAAATAATGTTGGATGACAAAGTATATATATAACCCATTTTCAAAAGATAATCAAGACCGTTGAAGAAAACTACTCGAATATACTTAATACTGAATACTTTATACTAAAATTCCAAGTAAGGTACTCGAATGTGAATTTATCTTTTAAAAATATAATTTAGAATGATTACGATCTCTGGTTGTAATTGCTTTAAGTGTAAAAGTGTTATTCATCCCAAAAATTTCAATCCATAAAAATAGTTTTACAAGGATTTAACGACGTGAAATATTGAACGGACACTTTTTTGGAGTAACTAAAGCAGTTAAATCATTAACTCTACCTACATTCAGTTTGTGTTTAATGTTATGTTTCTTATACAAGTACAAGTGGTAATAAAGGTTAAGTAAATTGATTTTTATTTCAATACCTTAAATTAGTTATATTCCAATTCTTTATTTTTGGAGTCCTATAATTACAAATAATGTAATTAAATCTAATGTATATTAAATGCTCAAATAATTCAGTTCTCTTTTTTTTAGTTCCTTAAGAAATACGTAAAAAATTATGTAGTCCAAGAATACTTTAATAACTCCGATAAACAATTTTTAAGAATTATGTACATATGTACAAGAAAAAATATTTTTTTACGCAGCTTTTAAAGTTGTATATTTAACTTATTATTGGCAGCTAATGTATTTACAACGAATATTTTACGAACGAAAGAGTACTTTTATCAAGAAACCAAAAACAAGTAATTATAAGATAACATTTAAAACAAATTCGGTGAATAAATAATATTACATTTATTTATCCAATTCAATAAAAAATATATAATACAAGAAATATAAATATAAATAAGAAAAATATTAAAATATCCGTATTGTGTTCGAAAGAAAATATAATATCTTAAAAATACATTTCATATATAGACTTTAAACGGCATACTCTTTCATTGATTAGTATTCACATTGAAAAGACGACTTAAAAGCCGAAGTCTCTAACTTTATATGGAAAATATTTATGCAATTATAAGTATATATATATATATATATACTATATAAACATATATAGTAATGTATCACTAAATGGTTATATAATACATTTTTTCGGAGGTAAATAAATATTGTTTCTTGTGAGTAGGAAGACGTGTTATTTTTTATTGATATGTAGTATATCAATGTTCTATTGGGTTTCAACAAGAAAGTTATATTCTATCCATTTTTATTAAAAGCGCTATAGTCGAGTGTCCAGTTTATCAGAGACCCCTTACCTGGTTAACCAATTTGAAAATAATTGTGCTAGCAGGAATGGTTGGTGACATAACTGCCCATTTATGATCTTATAAACTTAATTTCTGAATTAATGTCGACAAATAAGAATATTATTTACGAACCGCAACTTCAACCTTAGACTGGATGGATCAACATTTGAAATAAAAGGAAAGTGGCATGATTATAGGTCTTATTATTCACCTTCTCCTACATATTACATACTTTTAAACTTGTATACGCCTCAAGTAAGGACTAAAAAAATAAAACACACGCAGTTCTTTGTTAAGTAAGCAGATTTAAGAACAGCATGAATTACCTAGATTCACAAATAAATTTTAATCAATATAGTATGGCATAACGAATAAAAATATAAATTTTCAGCCAATCCAATAATTGCCAGCAAGGAATATATTATTATTTTAATTTAATTTTAAAGTAGTTTTAAACTAATCTTGTCAAAATATATTGGGAACGAAATCATAACTTAATGTTAAATTACTGACAATTCTTACGCTTTGAGATTTAGTAATCATTTTTGTAAACCTTTTCTTTATAGAAGGTCAAAAGACTGTTACAAGAGTAACTGTAAAGCTAAAGAGAGCTAGAGAGACATTTGCTTATAGAGTAAAAGTAAAATGTTGGGACTCAGCTACAAAACACAAAGAGCATTGCATTTATGGATTATATATTCTTTTGCAAATTCTGAGTTGTTATAGGAACTACTTGTACACGTTCAAAAATAAATTTTACTGAATATTGTATATAAACAAATTGTTATACTTTACTATATATTTCGTTGGTTGTTTACAATACTTGGTTTGTCATAACATTTAAAATCCGATAACATCCACCTTTATCTCGATAAGAAGTGTTTGTTTGACAAGCCAAGAAAGAAAAGCCTTTCCGTTTTTATTATATAAGTTAAAAGTAAGGTACCAAAAGGTAAGCGTCTTTTGTGACAAATTATTATTGCATTTTTCCCCAGCAGGAAAGTCTTTAAAAATATAACTAAAAACAGAAACAAACTGTTGAAACAGACGGACAGACGGACATAGCTATATCGACTCCCTATTGATCCTGATCAAGAATATATATACAATATAGGGTCGGAAACGTCTCCTTCACTGCGTTACAAACTTCTGACCAAAATTATAATACCCTCTGCAAGGGAATAACAAGATTTCCTATATGTAACCAATTTAATTATTAAACGGCAGCTTTAGTATATAGTTGTCTGATTGGCAAGAACTATTACCCTGAGCAAGGTATACATAAACAAATTAGATTTGCATAGTTTCATGTCAGTAGCAAAAATGACATAAAAAAGGGATATTTTCACAGCTTTTAACTATTGTTCCTATGGAAACTGTGAGATATAGGTGTCCGATCGGCAAGCGCTTTTGCCGATTCATGTTAATAGCTTTTACACTGTGCGAAATATCTTAAATTTTGCATGTTATATTCGATTGTTCCTATGGGAGCTATAGGATATAGACGTCCGATCGGGTCGATTTTCAAACTTGATCTGCGTACACGTTTTAGGATGACTGTAAAAGTTTTAAGTCGCTAGCTTTTAAACTGAGCTCGCAAACGGTATTGAAACAAACAGACATACGGACATACGGACAAACGGACATGGCTATATCGACTCCCCTATTGATCCTGATGGGGTCGGAAACGTCTCCTTCACTGCGTTACAAACTTCTGACCAAAATTATAATTCCCTCTGCAAGGGTATAACAAGAAAACATTTTTAAAATACATAAGTTAATAGTGTTGACGCCAGCAAAACTAAATGGCACTATTAATAATAATCAAAAATTAATTTAAATAACTAACAGTTATTTACTAACTAACTAAAAGCACATCGATTTCGGAGTCTAAAAATATTTATATTTAAAAATCTTTTGGTAAATCTTTATTTACAAAAAAATATTTTAGATAAAATGAAAATATAAAAGGGTAGTGCGCAGTGCGCACGTATCTAGTCCTAGCTCTTCCCGACAGCTAAGCTGCCGTATCTCTTATACATAATTCCCAAAAAGAGGCTAAAGTAATAAGCTCGGGGCCTCTCTAGAATTTGCATTGTTAATTCATACCTTTTTAATTCTTATTGACGGAAATGAATATATCAACTCTGCTATTGATCTTGATAAATAATATATATACTCTATTGCTTCAAATGGCTTCCTTCTAACAGTTAAATACTTTTAAAAGAATAGATTATATCCTTTTACTTTACGGAAAACAGGTATGAACATATCCTAATGAAAAAATATCATTATACTTTATAGTGCTGGAAAAACTTTTTTCTACATACTTTTTTTACATACTTTCCTTTTAATTTACTAAAAACAGTTATAAGAAGTTTTTTATTAAACATAATAGCTTATCGAAAACTCTTCATCATCTCATCATACAAGCTTTTATTTAAAGTATATATTTTTTAGTTTAAGGAGTATATTTCACCATATAGGCAAAGTTTAATACATAATCAAACATTTTTGTTTGTTTTCATATCTCATGAGCTAAAGTAAGGATGTACTCCAAAATACCATAGTTAACAGAACAACTTGTGTCTTTTTAACTGACACTTTTATATTAATATAGTAAATATGCCATAAAAGCATGTAATGCGATTTCGTCGGTTAAACATATTTTTTAGGTAAGATCTGGGGATTTTCTCCATTCGTATAATTATCGCCGGTGTGTATTTATTTACATAAAATTATTTATTAGTTGTATGTTATCAACAGAAAACTTTTGAGTTGTCTTAAATTAGTTCACTAGGAACAACTGCAACCCTCAACAGACATATTTGGTATAACACTTAACACCAGATTATGGTTGTCGTCAAAATATAACAAACTTAAGGAACTCATTTTTGTTGGTGAGCAACATGGTGTTGCCGAAGTCGTTAAAGCTGCTAAGTGCGTATGGGGATATTGCTCAAGATAACCAACTTTGCAATCGCCACTGCAAAAGTATGCATCGAAAGACGTTGGTGCTACCACAAAATGCCATCCGAAGCTGGTGAAATTTACTTTAAGTGGATAACGACAACATCGCATGTCATGATCATTCTCTGTGCAGTCCATATAAACGCTGCGCTTTCTCCGATGCTTTTTTTGAGAACCGATTTCAATATGAACTGTCTATAAAAAAATAAAGTTTAAAAGTATTTTAATTTTTTAAGTTCATTTTAAAATTCAAGATTTCATACCAATGGGCTTTTTGATGTGTTGTCAGTTGTCACTACTAATGACTTCATCCAGGCTTCTGCGCCCTTTATAAGAATTTCCTGCGTATTATTTGAACCAAGATCACCAAATAGAGATTTCAAATCAATGTTAACCCATTGGCCAAGTCCCATAGGAATATTTTGTCGAAACTCGAATATTTTGACTTTATTGTTAAAACTTGAAGTATTTGTGCGCTCTACAGCACGGTGAATAGTTACAACGATATCTTTACTAGGCTGGTTTTTAATCTCTTCAATGAGTTCCGGCTGGTGACTGTTTATCCATTCCCAACCACGTAAATATAAATGAAGTGTAGCGTAAGATAATTCCGAATAACTACTATCAATTTTAAAACGAAAAATATCGGCCTTGCGGTTGTGACGGACATGAGGTGGATTTTCTAGACAAAAACAAACAAACAAAATTATTTTACTAAAGATAAAAATAGAAGTTAAAGTTTTATTGCGTTGTAATATTTGTAAAGAAATCCCGGAGTCTTGTCTCCATTAATTACGTTTAATTGTTTTAGTTTACTTTCAAACTAGGTTTTTATCATGTTTAACTTTGTAAAATGTTCCCTATTATGTTAATCGATTCCACATTGAATTAAAACCTAAATGTATTTTGCACACGTTATTCTTGGATCCGGGATTTTATTTAATGGCTAACATGTCTTGAATAGTTTTTATGTGGGTTTTTCGCTTAAAAGGGTATTAAAAATTTAACCATTACAATTTCGTTTAATGGACGGTATTATAAATTTAGTTTCTCTTTATTATAATAAACATGTGAGTAGGCATTTAGACATTCTGTTTATCTAAAGCTACTGTCTTTAAAGAAAAGTATTTTATTGGCGGATCGGACAACTAAATAATTTCGCAAGCTTATAAAAATATCTGAAAGTGATAAGAATTATAATGATTTGCAAAATGTCGACAGGAAATATGTTTGTTTTTATTAAAAAATTAAATTGATACATTTATAGTAAAATAATTTTATAAGTAGACAAGATTGGGGCATTTTGAAAAGCAATAGAATAAAATAATAACTTAATTTACATTAGTTAAAAACTTTTAAAACAATAAAATATAGACCATACATTATGCTGCGAGCAGAGATTTTTAAAAGGCTTGACTATAGTCGAAATTTATTTTAATTTTTGCAATATTGTTGACCGGAAAGTATGCTTATAATGAATGTTTCTTTACTTACGTTCAGGAAATATGTATATGCTGCTTATGTGTGATAGAATACTTTCGTATTCCTCTCCGTTGTTATTATTGGGAATATGAACTTTTTTATCTTTATTTTTATTGAAATCTATTCCATGCGTTAATTGAAATTCATTAACTGTGTTAGCGTCATCTCCTTGCATTTGAGAGGACAAACTTTCATCAAAGAATTTAGACGCGCTTTCGTTGTCATGTGTATCATTTTGTTTAATATTTTCTGATGCTGTTGATTTTGGCAATAAATAAGTTTCGTCTGTATTCGCCGTGCGGCTCCAAACATTATTTTTCGAGGATGTATTAAAATCTTTATAAAAGTTATCTATTATATTTTGTGGTACTGATACTGGTTTCGTAATATTGGGAAGAGTTTTTAAATTCAATCGCATAAGTATGTGCATTTTAATTGACTCTAAACTGTCCACTTTGGCTTTCTCACGCAATTGACGTTGTAATATACTTTCTAGATTGAGTAAGGTATTGCGATACATAGATACGCCTTGAACTCTTGTAAAATTTCCTGAAACTGATACCTTTGGTAAAGAGGAACTTTTTTTTCCCAGCTTACTTTGTACTTTTATTTGGAATAATGCCGTATTTTCATTTTTCTTTTCCTCCGCAGATATCGAAGAAGAGTCATTCTTTTGATAAAGTACGTTTGTATTAATATTTTTTTCGTTACTCAACAAAGAAATGTCCTCACTAATATTCACGTTGGAAGAATTAGGAAGCCTTTTGATTTCCGTCTCAGCATAAGAACTCCGTGCAGCCGCTAAGACTAAAATCACTGCAATCGCAACACATAAGTTGATATGGAATTTACATTTTGAACCTTTAATGATAATCATTCGTTCGGTTCTTTTTGTTCTGTAGTCACAAAAAAATATGCAAGGAAATTCGATTTCGTTGGGGTGTATTATTATATGAATATCACCTGAATTTGAGTGGTTTTGAGCAGTTTTTTCTTTTAAGGTGTTATCTGTTTTTAAGATTCTATGGTCTTGATCTTGAGTTTTGTATTTTTTCCAACCACTGCATGATTTGCTCAGCATGATTTTTGATCAAACCGTTGTTGGTGCTGAAAAGGGATTTTTTTTGCAAATATATTACTATAGCACTTTTATACTTAGAGAAAACGATATGATAATAAATATCTTTTAAAAACCTTACATTTTTTAATAACTTCCTAAGATGTTTATCTGATTTTTAATAAATAGGTTGGTTAACAAATATAGACAAAAAATATATTCCATATATTATAAAAGTTCTAACATTCTTGACTTAAAAACATTGGGGCTCTTATAGTTCCCGAGATCCTGCGTTTATAACGAAGGACCGCCCGGATAGCCGTCACTTATACGTCTTTAGTAATATTTATATTTTCAGATTAAAACACATCTCAAAGCAAAGCAGGAAGATACACTACAGAAACCTGTTACTGTATAAAATATGAATATTTAGAAATCAGATAAGCACTTGATTTGCAATTTTGATGGACCTAATTTATAATTTATATTTTGCGGAACTTCAATCGCATTAGAATGTGCATTAAAATTTTTTTTTTGTTATAGACCCTATAAATAATATACATTCTATATGATATTTAATGGCCTAGTAATCCGGCTTTTCGTATCAATGCTCAGATCTCAGCAAGTATTATAGTTAAAAATGAATTAGATTGAACATGCAGATCTTAGGGGTGCAATTAAAAGTTATTTCAAAATCCGACCACAAATCGTGAAAATCTATGGCGGCATTATTGTAAATGTATTTTGTACTTTTTATTGTCGATCCTATCGATTTAATAAATATTCGCCAGGAATCAACATAAATTATTATTCGCGGCACTATATAGTTGTGCATACAATTTTCGATGGCATTGTAGACGTCATAAATACATTATTTAAAGATTTTAACACACGTAACCGAGTAGATCCTAATTTCTGCTTCAAAACCTATTACATAGCCGCAATAGGTTTGCTGAAACTGAAAGTTCATTCTTTTCTTTTGATTACTTATCAAAAATGTTTTAAAATGTTATCTTATGTTAATTATCCTTGATTGATATATGTAAATACTTTCCTAAATAAAGAAAAGCCAAGTAATGAAAATTAAAAGTTATTAAATAGTTTAAACCACTTAAAAATTTAAAAAATTCGAAGCTGTAACATAATTTACATATTGTACACATGTATTCTTTTTTTGGGGTCATCTTAGGAACGACCACCCTAATCTGCACAGTGGCATACAAATGTATGTATGTATGTTCATACACATACGTAAAGACCGTTCATAAACGTTTCAAACGAATCCTCTTGATGACTACTCTATTGTATTCAATTAAAACCATTTATAAACATAATAAATTGTTGTGCTCTTGAACTTCATTTCATCATGGAAAGTGCAATTTTACAAACTGAGAAACGTAAATCTGATATCATATGCACATACATATATGTACATATATACCATCATTAATATACATATATACATAAATATGTGCATATAAATACGTCTGTATGCATGTTTGTGTGGGAGTGTTTGTATGCGTGTGTATGTACATACACACATTCATAATTTTTTCGCGATAACAAACTTTTGTAGAAACATGTACCAAGTAAATATATACATACATATATACATACATATATAAATTTCTACGTTTATTTATGTTAATTCACTTTTAAAATATAATTATATATATTTTTAAGACTAGGAAATTTTTTGTATTTACATGTACTTATTAAATGCTTTATATTGAAATAACAGTTGGACTATGGATTTGGATATATTTCACTTTCTTCACATTGTTATTAATTTGAGTATTTATTGATAAGCAACACATAGTTAATAATAGTATGCGACGGTATCCAAATATGTACGTATTATTTAGTTTTTCCAATAGGCAAGTTAAATATTGAAAACCGGAGATTCCGTTGGCTGTGCGGTTGGATGACGAGGTGGATCTGAGCAGCTGATCGGAGACGATCGGAACATATGTACATATACACACATACATACGAATGTATGCCTTTATGTATGTATGCATACATGCAAGCAGCTCAACAGTCATTTATTTGGCATGACAATGAAATCTAAAAATCTTCAGAGCGTGGGCTAGGAGGGCTATTATTATTATTTTATTATTTTATTGACTATGCACATACATAGGTACATATATAAAAACAAATAAAATATGTGATCATTACACCTTATAGCATGTGGATTTGTTTGATGCGGTGCGTTGCACCACAAATAGTTTTGTCACAAATTGTTTGGAATAGCCCGAATGAATGAACATGTATGTATGTACATATATGTATGTACATACAAAACAATTGGCAGATATTCGTATGAACGTATGTACTTATGCCTATATGTAAAACGCATCTAAGCTTTTTTATTTAATTTATCTATGGAATTACGATAGTACATAGTAATTATAGGTTTATCCGAATTAATGCCGGTAAAGTATGAATTTTGCCATTTGCCATTTAATAGTAAAAAACTAGCGTTAAATTTACCGCGTGGTAAAAGTGATGCGGGTCGTTCACACTTTCGACATTAAAGCATAAATTGTAAAGTAGACGGTTGGAAATCAGTGTCAGCTTCCTTTTGTATAGTTAATCATTGGTGGTATATAATATTTTTCCCGGAAACCGCAATAAATATCAGGAAGGAGGAAGCTACAAAACAAAAATTGCTGTGTTTTGAATAAAAGTGTTATCTGACATGTTAAAATAATTTTAAACTTTAGCTCTGAGCAATAATGTAACGGATATAATGTTATCGACATGTTAAACATTTAGAAAATATTAAAAATCAATAATTTAGTTATATCGAGCATTAAAACGCAGATTGCTTTGAAACACAAAGAACGGTGAAACTAAATACCGTATATAACTGGATATTTTTGATTGACCTTCATCTTGAACACTCTTTACATTATTTTATTAAGTGTAAGTCGTAAGATGATCGGTAGGCATTATACAGTGAAATTTTCAAGTTTTTTTTTTCAGTTTTTGCTGATTTTTGTAGTTATTTCAAAATGGATTTAGTCACTTGGCAATGGACTTGGTTTCCTGATAAAGGAAAAATCTTACGGATCATTGAGATGCCTGGGCACCTCTTTATGATCGCTGATAATCCAGCAAAAAACGTTAAAACTAATGCAAATGAATTAGTTTTTGCCCGCATTAAAGCGCAGACAAACCTAGCAACAAAAAGCCCAGGAAGTGGGAATGTACCTTGAAGAACAACGGACCTTAAAGGAAATCTGCTCTCTAAGGTAAACCGAGGTTAAGCCTACGGGCAGGAATGAGGGTGCCCCAGCTCGAACGTTTACGCCAACGCACAGCACCTATCTTTTATACACCTATCCTTTGCGAGTTCTACAATAGAACTATATCTTTTCCCACATATAGTGACCACAAAAAGAACATATGACCTGGCAGTGAGCTAGCATCCCAGATGGAATAATGGAATGTTTGGAATTTTAATTTTAGTACAGCCTTTAGATTAGTAAGTTGTCGTAAGTCTAATAACAATATACTATATTATTGAATGTGCGCTTAAATATCCGCGACTTCAAGATACCCGTAACTGTTTTATTAAATTTTAAATTATTAATTTTGCCAGCGGCAATTGACAACTTGCCACCCTTTGAATCGTCATGGTTACGTAACTGCCCAGACCTTATAACCTGCCTAAGCCTAATTTTCTAGCTTCTAAAGTTGCCGAGATCTTAATGATTTTTGGTTTTTCCATTTTTTGCACGTTGGAGTGGGCTAGGATAGATGGGAAAAATAATATCATCATTGGAAACTACTTGCTTAATCCTATACTTTCTATCACTTATAGTTATCGAGATATCAGCATTTCTACAAATCCGTAAGATGCGCTTTTATTTCAAGATTATACACGCTTAATCCGAACTTTCTATCTTTACTAGTTCCTGAGATTTCAGAGATTTTAGTTTTTTTGTGATTTGAGGGTGGAAGTGAGTGGCAGGATGCTGAAATAAAGTTGTGCTGCATAGGCATCTCAAGAATTTACATGCTTATTTGCAACTTTTTATATTTTATAGTTCGTGAGATCTCATCTTTCGCTCATACGGACAGACGGACATGGCTTAATCAACTTGGCTATTGATCCTGACCAAGAATATGTATACTCCGTAGGGTCAGAAACGCTTCCTTCTACTGTTGCCTACTTTCAACGAATACAATATACCTTTTAATCTACGAGTAACGGGTATAAAAATGATATCAATGTGAATTAACAACATGAAACAAGCCATTCTATTGTCAAATGAAGGTTTATTTATTATTTGATGGTGACGTCAATTAAATAAAAATGTCAACTTAAGGCTTCATAGCATGTATATAGTTTGCAAAATAATGCAAAAATTTAATGGTTTCCATAAATCGATAAGAATTGGGAAAAACGGATATTTAAGAAGTCCGATTTCTGTTCTAACTCGTATATTTCCTGAGATATCGACTATAGATCCTGTCCAAGAAAATATTTGTTTGTGCCGTATATATACGTAACCATGTTTGACCAATAATGACATAGAAATACAGGGTTCAGGATTAGCCTTAAGTCGTGTATATAATCAAAGGTCGAAAAGCACAGTGTGCAGTCTTACAATAAAAGCAGTACTCATTCTACCGAAATCCTGGAGCTCAGAACTATACTAAGGAGCGTAAAATCCTTCAAACTTCTGGTCTTTGTTATTTCTTTTTTTGGGCAGATCGAACATTTTGATCTTTCTAATTGTTCTTCACAGCGGGCCTGCATGGTCTTGGGGAAACTTTCAAACTATTCGATCACGATCTTAGCAGTGCAACCCTTGGGACATAAGTAGGGAAGCGGGTTTGCCGACATGCTATCGATTCTCGTGTGAAAACATGCAATTATGGTTTTATTTGTGTTATTCTGAGTTTGAATTTACACGTTTATTGTTTTTTTTTTCGAAATACTAAGAGCATATACACATTCATACGTATTTGTCGGATCTGATGTTTTCACGACCATGTGAAATTACGCTTGTAATAAACAAACGGTAATAGGGTTAAATTGTGTCTGTATAAAAAACATAAGTAAGTCCTTATAGTGTGCGACATTTGAATGAGAGTAAATATTTTTAATCTTTTGGAAAAACTCTTATGTAAAATTCCAGACTGTGAAAGCATGTTTGTTATTAATAATGTAATAAAAAATAACCCTGCGAAAACAGAATACTGAAATTCTTTATTTATTGGTTTTTTTATTCGAGGCCATAAGTAAAGAACACTTAATAATTATATTATAGTAATTGATATATTAAAGATATTTAAAAAAAATATAATACGGTCAACACTAAAATCGTTTTTTGAATCGTTATCGTTTTTGAGAAGTTTTTTTTTTGTTTCATAAGGTTCCTAAAAACATGTATGTCATATTTTGACAAAATTACGAATTTCCTGAAATTCTTTTAGGTGTATTAAATTTATACCCCTTAAGGATGGGACGATGAAAAAGGGCGCTGTTCACTAGCAATCACTTGCCACCACTTTTATTTTGTTAAATTTGATTTTAATCCATAGATAATATTTTAAGACTTTCTCTTTCGCTCTGTTGAGTCTAATGCGATTGAATCATACTATTTACAAAGGGTGTATGTGAATTTTCATGCTCAGGAGGACCTAACGTAAAAATAAATTACATACTGAAAAATAAAAGTTTGAAATTTGAAATGTGTTTCCATAGCATATTTTTAAAAATATATGTATAAGTAACATATATGTATGCTTAGTTTATAAAAAATATGTCCGATATAAACAATAAAGCGTGGACAAAACAAAATGTATATTAATTATTTTATGGGTATCTTTTGAATTTTGCTAAAAGGCAATAAAAAGGCCCGCTCCAATCCTTTAAGCCCAGCATGGTTTCTTTTAATTATGTATGAGCTCAACCTACTCTGCGATTAGTAGAGTGTTGTCACACGAAGTGCTCCTGTTAAGTGATAGTCGTCAAACAGCAGGCAACGGGAATGTTGAGTAAAGGTTGGGTGCGGGAGGCACGGCCACCGTATTCTCATAATAATTGAAGTATATTCACAGTGGTTGCCTCTTTCTGAAAGGGCGTATGTGAGCCACCCGTGGACACACATCACCCACACCCAATGCTGTCTTTTTAGGGATTCCCCTTTAGCCCTTACCAAAAGGATTTTCTTTGTTTATTTTTGGTTGGCTGGCCAAATGCTTGGCTGGTCAATCGTTAGCCCGAGAACGGTTCTCCGCATTGGTTTTGGTGAGATGGGTCTGGTGCTGCTTTAATTGTTTAATGGCTTGTTACTTGAATTCCCCGTGGGAGACTCATGGTGCGTCTGTGCTAACTGGAATTTTGAAGTGCGATAATTGTAGCGTTTTATTATGGATTAAGCAAATTTTCTGTAAATTATATGCAAGGGATAATGTCATATTATAAATAATGTCCCTGTTGATAACGTTAACATGGTTAAGTATACATTTTTAGAAATTTTGTGGATAGAGTCATTTTTTAAGACATTCAACAATATTTTTTTTACAAAATTGCCCAGCTTACATTGTCGTCGATGTCATGTCAAAGAAAACAACGAAGACGCTATATACTTTGGATAAGGACCTTGGGAATATGTCCGTATAAATGGATATCATGAATTCAAGAGCTACAAGCAACAGATGGCTTGTACATTTTAGGACAGCCTGTGCAGTTCTAACTCGAACTAACAAGCCGCCAGAACTTGCCGCGTGTTAAAAATGTATAAAATATTTTAGGTTCTATGACATTCCAGTTGCCGTGCCTTCAAATCCAGTTGATACATAGAACCACAGAACTGTAAGGTCACTGCGCAAATAGGACTTGATTTGTTTATAAATTGTAAAGAATTTTATTCACAAAAAAAATGTTAAAGTCAAACTAAAAGTTTAACCCGGATATTATGAACGCTGTTTGTTCGCGTAAGAGTGGCCTTGGGCGGATGATGAATTAAAGCCCACTGCTCAGGTATATCAGAATTGATTGGCAGATGACTAAATTAAATCGAAACTTAAAATTTAAATAAATAGCGAAATAATTTTTAAATTTTAAAAATCTTTGGTAAATCGATAGATATTGACAAAAAAATGTTATACAAGGTCAAACGAAGAGAGGCACTATAATATTATGCACACCACAGTTTTCCGCGGTTTGTGGGCGTAAGCGTGGGCGTGACCGGATAAACAATCGAATCGAGCTGCAGTGGCATCTCTAAAATACATATTCCAAGCACCCTGTTTTTATGCATTTTTTATTTTCCGTGTTTTGCGGCGTTAGAGTAGGCGTCACTAGATGTGAAAAATAACTCGAATTGGGGGCATCATAAAAGATACATGCCTAATCCTATATTTCCATTACTTATAGTTACCGAGATATCAGCCTTTCTATAAAAAGCTAAAACCGCAGTTCGTGCTTGGTGGGCCTAAGAGTGGGTGTGGCCGAATAATGGGATGCGCTGGCATCTCAAGATTATACATACTTAATCCAAACCTTCTAGCTCTAACAATTCCTGAGATTTTAGTTTTTCATGATTTGTGGGCATTAGAGTACTTTGTATCTCTCATAGTTCCTGAGATCTCAGCGTTCATACGGCCAGATGGACAGGCGGACATGTCTTACTCGACTTCGCTGTTGATACTGATCAAAAATATATATACGCTTCTTTCTACCTGTTACATACTTTTTAACGAATCTAATAAGGTATATTCTCTATGAGGGTATAAATATACCTCCTACATCTCGCCCTAACATCCACTGTTAATGGTTAAAGATCTATGTATAGAGGGTATAACGTTGACCAAATAACATTGTTTGACGATAAACGTTTTATTAAACTTTTACAAGAATACCAGTAAGATATTATATAAGGGCGCTAACAAATCAAGGTGGTTGTTCCATGCTAGTTAGGGATAAACGACGATAAAATCTTTATGAAAGTTGATCTTCTGACGAATGTTCTTATTGGTTGTGCTCCTTTCTGAATTCGCTGTTTCTTTAAAACAGCTCGACGCCCTTTTTCTCGTTCCCCATGCCCAAATACAATTGCGTGACTGTGTGAAGTCTTGCGGACAGGCGATAAGGAGAACGACTCGTTTTTATTTCAGCACAAAAGCAACTGTTGCCGAACACACGCTAGCTACATGTAATAGCCATCATCTTAGATCATATATAGGTCGTGTTGGTGGTGGTAAATTTCTTACTTGTTAAGTAGCAGGTCTCGATAATGGTTTAAGCTTAAAGATGAAAGCTTTTAAGATGTTTAAATAGTGTGTCCTTTAATCAAGACTAGCGCCATCGCTTTATGTATCACATAATTAAATGGCTGCTTGTTCGTTATTAATGGATAAAAGTTAGTTTAAAAGTATGTAATAGGTAGAAACATGCGTATATATATAGGCTTTTTTTAAATGTATTATTGATCAGGGTCAATAGCCAAGTCCATGAAGACATTTCCGTGTGAGATTTTAGGTAGTAAAAAACCAAAACAGTTCGGATGACGCTGACAGAGTATAGAGATGCCTGCGTAGCACACGTTTGTTTTGGCATTCGGTGACGGCCACTCTAAACACCTACAAGCCTGGAAAACTAAAAACTTTGAGATCACAGTAAATTAAATGGTTGGAAACTCTATTTTTGAGTACAGCGACTATCAGATAACCGTGGAAATATATTACATATTATTATGAATGCCTTCATTTGACCTTGTATAACATTTTTTGTCAATATCTATCGATTAACCAAAGATTTTTCGAATCGGAACATTATTTCGCTATTTATGAAGAAATGTATGTTATAAGGCTCCACATGAATATCGACGTCACCATCAGTTACTCAACATGCTTTTTCTGACAAAAGGTGGCGCTTTCTGAATTTTCTCTAGCAAAACTAATATTTTGAAATTGTATAAAACAGTAACTGTAAAAATACATTAATTAATTATAAAATTGCAAACGTTGTTATGGTTTTTAATTTGTAAACTTGCCACAAATTGTTAATTGCAAATAAACAATATCAATTGCTTCAAGATCAGTACCTATCAAATTGCTATTTTATACTACTGCATCCGATCTTCTTATAAGTATACCCTAATGTTGATATGAGCCTTATTCTTATTAATAATGTTCTTGTAGCTAAAGCGGTCTAAGCCGAAGCGGAAAACTTTTCTCTGCACGAGCCGTGTCGTTGGCACGCGCCACGTGGCGATTGGGAGCTGCTTTCCAGCTTCAGCACCAGTGTGAAGATAATATAATATGATGATTGCCTGGCTGCTTCAGTTTCCTGTGGGGGATTGTCTTTCATGTGCTACCGTAGCCTAATGAAAACTTTTGTTTCCTCCACCTTCAGGCATTTCATGATATAAATCTCTGCATATTAAATCTTGAAAATAATAATAACATATGGTAATATTAGAATGGACCTGGAACCTGCAATACTAAAAATATACTACTGCTACAATAAGCTACAAATTACTTACTTACTTAATTTTTGATTGTAAACGACATTGATCTGAGGTCGTCATTATTAATATGATTATTAATACTTTGGTCAAAAATGGGATAGCGCTTCTAACTTTATTTAAAGAACCTTTTAAACCTAATTAAGCAACAATTCAAAAAAAGTGATGATCAAATTCAAAAATCTTTCTGTAAGTGTCAAGATTATTCAATTATTATTAGACCGTGAATTTTTTCTGAGTTCTCTTTTTCACAATCTTGTAAATAAATTAGTTAAATGTAAAAGATAAGGCTCAAGAAATAAATTGAAATTTGTGTTAAGACTAAAAATATTAGCAGACATATAGTTGTAAATTATTTTTAAGTCCCTGTCAGTTTTGAGTTCCAATATGCTTTAGTTTTTATATTATTCCTTTTTGAAATTTTAAAACAGGCAAGCTTCCGACTCAGCTAGCATACTTGCCATCCTTTTCGAGCTAGTGAGAAAATGTACTCCTTGCGCGGCATAAGCAGGACAGGAATATCCCTCGGAACTCCAACATCTACATGTGGGGCCAGCTGGTAATATGGTGGGTGTGACCGTGTTTAGGCTTTTCGACATTTTGCTAAACAAAAACCTACGCCCATTCCGACGCCTCCTGTTTTTATGTACATACACACATATACATACATACGATTTTAACGGAAACGTGCGGGTAGTTACCGGAAATGTAAAGCGCTTATTGTATCGGAATGAAACAATTCTATTGGGCAACTGTGCTGCTTGGCAGCTAAATATGTCGAAAAATTTAATTTAAAATTAAACACAGCAACTGTGCAAGTAATGGCAATGGCAAGAAAAAGGTACTCAAAACTAACTAAACGATATAGCAGTAGCCGATGCAGCGTTTACAATCAGATATGTACACATTAGGCGTCTGAAGCAGACCCTAGGGGCTCAAGTAATGCCAATGATTCAAATAAAACTATACCGACAGCCTATGCTGTTGATCCTTAATTTAATTTAAAAAATCCCTTAACGGTAAAGGCAGTTGCAAAATTGCATAGTGTGGAAAAATAACTTTATCTTGCGGCCCATTATCCGAATATAGGTGCGAGTGCGACAACTGATGTGCTTTAGTTATTGGCCAACCACAGTGCTTCCCTTCCCAAATGGTGGTAGGTAAGCAAGCCAACTTGACACTAGCCAATCACAATCTGTTTCTTTGCCACAATCCCGTCTTAGAGTACAGGGGGACGCTTGTTGACAATCTGAGGGTCGGTATAGTCGGTTTTTGGAACGGATCCGGACAGGCAGGTCGTGACATTATTATTACGTCTTGCGCTTCAACGTTAAATGCAGTTCCGTCGTGTCGGGAAGTTTAAAAATAATTAATCAAGTCAAATTTACCGATTTTAGTGCTTTTATTGCCATATTAATTTAAGTCGGCAGTGATATTTTATTTAAAGAAAATATATAATACATAATTTTCATTAAAAGAGTGGTGCATGAAAAATGAACAAGTGAACTAAAACAAAAGCGGCTGCTCAGTTTAGTTTGTGTTCATGAATTTGTGATTCTAATATCCCCATGGGGCCACCAACAATTGATTTTGGTCACCACAGGACATGATTTCAACCAACACCATCTGTACATATTTAGTTTGAAAACTTTGTTCACCCTGCTACGGTTTCACGCAGCTTGCGTTCTGCACAAAACAGTACATACTCCTGAATTAAACTTGCCTAAGCAAAGCAATACTCGATTGAGAAATTGTCAACCGCAATTACAACGGTCATCGCCAATTTATTCCGTTAGTGTAATACAATGTTTACATTGCAACCAACTCCGACGGCAATAGGCACCGTAGTTCCTTCTTGGTCAACGGGAACATTGATAGAACGCCTGCCGTCTTTAGACGACATGGCTCACAAAGGTAAGTACACCTCTTGCACTACACCTCTAGTTGATTTTTAATATGGAAAGCTTCTGTTTATATGTACTCATATTTTTGATCAGTGTTTCCAGACAACTAATTTTTTTTTCCTTTGTTTCACTTTTAAATTATGAAATAGAACATTATACAAATTACATTGGCTTGCAGATCTTTAGTTACATTTTATCGTTGGCTTAAAAAAATAGTGTCCAAAGATGACACCCAAATATTGAGCCAAGCTAATCACTATGTAAAGAAAGAATTTGAACATTTTAAAGTTCTAGTTTGATGCAAAGAAAACTTCGATTTGGATTAACAGAACTAAGTTGTTGGGTTCAACTTGGATAAGTTAGCCGGTAACATTTTATATAACTACATAGAAAAAGTCAGATCAATTCGAATGTATGTAAAATGTAATGAAAAAATTTAAATAGTTGAACGCTTAAAGCACAGTCGCAGATTTTTATGATATACTTGCTTCACAAATTTGAAGTCCATGTATTGTCTATAAAAGACAAACATAAGTTTCTATGTTCAAAAATGCTGACTAAAATTATTATAACGTCTGTAAGGTATCATATTTGGGTATGATAAATATTATATACATTTTTTTAAATAAATAAATATTCTTTATCAGGATCTTCAGTTGGAGTCTAACTCTGCCCAGAGCGCAGCTACATCTGTGGCAATGCAGGTTTTAGGGATGCTTGAAAAGTTCAAGTTAATTTTTAAATTAATCCATTTAAAACAATTAAGCTTATATGTATCCGATAAAATAATAATTGGCAGGATATGAGGATTTTTTTGATATAGTAGAACTTTCGTCAGTTTTTAGTTTTAGCTCCCAAACGACATTGAAACAGACGGACCTGTACATTTTATGAGAGGAGATTGACTGAGATATGGTTGTAAGGTAGCCCAATTTAGTGTTTAAAATATATGCAACCTACATATGTTTTTAAAAAAATCATTTCGAAATTACTTTTTGGAACTTGTGGACACAAGTCATCTAAAATATGGTTTGCGAATATTCAACTACAAAAACATAGTATTTCTTACTACTAGAATAAATAAATTACTACTCATAAGTGTTTCTATATTCTGTGCAGTATTTTGTAAAACATAAAAAGATTTTATATCGAATACCCTTGATCCAAAATTGCTAAATACAGAAAAAAATATTTAAATTGATTTCTGTCCCAAATACTTTTGGAAAAAAGTAGTTTCGAAGTAGTAGTAGTTTAGTTTGTAACAGCCAGAAGGAATTGTTTCCGACCAAATAATGTATATTTTATATATTCTTGATCAGGATCAATAGCCGAGCTGATTTATCCATGTTCGTCCGACGGATTACCCATCCAGATTATTGAAATTCCTATGCAGCTCAAGTGTATTTTAGCGTGCTGCCACGGCAACTCAAACGCCCACAATACGAAAAATTAAAATCGCTGAGATCTCAGGTACAATAAGAGCTAGAAAGATAGGATTAGGCACGTATAATCTTGAGATGGCAGCGCATCTTAAGGTGGAACAATTATCTAGCCCAAAAAAACAGAGTTCGCGTTTTGTGTGGAACTAACGACCACAAAACGCGGAAACACCAAAACGCTAAAATCTCGGGTAAGTTAGGATAAGGCATATTCTAGAAATATCAATACCTATCGATTAGCCAAAAATGATCAAATCGGAACATTATTTTGCAAATTATTAGGAATTGTAGGCCATAAAAGCCTGACATGAGCAGTGACTTTACCTTCAAACATGACTTTTCTGACAAAAGGTGGTGGTGCGTCAGTTTCTGATAGTAAAAAATGTTTTTAAAATTTGGATAAGACAGTAACAAATTTGTTGTAGTCGCGGTACTGGATTACAGCGCCCTTTACTTTAAATACTTACTCTGCTATGCAACAGTTCGTACTATCATATTTATTCAACCAAAAATAATGAATTAAAAACGAAAATGCGACTTCTTGATACGAATTTTACTCCTATGATCTTCTTTTTTATAGACAATGTGATTGCCATGAGAAATTTACCCTGTTTGGGTGCAGCTGGTGGAAGTGGACTAGGCGGTATTGCTGGAAAGCCATCCCCTACAATGGAAACCGTGGAAGCCAGCACGGCGTCACAGCCCCATTCGACATCGTCGTACTTCGCCACAACTTACTACCATTTAACTGACGATGAATGTACGTTTTAATCAGTAACGTAAAGCAATACTTTTCCTTTAACTAAACCCCCGAAAAAAATTACATTTTACGGAGACAAACTGTTCTTTTTCAAGGTTATTTCCTTAAATTTATTCAAATTTATTCAGCTATAAGTCACATTGTTCAATTCTATTGTTTAAAAATATGACACGTTGTGTTACATCTTAAAGTTATATCTTTTTTGCAGTACAATTTTTAAGTTATATTAAATTAATCAAAGACGTTATATACATATGGTATGAGCTATTTGGTTAGGTTTTAAATCCGAGTGGGACAACATAGTAAGTAACTTTATTAAAATTACCTCGTTATTTACTTTGATAGAAAACAAATATAGTGCAACAGATAAAGAAAGTCTGAATTTTTGGTCATCTTTGCGTTTTGGGGTAGTGATCTAAATCGTAAAACTATCTTATCCGATAGTTCAAAATACTCGTATAAAGGTATCGCGCCAAATTTGTTCTTTTTACATATATGTGTCAATAAGATATGTTATTGCTGTGAAAACAGCTCAATATCTGGGCAGCCCAAAGTGTTTAGCTCAAAGGGATGGTGAAATCATTGTTCAGTAGCTGACTCGAAATCGCGCACATGCTGCCAATTATAGTGGCACAATAGGATGAGCTGATCACCGATGACAATTGGGATCGCCGTGGACTCTCAATACAGTGCTTAGGCCAAAAAAAAAATGTTCTGAATTGCGGAGTAGCTTAGAAGTAACCCCGAAGTCCCATTTCCAATCACACAGTCATCCCTATCCCCTCGAGCTGTTAAGTACTCTCTCTCAGGTCAGTCCATTGTTGTGCTGGTGAATCAATACAATAATTTTCCAACTTAAATGATCTTGAAGTGTGAGTTCGTTGTCGACGACTGTTCCGTGTCATGTCGTTACAAATGGAAACAATTATTTGCATTGAAAGCCAAAGTCGAATAAATACAAACACACACAATGCACTCTAAAATGCCAAATGAGCCTCTTTAGCGGCTGCCGAGAGCCAATGTGCTTAGGTATTGTACCTATATCCAGTCTTTGTCTACCCACCCCGTCCCAGTCATTCAATTTTTTTAGGGAAGGGAAACAAACCGCTTCCCCTTCCTCAGAACGGACTAGTCCCCTAGAGGGTCCTGCAACGGCCTCTCTCTATGGCTAAGCCATTGCCTTTCTTGTCGAAAGATTCGTGTTGCAATTACATTATTAATCCCACTGGCATGATGATTTCGTAGAGGGTTCCCTGTCGCAGTGGCGAATCAAATTTTCAGCAAGGCCCTGCACGAATACCGCCAGTACACTACCGCTGCTAAAAGTTGTCAATTCATTTAACTTGAGACACCAGTACAATGTAAGTCTTCAGGACTACCGCGAGTAAAATAGACGGTAAAATTTGTCATGCAACTATAATTTTTCGGTGAAAAGTTTTCTAATCGGACACCACAATTTTTTTGTCGAATCAAACCGAAAAAAACAATGCCCACGTACGAGATTTTACGGCAGACGCCTCCCGATGAAATCCGAACACAGAAAAGTCACTCGGATAAGCCCTTTGTCAAAAGCTTACTCTTCTTGCATGTATCAAGATATTGCTGCTGCTTCGTTGATTTCTTAACCAATAAAGCGGTAAATTGATACGGAGATTTTAGGATTTTATTTCAATAATTCCAAATACTCGGAAATTTTTATAAAGCCCTTCCTTTCTCATGCTTGACCTAAGCAACGAGTGTGCCCTTTTTCGCCTTTTTCGCCTTTTGACATTTTCTTTTTGTTTTGTTTTTCGTACGTTAGATAAATACACAAAAAAGAGGTTACGTTTGTGATTATCTTAATCACATACGAACAAATAGTATTCACTTTCAAATATTATAAATTTGAATAATTTACAAAATTGATTTAAAACATATATTTCTTAGTTTATTGCCACCAAAAATAATAAAAGGTATTAGTTTATCATGCCAATGTTGAAGATTACAACCTCTTGGGCAAGCTGTTGGGTCAATATTGTCTTATTATAGAAACGTAAATGCTAATTCGCGAACTACTATTTACTCTCCTTTAGGTCGATGAATGTATTTTGACGTCTTTAAAAGCATGACAAACTGATTTATATGCCTCATTGCCATGACTTTATATGAATAAGCTTGCACTTACGTGCGCATCAGCGGGCAGACAGAATTCGACATTGTCGTAGCCGATTAAATTGTAGTAACAAACAAATAAATATACTTGACATAGTAAAATACAGTGCTTACTTTTATTATTTTATTTTGTATTTTAAAGGTCATAGTGGTGTAAATCAATTGGGCGGTGTTTTCGTCGGGGGAAGGCCTTTGCCAGACTCAACACGGCAAAAAATTGTCGAACTTGCCCATTCTGGAGCCCGCCCATGTGACATTTCCCGGATTTTACAAGTTTCCAATGGATGCGTAAGCAAGATTCTTGGAAGGTAGGAAACACATTTCAAAATTACTCGTTAATCAGAGTTAAATTTTCGAAATATATTCGTAAAAAAAGTATGTAGAAGTAGTAGTAGATAGCATTTCCGACATGTTAAGTATATATATTATGGGTATGGATTACTAGGCAAGTCTATCTAGCCATGTCGGCTTGGAAGTTGAAGAAACATTAATGTTCATGAACATCGACGATTCCGATGATTTTTACAACGGCTATTATTTCTATAATATACCATACTTACTCTATATATATTATACATATTATTAACATGGTTGTTATTTATTTAAGATAAGGTAATTGATACAATAAATCAGAAAAAATAGATTGATGCGTAATAAAATACTTCCCAGTAAGTCGTACTTTTCGGGATGGTTTTCCTTTTCAATGTTTTGCCTCGTGAGGATTATGGCGATTATAGGATAGAGATATAAAATTTAATTGACTTATTTTACAACAAATACAAATAAATCCCATCATCATTGATAATTCGAAATAACACATGATTTTTGTTTGCAAAACTAAAATAAAATTATAAAACATATATCTTGTACTTGTGTACAATTTATTAAATCTATTTATTACTGGGCATTAATGTATTGCGTACAAGTACAAGTTTAAAATGTTGGGTTTACAAGTACATAATTGGTCTGAAAATGCAGCAAAAGTAAAGCATACTTCGGAAATGTTCAATTTATTTGTCTTTGCAGAAAAGTCGTTTAATTTGTTTTTGTTTGAATTAAAGGAAGTGTTACTGAAACCTTCTAATGAGAATATATGCCAGTTCAAACACATAATATAAAAAGAATCTTGTCGCTTTTCGCTGATTTGTAAAAATAGGAGACGGAAGGTTGAGATATTGGTTTTTGTGTTATAACATAAGTAAAATGACGATGTGAATGAAGTATTGGTCGGAACAAAATGATTTTGGTTTGTAGTTAGGTCTTGCAAAAATGTATTACTCATATTAATAACTATAAAATTTACATTATGGGCTACTGTTCCTCGCGGCTTTGTTTTGAAGTATACATATTTATTTCTTATATTGTCGGAAAGGCTTCTTCAACCTGTTACCTACTTAACGAGTAAAAATATTTAATCGCAGCATTATGTCCTCTGTCCTCTTTTTTAAGATTGCTATTTTGGAATTCTTTCTTGAATATATGTGTATATGTTAGACTACAAGTTATGTCGATTTTCCTATAAGTTTCTTAGACAAGCTGATGAGAACTTTATTTGCTTTCGAATTGGCATTCCTGTGAACCCACGTCATTCTCACGTCGATGTGTTTTAATAAAAATATTTATATTTTATTAATCGAGGTAAATCGTGGTTTTACAAATGTCGCTCACTTCTCATTCGATGTGTATTAGGATTTTTTATCAAATAAAAAAAAAGTTAAAAACCTTTGTTATAATGATGATGATGATTATTTCAGGTACTATGAAACGGGAAGTATAAGACCCCGTGCTATTGGCGGATCCAAACCACGTGTGGCCACAGCCGAAGTTGTTAGTAAAATTTCACAATATAAACGTGAGTGCCCGAGCATTTTTGCTTGGGAAATTCGGGATAGATTACTTCAGGAGAACGTTTGTACCAACGATAATATTCCAAGTGTAAGTAATTCTAACTTTATTCAATCCCATGCTTGATATCGTTGTATATAAATAAGCAAAAAAGTTAAATGAAAATCGGACTAAGACGATCAAAAAATCGTATTGATTTCTCTGGATTCCGGGCAGCCATTTTCTTCTTTTCACGAGCATAAACATTTTCCTTTTGTAGTTTTTTATATTATTTATTAAGTATGCCAAAAAGAAGCAAGCCAAATTAATTGTGACAGCGATGCTCATGCCGATGGCTGCTTCAGTGGCCGATGGTGCTTTGGCCTGCTTGTCTCGTACTTTTCCCATTGACAGTTGTGTGGAAAATGTGCTCATTCAAATGGAAGGGAAAATCTTTTATGCACATTAAACGACTAAAAGGGAAATCAGTGCTAGAAAAATATATGGAAAAAAATACAATATTAAATAAATACGGCCGGCCGCCACCACAAACCGTTAAGCGTTGAAATTCACGCGCCACTGCAAGGGGAAAATACTGAATCACGTTTACATCTGGAATCGGATTCGGGTCGTTCTCGAATTTAGGGTGAGAAACGACCATTTCGAGACTGAGTCTACATGATGGCGAAGCGACGATAATACGGAAAATATTATGGAATCGACCATTTGAACAGATTAACTGAAGGGATACTATTTATGAGTTAGATACTACTAGCTGTTCCCTTTGCCACGCGGGTTGCACATGCAATTGCAAAACCTAAACACTAGAAAATACTAATAATAAATAATAGGGATTGGTAAAAGACGAAACAAATTCTTAAAAATGAATGTCAATATGGTTTGCATACCCTCTGGTAAAGGACATTTTGCCTAATTTTTCCACTCAACTGCACTTTTCCCTGTTGTTCTTCCTCGCTCATTTATTACCCGATTTTTTTTCCCCTTTCTTTTCTTTTCTTTTTCCTTTCATTTAAATTTATTTGAAAAGCGTTGTCAAGCACAGGCACAGTTTTTATATAATACGAACTGAAGAAATAGCAAGCCATTGTACTGAAAATTAAGCGAACACGACTTTATTTTTAGGTGTCCTCGATAAACCGTGTATTGAGAAACTTGGCGGCCCAGAAGGAGCAACTAGGCACGGGAACAAGTAGTGCAAGTATCAGTGCTGGTAGTTCCGCAAGTGAAAAAGTGGTTGTAAATAGCAATGGAAACATCAGCAACGGCTCAAACGGATCAAGGACCACGTTGACCTCGCCTGCTGACCTTATGCACACTGCCACGCCATTAAACTCCTCGGAAAGCGGTGGGGCCAGTAATTCTGGTGAAGGAAGCGAGCAGGAGTTAATTTACGAAAAGCTGCGGCTCCTAAACACTCAGCACGCTGCCGGATCGGGTCCGCTGGATGCGGTCATAACATGCCCGTTAGAGGGCCAAGCGCCTAGCCACTTTGGAACCCATTCCACTCACCAAATCAACCAGCTGATGCATAGTAACCAGCAGGTTCTTCAGCAACAGCCGCAGAGCTGGACACACCGCCATTATTCCCACGGTTCCTGGTACCCAACCTCATTAACAGCTAGTGAAATACCCATCTCATCGGCTACCAACATCGCATCTGTGACGCCGTATGCTCCAGGACCGCCGCTCGCTCAACCTTTGACTCCACCAAATGACATCGCAAGTCTGGGAAGAAGCAGCCACCTTAGAAACTGTCCAGGAACTCCGGACGACATTCATTTAAAAAAGGGTAAGCTTTAAGCCGATCTGAAACCTTTAATCAACGGCTTTAAAACGTGTCCTTTTTCTTTGTTACAAAAGAAGTTGAGTGTAATAAGCGATTCACTTACCTGTCCGTCCAGCAATCACAGTCTGTATTGATCCAATGAAAGATAAATAACTTGTCTTGAAGTAATCGTTTTTGACTCTATAACCATATACTTGAAAAGGATAGATTTAACCATGTTGATCTAATTGTACGAACGTTATAAGATTAGGTAATAAATATACCTGAAACCATTTCTGTTAGAATGGTGGTTTTCTAAGATTTTTAATACAGTAACGGGTATATGTTGATCGACCCACACAATAACTTCAGTAGCTACAACAACGCTAGCCAACGCAAACTCCAATTTCAAGCCTGTTGATATTTTATTTATATTACAATTTATAGTTTCTTATCAGGTGTTTTTTTACAAATGTTAAAACTTAACATTTTTATAAAGGCATATTTAAGAACATGAATAAAAATAATATTGTGACTTTACTAATAAAAGTAAAATATATTGAGACATTCGAAGAGCACATAAATGTACAATCAAAACAAAGCCAACAAAATGTATTGTACTCTATGCACGCACGAGCAAACTTGGCATTTTCAAATTTTCGATTACTGATATGTCGTTTTATTTTCCCAGTTATACAAGAATACAACTGAACCAAAAGGTTGCCGCGTCGTGCGTAAATGCGACAAGCACGTGACGAACTGCAATGCACTTGGTGCTGATTGTCTCAAACGGAGACTTGCTCCAAATCAAAGTTTAACAACAAAAGAAGGAATCATACATTGGAAAGACGAAGTTGATATAAGTTGATTTGAAAATATATTTAGGATATATTTAATATAATGTTGGCAATTTAGGTCGCATCAAGTAGAAAGTAAAAGTGTATTAAAGAAGTATTTAAATATATTTGTGGAATTGGGAGACTGTTGTCAGAAAGGTATTCGCTTGAAAAGTATGGAAGGTATAAGGAATAAGGAATCTTACTATATAAAGTAAAACAAGAAGAAACGCTATAGTCGAGTGCCGCGACTACAAGATACCCGTTAGGGAAAAACCGTTCGCATTGGGGGCATCATAAAAACTACCATTGGTATCCCAAATTTCTATGACTTATAGTTACCGAGTCTCAGCTTTTCCACAAAAAGCAAAAACCGTCTTTCGAGCTTGGTGGTCAGAAATCGTTTCGACGTTTATTTCTGTCTATATAACTGACCGTTGAAATGTAGTCTGCTTGGGAAAATTTCTCAAGCAGGAAGAATGCTTGAGTCTAGGCCTAACAAAAGACATGTGATTCAAAACTGTCAGAGTTATTGCGGCCCCTTATAAGTTATTCCGTTTCGTCAAGTATAGCTATGGGGCAGCTTCTGTCGTTACCACTGCCGTGGTTGACAGGTTTACCCTTAATCGTGTAGTTTGCTTTAATACGATTTACAGACTCATTTTACAGGCGATGACACTTCATTAAATGACAAACCTTGGGGGTGGTTGCGGTTTATGGTCAGGACTTAAATGGTGTGGGTTGAATAGGATACTAGTGAAGATGAGGGGTGCATAAATAGATTACAGAAAATACATATTTATAAAATGGATTTCAAATTCTTTTTCTAGAACTCTGTTATCAAGTTTGTCTTTAACGCATATAAATGCGAAAGTGTCGCACCACTGTCGATAAGCTTAGGACCAAATCCTTATTCCTTCTTTTAGCGCACCCAGTTTGAGTTTATAGATACCGTCGATCTTGTTGGCTTGTAGCTCATGTTCTCGTTTTGGTTGCCAGGCATTTGATGTCGTCTGTCACTGTAACGCTGTTGTCGCTGTCAGAACATTGCGATTCGTTAACCATTGACATGCGGTCTGTTGAGATAAAGGGCCGGGGGTCTACCCGCGGCTTGTATCTACCCTATCAGCGTCTATTTGCTTTGTCACATTCACTAACATTCAACGTCAGTTCCACGTGAACAAAAGATTTCTTGTGTGTGCTATTACACACCTTTGCCCACTCTGACCCCCACTGATATATTAATGATTAGCATTCTTTTTTAATGTGGCTGCTAGTACAAAAGTAACGAAATGTTTCTTTTAACATATAGGATAATATTACTTATTAACTTAAATTTTCAAAAAAAAATAATTTTTTAATAAAATATATTTAATTAGATAGTTTGTATTTCTTTACAAGACGACTAATTCAATATTTTATAGAGATAGACCGAAGACCTAGTGGCACTGGTAAAATTTTGCACAATTCAATTTCTGCTAGCAAAATTATTATTTAAAAAATTGGTTAACATAGTAATCGGTCGTAAACTCAAGTATATCTTTTCTTCTATTGTTTCAATTTGACTCTTTTCTTTTGTTTTGATATGTGCTCGTTTTAGTCGAGTGCAGCGACCATGGGATACCCGTTACTGTGCTAATTAATTTTAAAACAATTTTTATTTTAAATTTAATTTTAGCGCCTTTAGCCATAGTTTTGCAATATTTATAAAATTATAGTGACGTTACTGACCGCGTGACCTACATTTTTTAATTTATTAATATATTATTTTTAATAGTTTGTTAAATCTTGGAGATGGATGTAAGATGACAAATGGATCTCTAGAATATGTATGCTTAGTCCTGACATCTAGGTCTTGCAGCATTTAGAGATTTTCGTTTTTTTGTTGGTCGTTAAAGTGGATGAGTCCAGGCTATTGATCCTGGTCAAGAGTTATATGCCTTATAGGTTCAACCTGTTACAATCTTTTACACTACAAGAAACGGGTACAACAATTAGACTTCTTAAGCCATTGCTAACATAGACATATAACGTTTTTCATAGCAGTATTATTGATACAAATTATTTTAAAATTGATTAGCTCAGTAACGGGTATCTGATAGTCGCGGCACACGACTTAGCGTTTATTTTTGTTAGTATGTTGATTTGCCTGCCTATATATATATACCTAGATCTTACTATATGTAAGAATAATCTTTAACATTATTACTATTTTTGTTAGGTTTTTCTTAAAGGGATTAAGCTCAGTCAGTGTTTTCTATTCTTTTTGGCAGAACTTGATGGTCACCAGTCCGATGAAACTGTTTCCGGTGAAGGTGAAAATTCCAATGGCGGCGCTTCAAATTTAGGAAACAATGAGGATGACCAAGCTCGACTAATACTTAAAAGAAAGTTGCAGCGCAATCGAACATCTTTTACAAATGACCAGATAGATAGTCTAGAAAAAGGTAAGATAATGGAAATGTTTTTTAAAATCAGTTTAAAATTATATAGTTTGTTATTCTTTCAAAAAAATTATTTGCTTGTTTTAAAGTATTCCAACGAAATGTAAAGTTTCCTGCGAGGTCTTCATAAAGTAATTTCACAATATTTATACTAGTTTCCAAAAACACTTTTAAGATTGATATATTCCTAAAAATCCTTTTAAAATTCGAAGTTGTAATTGACCGATTTTTTGTTTTCTTAAATTTACTTGTGATTTGATACCAGGTATTCAAAGACTAAAACGAACCTATTACCGTTAAAAATTATGAAACAGGTATAAGAAAGCATTTCCGACCTTATAAGTATATATTTTTTGGTCAGCACCAATTTCGAAGTCCGTCCATCTGAGAAATCCATTCCAGTGATAAATCTTAGGAACTATAAGACAAAAAGCATGCAAGTTTGTTTAGCATTTTATTATGTACAAAAAACGCAAAAATTTAAAAACACCTACTCCAACACCCGCCAGTTGCGAACAAATTATATATTAGGTTGTCAAAAAAGTCTTGCGGTATAAAATTGGTTCCAATAATGCGATTCAAGTCAAATATGCGCCGTTTTGTTTGATGACGCGTTCCCAATGAGATGCCGACTTCATAATGCCCCTCTCATAGAAGCTCGCTTTCCTATTGGCAAAAAACTAGGAGCGTGGCACATCTTCGACCACCTCTACACCAGAACGAAAACGTTGATACCATCGTTGCGCGGTGGAAAAGGAAACTGTATCGGGTCCATAAACTGCACACATTTTATTGTCGGCTTGAGATGCATTTTTGCCTTTATCGTAGTAGTACTGTAAAATATGACAAATTTTTTCGTTATTTTGCTCCATGATTGCGACGCTATAACTCACGAACGACTTAAAAGAAAAGACAATCAATCAAACACGTGTTAGCGCGTGAAATGAGCTTTCCAAAAAGGTATAGCATGACCTGATGCGACGAATAAAACAAGAACTACGCGCTTTCAGCGACAACTAGCGAAAATACCGCATGACTTTTTTTGACAACCTAATATATATAAAACTTGTTTGATAATTATATCAATATACACATACGAGTTTAAGCTTATTTTACGTTGTGCAACAATATAAAATAATATTTTCAGAATTTGAACGAACTCACTACCCAGATGTATTTGCCCGCGAACGTTTGGCAGGAAAAATTGGTTTGCCGGAGGCAAGAATTCAAGTTTGGTTTTCAAACCGCCGTGCAAAATGGCGACGTGAAGAAAAACTTCGAAATCAGCGGAGAACACCAAATTCTATAGGAGCTAATGGAACTTCATCTTCAGCAGCTGCCTCATCAAAAGACAGTCCTAACAGCTTGAGTTCCCCTTTACTTTCGGGGTCAGCTGTAGGCCCTTTAGTCAGTAAGTACAAATAACTTTTAATACTATTAAACAAGAAGTTTTTGTCGAGTGCCGCGTCTATAACATATCCGTTACTGTTTTACACAATATTAAAATATTTATTTTGCTATTGGAAATGAACAAGGCGCCACCTTTCGTCAAAAAACATGTTTACTAACTGATTGACGTCACTGACCATTACAGGCCTTATAATCTAAATTTCTTCATAAATAGCAACAAATGGTTCCGATTTGAAAAATCTTTGAAAAATCGATAGATATTGACAAAAAAGTTATACAAGGTCAAAGACAGACGTTCACAGTTTTCCGCGGTTTGTGGTCGTTAGATTGCTCATGGTCGGATGAAAACTCGCGTCAAGCTGCACAACTTTCTAGCTCAGTTCCCGAGATTTTTGGTTTTCCGTGTTTTGCGGAAGTTAAACTGGGCATGGCTATATGGGAAAAAATAATTCGTATTAGGGGCATCATAAAACCCTACATGCTTAATCCCAAATTTATATTACTTATAGTTAACGGGGTCTCAGCTTTTCTACAAAAAGCTAAAACCCTCTTTCAAGCTTGGTGGGCGTAAGAAGGGTTTGGCCGAATCCACCGTACCACCGTAAGATGAGATGGCCTCTCAAGATTATACATACTTAATCCCAACATTCTAGCTGTCATTTGTGAGCGTGACAGGATGCTGAAATAAACTTGAGCTGCGTAGGGACCTTAAGAATATTTATGCCTCATCTCATCTTTGAATCTCTTATAGTTCCTGAGATCTTAGCGTTCATAAGGACAGACGGACATGGCTTAATCGACTTCGCTATTGATACTGATCAAAAATATATACACTTTGTAGGGTCGGAAACGCTCCCATCTATCTGTTACATACTTTCTTTCGAATCAATATACTTGCCCCAATATCCTAGAGAAATGTTACGGTATTAGGGCATGTTTTGTAACCTTGCTATGAAATAAATATAATATGAAGTACAAATAAAAAATAGTTCAAGAAAATATTTTACTAGTATGTGAAGAATATTTAGGAAATTATTATGTAAAAAGAAAATATTATTGACTTAAACTTATTATGATCATATTTATTGCTTTAAATATTATATTGCTATTCTAATTAAAAAAGCAAATTAATTTCGTTTTTATATATCTATTTAGATACAATGGAAGGCTTATCCTCGCCAAACACATTGAACCCCAATCCCAGTGGCCCAGCAGCTGGTGCTGGAATTGAAGTCACCGACAGCCCGATTCGATCCGGGATAACCTCTGAAATACCCGCTGGACGTCACAGTGAAGACAGCAGAAGAGCTTGTTCTCCTAGCCCTTTTGGTCAGAATACCCACAATCACCAAAGTAATGGTCACACCCAAGGACATGCTATCATTCCTGCTATTTCGCCACGACTCAATTTTAGTAGCGGTGGATTTGGTGCGGTGTACAATATGCACCACACGCCCATATCTATGAGTGAATCCTATGGGTAAGAAAATAAGTTTTGCTAGTGGAAATGGACAAAGCGCCGCCATTTGTCAAAAAATCATGTTTACTAACTGATGGTGACTTCACTTTCCATGTAGGGCCTTATAACCTAAATAAATAGCGATTTAGAAAATCTTTGGTAAATCGATGATATTGACAAAAATATGTTATACGACGCTACAGTTTTCCACAGTTTGTGGGCGTTAGAACGGGCGTGGCCGGATAAAACCTCTGAATCTCTTAAATACGGATTCCTAAGCCAAACTTTCTAGGTCTTATAGTTCCCAAGATTTTCGCATTTTTCCAGGTTTTGTCGGCGTTAGAGTAGGCGTGGCTAGATGGGCAAAATCGCATTGGGGCATCATAAAAAATGCATGCCGAATCCCCAATTTCTATCAATTACAGTTACCGGCTATCAGCATGTTGAGTGGTTGATTTCTTTCCTTCCTTCCTTCTAGCATACTTCTCACGAAGTCTAATATACGATTTTACTATAATAGTAACGGGTATAAACAGATTATAGTTAAAAGATATAAAATTATGAATGCAGGTGCTTTTCGCGTTTTTGTGCACGGATGTAGCAACCTTGAGGAGGAGGAACCTTTAAAATTCTTTAAAATTTAAGACCATTTTTTATAATATGCTTAATATATTTGCCAAAAGGGAAAAGCCAATTCTGAAGGCCTTATATTTTTCAGAGCGGTTCCACCAATTGCAAGCTTCAACCACTCATCCGTCGGCTCGCTGACTTCGCAGTCACCAATATCCCAACAGGGCGACCTCACGCCGCCCTCCTTGTATCCGAGTCACATGACCTTACGAGCGCCGCCAATCGCACCCCCGCACCATCACATTGTGGCGAGTGACGGTGGCAGTCCTGCGGGAGGGGGGGCATCAGCCGGTATGGGAGCTGGCTGCGGTGGATCGGGATACGAAGTGCTCTCCGCTTATGCGTTACCACCACCGTTACCGTCGAGCAGTGCACCGGCAACAAACTTCTCTACTTCATCCAGCGCTAATGTGACCTCCATTCACACTATGTCACACGAACCATGTCTCTCGCCCTGTAGCTCAAGCTCGAATCACTTGGGAGTTGGCCACAGTTCTGTGTTTGCGACTGACACGATTTCTCCGGCTGTACCTTCATACGCACATATGAGCTACAATTACGCGTCGGCCACCAACAATGTGACGGCATCCTCTACTAGCGGAACCAGTACACACGTGGCTCCCGGAAAGCAACAGTTCTTCGCCTCATGCTTTTATTCGCCGTGGGTTTAGGCAAAGTAAGCTGATTCGATAAGAGAGTCACTTCATAATTGACTATTTACGTAGTGTTAAGCCCTCTATCTAAATAAATCGAATTTACATATCTCTTAAAAAATAATAGAGGTTGTAGAAAAATGCATATGTATGTATAGATTATATAGTTCCGCCCATTAAATTCAATCTAAAGTTTATAATTATTGGTGTAAATTAAATGATTTAATTTTGGCAAATGTAATTGCAAGCCAATTGCTTTTATTATTACGGTAAATTTGGGGTTCTCCAGGCGGACAAAATTTGTTTGTCATCCAGTTTCTGTTAAATGTTCATATTTTGATTAGCGGAAAGAGTTTATCCAAAGTCTCTACGAATTTATTACAGTAAATGCAAGTAAAAGGGTTATGTATCCGCCGACTTTTGGTAAGTATATAAGCCGGAAAATACATTATTACATACCATTTTGTATTACTACATGTAATTTATATAATTTATAAGAAATGTATTTTTCTAAATTGGCGATGGCCATTTAAGGAGTTGTGTAATATTGAATTTTTGGTAGCTTCACAGACCGTGTGAGGCCTCATAAACATTATATTTTATATATTGTGAAACAATGTTCCGAGTTGAAATTTTTGTGATAAAACGATGGGTATTGACAAAGAAACATAGCCCATGGCATAAGCTGAATTGGCATCTCAACCTTTTACATATTTTTCAACAAATACTCTACTTTTTTACTTTATGTGTAAGTTTCGTCTCTGTAGCCCTTATAGTTCGCGAAGTTCTTGCGGGAATGGCTTATTCAATTTGAAAAATATTTATATGTGTATTCATGTGTATGTTTCAGATTTTGAAATTGTCAAATTGATATTTGAAGGAAAAGTATTTTCAGTAAGGATTGGTTCTAGTAAGTAAATATAATAGCGCTGAACTGAAGTACTGCACTCTGTTCTTCAGTTTGGCACTATTATATTTATTTTTGAAATACAGTCCCGATCTCAGGATCCCTGACAGTAGAGTCGTTTATAATTAGGTATATATTTATAACCTATGTATACAAAGTAACGGAGCAAGTATGTAACATTCGACAGAAATTTGATTGTGCATTGTATTATTCTAGGCATATTGTTTCATAGGTGGCGTTCTAAATGATTACAAAAGTAACTTGTAAAAGCATACTTTCAGGCTTTCAAGGTTTATTTTCAAAAAAAAAACTATTCAGTGTTATAAATATAATAAAATCAGTTGATTGAATGTTCTATAATTATTACTTCTTGTGTGTTATAAAATAATGTTTACCATCACGTCTATATATAATGTAAAATAGAGATTATCTCAGCTTTTATTTTCGACCAAAATTAAGCTATTGACAATGGGATTTTAGCGACTTCACCCCAAGGCTTGACTTTACTCATAATCACGGACAACTAACTAAAGGAAAATGGATTAAAAGGAAATATAAAAAACTAGAAGACTATAAGAAACCCGTTACTGTTTTACACAATGGTATCTTAACTTTCGAGCTGTAATAGTTCCCGTGATTTCTAGCGATTTAAATTTTCTGTGATTTGTGCACATTAGAGTGGGCGTGGCAGGATAAACTTGCGCTGCGTAGGGACCTCAAGAATCTTCATGTTTAATCTCAATTATGTATCTCTTATAGTTCCTGAGTTCTAAGCGTTCATACGGACAGACGGACGGACGAACAGACTTCGCTATTGATACTGATCAAGAATATATATACTTTATAGGGTCGGAAACGCTTCCGTCTACCTGTTACACGGGTAACGGGTATACGAATTAGTTTACCTTATTATTAAAAACATACTTAAAAGCATCAAAATAAAAATTGTTGGTCATATTTTATCCATTTTCAGAGTAACGAGTATCTTATATTATGTGGATCTCGACTATTTTCTACATGTAATGAAAAGGCAACTTCAGTTCACGAACAGTTTTATTTAGATAGATTTTCAACAGAAATAGCAGTTTTCGTGGAAACTGCCAAATGGACTTGACGACATCGATTAATGCTATCAAAAATATACATATTTTCTCGTACTCGTAGTAGGTATATATATGCGTATGTCCGAAAGTATATATGGTCTATAGATAAAATTTTTTGTGGAAGAAAAATCGCGCCTGCGCTTTTAAACTGTATGTTTTGTTAGCGCAGATACCTTGCTGATCAAGAGTACCAATTCTTTAGACCTGCCAGTAATAGACAAAAGCTCGTAGAGTTCGCTTCGTTTTGCAGAAACTATAATTTCGTGCTGTGCTCGTTCTGTGTTACCTGTAGCCTAGTTGTATGTACCAACAAAGTAATAAAATATTATACATGAGTAAAATAAATCGTTCCTTTATGGATATAAACGTATTACATTGACATTAGGTTTACAATTATAATAAAGTTCGTTTCTTTTCTATCTATGCTACTATATTCTAGTTATTTATCAAGTGAAGTGAAACGGTAGTTAAAACAAACATATTTAATAAATTAATTATTGAATTTGTGTTTATGATTTCAATAATAGAAACACACCGAGAAAATGGGTTTTATAATAAATAGAAAACTTGTGTCTATTCATCGCGTTGTGTAACACGTTGTTGTTTGTAAAAATAGACTACGATAAATATCAAAATATGTGATGAAAAATTCGAAACAGAATAGCACTAAAAAATTTGAATGTATTCATTTCAAACACAACACTTAACTGAGCTCTTTGGGGCTAATACATATTTTTCAGTAGGTGATAGAGGTTTAAAAATAATTTTTTATAAAAAATTATTTATTTGTTTTTTATTCATTGCATATGTGGACTGAAATTTAAAAAAAATGTATTAGCCATTTTAAACTTAAACTTTATTCTTCACTCATACATTTTCATTGTGTATAAATCTTTGATTGTATTCTTAATACGTATGAAGGTTTTTATATATAGACATGTATTTATGTATGAACAAATAAAGATATATGTATATGTGTGAGTCTTGTATTTGTATGTAGAGGTTTTTTTTCTTAGCCGGTGACTGCGAATGACTAAAAATAAACATGCAATACATGAGTTTTCAGTAAAATATTTTCCATTAACAGCATTTATGTTAAATGAAGGAAGAGCGATCAAGTTTCAGTTTTCCAAAACGTGGGTCGTGTGCAATTTAAAATTCATAGATTAATAATTACTATTCTGTCACTTGTGTCATTGCTGTTCAAATAAGTAAATGTTCGTACATACACAAGGGTATAGAAAATTATGTCAGAAATTATTGCATTTTTGTATACCTTAGGTGTTATAAAAATAATAATAATAATAATAAAATCGCAAAAATATATAAATTATAAGATATAATTAATTATTCAAGATATTTTATATTAATTTTTCGTTACCTGTTTACGTATACATTACTTGCCGCACACATTTTCTTCAGCATTTTACGGTTACCTTTTGGGAATTTTCAAAAGAATTGCTGTTAAGCGAATGGTTTTTTATTAAAATAATTTGAACTCTGAACATTTAATGCCAATAATAAGCCATTCTTAAAACATTGATTTAACACTTATTACGTATAAATTTGTATTCACAAATAACTTATTTAATTAAGTCAAAAATAATTATTCTATTGTGTTTCTTACTTATTTTTTAATCTTTTTAATGTTAAAAATTTAAAAAGAACACAAAATTTCAAATCTAAAACAACCTATTTCACTATGACATCTTTTTATATTTAATTCTTTTGACTGTTTAGAGCCATTGAGCCACAGCCGTTGAAGACGAAGCTTAAGGACATCCCTCAGCATGGGGGTGGCTGAAGATTTCGCTCCCAGCTTTCTTAAAAAGCCACAACTGCATCAAGAGGATGATGGCAATCGATTGATATTTGAGTGCCAGTTATTGTCATCCCCGAAACCAGACATTGAATGGTTTCGGAGTGAAAATAAACTGGTAGAAGATAACCGAACCAAATTCAAAATTCAACCTGTTGAAGATAATAAATATACGGTAGTATTAGAGCTCGACGATGTAGTTGAAACGGATGCCGGACTTTATAAAGTCAAAGCCATGAACAAATCGGGCGAAGTCTCTGCGTCTATTAACTTAAATTTTACACGTAAGTAGCTTACAAAAAGTTAACGCTGTTTATCAGTTTATATTTTAAATATAAATACATAAATACGTTTTAAATACATCACGATATTCAAAGTTATATAGTTCGTTGGTAAAATAAAGCCTACGAAGTTACTAATGCAGTAAAGGAGACATTTCTGACCTTTATTTTGCGCGTTAAATATCAGACATATTTCAGATTTTGGTAATTTTAAATTCCATTTTTAATGGGTTGCATTGAATACAATTCCTAAGTATTTTATTTTATACGTGTAGATTCCCTTTTTTCTTTCTTGATAAGTAATTATAAATGGGAAAAAAATAAAAAAATATTTCTTTTTAATAATTTAATAATATTTCTTCTCTACTATAGACTTTTAATAATTTATTTACACATTTTTACTTTACATTTGTATAAACTTTCTTAGCTGCTGACGAACCAAAAGAAAAGTAAGCTACACTTAATGCTTCACTTGGTTCAGTGTTATCTCCGCATAATTATGAACCGTTATCAAATGTTTTTATTTATTTATTATTACCCTATAGTAAGAGCTTAAAATTAACTCTAGGAAGGCTGATAATCGCAATTGCTTTGAACAATGTAACAAAATTGCACGGTCATTTACATAACTGCTTTTATTTTTTATACTTGCTTTAATTTTTCTTTATATACTATTTACAATTTATTAATTGGGGATTTAAAATCAAAATAGATGGTAAGTTTTCAGAACTTGAAAACGTCGGGTAAGTAAAACTTAGTAAATGTGCAATATTCAATGTGTTCAGCTAAAATTCGTTCAATGCTAAAATTAATATATTTAAATTGAAAACTGTGTTTTTATTAATTTTATTGTTTAAAAGTTCATAAAAAGGGCAAATAATTTGTAATAACAACAACTAACAAAGGACTAAAAACACCGTTTCATATCCAATTGTTTGTGCAATTTAATGTATTTATTTGTTTTATATAATTTCCTGTGGTGGTGTTTTCGTCAAATATCACACAGTTTTCCTAATAATCTTTGGCATTCTAAATGTTAAACTATGTTGCTGTTCATATAATTGTCTCAAAATAATAAGTTATGACAATTTAATATGTACGCGTACGTTGCAGACAAATCGACGGTTTCGCGCCGACATTCGCGAAAAAACCCGCCATACGACAGGAAGAAGATGGAAAAAGACTATTATTTGAGTGCCGTGTTAATGCTGATCCTTCTCCTACCATTGTTTGGTTCCACAACGGAGCTGCTGTTAAAGAATCATCACGTCATAAGGTAAATATATATTATGTTTTAGTATAATAACTAAGTCTGTGAATTAGACTAAGGTGAACCCGCGGGTTAGTTTTTAAAGAAATTTAAGAATTTAGAGGAAAGTCAGATAAAAAAACATACATTAAAAATTACACATTTGCAAAATAATAAAGTATCTGTTGGAAACTGAACCAAATTTTACACCTCTGGCTATCGAGACTTACAAGAACTATGAACAATAATTGGCATTAGCCAAGATTTTCTTAAATAAAAGTATTATTTATTGTTAAACGCAAGCATAGACGCTAATTATATTTACTTTCTTTGTGTGGCCCGTGTGGAAGATCTCATATTCTTATTATATTTCAGCTTACTGTTGACAAAGACGTCCATTCATATTTTGCTACACTTGAAATACAAAATGTTACAGTTGAGGATGCTGGCAAATACAAGGTGAATGCAAAGAACGAACTGGGCGAAAGCAATGCGACGATAAGCCTGAATTTCGACAGTAAGTGACAAAAGTATACATAATTGGACGCTCATTTATAATTTTAATTTTTATTAACAATTTTTATTTAATCTTTTTGTTTTGCTTGTTTCCCGCAGAAATAACATAATTTACGTGTGTGAATGTTTTCTAATCTTGATGGTACGCTAAAAAAAGGTTAAAAACTGTGAAAATATAAGTGATTTAACAGTTCAAACCCTACTTTAATCTTACCATAAAGACGAAAAAATGGGGGCCTATATGTGCCAAAGAATAATTTATTATGTATGAGGGACATATTAATCAGAATTTTGAAATTTATTTTCTTCTTTGATAGTAAGATGGTTATTTTTAAGATAAGAGTAGGTAATGACTACAATATACCATGTATGAGGGTTGAACACCCGAAGAGCAAATCAGACAATGAATTAAGAATTTTAAAAGTTTTTTTTCTTGAAATCAACATTGGTTATTTGAAACTTTAGATCATCACATAAAAAAAGTTAAAAATAAATAAAACACGTATATATTGTAAGCATACTTCTAATATTTTGTTTGCATATATCTGAATACATTAATTTGTGTGTTCGAATTTGCAAAATGCAAATTACATGGATATTTTAACTCCATAGGCGACGAAGCTCCAGTGCCGGAAAGCGCAGAAGGCTTTAAGCCAACCTTTACTGAACGACCAGTAATTCGTCAAAGCGAAGATGGCGGAAATGTAACCTTCGAGTGTAGATGCGTTGGAGATCCCACGCCAGAAATCACATGGTACGACAACTACATTAACAACATACATAATTTACCAAAAAAGTCGGACTAATTAAAGTAATCTAAATGTACTCCGAATTGTATGGTAGCATGAGAAAACATAAGAGACAACACATATATAGAATCAAAATATATATATAGAAAAAAAATCAATTCACTTCACGTTTCAATCAAATACTTTTCTTCATATGTACAAAAGGTCCCATGGCGAGACTATACTAAACAAATCCAAACGCTACAAAATGTCACTGACAATGGATCAAAAACTTTATCATATGGCGTGTCTCGAGATAAGCAGTGTAGTGTCCTCTGACCAGGGTGAATATCGCGCGCAAGCGAAAAACAAGCACGGCTCTGGTGTTGCAACAATTAATCTTAATTTCGAAAGCGGCTCGAAAAAGTAAGACAACAAACACGCATTTAAAGATAAAGTTATACTCCTTCCAACTCAATACAGAATTCCAGATGGAAAGTCGCCACGCTTTCCAAAAAAACCAACGATTCGCCAAGAAGAAGACTTACTCATCATGGAATGCGTATTGGAAGCGCATCCGGTCCCGGACATTGTCTGGTATTGTACAGAAAAGGAAATATCTAATAATCAAAGAACGAAAATGACCCGCAAGGCAATATCTAAAGACAGCTACATTCTGACGCTGGAAATCCAAAATCCAACAAAAGAGGATGGCGGCAATTATCGCTGCAATGCAATTAATATATACGGCGAAAGTAATGCAAACATAGCCCTTAACTTTCAAGGTACTATATTTTTCTTTTTTATATGGTGCTTCGAATAAGTATAATATATAAATCTGGGAATAAGAACAAAAACTTGTTCGAATATTATTATTAGATTTATGCAAATGGATTAAAATTAAGATATAGCCCCTTCTCGTCATATTAAGCCAACGTCTTAACACTGCATTCAATTTCCGCTCTGAATCTTCCTTCTCCCTCATTGTCGTTAGTCTTCTACCTTTTCGTCTTAGGTCTTAGCTAAGAGGTATAAAAGGCAAGTGAATTTGCTTTGCGCTTTTATTGGAGAAGTTATTATATGGTTACGTATTTTACGGAGACTTTGTCCGCTATTATATTTAAACCACGCAAAGACGTATTAAAATAAAACAATACAAATTATTTTAAAATACAGGTGCCAGCGATGCAAATGGTTTTGCACCGTCTTTTATTGAAAAACCGAGAATTATCCCAAATGAGTCCGGTACACTGATTACAATGAAGTGCAAGTGCAAGGCCAAACCGGAACCCATAGTAACTTGGTACAGGGGTCAAGAAATAGTGGAGAAGAGTAAAAAAATAAAAATAAACACGACAGTTATCGCAGATGATACTTATGAGCTAACGCTGGAAATAAAGGTAAAGTACATATATGATTGCTAATAACAAACCAATAAAAAGTCTTAAAACATTGTATAGGATCCTGGAGCAACAGATGGTGGGACTTACAGATGCAATGTCAAAAATGAATACGGTGAATCAAATGCCAATCTTAACCTTAACATTGAAGCGGAGCCCGACCCCGAGGGAGAAGGTCCAACGTTTGTTGAAAAGCCGCGAATTATATCTGAAAACAATGGAAAATTAGTAATAATGGAGTGTAAAGTCAAGGCAGATCCAAAACCAGATGTCATTTGGTACCGCAACGGAGAAGTTGTAAAGGAAAGTAATAAAATTAAGACGTTTATTGAACAGCGTGGAGATCAGTACTACATTAAACTGGAGCTATTAGACCCACAACTAGAGGACTCTGGTCTTTACAAGTGCAATATTAAGAACACGTTGGGAGAGTTAAATGCTAATCTTACCCTAAATATAGAAAGTACGTATTGAATTAACAATCATAGTAAAATATGCACAGTCAATAAGATGTACATATACTCTTTTATATTTTTTGAAGACTAAGTTTAAGTTTATTTCTCCTCCAGTTGTTCCGGTTATTAAAGACAAGCCAAAAATTATTAAGATTATTAAAAAACGAACTGTAGTCATTGAGTGCACAGTTGCTTCGAAATTCGAGCCAAAGTGCACCTGGTACAAAGAAACAAACACCGTAAAAGAGAGCAAGAGACACGTTTACATAGTAGAACAAACTAAAGATGGAGAGTTCGCAGTCAAACTGGAGATCAACAACGTAGATGATAGTGATAAGGGCGCTTACAAGCTGGTGGCCAGTAACGAAAAAGGAGAGGCGGTATCTCAAATTGTAAATCTCGTCGACATTCCTGAAGAGGAACGCAAGCCAAGCAAGCCAGAAATCTCCAGAAAGCTTGTTGATCAGAAGGTCAGCGAATCAAAAACTTTCGAACTTTTGATCAGCATTGCGCATTCAGATCGCAAGTGCAAAATCGAATGGTATAAGGGTAGCACACTAATACGAGAAACAAAGGATATTACCACCACGTTTGATGGAACAACCGCGCGACTTACGTTTAGCTCTGCAAGAACAGAACATACGTCTAATTATAAAGTCGTAGTGACCAATGAAGTCGGCAAAGATGAATCATCGTGTAAAGTTACTGTGGAGAAAAGTACCAAGAAGAAAGAAGGGCAGCCCAAATCTAAGACTGAAAAGGATACCGACCAAAAGGTAAATAAGAGAAGAGAAATATCACAAAATCAATAGCACATACAGCTGTTATTAGAATCTTTAATGAAGCAGGAATTGCAAAGTACTAAAAGTTGATCAGAAATTAACCGAAAATATAAAGAAAAAATTATCCAAAAATATTTCCTTTATCACTTCTGTAAATGTAATTTTAAATTAGTTAAAAGTATTAAAACTGAAATAATAAGCATATTGTTAATTTCCTAAGCCCGTAAACTGTTAAACGGATTTTATTTTTACTGAACAGTTTGGAGTGACTTTTTATCAAATACCAACATTAAAACGGAAAGCTGACACAATATATCCTCGGGACACATCTCAGTTAAATCCATCTAAGGACATATTTGGTATTACATTAAAGCCTGTCAGCCAATTTCATAGTGATGAGGTTTGCAGTAAATTCTCACAGCATTCTGATAGTTTTTACAGTTTAAATCTATCTACTTCTCTTTCTTATCATCTTTTTTCTGACAGTCCGCAATAATTTCTTTCTTGATTAAGCTCTTATAGCCTTTTGAGAATTTCATTCAATAAATGAGATTCCAAAAAAAAAACCATTACAATACATTTTTATTTTACCAACTTGTCTCAAAAACTAGGTTTTTTATATAACATCTAATTGAATATTTATTTGCACTAATGTACTGTTTTTAAATTTACAAATTCGTGTTATGGTCAATAACAATACACTTAAATACACTGCATAAAAACACATGAAAACACATAAAGGAGAAAGAGAAAGAAGGAGAAGAAACTCCTTCCGATCAACCTGCAATAAGCACAGATACGCAAGCCGAAGAAGAGCTTCACATTAAGGAGACAGACCCAACAAAAAAACTAACTGGTAATGAAAATAGCTCGGAAAATAAAAATGAATCGTCGGAAGCAAATGAAAATCAAGTTAACCCTCCGAAATCAAAACATAACAAAAATAATGAGAAAGATTTCTCGAAGCCAAAGCACGAGGAACCCAAACAGAATATCGGTGATAAAAACGATAAAAACAACAAGAAACAAGAAAAAACTTCTTCAGATAAACCCAAAGAGAATAATAAAGATCCAGAGAAGGTAAAATTGAAAGACCAATTATACTCTGCGGTCATGTACTCTGCTTCTTCTTTTTGCCTACTACTATATCACATTTCCAAGTCAAGGGCCTTAAAACAAAGCATGCTCTGATAAATTACGAATTTTTGCATGTTTTGCGTACTGCAATATACAAATAATAATATAAAAATTTCAAACTTATTTCTGAAAACATTTTTAAATTTTATTCGCAGCAACAGGAAACTCAGCAAATAGGGCTGAAAAAAGTAGAACGAAAGGTAAGAACCCCGTTTGAAAGAAGATAGATAAGAAATATATAATATGTACAAACACGAGTCATATAATTATATAAATATATATATTATTATATTTAAATGTATTTTCTCAATGTCAGTGTATCTAACATTTGTTTGTTCACATAAGAATCAAAAACCTGAAATTAAATCGAATTTTAAAATTTTTTGTTTGCTATTAAGTTAAGAAAGGATAATTTAGTAATGCATTAAACAAACTATTGTAAGCTTGTATGAATATGTTATACATGGATTTTATTTATGTTACCTGTTATTGTTCAGGGAAGTATTGTGTCTGAAAAAGAAGAGATCTCATCAGAGGTACGGCGCCAATCAATATTCATAGAAGAGGAGAAAATCGTAGCCGATGACAAAAAGGTATCGTCAAGAAGGTCTTCTCTGGCGGTAAGTTATTTTATAGAATTATTTTACTCTATTTTCGACCGTTGAATGTATCCACTTTATGTTTAACAAAAAGGTTGAAGAAAGTAAGACAGATTCCCGACGATCATCCGTCATTGAAAAAAAACCTTTGGATGTGAGTATACATGTATATACGTACAAATGAGAATATTGTACCTACGGGTAAATCCATAGCATGTTTAATAAAGATAATGCCATTATGTTCTGTTCAGTCAGAACTGCTTTTTTCCTAAACAATATACCTATAAGAAAACTATTTCCCCGTAGCAGGTTGATAGAAAACAACTTGACGCTAACAAAAATCCACAAGCCCTAAAAGAAGAAATCCCCAAGCTAAAGCCTGCTGAAAAGCGACGAACTTCAAAGGTGAGCCGTTTAAACGAGAATCGGTCAAAGTGCTGAGAACTCTCAAATTCCGATTTTATTAAGCTTAAACTATAAAATCGTCTTTTTAATATAAACTTTTGTTTAACGATTTTTTAATAAGAATAAGAATTCTATCTACTTACTCCGTTCACCTTAAGTTTAAGGTTAAAAAGTAAACAGATTAAAATGTTTACACCCGGACTACTTATACTAAATCTACTAATCTTAATACAATTTCTATTAAGTTCTATTAGGTTCAGCACAATGTAGATGCAACAGCACTATAGGGAAAAAGGATTTATTTAAAAAATGAAGGATGATTTAAATGAATAGTGGTATTCATTTAAATGAATAGTGGATATATTATAGTATAATAATAATATAATACCTTTTAAAATCGTTCTTTCAAAACTCACAATATTTTCGATTACATTAAACTGTTGAATAAATAGAGTAAGCAGACAGCTTGTCAAAGCTTAATTAACATTTCGTTATTTTTGTAAAGGTAAAATTGTTAACTGTGTGTGATGTTTATTTGTTATTGTACCTATATATGTGGCGTAGGTCGTAGAAGAAGAAAAACAAGTTGAAGAACTGCCAAAGCTGCGTAAAACCTCGATCTCTCAAGTGAAAGAGGAGCCAAAACCCGAAGTGGCGAAACCAAAGGCAAAGGCTAAAGGAAAACCGAAACCCAAATACGATGAGCTTCCAGAAATTCCAGACTACGAACGTCCCCAACTTGAGAAGTATGAAAAATCCGAGTTTACACCATCCGATTTTGCTCGTGATCTGGAAATACCAAACAAGATGGAGAAACCCATATTGGACAGCGGGAAAAAAGAATCTGAGGACCCTACACAGAAAAAAGGAATGCCTAGAGTATGTTTTTTATTTGTATTGTTTTTATAAATTGTTAAAAGTATCGTATTGTCTAAAACTGTGTGTCTGTAGAAGGCGGAAATCATTGAAAAGCCCGCGGAGAATATTAAGAGTTTAAAAATCGGTAAGGGAAAACTTCCTGATGAAGATGACAGTCGAGATGGCGCTACTCTTAAACCAGTCATTATTGAGCCCGAGGTAAATTTAATACACATTTCCTCTACAAAGAGGAAGTAAACGTAAATGTAACATGAATCATTTAGGTTTTAATAAGTTAGACCCAAAAATTTATTTGTTTTAAAGTTTTGTACAGTTCCTAAACATTTAACTTAATGTCTTAATATAACTTTCATTATGTTGTATTGCTGTTCTCTTTTCAACTTCAACCCAAACTTCATTACGACAAATTTAACAAGGACAAATCTGATGCCGAAAATAAAAAACTTGAGGTAAGTAATTAAATTACTCGTATAAACAAAAAAAATGTCTTCAAGTTAATCCGGGTGTCCCCATTTTAAGAGACAACAATACGTTTTCAATTCACATAGATGAGATCTATTTCGATTAGATTTAAACTAATTTTTAAATCCCCTTGAAAAAACGCACTTAGCAGGCTGAGAAACCATCTGTACTAGATATAATAAAGCAGCGACGTCGATCCTCTATCAGAAATCTTATGACTAAGGAGCCAATTCAAAATGAATCATTCCTTGGTGTAGTTTTAAAACCTGTGATAAAGGATTCAAAAGAGCAAACTGCTCCCCAGCAAGCTATACAATTAACAAAGGTAAAACTTTTGGTATTATTGGCTAAACGATTTTCAAGTTTTCCAATTCTCTTGCACTTTCAAAGTTCGGGTATTTCTGTACCTAATTTCCTACTGGTAATTCTATATAAACTCTATGTTCGCAGGTATGCTTTCCTTGTACCTATCTCTTTCTCTGTCACTCTATCTTTCTCTGTCTCTTCGTCTCTTCCTACCGTCTTGACTATTTTTTTTTATTATTTGGCACACAATTTACATTCAAATTTCATATCCCCCTATAACATCCATAAAATCAAAGGCAAATGCGACGGAACAGATCTCTTCTACAAGGGAAATCAAAGCGCAAATATCTGACTTGAAAAAGCCTGAAGCTCTAGCAACCCTTGAGGATGACTACGAGCGACCCCTTTTAGAAAAATATAAACCTGTTAGCATTGATAAAAACAAATCAGAGACACCCACACCTGCCATTAACATTCCGGACACGAAACATCCTGAAGTCAAACTGCCTTTAGAAACAACAAAGGTAAGCAAGAAATTTTAAATTTATGTACTATGTCCCTCTATAAACATTATTGTATACAAATGTTACCAAAAACAGAAATATAATAGGAATATATATACTACCCCATATCTAATGTATATATACATATATATCATATATTGTAAAAATTATATATATATATTTATATATATTTATGATATACATACATATACATATATTTATATTTATAAACATAGTGTCAAAATAAATGTTTGTATTAAATGAGTTCAAAAATCTAATATGCAAATGCTTCTCATTAGCAGTTGGATTCCTGTATCTTCTTGTCGCTTGTCTAAACGGTTTCAATTTTTATTTTAATATTCATGATTTAATAATTGATTGATAAAAATAAATAACGAAATGAACATATTTTGTATATATTATTAGTTATATCATAAAAATGTCGGTCTTCAATTTTAAAATAACGGTGGGTACCATCTTTCATAATTTCTGTAAAATAATTATAACGTTACATGTCAAAATAAATGTTAAATGTGTTGAAAAATCTATTATGCAAAAGCTCCTCATTAGCAGTTGGATTTCTGTATCTTCTTGTGGCTTGTCTAAACGGTTTCAATTTTTATTTTAATATTCATGATTTAATAATTGATTGATAAAAATAAATAACTAAATTAACATATTTTGTATATATTATTACTTATATCATAAAAATGTCGGTCTTCAATTTTAAAATAACGGTGGGTACCATCATTCATAATTTCTGTAAATTTAATTATAACCTTACACGTAATTTTAAAATATACGTAAGACAAATAATTTTAAATAAGTAAACATAGCTCCAACATATAACTATTATTAACAGTTCAACAGAATACAAACTAATTTAATACGATTTATATATTTTTTCTAATAGGAGGAGAAGCAAAAGGTTCCCAGGATGCAACCACCTGCTCCTGGGGAGCCACCAAAAATAGAAGTGATACGAGAGAAGCGACCATCATTAGCACCAGAGCCTCCAAGTCGCCGCGGGTCTCTCATACCACCAGCCGATACTGGTCGCCGACCATCTCTGATCATCAATGATGAAGTAAGCAATACAGATAAGTTATCATTTCTTTTCAATCTCCTATTGGTGCATAAATATGAAAACAATGTACTGGCCCTCAAGTTACATTTTATTAGAGAATAATCTTTATAATAATATTTCTTAAGGACCTTGGTTATGCAATTCTTTTTATTTTTCTGTAATTCAAGACATTCAAAATGTAATATATAAGAATGTCTATTATCGATACGAAAAAATAATCGATATCTTTGGCTAAGCCATCCTATCTAAACAACGATTTCATATTTTTTTTTATTTTAAAACTGTTTAAAAAATTAAATCCATTGTGTTGAGAATATTTTAGAAAGGTTCTGATTTTTTTAAGTGTTCATTTATAAAACATTCACGCAGATTAAATGCTTCTTTTTTAAATTTGGCTTAGAGTCATAAGAAAATCAATTGTCACATTAAAATATAGTTATTTAAAACATTTCAATATTGCACTTAGAAAAGAAAACATGCATTTAGAGGTGTATATTCAAGCATCAGCATATTTAAAATGGTCTATAAGCTTTACATTTGAACAATTTAAAAGTAAAGTTTTAGTCATTAATCTCATAAGATTAAAAACATTTTTGGCTTAGCGGGCTTACTAGAATAGTTTTTAGAAAATTTAATTGCTTTATTTGGCGAAACATTTTTGTGTGTACTTTGTTAATTAACTGTGGTTATCTTCTAAAAAGTGAATGATTTTTTTAATTTTAATTTTCACCAATGTAGCTAATTTATACATGTATTTACTGTGTTCCCTTTTATGTACCTACCATACATGCAAACTGTCCTTCAAACTAAACAACAATCAACCTGCCAACCAAATAAATATCGATATTGATATCGATATCGATCATTCAATATCAATATTCAATTAAACATTAAATACTCCAACGCATACCCTTTGCATTCGACAACAACACTCGTACACCCACTCCGCAAATCCTTCATGAATCAACAGAAGAAACTCCGTCCCGGCGAAGTAATGGACACTCGGGTAAGAAATCTCAATATCTTGCCAAGCTTCTAATATAAAAGTGGCTTCGCAGGAAACGTTGTTCAGATATGTAAATTTTTAACTCATCATTTTGAAATTCGGTGAATTGCTTAAAATGATATACATATTAATGAATAACAAAAAAAGATTTTTAATTGTGATTTGGCGTTTATTTGATATTGGATCTATACAATATTGGTATAAAGACTTATGAACAATAATTATTGCAAAATATTTGTGACTAGAAGAACCTTATTATGTTATACATATACTGTGTTTTATTTTGAGCGCATCATGAAACATAAAATAGAAAACAAAAATAAGTCGTTTTCGGCTAAAAAATGGCATATGGGCCCAGATATATGTCTACAGTATATTTTTATTTTTATAGTACAGTAAAATGTTGACAGCCAAACGCTGAAAATAACTCGAAGCCAAAGCTAAATAAACATTGCTTGGACATAAACATATATGATTTAATGATATAAATGATTACATTAGGGTATTTCACTGTACCTGCCAATGTGCGTATTTATAATTTTCAACCGTGCTCTTCCTTATACATATTGTGGTATATATATACATAAATATAATTATGTATTCGGATATATTATACATTTATATAGATTATATACGGCTGACTACCATTCAATGCAGGCTAGAAAATATATAGATATAATTCAAATTAGAAGATTTTGCTGCTAAGATCGTTCAAATAATTTATTGCCAGTGAGCGAACAACATCTAGTTTAGTATTTAATTAAAACAATACTGAGACTGCATCCACAATCGGCTCGGTAAAATATAGAAATATTTATTTATAATAAATTCAAGATTTATTTCAGTATGAGCTAAGACAATTCAAATATTTTTAATTTTACCCTCCCGAGAAGTTTAATAACAATCCGACTACTAATATAGAATCACGTTGATACCTAAATTATCAAACTATCTACATATATAGAAGTCGTACTAATTTAATGATTTATGCTAGAGTGTACGAAATCTTGCTCAGCTTTATAATACTATTCAATAATATTACAGTTGTTGAGGCCAGGCGAGGTTGGTGAAGGACAGGTGAGAGTTAGCGTTGTTGCATAAATAGTTTTTCAGTAGAATATATTTATATTATTTGATGATTTGCATTTCATATCAAGACAGCATTTACTCGTATTTAAAATAAAATACAAAATATACATTGGACACCGGTCCTTTGACTCATTTAAAAATACACTATCCATACGTATTAGTAGAACTTCACACATCATCTGTAGAAGAGCCAAGGGCTTTTATTTTTTGACTACCATTAATTAAAACAAATTAATCAAAAAACCAGTAAACTTCTTACTTATAATACAATTAAACTGTAATATAATTGCATCCATTTTTATGTATTGCAGTCGTTAATCGTTTATTATTCGTTTTTAAAATGTGGTTTTCTTTTAATAAGTAAGATACAATATAGGATATTTAAAAATACCCAAACAATTATTTATTAGTTATTCGACACGTTTAGTTTTTGTTTCGACTTGCATCCCATTTCAGTTCTTAACGAACCAATCTTAAAAATAATATATTAGTTATCAATACTTCAAAAATACCATTTTGACGAGAATAGAACGCACATTATGTTGGACACTACGCTTTTATTTTAAAAATAAAATTAAATAAAACCTTAAGTAACATTTTTAACCTTCTTATTTTTTCTTAAATACGTTAGCAAAAGCAACAGCAATCCGGAGAAATGGGGGACACAATACAGGTTTTGAAATTGTGGTCGAGTCATTCGATCTTTTTTGCTTACTATGCCTTGCCTTTTATGAAATAAGGAAGATAATAGAAATTGTATATATAATAAAAAATATTAGGACGTATATATTTCTATAAAAACAATGTAAATACTCATGAATTTTAATCATTCAATAATTTTTGAAATGTTGTTCTAACAGTCAATATAATTTTTGGATATCTTATTTCTTGTTAAAAACTTCTGTGTTTTCACCATTTCTAAAATAATATATAATGATATATAGAGATATCTCTGGTAGCTGTCTTCCTGTTAACCTACTCTGTTGATTTCAAAATAAATACATTAGGAGATTAATACCTGAAACTGAGGCATACATATAAATTAGCTGGAGAAAACGGCAGGTCCACAAAAGGCCTTACTACTTGAACTTCCTAATAAATTGTGCAATAAGGTTCCGATTATGTTTTTCTCTGTTTTGTCTCGTTTTCTTATTAGGCGCCTTGTACAAACAAAAAAATAACAAAATAGTTTCCTTGCCAACCTTATCAACAGCAAATTCTTCTTATTAAGGACATATTTTTTAAAGAAACTAAATATTAAAAGTTCAGTAATTTGAAGTAAAAAACTGAGTACTGTTAAAAAAACATGTTATTTATGATAGAATATTATTCGTTTTGAACGCTCATCCCTTCAGAAACTTGCATAATAGACGTACATATGTCAATTTAGCTTAATTGCAGTCACTTAATGCATGTCTCATAATTACCATTTAAGGTGGTATTATTTTATTAAAGTTAACTTTACTTGCTCTTTATGACCTTAACACGATTATTAGTGTATTAGGGCTTCCATGGTTAAAGAAATAATTTTTATCAACAAAATTTATTCATACGTTTAACTTTTGAAAAGAATTATAATGTGTTTGTAGGTTTGATTTTACTTGACATAGGAATTTTGTACCTACATATATTTGCACTGTCGATGGAATGCATTTTTATTTTATTCTTAAAAACTCCTTTCTTATGTTTTACAAATTAACAAGATAAATATATTTATATATACATATACATACATGTATATATATTTATATTTAGACTTTTTCGATCTGTACCACAAAGACTCTAACCATTCGAAAATCGGAACATGCCTGATTTTTTTCTAGACACTTAAAATTCAATATCATACATCTTGAATGTTACCTGGGCATTGCAATCAGCATTATTTTTTAAAATTATTATTCCTTATATTTGTTTATCTGTCTATATTTTCCCTGTTTTTATGTATTCGATGTATGCCAATGTATGTCAATGTGTATATGTTTGGTCAATAGCGGCGGAGACCGTCGATTGATGTACGCCGCCCAAGCGTACAAGATCTGGAAGATCTTATAAACAAGCCTTCTACTCCATTGCGCGATGTGGGTGATGGTGGTCCTCCTTCAATTGTCGATGTCCAAGAGTCCTACTCCGTTGTGGAAGGTATGTATTCAAATGTTCATAAATTATTTGATGTCGACCTAATATACAACCAGAGTTCGTATCTTGATTATTTTTAATACAGAAAAAGCTTAAAATTGATCTTGAATTTAAAATATTTTATTAAATTTTCTAAAATTGTTTTATAATGAAGACTTTGCTTCTGAAGGAACTCGTAATCTATGGTCGCCAATTAATCCTGTTAAATACTACAAGTAAAGAGTAATAGTCTAATAAAATTTTCAAATGTCTTAACGTCAAGTTTTTATTGATTTCGAATTGTCCCAATTTAAAGATCTTGTTATTAACAAAACCTTTGGTTAATTCTATTTTCCGAAATGCAAATAACTATATATCCTTGTTTTTAAATCTTAAATTGTTTAATAAGTAATTGACCAAATACCCAACTTTAACACCTTTCCCTTATCAATACAATTTTTGTATAAGTCGCACATAACGAACTCTGAACCATTTTTGACTAACCAATATGTATTTGTTAAAATGAGCACGCTTTGTACTTGTTTTCTAGACTCGACCGCTTACCTTACGGTTGGCGTCGAAGGCAGTCCAGCACCAACATTCAAGTTCTACAAAGGAGTTAGTGAAATTCTTGAGGGCGGTCGGTTTAAGTTCCTTACAGATGGGCAGACAAACACAATTACATTGTGTATGCGTAAGTGCAAGCCCAATGATGAGAGCAAATACAAGATTGTTGTTTCGAACATACACGGTGAGGACTCAGCCGAGATGCAGCTCTATGTATCTGATTCAAGTGGCATGGACTTTCGGGCCATGCTCAAGAAACGACGTTATCAAAAATGGGACAAAGACGAACAGGACCCCAATTGGGGTGATCTTAAAGAAACGGAAAAACCGTTGCCAGCCCTTAAAAAAGTTGAAAGGGTAAGATCCGAATTATGCGCGCTTAACAGACTCGTTGGTGATGAGGTGGAATTCTCTATCATTTATTGGCACTCTGATTCAGTTTAGTAAAGCGTTATTATTCCAGAGTTTCTTACTGTTAAGCGTATTAAACTGAATCGATATGGCAATTATGCCGCAGCTTAAGTTTCATTTAGTTTTTTACAATGTATCGCAATTGTGTATTTGAATAATAGCAATAATTCAGCTAAGTTTTTTGAAACTTAGAACAAGTTTAATATTTTAGGTAAGGAGTTATAACGGAAAATAATAATTTTTATAATATTAAAAAAAAATCACTTTGAAAACTATACTATCATTCGATAATTGAAATACATATTCAGGGTCCAGGATCGCGTAGACCATCTTTAGCCGAGCTGATTCCCGATTGGCCAACATTACATCCGTTTCGGCGCGAGGAGGTGCGATCCTTTTACATATGTATATGTATTTATTTCCATAATTACTTTTCTATAATATTTCTTATACAATTTTCCAGTGCTGAAGCTAATTATTGTTTTTTGTTGATTTTTATGGAATAATACGGCTTGGACATATAACTCTTCAATTGCAAATTTTTACCCTTCATATCCGGTTCCAGCCGTAAAGAGCTGCTCTGTAATACGACTCGACGAACTTATCACTTTGCCTAAACTATATTTTTTATTTGAATTTTGTTATTTGTTTCTTAAGCTTGGTGACATCCATGAAGAGTTTTCCACTTAAAAACATCGCTTTTGTATAATTGGGCTCCAATTCTTAAAATGAAAATATGTGAGCCCTTTTTAGTTTAATTTTTGAAAAGGGAATACAAATTTTTACAATATAAAAAAAAAAAGAATAATTTTATTATAAACCGACCATGTTCAAAATAAGCTTAAATGTGAAATTGTACTTAAAAATTCGATATACGATAAGTAATAATACGTTATCATTAAACAATTGCATTTGCTTTAAAAATAAGCATGTAACCCATAGATTTGTTTTAAAACTAGACAATTCACAAAGTTATCCCAGAGTTGTTGTGTTTTTGTATTGTATACGCGTATCCACGAATATAATTAAATAATCAAAATCTTGATCAAAATCAGCAGGGAAAATTCAACTTAGAATTTATTTTAAAAAAAGGGATATAATAGTATATATTAAAGAAGGCATTATTAACTTCACAATATAAACAAATAAATTAATCTGCCTGATAACTAGAATCACACGGCATGGTTGTATAAAAAAAATAGTTATTAGTAAACTTAAATTGCAATATCAGCAATGGTAAGAGAAAGGCAGCCTACCTTTGTGTCTTTTTATGAAACAACTTAATTATATCGATTTCTTTGATTTTTGAGCTCTCATAAATAATTAAATAATAAATAGTATATATAAAAAATCCTTTCAAAGTAAACCTCTTATATATATGATTTTGTAAAAAAGATTAACTTACATACATATATATGTGGGATTTATTTTATCTAGTAATATGATAAAAAAGCACCATTTAATAATCGTATATCAAATCTATAAAACTTTACCCATTTTTGACAACGTATCAACTTACAATGAAGCACAGAAGGTTGAGTCATTCCTCAGCCCACTTATCGACCAGTTCGCAAAAGAGGGAAAGGACAAAAAAGTTGTATTTGAAGCCAGATTCAGTAAACCTAATTGCAAGCCCAAGTGGCTGTTTCGAAAAGACGTAAGTATACATCGGTGGCCAATCTAGTTTTCAAGAAACAGCTTTTGCAACATATATTATCCAATGTCTTAAACTTAATAATTTATAGGAGGTGTTCACGGGCAGTAAATTTAAATTCAAACAGGAAAATGATACTTATCAGTTGATTATTACGACACCAAAGGTGGAAGACACCGGCAAGTATACTATTGAAATCGGTGGTGTTTCTAGTACGGCATTTTTAAATGTCGAAGAAGCTGATCCCACCTACACTTTTACAAAGCCTCTTAAAAAGAAACTTGAGGGATTTACTCAGCATGAGACTACTCTAGAGTGCTCTGTCAGCAGCAGTATGGCGAATGTGCATTGGTTCAAAGATAATACAAAATTGGAGTCCGATGATCCTCGGTACCTTATCTCCAAAGACATAAACGGCAACCTAAAGCTCATCATCAAAGACTCTGTAGTTGAGGATGCTGGTCTTTACAGATGTCAACTGGATAAACAACCTGATAAGACTGAGTGTAACCTTAAGATTACAGAGTACCCTTACAAGTTTGTTAAGGTTCTAAAATCTCAGCAATGTATTGAGAAAGACACTGTGACACTTGCCTGCGAAATCGACGATGCCATGGGTGAAGTGCAATGGTTCCGTAACGGCGAAGAAATCAAACCTGACAAACGCATTCAAATTTTAAAAGATGGTCGAAAGCGGAAGTTAGTCATAAAGGACTGCAAAGTAACCGATGCCGGGCTATTTAAATGTTCAACAAATGCCGACACCACAGAGGCGGAAATAATTATTAACTGTAAGTCTTAACATGTAAACTTATTGTTTAGCAAAATAACCTAATACATTACATTACATCAGTAAATTACCATAGCCACAAATAAATTTTAATTCTATCATTTATTGTTTAACTAATGGCTTTTTGTAAATAAAATTAAGCATGAGAAGAAAAGAAACAAGAGGAAACGCTATAGTCGAGTGCCGCGACCATAAGATACCCGTTACAGTTTTACAAAATTTTAAAATATTATTTTGCTAGTGGAAATTCACAAGGCGCCACCTATTGTCAGAGGAAGTATGTTGAGTATGCTTATAGTGACGTCACTGCCCATGTGAGGCCTTATAACTTAATTTCTTTATAAATAGCGAAATAATGTTCCGATTTGAAAAATCTTTGGTAAATCGATAGGTATTAACAGAAATAAGTTACACAAGGTCAAACGAAGGCATTCATGGCTCAATCGACTTCGCTATTGATCCTGATCAAGAATACTTTTATAGGGTCGCAAAAGCTTCCTTCTATCTGTTACATACTTTTCAACGAATCTAGTATACCCTTTTACTCTACGAGTAACGGGTATAAATATTTAGGCGGCAAGAATGAACTTTTTAGAGAACCGGTAGTTTAGGTAGTAATAAAAATTAATTTTTTTGTATTGTTTTATTATAATTGTCATACTGTACAGTAAAATTCTTTACTAAAGAAAAAGCATCCAATAAATTATGAAAGTCAGTTAACAAATATATAATTCACACAGCTTTAAGCAGCATTAAAGAAATTACCCCTTTTTACGGTCAATGAACTGAATGGATGTTTATGGAAGGATTTCCGATTCATGTTAAAGCCTTTATCATTTTCCATTTAATATGTTTGTTGGAATTTAATTATTGGTTAATACTGGTTATTTTAATATATATAAAATAATAACCATAAATAAATGGCAATCGACTTAACATTTTTCTATATAATTATTTAATTTTATAGATCAAAACCGCTTTAACAAAAAACTTAAAGATACAGATGCTGTTGAGAGAGAAAGATTAGTTCTTGATGTCGAGCTTCAGGATCAAACGGCGCCATGCGACTGGAAATTAAACGGAGAGCCCATAGTACCCAGTGAACGAATTGAGGTTAAGAACCTGGGTGGTGGAAAGCATCAACTCATATTTAACAGTCTGGATATGTCTAATGAGGGCGAAATAACTTGTGAATCTGGACAGCTAAGCTCAAAATGCAAGCTCTCTATCCGCAAGGGAGAAAGTAGACCGAATATTGATTGCCCTGATACATTTGCCGGACCTATCAGTGCACCTGTTCTTGTAAAAGTGCCATTTAAAGGTGGGTATACAAAAAATGGTTTGATTTTAAGCAAAGGTTATATTAAAAGAAGTTTTGGCGGTTTGTTAAAATAATTTTAATGCCTGAAAATAAACATGACAAATTTATGAAAATTAATCTAATATTGAATATATATAACACTTTCTGTCGATGCACACAAATGAATTAAACATTTTTTTTACTTAGTTTCTGGAACAAAGCAAACACCGATAGAGGCCAAATTATTCAAAGACGGCAAACCGTTGCCCGTAAAGGATGTGGAGGTTGCAGTCACTGATGATAATGTCACATTTAAAATAAAGAAACCGTCTAGAGATTTATCCGGTCCATATCAAATTAAAATTTCCAACGGACAAGGTGAAGATACCAAAGACGTTCAAATCATTTGTCAAGATGTTCCGCAGCCTCCACAGGATGTTGATATTACAGACGTCTATCAAACATCCTGTGTAGTAAACTTTAAGCAACCGGCTGACGATGGCGGAACTCCTATAATAAATTATGTGATCGAACGGCAGGACTTGAGCAAGAAACAAGGCTGGGAGCCGGTCGCTGAGGTTCAACCTAGTGAACCATGTCGAAAAAAAATCGACGATTTGGTCCCAAAAAAACAGTACAGATTCCGTATTCGTGCTGTCAACGCGATTGGCCCCTCAGATCCGGCAACATTCAAGAACTCGATTCTCGCAAAAGATCCTTGGGATGAGCCTGGAAAGCCCAAAGCAGTTGATCTTACCGATTGGGACAAAGATCATGCTGACCTCAAGTGGGAAGCACCCGATAGTGATGGCGGGGATCCGATAACTGCATATATTGTAGAATATAAAGAAAAGTTTTCAAACGACTGGGTTGCCGGCAAAGAGGTTGATGGTGATTCTAGAACTGCCACCGTTGATCAGCTAAACGAGGGACAGCAGTACGAATTCCGAGTCCGTGCTGTAAATAAAGCCGGCCCAGGTGAACCTAGCGACAAGACCAAATCTATTATTGCAAAATGCCGTTTCGTAAAGCCCTTCCTTGTTGGGGATGGTCTTAAAAACATTACCGTTAAAAAGGGACAAACTATTCGTTTCGATGTTAAATATGACGGTGAACCGGAGCCAACTGCAACTTGGGTAAAAGGAACCAACAACCTTAATTTTGACAACCAGCGTATTTGCTTAGACCAGTTGGAGAGAAACTCATCAATTACTATTAAAAAATCAGTGCGAAAGGACACAGGCAAATACAAATTAGTATTATCAAATAGCTCGGGCTCAATTGAGTCTGAGGCACAAGTTGTCGTTCTTGACAGACCATTAGCTCCAGGTGGACCGTTCGAACCTGAAGAAGTACGAGCTAACCATATTAAAATGAAATGGAATTGTCCGGAGGATGATGGTGGTTGTGAAATTACTGGATATGCTCTAGAGCGCATGGATGAAGAGACTGGCCGCTGGATACCTGCAGGCGAAGTTGGTCCAAATGAGACTTCATTTGACTTTAAGGGACTGACGCCGAATAAGAAGTATAAGTTCCGCGTCAAGGCCATTAACAAGGAAGGTGAATCCGACCCACTGGAAACATCCGACGCCATCGTGGCGAAGAATCCTTATGACCCCCCAAGTGCACCCAGTCAGCCAGTTATCGATGACTATGATAACAAGAGTGTTGTATTAAAATGGAAGCGACCGCCATCAGATGGTGGGCGCCCAATTACACATTATATTGTCGAAATTAAAGACAAATTCTCACCCACCTGGAGTGAGGTGAAGAAGACTGAGGATCCCACACCAGAGTTAACCGTTGAGGGCCTTAAGGAAAGCATGGTGTATCAGTTCCGTGTTAGAGCTGTGAATAAGGCCGGACCCTCTGAACCTTCGCAGCCAACAGACAATCACATATGCAAATATAAAAATCGTAAGTATTTCATTACTATATAATTATAATAATCCTGTTCAGCTTGCTTTGGCTTAACATTTTAACACATCTCGCAAAACCTTTTATTATTAATTACAAAGTATTGCTTTCAGATATATCGATATACGTATTTTTTTGCAGTAATAAATTTTTAATATTCGGCAATCGAAACATTTCAAATAAACCTATTGTACAAACTTTGTAAGAAGTAACTATTTAAGTCTACAAGACCTGGAGAACATACATCGTGTGTCTACTATGTTTTAGTACTCCTGTTGTAAAAATCGGACCAAACTTTTAAAGACAATTCAAAAAAAAAGTAAAAGCATACTAATTTTCCTCGTCCTAGGTTTTTTTTATCTTACGAAACAGAGAGATCCTTTAGATAGAATAGGCATAATATGTTTAAACATGTAAAATGTTGTTGGGTTTTTAGATTCTGGCGTTTTCGGCTTGCTAAACATAGTTTGAATTATTTTTTCAACCTTGTCATTCGAAAATCGCATCGAAAATATTTGCATCAGCTTTGCTGCCAACGCTTATACTGTGTATGTATTTTAGAAAGCACTTTAAGTGTGAGAAAAAATAATATATATTTATTAAAATTTATTTATTTAACTTTTAGTGAAGCCTCAAATCGACCAGTCAACTTTTAAGCGAATTGTATTAAAGAGCGGTCGTACTCATAAATGGTCGGTTGACGTAATCGGTGAACCAGTACCAGAACTCTTCTGGAGTTGGAGGGATGATATTCCATTAACCAACGGAGACAGAATAAAGATAGAAAATGTTGACTACCATACGGACTTTAGAATTACAAATGTTTTGCGCAAAGATAGTGGTTTCTACACCTTAAAGGCAGAAAACCGTAATGGCATTGACCGCGAAACCGTGGAATTAGTTGTTCTAGGGAAACCCAGTTCGCCAAAGGGACCCCTTGCCGTAGACGACGTGACAGCAACTGGTTGCAAACTTCAATGGAAGAAACCTGAAGATGATGGTGGAGTGCCAATTAAGGAATATGTGGTTGAAAAAATGGACACGTCAACAGGAAAGTGGGTTCGAGTAGGAAGATCTCCTGGTGAAAAGGAACCACCCAGCTTTGACGTAACTGGCTTAAATCCTGGATCCGAGTACATGTTCCGCGTTTCTGCCGTTAACGAGGAAGGGGAGTCTGAGCCCCTTACCACTTTGATAGGAATTGTGGCAAAAGATCCTTTCGATGAGCCTAACAAGCCGGGCACTCCGGAAGTGTATGATTATGATAATCAAAGTGTAAGTTTAAAATGGACACCCCCCAACAATGATGGAGGAGCCCCGATTCAAAAATACATAATCGAAAAAAAGGATAAAAATAAGCCTGATTGGGAGAAGGCTGCAGAAATACCAGGAGATCAACTGGAAGCTAATGTTGGTGGTCTTCAAGAGTATGGAGAATATCAGTTCCGCGTAATAGCAGTCAACAAAGCTGGACTTTCGCCTCCATCAGATTCTAGTGTTCCCCAAATTGTAAAGTACAAAAAATGTAAGTTATAATCATGTCCTTTCATATGGTCGAATGTGGCAAGATCAATAGAATTTTAACTCAATGTAATGTAGCGGGTAAATGAAAGGGTCGTTCTGATAAACACTAAAATTATGAAGGTTGACAACGTTAATTTCAGTTAGCATAATTATTATGAGACTAGTTATAGATGTAGCAGATCTCGGCACTTGACCATAGGATTTCTGCTTTTTTTTTTTTAAATGAAGAATTTTCCCTTATCTGATTTTATTTTTGACCCGCAGTGAAGCCACGTATCGACAGATCAAACTTAAAGCCGCTGTTGATTCGGGCCGGAAAGCCTGTTAAGTACGATGTTAATGTACGTGGTGAGCCTGCACCGACAATAACATGGTACCACAACAATTTTGAGCTCAAGCAAGAGGAACTGCCTAGCAATTGCGAAATCAAGAACATCCCTTATAACACAAAAATATCAATTATTAATACAATGCGAAAACATACTGGAGTTTACAAAATAAAGGCTATAAACGAGCATGGAGAGGATGAAGCTACCGTTGAGGTCAACATTCTAGCTCCACCAGGCATGCCAAAGGGTCCATTGGAAGTTAAAGATGTTACAAAAGACAGCTGTAAGCTAAAATGGAAAAAACCTGAGGATGACGGTGGAAAACCAATTACAGCGTATCAGGTTGAAAAGTTTGATAAAAAACAAGGTCGATGGGTACCTGTCGGTCGGACCTCTGCAAACGATACCGAGTTTGATGTCAAAGGACTTCAAGAAGGCCATGAATATCAGTTTCGAGTCAAGGCCATAAATGAAGAGGGGGAGTCGGATCCCCTGGAAACCGATAGCAGCATCATAGCGAAAAATCCCTATGATTTAGCTAGTAAGCCAGGTACACCTCGCATTGAGGATTACAACGAGAATATGGTAATATTAAAGTGGGAAGCACCTAAGTCTGACGGAGGAGCTCCAATCACTGGTTACATCATTGAAAAAAAAGATAGGTTTTCCCCTGTTTGGGATGAAATACTCAGCACCAACGTAAGTAAGCTTTATTTAATTTTCAAATGAGCAACTAAAACCCAACTGAAAATTAAATATATTAAAATATTATTAAAATTGAATTTCAAGAAACTATTTCTACTTTAAGACAACTGCCCCTGAAGCAACCGTTACAAATCTTGTTGAAGGAAATGTATACCAGTTTCGAATTCGGGCAGTTAATAAAGCCGGTCCAAGCGAGCCAAGCGATGCAACACAGCCTCATTTGGCTAAACCAAGGAATCGTAAGATTGTTTATTTTACACAAGTACTTCGCAGATAAATTAGTGATGTCGAGGCTTTCAAATATTTCGCCTGCAATTTAATGTTAAGCCAAAAGCAAATACTTATTTTATTCTCTAAAACTATTTTTGTTCAACTTTTTATTTTCAATGTAATTTTTTATTCTAAATTTACGTTGTTAATTTCAGTTAAGCCATCAATTAACAGAGAAAAAATGAAGCCTATTAAGGTTCGCGCTGGCCAAACTGTTAAGTTTGATGTGGACGTTAAAGGTGAACCAGCACCCATTTTAACATGGTTCCTAAAAGAAACACAGTTGACGACTACGCCCCAAGTTCGGTTAGAAAACGAAGATTACAATACTAAACTGACATTGCTAGATTCATCTAGAAACCAAAGTGGCGAGTATAAGCTACGTGCGGAAAATATTAATGGCGTTGACGAAGCTTTGGTTGAAGTCATCATCTTGGATAAACCCTCAAAGCCCCAAGGACCATTAGAGGTAGCGGACATTCATAAGGAAGGCTGCAAACTTAATTGGAAGAAGCCAAAAGATGATGGAGGTATACCTATCACTGGTTATGTTGTTGAAAAGATGGATGTAGCCACAGGTAAATGGGTACCTGCCGGTTCGGTTGATCCAGAAAAGACTGATATTGAGATAAAGGGTTTGGACCCAAATCATCGCTACCAATTTAGAGTAAAGGCTGTTAACGAAGAGGGTGAATCTGAACCTCTGGAAACTGAATCGGCTATTACTGCCAAAAATCCGTTCGACGTATCTGCACCACCTGGCCTACCAGAGTTTGAAGACTGGGATGAGCATCATGTCAAACTAAAATGGGAACCTCCTATTAGGGATGGCGGCTCCCCTATTACCAGTTATATAATCGAAGTAATGGATAAAGATTCGGGAGAATTTGTAAAAGCTGTTGAAACAGATAGTCCGGTTTGTAAAGGAGTTGTTAAAAAGCTTGAGGAAGGGCAGCAATACAAATTTAGAGTTCGTGCAGTTAACAAGGCTGGTCCATCTGAACCATCTGAGCAAACTAATTGGCATATAGCCAAACCTCGATTCCGTAAGTTGCCTGTAAGAATGATTATTTTGACTATATTATGTTTTAATATAAAAATACTCTTTTAGTGAAACCTTATATCGACCGAAACAATTTGAAACCTGTGGTTGTTAAAACTGGCTTATCAATTAGTTTGGACATTAATATAAGAGGAGAGCCAGCTCCGAAAGTGGAATGGTTCTTTAATGCTATGCCCTTGATAAGCAACGAGGAGAGTATTAAAATCGATAACGTTGATTACAATACCAAATTCTTTGTGATGCGCGCTCAAAGATCCCAAAGCGGGAAATACATTATCAAAGCTAGAAACGAAGTTGGTGAAGACGAAGCAGAGCTGGAAGTCACAGTTTTGGGAAAGCCAGGAAAACCAAAAGGCCCTCTACATGTTAATGATATAACGAAACATAGCTGCAAGCTGAAGTGGGAGAAACCAGATGATGATGGCGGTACACCTATTGACTATTATGAAATAGAAAAACTTGATCCCCATACTGGACAATGGTTGCCATGTGGAAAGAGTACCGAACCTGAGGCGAAGGTAATTGGTCTTCATGAGGGCAAGCCATATAAATTCCGAGTAAGGGCTGTTAATAAGGAAGGAGAATCGGAGGACTTAGAAACAGAAAAGCCAATTATTGCGAAAAATCCATTCGATGAGCCAGAGAAACCCGGTAGACCCAACCCAACGAATTGGGATAAAGATTTCGTTGACTTAGCTTGGGATCCGCCGAAGAATGATGGCGGCGCACCAATCCAAAAATATATTATTCAAATGCGAGATAAGTCTGGACGTGCCTGGGTGGATGCAGCTACAGTGCCAGGAGATAAAAGTAACGGTACCGTTACCGGCATAGAAGAAGGCCACGAGTATGAGTTTCGTATAGTTGCCGTCAACAAGGCTGGACCTAGTGAACCCAGCGATGTTTCAAAATCGGTGGTGGCTAAGCCACGTTTCTTAAAACCACATATTGACCGAAAAAACTTGCAAAAAAAAATTATGCGCAGTGGACAAATGCTTCATATGGACGCTGCTGTAAAAGCAGAACCTCCGGCTAAAATAACATGGACTTACAATGGAACTGAAATTAAAACGTCAGACAACCTAAAAATAGAAAACGAGGACTATAAAACAACATTCATTATACCAAAAGTTAAACGCGTTAATCGCGGAAAGTACGTTGTCACTGCAAAAAATGATTCCGGTTCTGACTCTGTAGAAGTTGAGCTGGAAGTGGTATGCAAGCCAAGTAAGCCCAAGGGCCCTCTGGCTGTATCCGAAGTAACGGCCGAGAGTGCTCACCTGAAATGGGACAAGCCTGAAGATGATGGCGGAGAGCCCATAGAACAATATATTGTGGAACGCATGGATACGGAAACAGGTCGATGGGTACCTGTTCTTACAACTAAGATCCCTGAAGCCGATATTACAGGTCTCACAGAAGGAAAGGAATATCTATTTAGAGTAAAAGCTGTCAATTCCGAAGGCGAATCGGAACCACTGGTGACTGATATTCCTACAAAGGCCAAGAATCCTTTCGACGCTGCCGACACCCCAGGTAAGCCGCAAATCAGTGATTGGTCAGCTAGCCACTGTGATCTTAAGTGGAGGGCTCCCGAAGATGATGGCGGAGCTCCCATCACCGGCTATCTTGTGGAAAAGAAAGACCCTAATACAGGAAAGTGGCAAAAAGCTCTAGAAACAAATACGCCCGAATGTAAGGCCCGTGTAAATGATTTAATCACAGGCAAGAAATATCAATTCCGAGTTAAAGCTATTAATAAGGCAGGAAAAAGCAAACCCTCCGAACCATCAGACCAGATGACTGCGAGGGACCGATTTGCACCACCTAAAATAGATAGAACCAACATTAAGGACATTACGATAAAAGCTGGACAACACATTCGATATGACATAAAAGTATCTGGAGAACCTCCGGCGACCAAAGTTTGGCTTCACAACAAAGCCCGAATCGACAATGAAGATAGTGACTACAATATTGACATGGAATCATATCGCACTAAACTAGCAGTACCAATTTCAAAGCGATTTCATTCAGGAAAATATACACTTAAAGCCGAGAATGAATCTGGTCACGATGAGGCATCATTCGAAGTTATTGTGTTAGACAAACCAGGGGCACCAGAAGGACCGTTACGCATCACAGATGTGCACAAAGAAGGATGCAAGCTTAAGTGGAATGCTCCCTTAGACGATGGTGGCTTGCCAATAGAGCACTACATTGTTGAAAAAATGGACGTTGAAAGCGGGCGTTGGCTGCCATCTGGTCGCTTCAAGGAACCCTTTGCTGAGTTGAATAATTTAGAGCCGGGTCACGAATACAAGTTTCGAGTGCTTGCTGTAAATACTGAAGGTGAATCCGAACCATTGACTGGAGAACAGTCTATTATAGCCAAGAATCCCTTCGATGAACCTGGAAAGCCAGGAACGCCGGAAGCAGTAGACTGGGATAAAGATCATGTAGACTTAGTTTGGAGACCGCCTATTAACGATGGTGGATCGCCTATCACTGGCTATATAGTAGAAAAACGTGAAAAAGGTACTGACAAATGGATAAAAGGAACTGAAGTTACAGCTCCTCGTTTTGGAGAAGAGTGCAAAGCTTCTGTGCCAAACCTCAATGAAAACTGTGAATACGAATTTCGAATCAAAGCAATAAATGCTGCAGGGCCTGGTGAGCCATCTGATGCCAGCAAATCAGTTATTACCAAGCCAAGAAAGTGTAAGTCCATTGAATCCTTTCCGAACCCTAAGAGTTTTTTCCGAGAGACGGATTGATCTCTGAGATTTAAAAATAACGAGTAAATTATAATTTTTTGATGTTATGGTAGTGCCTCTTGTATAGCAAGCCTTACCTAATTTCAAAAAGTTAACATGACGTATTTATTTAGTTGAAATAAAAAAGTATTTATTATAGTAAGATATCATTTTTTCACTATTACGTCAAATCTCTTTAAATCAAATTCCCAAGAAATTGATCACATTTTTTATTTACAATTACAAATATAAAAATGGATAATAAATAAATCGGTTGATCTTAATTATACTTTTCATCTTTACATAGTGGCTCCCAAAATTGACCGTAAAAATATACGAACATACAACGTGAAGGCTGGAGAGATAATATTCTTGGATATTAATGTCAGCGGAGAGCCTGCACCAGATGTTACTTGGAATCAAAACAATAAGTCGGTTCAGGCGACTTCAGTTAGTTACATACAGGATGTACCTTATAACACTAAATACATAAATAACAACCCTGAAAGAAAGGACACAGGACTCTACAAAATATCTGCTCATAACCTCTATGGGCAAGATCAGGTGGAGTTCCAAATTAACATTATAAGTAAGTTAACTAATTTATTTATTTTACACTGTTTGCCCATGTTGTTAACCTGGGATCAGTCCTAGCTGCTATTGCTTAAGTTATTTAATTTGTACATTTTTTATCTTTTGACTAGCAAAACCTGGAAAGCCTGAAGGTCCTTTAGAGGTATCTGATATTCACAAAGATGGTTGTAAGTTAAAATGGAAAAAACCTAAGGATGATGGTGGTGAGCCAATAGATAGTTACATTGTTGAGAAATTCGACCCAGACACGGGTATTTGGCTGGCTGTTGGGAAAACTGACACACCGGAGTACACCGTTGATAGCCTAGTGCCAGGTCACGAATACAAGTTCCGGGTGAAAGCTGTAAACAAAGAGGGTTATTCGGAACCACTGGAAACATTGGGTTCAATTATTGCAAAGGATCCATTTAGTGAGTAATAAGGTATTATCCTCTTAAATCGTTTCGTATTAACACATATCATTGATTTAGCCGCGCCATCAAAGCCTGGCGTTCCAGAAGCTACCGATTGGACTGCAAATAAGGTAGAACTGGCCTGGCCGGAACCAGCAAGTGACGGTGGATCACCAATCACAGGCTACATTATTGAGGTGAAAGACAAGTACAGCCCGCTCTGGGAAAAAGCTCTAGAAACCGTCTCACCAACTCCTATTGCGACAGTTCAAGGCCTTATCGAAGGAAATGAATATCAATTCCGAGTAATTGCCTTGAATAAGGGTGGTCAATCGGAGCCTTCGGACGCGAGCAAAATTTTTATAGCCAAGCCGCGTTATCTTGCTCCCAGGATAGATCGCAGAAATCTTCGTGATATATCACTATCGTCCGGAACAGCTCTTAAATTAGATGCAAATATTATTGGCGAGCCAGTTCCAAAAGTAGAGTGGAAATTTTCCAACTACAGTTTGCAATCAGGAAAAAATGTTACAATCGAGACTCCCGACTACTACACAAAACTAGTTATACGTCCAACGCAGAGAAATGACTCTGGAGAATATTTAGTCATAGCCACAAACAGTTCTGGAAAAGATAGTGTGCTTGTAAATGTTATTATAACAGATAAGCCCACTCCTCCCAACGGACCACTTCAAATATCCGATGTACACAAAGAGGGTTGCCACCTTAAATGGAAACGTCCTAGTGACGATGGCGGAACTCCAATTGAGTACTTCCAAATTGACAAATTAGATCCGGAAACCGGATGTTGGATTCCAACTTGTCGTTCATCTGAGCCACAAGTGGATGTAACAGGTCTTACGCCCGGAAACGAATACAAATTCCGAGTGTCAGCTGTAAATTCTGAAGGTGAGTCCCAACCCTTGGTTGGTGAGGAAACAATAATTGCCAAAAATCCTTTCGATGAACCTGGTAAGCCCGAAAACCTTAAAGCAACTGATTGGGATAAGGATCATATAGACTTAGCATGGACCCCTCCGCTGACCGACGGTGGATCACCCATATGTGGTTATATTGTTGAAAAGAAAGATAAATATGGTAAGTGGGAGAAGACCCTTGACGTTCCAGCCGATCAATGCAAAGCAACCATTCCTGATCTTGTGGAAAACCAAGTCTATGAGTTCCGAGTTTCCGCGGTCAATGCTGCAGGACCAGGAGAGCCATCTGATGCCACCCCACCAGTAATTGCTAAATCTCGCAACAAGCCACCTGTTATAGATAGATCTAACTTGATTGAAATTCGTATTAAAGCTGGACAGGCATTCACATTCGACTGTAAGGTATCTGGGGAGCCAGCGCCTAGGACAAAGTGGATTTTTAAAAAAAAAGACTTGTATTCCAAAGACAACGTAAAGGTAACTAATGTTGACTACAATACAAAACTAAAGGTTACTTCTGCGACCCGATCTGATTCGGGAGTATACACAGTGCATGCCGAAAATGCAAATGGAGAAGACTGTGCCGAAGTTAAAGTAACTGTCATTGATATACCTTCTCCGCCAAACGGGCCACTTAATATTGATGAGATAAATTCCGAATCGTGTTCTCTGCACTGGAATCCACCGGACAACGATGGAGGACAACCAATAGATAACTATGTTGTTGAAAAATTAGATGAAGCAACTGGTCGTTGGGTACCAGGCGGGGAGACTGACGGACCAATCACCAGCCTTAAAGTAAAGGGTCTTACACCAGGTCATAAATACAAATTCCGAGTGCGTGCGAAAAATCGTCAAGGGCTTTCAGATCCACTCACAACATTACATGCGATCGAAGCCAAAAATCCATACGACCAACCTTCAAAGCCTGGCACTCCAACCATAAAGGACTTTGACAGAGACTTTGTTGATTTAGAATGGAGTAGACCAGAAAGTGATGGGGGCTCTGTTATTACCGGCTACATTATTGAGAAACGCGACAAGTACTCTCCCGATTGGGAAAAGTGCGCTGAGATTAGTGATGACATCACCAACGCTTACGTGCCTGATCTTATTGAAGGTCTTAAATATGAATTCCGTGTTAGAGCAGTAAATAAGGCCGGTCCAGGGTCTCCCAGTGATCCAACTGAACCTCATCTGGCTCGACCGAAAAACATGCCACCAAAGATAGACCGAAACTTTATGTCAGATATCAAAATAAAAGCTGGTAACATATTCGAATTTGACGTTCCAGTTACTGGTCAGCCTTTGCCAAGCAAAGAATGGACTCACGAAGGCAATATGGTTATTAATACTGACCGAGTAAAAATTGTCAATGATGATGACCGCACCAAGATAAGAATACTTGATTCCAAACGATCCGATACAGGCGACTACACTTTAATAGCACGTAATATAAACGGTATAGACAGGCACACCGTCAGGGTGTCTGTTCTGGATGTACCAAGTGTGCCTGAAGGCCCATTACGCAATGGAGACACAACCAAAAACTCAATAGTTTTGCGTTGGCGGCCTCCCAAAGATGACGGTGGCTCAGAAATAACGCATTACATTGTAGAAAAAATGGATAATGATGCCATGCGCTGGGTGCCTGTCGGTGAATGCACCGATACCGAAACCCGAGCCGATAATCTTATCGAAAATCATGACTACAGCTTCAGAGTTCGAGCTGTCAACAAGCAAGGACAATCCCAACCACTCACAACCTCTCAGCCTATAACTGCCAAAGATCCCTATTCACATCCAGACAAGCCCGGTCCGCCGCAAGCTACCGACTGGGGCAAAGATTTTGTGGATTTAGAGTGGGCTGCTCCAAAAAGAGATGGTGGAGCACCAATTTCTTCATATATTATTCAAAAAAGGCCGAAGTTTGGTCAGTGGGAACGCGCAGCTGTTGTTCCAGGTGAAAATTGTAAGGCACACATACCAGAACTTACTGATGGTGGAGAGTACGAGTTTCGGGTAATTGCCGTAAACCAAGGAGGTCCTAGCGATCCATCCGATCCATCTGCTTCCATTATTTGCAAGCCTCGTTTCCTTGCTCCATTCTTTGACAAGTCCCTTTTAAATGACATTACAATTCATGCAGGAAAGCGTTTAGGATGGACATTGCCTATCGAGGCATCTCCTAGGCCATCTGTCAAATGGCTATACAATGGAAAAGAAATTGGCTCGAATTTACGTGCAGAGACTGGTATTTTCCAAAACGAATTAACTTTTGAAATTCAATCATCACTTAGAAGTGACGAAGGTCGTTATACCGTCATATTAAAGAATGAACATGGAACATTTGATGCATCTGCTCATGCAACTGTTTTGGATCGCCCATCGCCACCCAATGGCCCTCTTGACATAACAAAGATTACAAGAGATGGATGCCATCTAACCTGGAATATTCCAGACGATGATGGAGGTTCGCCCATATTGCATTATATAATCGAGAAAATGGACTTGTCTCGAAGTACTTGGACCGATGCTGGCATGAGCACACATACTGTGCATGACGTAACCCGTCTAGTTCATCGCAAAGAGTATTTGTTCCGTGTTAAAGCCGTCAATGCAATTGGGGAATCCGATCCGTTAGAAGCAGCAAGAAGTATAATAGCTAAAAATGAGTTTGATGAGCCTGATTCGCCTGGAAAACCCAATATTACTGATTGGGATCGTGACCATGTTGACTTACAATGGGCATCACCAAAGAGCGATGGCGGAGCTCCCATAATGGAATACATTATTCAGAAAAAGGAAAAAGGCAGTCCTTACTGGACTAATGTTTTGCACGTACCCTCAAATAAGACCATAGCAACAGTACCAGAGCTAACTGAGGGTAAAGAGTATGAATTTAGAGTAATTGCTGTTAATCAAGCAGGACAGTCTGAGCCTTCAGAGCCATCTGATATGATTATGGCAAAACCACGCTACCTGCCACCAAAAATATTAACTCCACTCAGTGAAATACGTTTAAAATGTGGGCTAATTTTCCATACAGATATTCATTTCATCGGTGAGCCAGTGCCAGAAGCGACATGGACACTCAATGGATGTCCTTTAAAATCAAACGAGAAGTCAACGATTACAGCGATCGGTCACCACACTGTAGTGCACACTGTTAACTGCCAAAGGTCTGACTCTGGAATCTACCACTTATTGCTACGAAATAGTTCAGGAATTGACGAAGGCAGTTTCGAACTTATAGTGCTCGACCGTCCTGGAACACCAGAAGGTCCAATGGAATATGAAGAAGTAACAGGAAACTCTGTAACTATATCATGGAAACCTCCAAAAGACAATGGAGGTTCTGAAATATCATCTTATATTATCGAAAAACGGGATCTAACTCATGGCGGTGGGTGGGTACCGGCAATAAATTATGTCAATGCCAAATACAACCATGCCATGGTCCCTAGACTGCTGGAAGGAACGTTGTATGAGTTTAGAGTAATGGCCGAAAACCTTCAGGGACGCTCCGACCCACTTACATCCGATCAACCCGTGGTTGCCAAAAACCAATACACAGTTCCAGGTGTACCTGGCAAACCAGAACTAACCGACAGCGACAAGGATCATATTTCAATCAAATGGAAACAACCCATTAGTAATGGAGGATCGCCCATAATCGGCTACGACATTGAACGTCGTGACGTTAATACAGGACGATGGATAAAAATAAATGGACAACCAGTAGCAACCACTGAATACCAGGACGACAGGGTAACGCCGAACCATACATATCAATACAGAATATCAGGAGTTAACGCTGCTGGTAGCGGTAAGGCTTCTGAACCTTCAAACACATTCGATGCTAGGCCACTACGTGAAAAGCCAAGACTTTATTTGGATAGTTTGTTGGGAAGGCGTGTTAAAGTCCGTGCAGGTGAGCCTGTCAACCTAACTATCCCCATAGCCGGTGCTCCCACTCCTAATATTGAATGGAAACGTGGTGATTTCAAATTCGAAGAAGGAAAACGTATATCTTATGAGACTAATTCGGAGCGTACTATATTCCGCATTGACAATTCGAACAGGGAAGATTCCGGAAAATACACAGTAACCGCCTTTAATGAGTTTGGTAAAGATACAGCTGATATTGAAGTTATTGTCGTGGACAAACCATCGCCACCTGAAGGACCGTTGAGTTACACAGAGACAGCCCCGGATCACATTTCCTTGAAATGGAATTCTCCAAAAGACAATGGTGGCAGCGACATAACAGGATATATAATTGAGTTCACTGAGTTTGGCTTAGATGATTGGAAGCCAGTACCAGGCTATTGTTCCAAGACGAACAACACTGTGAAGGGCTTAGTAGAAGGAAAGAAATACATTTTCCGAGTAAGGGCTGAAAATATCTACGGAGCTTCTGAAGCTCTTGAAGGTAAGCCAGTATTAGCCAAATCTCCTTTTGATCCTCCTGGTGCACCATCTCAGCCAAAAATAACTGTATACACGCCAAACTCAGCTACCTTGGAGTGGCATCCACCAGACTATTGTGGTGGTAAGCCTATAACTGGGTATATTGTAGAGCGTCGAGAGCGCGGCGGTGAATGGATTAAGTGCAACAATTATCCAACACCAAATACATCATACACAGTGCCCGATCTTCGCGACGGAGCCCGTTATGAGTTCCGTATAATCGCAGTTAATGAAGCTGGACCTGGCCAACCTTCAAAGCCATCCGATCCAATGACTGCGGAGCATCAACGCTATCGTCCAGATGCACCTGAGTCACCAAAACCCGATCGTATTTCCAGGGATAACGTCACACTATCTTGGCGCCCACCACGGAATGATGGAAAATCCAGAATCAAAGGGTATTTTATTGAAATACGTCCCAAAAATGAGAAAGATTGGAAAATAGTTAACGATTTACCCATTAACTCAACTGTATACACAGTACCAAACCTTAAGGAAGGAGAGGAGTATTCCTTCCGTGTTATCGCTGAAAACGAAGTTGGACGATCAAATCCATCTAAACCCTCACAGCCCATCACGATTGAAGAACAACCAAACAAACCTTGCATGGAATTGGGAGGAGTTCGAGATATAGTGTGCAGGGCTGGTGACGACTTCAGCATTCATGTGCCGTACATAGCTTTCCCCAAGCCCAGTGCCTTTTGGTATTCGAATGACAGTGTACTGGATGACGATAACCGTGTACACCAGCATTTGACTGATGAGGCAGCTTCATTTGTGGTGAAAAACTCAAAACGTTCTGACTCAGGTCAATATCGACTCCAGTTGAAGAATCCATCAGGATTCGATACAGCTACCATTAATGTAAGTGTTTTGGATAGGCCATCCCCACCAACACATCTTCGAGCTGATGAGTTTGCTGGCGATTCATTAACATTGTATTGGAATCCACCGAATGATGACGGCGGGTCTCCCATACAAAACTACATAATTGAAAAGAAAGAAGCTCGTGGATCCACATGGACTAAAATTAGCAGTTTCTGCACAGTTCCATTTTTAAGAATTCGAAACCTTGTTATTAACAAAGAGTATGACTTCCGAGTGTTAGCTGAAAATAAATGTGGGCAATCCGATCCGGCCAATACATCAGAGCCCATACGCGCACGACATCCCTTTGATGTCCCAAATACTCCCGGTATTCCTCACGGTATTGACTCAACAGAAGATAGTATAACAATAGCATGGTCAAAACCAAAACATGATGGAGGTTCTCCTATAACCGGCTATGTGTTAGAGAAACGATTGCTAAGCGATGACAAGTGGACCAAGGCAGTTAACGCTCTTTGCCCAGACCTTACTTGTAAGATACCAAACCTAATTGAAAATGCGGAATACGAGTTCAGAGTAGCCGCAGTGAATGCAGCCGGTCAATCAGCGTTCAGTGGTTCAAGTGATCTTATTTTCTGCCGCCGACCGCCCCATTCACCCAAGATAACATCCGATTTATCAATTCGTGATATGACGGTAATTGCAGGAGATGAATTCCACATTACCGTACCTTATCATGCTAATCCTCGACCAACGCCATCATGGAGTATAAATGGTATTCAAGTTACTCCCGACGAGCGAATTAAATTTGTTTCTGACGATTATTCATCAGTTTATTACAATAAATCAGCCAAGCGATGTGAAACTGGATCGTACGCGATTACTCTTACAAACAACAAGGGTTCAGATACTGCATCATGTCATGTCACTGTTGTAGACAGGCCAGGACCACCTCAGGGTCCATTAAATGCCTACGACATTACTCCAGACACATGCACCCTGGCCTGGAAAACGCCTCTAGATGATGGGGGTTCACCGATTACAAATTACGTCGTTGAAAAGTTAGATACTAGTGGATCCTGGGTGAAAGTAAGCAGTTTTGTTCGTAACATTCATTACGATGTCATGGGTCTGGAACCCCAACACAAGTATTACTTCCGTGTAAGAGCAGAAAATCAGTATGGCTTGTCAGATCCTTTGGACATATCCGATCCCATTGTTGCTAAGCATCAATTCACAGTTCCGGATGAGCCTGGTCAACCAAAGGTTATCGACTGGGACTCTGGAAATGTCACATTGATTTGGACTAGACCAGCTGGTGATGGAGGGTCCCGTATTCAAGGTTACCAAATTGAATATAGAGATATTGTTAACGACTCTTCTTGGAATACCTACGACTACCTTATAAAGGATACCAAATACCAGCTTTATAATTTAACCAATGGCAGCGAATACGAATTTCGTATAAGGGCAAAGAACGCTGCTGGTCTTAGCAAACCTTCTCCTCCGTCCTTGAGATTTAAACTAAAAGGAAAATTCAGTGTGCCTTCTCCTCCTGGTACCCCTCAAGTCACCAGGGTTGGCAAAAACTATGTCGACTTAAAATGGGAGAAATCTTTAAGGGATGGTGGCTCTCGCATTACCAGCTACATTATTGAACGAAGGGATATCGGTGGAGCCGTTTGGGTAAAATGTAATGATTACAACGTATTGGACACCGAATATACGGTTATTAACCTGATTGAGATGGGTGACTACGAATTCCGAATATTTGCTGTCAATTCCGCTGGACGCTCGGATCCTAGCTTATGCACGATGCCAATACGGGTTTGCGAGGTTCTTGGTGGCGAAAAACCCGAATGGATTAAGCGACTACAAGACAGGGTAGCACCTTATGGTAAGGATTTTACGTTGCAATGTGCCGCATCAGGTAAACCGAGTCCAACTGCTAGATGGCTTCGCAATGGGAAGGAAATTCAAATGGGGTGCGGTCGATTTACTTGCGACAATAAAGACGGACTTTTCCGACTGCACATATCAAATGTGCAAAGTGGAGACGATGCTGACTACACATGTGAGGCAATTAATTCCCTCGGATTCGTCCACACCTCAGGTTATCTGAAAATTGGATCACCACCAATCATAAACAGATGTCCCAACGAACTTTACTTACCCGAAGGTGACAATACAAAGATAAAGGTATACTACTCCGGAGACCAGCCATTGACTGTGATACTAAGGAAAAACAATGAAGTTATATCCGATAGTAATGATGAAACACATGTTAAATTAAACATATTTGACGATTATGTAGCGATTTGTATTCGTGACATTGTCAAAAGTGATTCTGGCAAATATCAAATAGAATTCACGAATGATTCTGGTAGTGCCATCGGGCAGTTTGATGTATATGTTACTGGGTTGCCTACAGCGCCAACAGGACCTCTGGGAATCTCTTTTATTAACAAAAACTCCTGTACTTTAGGTTGGCGTCTGCCTTCCTATGATGGTGGTCTTAAAATAACCCATTACGTGGTCGAACGGAAGGATGTGAAATCACCGCACTGGATAACGGTTTCTAGCACCTGCAAAGATACTACTTTTAGCGTACAAGGTCTTATCGAGAACCAAGAATATATTTTCCGTGTCATGGCTGTAAATGAAAACGGAATGGGTCCACCACTAGAGGGTTTGAACCCCATCAGAGCTAAGGCCCCACTTGACCCCCCATCGCCACCAGGCATTCCTCAGATAACAGAAATTGGAGGAGATTTTGTGCATTTGGAATGGAGCAAACCGGAATCGGATGGCGGTGCTCACATTCAAGGATATTGGATCGATAAACAAGAAGTAGGCAGCAACACATGGCAGCGTGTCAACGTTACCATCTGTGCAGCCAATCAAATAAACTGCGTCAATCTGATTGAAGGTCGGCAGTACGAGTTCCGAATCTTTGCTCAGAATGTAGCAGGCATATCAAAGGAATCATCCGCTTCTCAAGTGGTCAAGATAATAGATCCAAAGGGTGCTTCGCCTCCATTGATTGTGAAGCCGCTAAGCGATGCCAATTGTATTCAAAATCACAACGCCCAATTCACATGCACAATAAGTGGTGTTCCTAAGCCAACCGTCACCTGGTATAAGGGGGCTCGTGAAATCAGTAATGGCGCACGGTATCACATGTACTCAGAAGGCGAGAATCACTTCCTAAATATCAACGACATATTTGGAGAAGATGCTGATGAGTATGTCTGTCGCGCAGTGAACAAAGCTGGAGCGAAGTCTACACGAGCAGCATTGGCCATTATGAGTAAGTATATCTCAAAACAAATTAATCTTTCCGTTTTTGTAAATTAATTAATTAATTTTAATAAACGTCTTAGCTGCTCCAAAATTAAATGTTCCCCCACGATTCAGAGACACGGCATACTTTGATAAAGGTGAAAATGTTGTAATTAAAATTCCCTTCACTGGCTTCCCAAAACCTCGTATACACTGGGTTAGGGAAGGTGAGAATATAGAGTGTGGTGGTCATTACACTGTAGAGACTAAGGAAAGACATGCTGTTCTTATAATTCGTGATGGATCACGCATGGACTCTGGACCTTATAGGATAGCAGCTGAAAACGAACTCGGTTCGGATACAGCAATTATACAAGTGCAAATTAGTGATCGTCCAGATCCGCCGCGGTTCCCATTAATTGAAAGTATTGGTAGTGATTCTTTATCCCTTAGTTGGAAAGCACCTGTCTGGGACGGTGGTAGCGACATAACGAACTACTACATAGAGCGTCGTGAACATCCATTATCTTCGTGGATACGGGTTGGAAATACTCGATTTACGTCTATAGCAGTATGTGGTTTGACTTCAGGGAAAGAGTATGATTTCCGCATATCAGCCGATAATGTCTACGGGCGTTCTGAACCTTCTGAAACTAGCACTCTGATAAAGACCAAAGAGTCTACTAAAAAGAAACCGGTAGAACGTAAATGGCAAATCGATACAAATGGCAGGAAAGTGCGCGGTACGGCAGATGGACCAATTAAAGACTACGATTCATATGTGTTTGACATTTACTCTAAGTTCGTCCCACAACCAGTTGAAATATCCCAGCAAAGTGTTTACGATAAGTATGATATCCTTGAGGAAATCGGTACTGGTGCATTTGGTGTTGTGCACCGATGTCGCGAAAGAAGCACTGGAAATATTTTTGCGGCTAAGTTTATTCCAGTGTCACATTCAATCGAAAAGGACCTAATTCGCCGTGAAATAGATGTAATGAATCAACTGCATCATCAAAAGCTTATCAATTTGCATGATGCTTTCGAGGACGATGATGAGATGGTTCTTATACTGGAATTGTAAGCTAAATGTACAAATTTTTTTTATAATTTAATTTTTAATATTTACTTATCGTAGCTTATCTGGTGGTGAACTTTTTGAACGCATTACTGCTGAAAATTACATAATGTCGGAAGCTGAAGTTATAAACTATATGAGGCAAATTTGCGAGGGCATCAGGCATATGCACGAGAAAAATATTATTCACTTGGATATTAAGCCGGAAAATATTATGTGCCAAACTCGTTCCAGCACAAATGTCAAGCTTATCGATTTTGGATTAGCAACTAGGTTGGATCCAAATGAAGTTGTCAAAATTACAACAGGAACTGCTGAGTTCGCTGCACCGGAGATTGTTAACAGGGAGCCCGTCGGTTTCTATACTGATATGTGGGCTACTGGAGTACTCGCTTATGTTCTGTAAGTTGTTATATAAGACAATAATGTGATATTTTAAATAACCAAGTCTTACTCGTATAATCGACTTTCTAAAATATCTGCAGCACTTTAAAATAGTAAATTCTGTATAATTTCATCATTCTTAATATCCCGGTACTCTTAGATTTAAAGGGTATAATGTATCCCTTAACTTATATAAAGTCCACGAGTAGAAGAATAACATATAAAAAATTCAAAAAAATCAACGCCATACTTCAAACCACATAATTTCCAATCCTATATTTAATTTTAGATTAAGCGGGCTATCACCATTTGCTGGCGACAACGACGTTCAAACTCTTAAAAATGTCAAGTCTTGCGATTGGGATTTTGATGTAGAATCATTTAAAAACATATCTGAAGAGGCTAAAGATTTTATAAGAAAATTGCTTGTTGCAAACAAAGAAAAGCGCATGACTGCACACGAATGTCTTCTGCATCCTTGGCTTACAGGAGATCATAAGGGTATAACACAGACAATTAATCGTGATCGTTATCTTGCTTATCGGGAGAAATTAAGGAAGAAATATGAAGACTTCGAGAGGTACCTGTTGCCCATAGGACGTCTATCAGAATATTCATCACTACGAAAGTTGCTTATGGAGAAGTATAAGATTCACGATGCCGTTTTTGATCGCCGTCAAGCAGCGCCACGCTTTGTAATTAGACCATCATCCCAATTTTGTTATGAGGGTCAAAGCGTGAAGTTCTACTGCCGATGCATTGCAATCGCAACACCTACTCTAACTTGGTCTCATAATAATATTGAACTACGGCAGAGTGTGAAGTTTATGAAACGGTATACGGGGGATGACTATTACTTTATCATCAATCGAGTAAAGTTAGATGACCGAGGAGAATATATTATTCGTGCAGAAAATCACTATGGCTCCAGAGAAGAAGTCGTTTTCCTGAATGTTCAGCCCTTACCAAAAGAACAGCCTAGGTATCGAACGGAATCAACTCCGGTTCGCAGACGTGAACCTTTGCCGTACACCTTCTGGCAGGAAGAGTCAGAGACGGCACCCAGTTTTACATTCCTTTTGCGGCCACGCGTTATGCAGGCCCGCGATACATGCAAGCTGCTTTGTTGTTTAAGTGGCAAGCCAGTGCCAACTGTTAAGTGGTATAAGGACGGTCGAGAACTTAGTAAATACGAGTATGCAATGACGCATTCTGATGGTGTTGTCACTATGGAAATAATTGACTGCAAGCCATCCGATTCAGGAAAATACAGCTGTAAGGCATTAAACTGTCACGGAACAGACGAAACAGAGTGTGTCGTTATTGTTGAAGGTAAACTTAAAAAACAAACAACTATCTTTAAGATCTCATATTTTTAAACATTAAAAAAAGTTACGCAAAGGGATAAATTAAAATTTAAAAGATATCAGACTATTAACTTTTTTGTTTATCTGTATATTATATCGATATGTTTATATTTTAGCACGGCTCTTAATGGTCAACATGGTTTTAGGGAACGCTGACCTACTGGTATAAATGCTTTCGTTATTCACTACATACTATTAGATATTATAGACAAAAAAGAGTACATACTCTTTTTTATAGAAATTGTATTAACCGGTTAATTTAAATTAAATATCTGGGTATTCTTTAACATTTACCATCCTGAAGAGAGAAATTAAATATTAATATCTATTTCTACATAAGATGAATGCCACACCTATAACACAAATAAAGTGTCATATAACTTTTAAGTCTAGTATTAATAATTTTGATTCAAGTTTTAAAGAGGGGTATCCTATTTTACTCACAATTTTTGGGCATGTAAGGGCAGGAACAACATAACCTAATTTTTATACATTGTGAACATTCATAAAGGATTTTATTTTAATGCATTCTTTCTATTTGTTGTACTACATTTTAATTCCACTTTTCCCAGGAGAATGGGTTACGCCTGAGCAGGCTCAACTTGCCCACAATTTTCTTTATTCAGGAGGTAAATAATATAAATACAATAAAATAAAAAATATAAATACTTTTTTAATTTAAGCATGCTCTTAGTACTTAAACTGAAGGCATTTTGAATTTAAATCTCACTTAAAAAAAGTGAATTTATAAAAACTTAAAAATGGACTAAAAAACAAGATTGCTTGTTTTTATTGTTAATTACTAAATATGTCTAAATAATTTAATTTATACCAAAAATAAAAAGCCTTTACGACATACATGAGAATTTATTTGGAGCTTTGTGAGAAAAATGTGCATATAAATAAATATCTGACTTATAAATTATTTTTTATAATAGAATATAATATTGTGTTTTATATTACAATCAAAAAAAAATTTTTTTACAGTATTTTTTGCATGGTAATGGCGATATTTATAATAACTTTTTAAAAATCTAGCACGACTATACATTACTTATTTCAAGCATATGCATAGCATATGAGACATCAGTTATATAAATACAACCATGCTCGATTAAAAACAATTACATATTTGAATAAAGACAAATGTATCAATGACATTTTTTTAAATATATACATATATTTGAACGGCATTGTTTCTATTTCCTAAAACAGATAGAAAATACATAGAACAGCCAATGAAGCCTGCTCCTACCCCAATAGTTACATCCCGCCAGTTCGCCCCACTTTCATCGCAGGGTACTTCGAAGTCTAGTGTAAGTTCTCAAAATTACATATCGTATCATCACCTATTAATTGCCAATTATAGAGCAATAATACAACAGGGACCATCACAAGTTCGTCAGGCACGCAAAATAGCATTTCAAACAAAAAGAAGTATGCGTCTAATAGCTTACAGGCGCCTGGAAGCCCATCTAGATCACGAAGTGCAACTAAAGAGCTTATACGTACGTACAGACATATTGATTTAACATTTATGTATGGTATTTACTAGCTTCTTATACCAAATTGAATTTAGTTCCACCAGATGATTCACTAATGTGCAAGCCGGAGTTCACAAAACCACTTCACGATCTAACTATTCGCGATGGGGACCAGTTAATACTAATCTGTCATGTAAAAGGAGACCCAGAACCCCAAATCACTTGGTCAAAGAATGGGAAGTCTATATCGTCTTCTGATATCATGGACTTAAAGTATAAAAATGGTATTGCAACTCTAACCATCCACGAAGTTTTTCCGGAAGACGAGGGAGTTTTTACTTGTACGGCCACAAATTCTATTTGTGCTGTGGAAACAAAATGCAAACTAACAATAATGCGTAAGTACTTGCGATTAAAGATTAACTATTATATAATATTATAATATATGCATATGTACACATACATACGAACACATAACAGTTCCCAATATTTCATAAATGTGTTCACACATTTTATAAAACGTTCAATCTAAAAGCAATCCATATTTCCACTAACAAATGGGAAATATTTCTTACATACATACATATTATATTGCTCACTCTCCTATTTGAAAAAACATTTTTTAATTTTCTTAAAAATAAATATTTTACTTTTTCTTATTTAACTTAACTTATGATTTTAGCGCTGGATAAGAGCTCGCCGAAACGAAAAATGATTGCCGGCGATAAAGCGCCAAAAATAGTCAGTCACTTGGAGTCTAGACTCGTGAAAGATGGAGATGCAGTTACTTTGGCTTGCCGCATTATTGGAGCTGAAAACTTCGATGTGGTTTGGCTGCACAATAACAAAGAGATAAAGCCAAGCAAGGACTTTCAATACACAAACGAAGCCAACATATATCGCTTGCAAATTGCCGAGATTTTCCCTGAAGATAGCGGCACCTACACCTGCGAGGCTTTTAATGATGTAGGCGAATCGTTTAGTACCTGCACAATAAATGTAAATGTCCCCGGAGACGAGCCCAAACATCCATCTTTTGCCAAATTTCCCATATCAGTTTCAATACTTGAAGGAGAAAGTACCACGTTTACTTGCGAAATAGATTCGGAACTCCTTAATTTAGTTTGGGTGAAAGACGGGAAGCCTGTTGACGAAACTCTTTCACGATACTCATTTACGAAGGATGAAAACCGATACGCTTTTACAGTTGCGAAATGTAACATGGACGACGTTGGTCAATACCAGGTCAAAGCTGTTGCCAAAAAGGGCGAAAGTACATGTGCATTCTCAATGAACGTTCACAACGCCGAATGTTAAGACACATTCGGAAGATTTTATACATCGTTAAACCAACCATTAAAACCTGCATATATATTATATACATATGTATTAAAAGTAAGCCAAAAGTCGCTTTCATCATTCAAACATATAAAAATGTACATAGACGTTTAAGTGTATAAATATATGTAAAGTTTATGCATTTTAACGATATCGTCCAAAAACCTGCAATATCAGATATTAACGTGCTCATACATAAATCGCGCATTATATGTAGCATTACTATTAAACGAAAAATAATTTCTAGGGAAATTTAATGTAATTAACTACCTATACATTTTTATATGTGGCATCAACTCATAGATACTGATCACTATATAGAGGTCTCAGCTACTTGGGTGACTACTGGCATCCTCAAAAAAGATCTATTACACATTAGTTATTCAAGTAGTTGAAACTTAATTCTCGAAAATAGTTCTGCATAACTTACGAAATTTAAAGACAAATGGCGAAATTGACATAAAAATAAATACATTTTTTAAATAAAAATGTTTAGAGTATTTGTTGGGGGACTGCAATCAAAATAAATATAAAAGGGCTGCATGATTAACTACAGATCGCTGCTCAAAAGTAAAGGAATTCGTACACCTGACTATTTTGCGATGAACATCATATATCAGCGCAAAACTGACGGTCTCTTCCAGGAAGTTACACACAGAAAAAATCTTCTCCAACTGAAGAAAACTAATTGGCAAAGATGAATACCTTATTTTCGTTTTGGAAAGGCTTAAGTTACTATTTTCTAGGTGAAAACAGTTTTAAGGCGGCAAGAGTTATAATTCAACAAAATTTACATTTAGCATAAACTAGATAGGTTTAATATCCCGTGTATATTTATTTTCAAGATTTTATATCATTTTGTTTTCTATGTGTTTAATTTTCAAACTTTATATTTAAGTTGCAGGTAGTTGAGATAGCGGAACAAATTGATGACTAAAGTTTTAAATGAGCAAAATTGTGCAAGATATGTATGTTTAGTTTCGAGATTTAATTTTCTTTACTTTATTATACCCGTTACTCGTAGAGCAAAATTTGACCTTTGGTCTATGATTTACTAAAGATTTTTAAATCGGAACATTATTTCTCTATTTATGAAGAAATATGGGTTATAAGGCCTCACATGAACAGTGACGTTACCATCAGTAACTTAACATACTTTTTCTAAAAAAAAAAAGGTGGCGTTTTGTGTATTTCCACTAGCAAAATTTATATTTTAAAATTATATAAAACAGTAACGGGTATCTTATAGTCGCGGCTCTCGACTTTAGCGTTTCTTCTTGTTTTAATGCTTAATACTTATGGGTAATTGTTACCAGCAGTTACAGAACAAACCGCTTCTAGTAAACCGGTTTCCAGTGGATATAACGGATATAACAACACAACCCTACATATTTTTAATATTAAGTATGTATGTATATTATGATGATTTGATTAACTTGGCCGAGACATGATTGGGTAACAAAGTAAGATCTATCTATTATGTTGCTTCCAATCCAAGAATTTTTCAAATATGTTTTTCGCTATGCACTCCTACATTTCCTTCTTTTTACTTGGCAACGGTATCACCGTAAGTGAAATGTTGAATTAATTCAAGCGAAAATATTAATGGCTCATTGTAGTAAGATTTTAATTGAAGGACTTGATGCCATTCCTTAAATTGCTGAATCTTGTTTAAGTTCTTATCAGCTGATGTGGTATAGGCAATGCTTAAAGATGATCGAGTCCCAGTAATCTCAGCGCCAAGTAATGGCATTTTAATCGTTGACTCCGTAGATTTGGTGGATTTTCGACTCATATTACTGAATTCATTGGATTCGTCTAAATCTAAATTGCGATTATCAGAACATCAGATTTATTCCCAGGTGATATTATGGGCGGGGATTTCTTATCAGACTTTCGGAAAATTTAAAATGAAAAGATTTCATCATTCTTTTATTTCGAAAATCATAGCGCCTATCGACCGTCTCAGGTTTTTCATCTTGATCATCATTATTGCTATCACTTAATGACGCCTAAAATGAATCTTCCTCTCTTTCAAATTTGACTCCAGAAATCCTTGCTATGGAACTTGTTTCAGTCTCAATTTGTAAACTGTATGTGTCGAAAATGGATCGTTTCTTTACTTCTCCTCCTTCATACTCCACGGAGGTATTTTCTACATCGCTATCGTCGTTAAAACTTGAGTTGCTACTACTACTATTATTAAGTATTCTTTCATTTATTTCTGCAGCGTCCGTTCTGCACAATTCGTGGTGAAAAAAAGTTTATTGTGAAGTTTAATGTCTAAGAGGCAATTTAACTATAAGTGATAGAATGTTCGGATTAAGCATGTAGGTTTTTATGAAGCTCCCAATGCGAATTGTTTTTTTCCGATTAAGCCACTCTAACGCCCAAAAAAAACAAAAATGCGAAAATCTCGGGAACTATAAAAGCTAGAAAGTTAGGCTTAAGAACACTGCCACGCCCACTCTAACGCCCACAAACCGCGGAAAACCGTGGCGTCTATCTATCGAATTACCAAAGATTTTTTAAATCGGAACAAAATTTCGCTATTTATGAAGAAATTTCTCAACATGCTTTTTCTGGCAATAGGTGCTGCTGTGTAAAATTCTACTAGCAAAATGAATATTTTAAAATTGCGTAAAACAGTAACGGATATCTTATAGTCGCGGCCCTCGACTATAGCGTTTATTTTTATGTTGATATCACATTTATTTTCATTAGTGGAATTTATGATAATTTTCCAGATAATATTGTATGTAATGTATAAAAACTGAAGAAATTGAATTCGCTGAATTATTTTTGCTTGGTGTTTTTTTTATTGTCATACAATACGATTGTATCACCTATGGTGATGTGTTGGGTAGAAAAGATGGGTTATGGTCCGTGGAAAAAACTGTAAGACAAGAAAGTTTTGGATAAAAATGTAGTAAATAAAACCAATTACAAACTTAGTGTATGTATACCTAGTTTATTTACAATTATTATACATTATTTTGTGTAACTTAAATTATTTGTTGAAAAATGTTGAAGTAAAAAATAAAAATTTTTAACAATAAAATGTAACAAAAATAATATTGCAAAAGCCGTTTTTCATAGACTTTTATATTTATTTTAATTTTGGCAAACGTACAATTAACCAACAGCGCATTGACCTCATTAAAGCTGACTAATCATACGAAAAACATGTTATTAGTTGATGAAAATTTTTCAAATTTGTTAGTGTGCTATACGGTCCTACATTTTCTTCTTTTTGTTTTGAAACGTTGAATTCATTCAAGCAAAACGTAAGGCAGAACTATTAATGGCTCGTTGTTATAAGATTTTAATTGAAGAACTTGATGCCATTCCTTAAATTGCTGAATCTTGTTTATGTTTTTTTCAGTTGATGTGGTAGAGGCAATGCTTAAAGATGATCGAATCCCAGTACGGTACTCAGCGCCAAGTAATGGCATTTTAATCGTTGACTCCGTAGACTCGATGGATTTTCGACTTATATTACTGAATTCATTGGATTCGTCTAAATCTAAATTGTGATTATCAGAACATCTATCAGATTTATTTCCGGGTGACATTATGGTCGGGGATGATTTAGTGCCAATTGATGCCGTCTTAGGTTTTCTTATCAGACTTTCAGAAAATATAGAATTAAAAGATTTCAGCATTCTGTTGTTATGAAAATCATCGCGCTTATCGACCGTCTCAGGTTTTTCATCTTGATCATCATTATCGCTATCACTTAATGACGTTAAAAATGAATCTTCCTCGCTTTCAAATTTGACCTCAGAAATCCTTGCTATGGAACTTGTTTCAGTCTCAATTTGTAAATTGTATGTGTCGAAAATGGATCGTTTCTTTACTTCTCCTCCTTCATCCTCCACGGAGGTATTTTCTACTTCGCTATCCTCGTCAAAACTTGAGTTGCTACTACTACTATAATTTAGTATTCTTTCATTTATTCCTGCAGCGTCCGTTCTGCACAATTCGTGGTGAAAAAAAAGTTTATTGTGAAGTTTAATGTCTGAGGGGCAATCTGTTGCCTTTGTTTTTAAATGGTACAAATGTTTTACTCCTAAATCAACAGTCTTGCTATGATCCTTATCTTGTTTTCCATACGTACGCCGATCACGGGTATGTCTAGACAGAGAGTGAATTCTGCATGTTTTTGTTACTAAAGTGTTTTTCGTCAGTGGAATTTCAGCTGTTTTTGGTGATTTTGTTATATCTTCCAAATAAAACTGGGTGTTGGATTTTGATACATCTGATGTAGTATTTGGTGAAACTTCTGTAATTGAATTTGCTGGAGAATTAATTTTGCTTGGCGTTTTCTTTATTGTCAATACAATATGATTACTGCAAGCTCCGCCGTCACCTATTGGGCGTTGAACTATAGCATACTCTTCGTTATTACAGTTATCGAATTCATTTTCATTATCATTATACGCATCATTGTCACTATTACTGCTGCTATTATTAAAACTTAGATTTGAAACGGATCCATTTAAAGACTTCTTAACCAGCGTTTCTTCCAAATGAAATTCACCACGTTCATGTCTAATCTTTTTCGTAGAATTCCGTAAATGTTGTTTTTTTTCTGAAGTTATCTCTGATTTTCTACCAATTGAACGAGTCCTTTTTCTTCTCGGCTTTTCATTCATGGAGTGATGAGGTTCTGTTAAACGGGAATATCTACTAATGTCAGAACTGTTACATCTAAAAGTACTGTTAAGTTGAAAAGGGTGTTCACTGCTTTGATGGCTTATATCAGCATCCCCAAAATGCACGTCATCAATAGCCAGTTTTAATAAATTATAACTAAAATCATTAGCAGAGAAGTCTAATGATTGAGATGAGGATGCTTTTTTTACGTTGGAATCGACCTGCAGTGGCTCATGGTTTTCATTACCCCTTTTTATATCAGAAAATGCAACATCAATATTAACGTTTAGCGGACTCGGACTATTATATTTGTAGTCTATATTGTTCTTGGACGCTTCTAAACGCTTCGAAATTATATGAGGAGCAGTCGATGAGTTAAGCCACTTAACCCTTTGCTTAGCTCGTCGACAAGTCGGTAAGCATTTGGCAACTCCAAGAAACGGGGTCATGAGAGATTTAAATTTTTTTGCCTTAAAAGGTTTTAATAGTTTTAAAGAACTTAGATCTTTTTTTATTCGATCTGCTGTTAGAAGTCCATATTTAGGAACAACATCAGCTCCATTGGTCACTGTGTATGATTCCAAAGTATGTAGAATATCATTTTCAGGTTGAAAGCTAGGATACGTGTCCACACTATCCCAATTTCCGTTTATATTTGGTATGTAGAAATTATGCAATGCATTTATGTGAAAACGGGTCACATTGTTTGTTTGTATATAAAACCTTTGTTTAGCTATGCAATCGGGATCTTCTTGAACAGTGAAAATTGGTAAAACTGCATTTTGAATTTCACTGATATCTCTTTCTTGACCTTTACAGTCAATTTGAGGATCACAAACAAAATTTATCAATTTGATGGGAACACTTTGTGTAGATCCATTAAAAGATACGTTATTAGTATCTGTTTTCTTTTTTTTATCCTCCAATTTAGCTAATGGCTTTCGTACTTCATCCAAAATAGAGCACAAAGGATCTTCGTTATCATCATAATCTAGATCAAATATGGACTTAACTGGTTTTGGATAAATGTCACCTACTTCACCATTATCAGAACGTTCCAAAGCAAGAAATTGTTCTTCATTCTTGTGGTGAGAAATTTTCTCTTTATAATTTAAATCAGACTTTAGATCGTTCGTATTAGTGTCCACAGTGGAATTATCGGACTCCCCTAATGCAGTTTGAACTTCCTCAATAACTATGCACGTACATGGTACAATTTGAGCCTGATACATTCTCTCAATATCAATATCACTCGGTGGGCTGTTTAGGCTGTGAATTAGATGCATTAATTGAGTGGTGACATCATTAAAAGTTTTCGGCGCCAAGTTTTCTAAATTCATTGCTAAATGTATGTTTTGAACAGAATTGCTATTGCTATCAAATGAATGGCACTCCTTAATTTCTTGTGATTTATTACTATCGCGCGATGGTTCCGAAGTGGCGGTATCACTGTCCGTATTTGCAAGATCTGCAAAACAAAATATGTTTTATGAGTTTTACATACAAGTCAATTTATATATATTTTTAATGTGTAAATATTAGTACAGTGTGATTAATTAATAAGTGAAAAAACATTAAACAAACACGATGAAACCCTATTGTCATGTTTTTCAGATATCAAATAGCTAATACTGTTTTAAGCAATTTCGCCGTGAACATATGTGGCTCGACCCATCGCATGTTTAACTTTAACGCCAACTTTCTAGCTCTTATAGGTTCTGAAAATTTAGTTTTTCATAGTTATGACATTGAAGCTTACTTTACAATGTCACTTACAATCATTACAGCTGCTTACAAAAAACAGCACAGAAGAGATGTTTAGAAATAAGTATGAATTTCGAAATATAAATGTTAAATAAGAATCTTTGTACAAGATTATACTTTATCAGGCTTTATCTAGTACTTACCTATTTTGCTGGCAAAAGTATCATTCCCTGAATAAGATTCCAAAATATGTGCAGAATGTATTGATGTATCTGAAAGCATTCAGATAAATAATTATTTCGTAAAAATAGATCTATTACAAAAACTAACCTGAACAAGACGACGTTGGTCTTGGAAAAATAGCACGCGAAGTCAATTCCCGATTTGTTGACGAATTAGAAAGATTACTAGTTGACGATTGCATCGAAGTACTCAATTTTCTGCCCTGAATTTCATTGAAGAGTTCTTTCGTAGTCTTCACCTTCTTAACAGTTGATCCACCAAAAAATATTTGTTGAGACAGGCTAGATGACTCCTTAGCAATCAGAGCGTCTACACCTTTTGATCCTTTTTTTCTTCCACGCCTTTTTGGCATTTGGGACTGTGAAGCGCTTTCCAAATACCCAGTCCTACTATTTTGATCAAAGCCTATTCCAGCAGTAGGCGTAGGCATCTGAATTGCATCAAACACATTTTCAGGTTTCCTAACCTCTTCGACAGTTGATGGAGACAGACGGCTACATGATGCACTTGAGTCATAAGCAGTAGATTCAACCATTTTTTGTTTCCCCGAATCTTTGTTTTTTTCAGCCGAAAAGCTGAAATTGCTACGGCTCGAAGCATCCATTTGATTAACAGACTTAAATCGGCCAGTAAATGTCAACTCGCTTGACCCTAATCGAGTTTTTTGCTGCGAAGTAGCCATTGAAGCATCCCCAGATAAAATTGAGCTCATAGAACTGTTCGATAGAGAAAAAATGTCTGCAATATGGTGTAAAAAATAAAATGTATGAATTACAATATTTGAATCTAAGTGTTCTAATAAACCTGCTCTTTACAAAGAATTTCAAAATTATAATTGTATACGTTCATATCAACAAATTTGTAAGCCTTTTTTTTTTGCTATATTTTGACTCTTTTCTATTATAAGGACTTTCTACATTTTTCTCTTCTGACTAATATTAAATGTTGTCAAAAAAGATCTTGCGGTATTTTCGCTAGTTAGCGCTGAAAGCGCGTAGTTCTTGTTTTATTCGTCGCATCAGGTCATACTATATACTATACTATACTTTTTGGAAAGCTCATTTCACGCGCTAACACGTGTTTGATTGATTGTCTTTTCTTTTAAGTCGTTCGTGAGTTATAGCGTCGCAATCATGGAGCAAAATAAAGAGAAAATATGGCATATTTTACAGTACTGCTACGATAAAGGCAAAAATGCATCTCAAGCCGCCAATAAAATTTGTACAGTTTATGGACCCGATACTGTTTCCGTTTCCACCGCACAACGATGGTATGAACATTTACGTTCTGGTGTAGAGGTGGTCGAAGATGTGCCACGCTCCGAGTTTTTTGCCAATAGGAAAGCGAGCTTCTATGAGAGGGGCATTATGAAGTTGGCATCTCGTTGGGAACGCGTCATCAAACAAAACGGCGCATATTTGACTTGAATCATTATTGGAACCAATTTTATACCGCAAGACTTTTTTGACAACCTAATATTTTATAATTTTTCGATTAGATTTTCGATTATTAGAAAACTAATTAAATAAATGTTCATTTTAAAAAACTAATAACAAAAAAAGTAGATCATACCTGAATCACAAATTCTCAAGGTTTGTGTGACTAGCCCCTCTCTATCTTTGCATTTTTTCTCCTTTTTTACTTTTTTCTGTCGAGGGCTTGGCGTAGTTGGAATTGAAAGGGGTACAGGAACACTTAAGTTTGTTTTTCTTCTTTTCGACGTACAATTGTTGTCGTTCTCATCGGAATCGGACACAATGTCAATAACAACTGAAGCATCGTGTATCTTTTCAGTGCTGACACTAAACATTGAATTCGATGAGTGTTCAATGATGATAGGCTTTTGATTGTGAAGTGAATTTATAGAGTTATTTTCATCGCGATCGTACTCATTCATATGGTTCACAAAATTAAAAATGTTCGTATGAAGCTGAGTATGCAGACCCAAAGGCGGAGGTTCAGAAGTGTCGACATTTGAATGCATTTCCATTTGCTGGGAAGTGGACGATTGAGATAACGACAAATGGGCAACTGACTCGGCCATGTGGCTGACTGGTGGCATTGTAGCAGACTTTACAAAATCGGATGCTGGCTGTGAAGGCTGGGAAGCAGATTTAATGGAATGTGATACAATATCAGTGGCCATTTGCTGAATTCCCACCATTTCCCGCCACTTCTTTAACAATGACTTGGCACGTCGAGCCAGGTGCTCATTTTTAGTCCTTCTTCTAAGTTGATTTATATACTTTGCAAGTCTGGTGGCCTCCAGCTGTTCCTTGGTGATTGTTGTACCTTCCAGTGCAGATATAACAGAGAGCACAGCATCCATATTAACCACCTGAAGATATCGGACATAGATAGATTCATTTTTTTGTAACGGTAACACAATTTCTTACATCGTAGTTTTGATCAAGTGCCTGTGATAGATGATTGGTAAGTTGCTGTATTTGGTTTTGGTTCATTTATATCTTCCGAATGCAAAGCCAGATCCAAAAGTAGAAATGTAGAGCTTCGTTTAACATGCAAAAAAAAAGTTGGAAGTTGTTAAACAAATATAGTAATTGTGGATATATCAGGACAATTTTAATATTTTATTTCTTAAAACAGTAATATTTCTAATAAAATATGGTTCCTGGAGACCCAAGTACCGTAATTAATAATATAATGCAATGTCTATAAAGATTCACATTAACCACTCTAAATGCTTACAAATTATACGTGGGCTCACAATTGAATTGTTCAATTTATGCTTTCTCAACACAATTCCTGTAACGCGGATGTGTATATACTTGTCACAAAATAATTAATTTAATAACTTATCATCGATTCTTCGACTCCATTACACTTCGCCATTTTCACCTTTGACAGTTCCACTTCGAGATGGGAAAAAAACGATGTTCATCGATAAATTTTCACGTGTGTTCACATATAGAGGCATGTTCAGACGTAGCCGAGAGTGAATGGGTGAAATACCAAGTGAGAATATGCTATAGCTCTGCATCATGCGTTATATTCAACATAACAACGTACATACGTATATATTAAGAAAATTAGGTTAACCGTATAATTTTTTTTTTGCGGAAGTTTAAAAAAATAATCTCCAATAGGGAATAGTATTATTTATGTAGTACGGTTTAATATGTTCTATACATAAATAAGTAGAAGAAAGCGTTTCCTGTTCCATTAAAAATATACATGGCTATATGTGTGTTATGATTAGTAGATTGTGTATTTTTGCTTTACTTTTATTTGCTAGTTGAACATAAGATTCCGTCGTTACAATTTTTACTGGCAAGCCTTTAGAAAGTTTCGCTTTATTTCAAAATACCACGTAGGTTTTTTAATTACTTTTTTTCTGCAGCTTGGTTTGCAAATGTGGCTTTGTTACGCTGCGTTAAAAAGTTCTGTACGATGTATTCCCATCCGGTTAGAAAAGTTTATAGAGACAACTCACAAGAGAGCTTTTGATCAAATTACCTGTTTGTATGATATGGAAAATCTGGTGACGCAGATTCTATTCCTGTCTATTTATATTACAGATATCAATGCAGTAAACAAAATTTTATGTTCGGTAAAATCTACTGTGTGTCCTGGATCTATATCTTAGCCAACATAATTTCAAAATATTACTAAACGCTTACAAACATTAATTTGTTTCCTTTTTTTTCAGATTCCTTTTTATATATTTTTTTAACTGTTATAGGATCCAGGAACTTAGGTGAACTGTAAGACTGTGCTGTCCAGTGTAATGGTATTTTAAGCTCCAGATACCTTTCAGAAATGTTATGTAAGGACTTTATGGAAGTAACAAAAAGAAAACAGGAAAGCTCTTTATTAAAATACCGACACTGTTAGGACAACGAAATTTAGGCATTTAAAATCGTTACATTCTTTGTAAATCAATCTTTATAAATATTACAAAAATGTATCGTTAGATATATTTAAAAATTGTTTGCTCCAGGCGTATGCCAGATGATAGATGACGATTGATTGCTACGTAAGGAATAGCGCCTAACAAAAATCCCAACCGTCATGTATGTATGTGATTATTTTATTACAATGCTGGAGGAGTATATATTTTCAATACTTCAAGCAACCAATCCAATTTCAAATAATTTTTATGAAATTCTTTGTATCTTGTACAATTTGTATACATTTGTATAACTTACCTTCTATTTTGTCGCATCTCAAGATTTAAATTAATACTTAAATGTAAATTCTAAAATTAAAAAATATGTATATCTTCTTTCTCTCTATTGGGATTTTTTCACATCTACGCTCTTGCTAATGTTAACTAATATTTGGTACAGCAGTTCGATTATGTTAAATTACGGTAGCAAGTTTAGACACAAGAATCTAGCCTAGATATTTTATTCACGAGTAACGGTTATTATAACAACATCAGTAAGTCCAGTCATAGTATTTGCCCTGATGTTAAGTAATTGGATTTCTATTGCCGAGGGGTGTGCAATATTTGAATTTTAATGCGTTCGTTCCTCACTGTTGTTGTCCTATCATTTTATGTACTGCGGTGATTGAAACGAAATTTAAAAATGTTTGGCGACCCATAGATAACAACCACAACGAATTGCAGTACACTTATAAAAATAACAATGCGCGTAACAATCACATGCTTGGTACAGTTGGCCACTTTTTTACTGCCTCTAGCCCAAAATGGTTTAATAACAAAGGCATTTTACATATTTACCCATGGAAAAAAGGGTTACAAATTATGTAATTAAATCTAAATGTATGAAAAATGACTAATTTCAACGGTAAGTTACTTTTTCTCTTCAACGATAAGTTTACATATTTGCAAAAGTTGTGACTCGCTTCAGATAGGTTTCGGATTCGTTACCTACTTTTTAAAATATTTTAATAGAATAATAATTAAACCCATTTTTTGTAATACTAATAAGTATTTACAAAAAAATAATAAAGGTCAAACAAACCATAAACATTAGTTATGCATGCTTATATGAACTGTCTTATCCCCAAAAATGTGTCATAATATAACCAATTTAGTCATATTATGTAATGCTCCATCGCTAAGTCTTTGATACACAATTTTTTTAAAATAATTTTTGAATTTTTATTTGACAAGATTGCATGTTAAAGTCAAGACTTGATTACGTTGACGGAAAATTATATTTTGACTGATTGTACATTTCGATATACCGTATTATTCACATATAATTTTTTTAAATTTACACCAGCATGATAAAAAATTAGCTTATTGCCGGAATAGGAATACTATCAAGTTATTATAACATCGTAATATGTTTACTAAGTATGCACACAAGTCCTTCTATATATTTAACTTGAAAATCTATGACTATGTAAATATGTATGGGTGTGTATGTACTTATCTATGTAAAGTATGTCAAGAAACTTGTGTCACAATGAATTTAAATTAAATTTTTTACTTTTCATGCAAAAAACATCTTGTTAAATGTAAAGAAGGTGCTTGATTAATAAGTGAAAAAACATAAACAAAACATTGCAATGACAGCGAAAAAAGACGAAAACTTAAGTTTACACAAGTTTGGCACTGTCAAGATACTGTTTACACACTCCTGTTTATTGATTCCGTTTTGCTCTTCTGGAGAAAACGATCATTCAATAAGAGTTTGCTATATATTATTTCGAGCATTTAATTTGTGCCGTTGGATACCCTGGGACCTTTTTTATATAAAACAAGGGTACATCCTTAGAGTTCAAGTCAAAGATTCGCGTCAATATTCCAGGTATCTTTGCCAACCTTCACTTCGCGGTTAGCTGAAAACAAAAACATTTCAGCTCTGAAACAGATTAAAAAAAAGACGAAGAATTATTTAATTAATTTTGTATAATAATAATAAGAGGAATGCTAAAGCCATTGCTACATAAAGTATCGTGTTTCTCAACACGAGCAAAACGGAATCAAAAACACAAGTGTGTTTTTTGACAAACTTAAGTTGTTGTTTTTTATTCGCTCCCATTGCACTGTTTTTGCACTTATTAATTAAGCATATTTTATATGATAACTACGTATCCTTTTTAATTTTACATTGTATTTTACATGTTAAGTAAAAAAATAGTTGAATTAGATGGAGTACAACGTTTTTTGACACACTGTATGTATTTGAGTGGCTTTTAAATAATCTACCTTCGAGTATTTGGACGCTTACAAATTTGACATTTACATATGTATGGATCTATTAAGCTTGTAAATTTTACAAATATTAAACGATACTAGCTAATTGTAATTTTACGTCTAAGCTGGGATATTTCTATAGCTAAAGCATTGGTGCGAAAATGGCACAAAAATTGCAACGTTCTCAAGACCAAATGGCTTGCGAACTATGGGTTCACAAATTATCTATACATGTGTATACGTGTAATGGCACTTGAACTGAAACTTAAGGCTAATTTAAACAGTGACTATCCAAGCCATATTTGTATTTACATAATTATAGCTAATTTTAGTGGTATTATCTCCCTTCTTTTGTCTGGTGAGATCTAGCACGTATGGCCAGAATTACTGATCTTCTGGTTTGGGTGGTGGTTATCGGAACTCTAATCGTCCTCGCGCTGAGTTGCCAACTCCACTTCATCTGAAGAAAATCCGGAGGGCGATAAGCTTTCTGGGGGATAAAAGAATTGCTGAGAGGCTGATGGCAAGGGGCCACAGTCATTGCCATGAACTTTAGCTGCTGCAGAGGCCATATCCTGCAAGTGGTAAACAGCTGCTGTAACTGCAGCCTGAGCATTGGGACCCTTTGGGCAAACGTCGGCACAGGCACTTCCCGACCCACCACTAACCCCTCCTGTGCGGCACCATAACTGTCTCATCTCAGCACGCCGATTACGCATCAAGACTTTGTATTCGGATATTCGCATCTTTTTGCCATCAACAATGCATGTGCGCTTGGGTCGAGGTCTATAACGGTAGTCCGGATGCTGTTCCATGTGAAGTTTCGAAAGTCTTGACTGTTCTTCGTAATACGGCTGCTTGTCGACATTAGACATTGCTTTCCAGCGGGCTCCCAAAATTTTGGATATGTTTGAATTATGCATATCCGGACAGGCCTTCAATATCTTCCTTCGCTCATCTTTAGCCCATACCATGAATGCATTCATGGGCCTTTTTATGTGCGGCTTGCTGTGCCCGTGACTATGGCCGTGTCCATGTCCATTGCCTTGCCTTAGCAGGTGTGATGATGGCGGAGGTATAGCGCCAAGTTGACCCGTTGTGATACTTTCGGAATCCAACGCAGCTGATCGTTCTGAATTTGTACCGCAACTGTTAACTGAGTCCCGGCTAATTCGCGTTGCCCGTGATACTGAAGAACTGACGACAGCTGAATTCCACACTCTCTCCTGGAAGGAAAAAGGAGTAAATTTAATACCGTTTATATTTAGGAAAGTAAATCCTACCCATCGAAAAATTTCAAGTACGATTTCTAAATCATTTGATTTCGGCCATTTTAAAACAATATCGTACAAAAGTAAGTGAAGTCTTGGTTTAAAAGTAAGGAAAAGCAAATAGTTCTTTGAGGAAAAGGGTATAGGTGATATTTGTTTGGAGGCGTAACCGTCATCAATTGGGTTTAAGTATTCACCCTATTCACCCTTTCTAAACTAAAAATATTTGTGAAATGGAGTTCCAGTTTGAACAATTTTTTTATCGATAGTATTGACAAAAAAATTATATTCAATACTAGCGCGTCCGCATCGCTTCGCTCGGCACGCTTGCCTTTCAATGAGAAAGTTTATATACGAAATAAGAGATTTTCGTTGCAATTTACAATCGAGCAGGTCATTTGCTGGTCGGTTTGGAGCAGGCATTCCCAGCTGCACCAGTGTCTTGTTAGCGATTGCCAAACATATGGCATAAACTAAAATCAATCCCTCGTTATACGAGGTGTAAATAAATAAAATAAATTTGACAATTTACATAAATTCCTACATTAACCTCATAAAACAAAAGCCTTAAAAAAATAAAAAAAAATTTAATTTAACTGTTTAAAAAAGGGCTGCCAGCTTAATTTCTACTCCGTTGCCACATACTCCCTCAGCTGTTAAGAGATAGAGCTGCTAACTTAATCAGGAGGAGCTCAAATAAAAAGAAGTGCGAGAAATTTTAATAACTGGAATAGTAAGGTAACCAGGGTGGTATTCCACCTTGATTTCCAAAATTAGTGAAAAAATCGGACTTACGGTACAAGGTCCGACATTAGACAGAAAGATATTTAAAAGTATCGAAACAACATTTCTGTTTTGATCAGCTGTAACACTTCGATTGAGATTCAACACTAACGGATGGGTTTAAATACATTTAGGGAAACATTTGAAAATCCTTAAAAAAGAATTAAATAAACTTTATCAAAGGTACTATACCTCTTAGGAATACGCGTAAACCAAAATGAGTTTTTAATGTTCTTTAATTTATTTCTCTGAATTAACTGTACATAACTACCTCTACCAACGCAGTACCGTGATAATTGCGAAATGAGCGATTACAAAAATAAAACAAATAAGAAATATTTGTAAAATATTGAAAAAATTACTTACATGACTGTTTAAATGGTTCGACTCTATATCGGCATATTGTTTATGCCCTTGCCAGCTAAGGGGTGGACTGGACACAACAGGAGTAAGGCATTCGTTGTGATCCCTTTGAGAAGAGCTGATCGGCGAAGAACTGGGTGATCCCTTTGGCTTGCTAAGATTAAGTGGAGCATCCATTTCCGAGTCTTGGGCTTCAGATAGGCTTGCCATGCTGTGATTGTCCGTTGGCGATGGTGAAAAATTCTTGGAACATTCAGCTGTTCGACCATGTGGTGATTGTGGAGGTGTGTTGTGGGTATAAGAGAGGATTGCATAAGGTGGGTTCTCGTTTTCTGGGGACTCCGGCCTTGACAAGCACGCCACTCCGTTCCCGCCTTTTCTTATTTCTCTTATCTCTACTAACGGTAGAGATGCGGAGGAATCCGCACTAGAAGGTTCATTACCACTGTTTGATAAAGCGAGTACCTTGTTGTTGTTAGAAAAAATGCTGCTGTTTTTATTATTATTGACAGCTGCAACCGCTGCAGCCGCCAGAGCGGCCTGAATGTGTGCAGCCGCCACAGCTGCAGAGGACCACATAGGTGCTAGGGCCATTTTGTGTGCGCTGGATGGCTCACTTTGAGGATGACTTTGGTGGGTGACAGTATGGAGACTCGTCTGGCTTGGAACAAGATGGAGCAGCTGTTGAGCTGGTATCGGGGGCTGAAGAAAGGCCGGAAGAAATGGCACGAGGCTTCCGGAAGTTACAGATGATGCATGCTGGTGATGATGCGGATTAGGAGTTGCAAACCGAGCTGACACGAATTGACTGCTCAGTTGATTATGCAACTCTTGGAGGCAGCTTTCGGGTTGCAGACTCTGCACATTTTGAAGGTGTTCTTGTTGTTGAGCACTTGTTTCAATGTCGGTCATGCTAATGAAATGGGTCTGAAAGAAAAAAGTGTAAATCTGCAATTAGAAAACGAACGACAGTTTCTTCAACCTTCGGAATCTGGCGATCTAAACACTGCTAACCAAAATACATTAATTACCTTCCAAAATGTATACAAGATGTAAAATAATATTTGTCACTATTTGAAGTCAAACCATATTAATATTTTCTGAAGTTTTCAATTGATTTAAAAAAGGAACGGTTTAGTCAAGTACCGCAAACATCAGAAATTAAAAAAAATTATGCTAACAGAAATTGACGACATGTACAATTTTTGAAAAGATATGTTTATTTACTTGGAGTGATATTATGCAATAATATTTGCATTTGAAAACTAAACAAACAAACGTGTGCTGTGCAGATCGATGTCTATAGAATCTGCAATTATATCGTAAGAAGGAATTTGTTACTGTTTACCTTTCATATAAGTAAAGCGATTTTATCTTAAATATGAATTGAATTTTCATATATAGTTTACTCAAAAACAGTGGTGAAGATAATTAAGGAATTTAAGTGGGCCGTGGTGTAAATCGATTTTAAAACATTATTAGGAGTTTAATATTATTAAAAAGCGTAATAAAGCGTAAATTATACCCGTTACTTGTAGAGTAAAAAGGTGTATTAGATTCGTTGAAAAGTATGTAACATGTGGAAGGAAGCGTTTCCGACCCTATTAAGTATATATATTCTTGATTAGGATCAATAGCCGAGTCGATTAAGCCATGTCCGTCTGTCCGTGTGAACGCTGAGATCTCAGGATCTATAAGAGATACAAAGTTGAGATTAAGCATGAAGATTCTTGAGGTCCCAACGCAGCGCAATTTATTTTAGCATCCTGCCACGTCCACTCTAACGCTCACAAATCACGGAAAACTAAAATCGCATTAAGTATGTATACTCTTGAGATGTCAGCGCATCTTATGGTGGTACCACCATTATCCGGCCACACCCACTCTTACGCCCGTAAAGCTCGCTTTCGATTTTTTTTTATTAAGGCTGATATTTTGGTAGCTATACGTTATTGCGCATGTAGTGTTCTATGATGCCCCCAATGTGAATCACTTTTTTCTATCTAGCCATGCCAACCTTTTTTTCATCTGACCACGCCCACTCTACCGCCCACAAGCCAAATATTATAATTTAATGAATGTCTTTGTTTGATCTTGTATAACATTTTTTTTTGTCAATATCTATCGATTTATTAAAGATTTTTTTAGCCGGAACATTATTTCGCTATTTATGAAGAAACATAGGTTATAAGGCCTTACATGGACAGTGTCGTCACCATCTGTTATCTTTCTCCATTTTCACTAGCAAAATTAATATTTTAAAATTATATAAAACAGTAACGGGTATCTTATAGCCGCAGCACACGATTATATAGTTTCTTCTTGTTTTGAAACTGTTGTTAGGCCATCCCATTTTTTAAGTATAATCTACAAAGCACGATTTTGTTTAAACACCTGTAATTGTATACATATATATATCGAAATAGTTAACACAGTTCTTCTATTTCACATATTTTCGTATCTTTTTTAAGTAGCAACTAATTACTTCGGATTTATCTGGTTCACGGGCTTCATTTTTAAACACTTATACTATTATACTATGAAAATATTATAATTCAAAATTTTTCGGTTTTCTACACATGCACTATGGGTCCTGATAAATTAGGTAGGTGGCTCACCTCGCGCATCGTCAAGAGTTGTGCCATTACAGCAAGTCAATGCTATAGAGCAGTGGAAAAATGTAAATAGGGAGGATGGCCCAAAAAGTCTGTGCCTGATTGGCCAGCGCAATGCGACACAATGGCAAATCCGTATCGGTATCAGTGCCCGTACAAGTCACAGCCAAGCGACAATGTTGCTTCACCGCTACCGACTAGGCTGGCAGCCTTGCCCTGTTCTCAATGCTCCCTGCTCTCACTGTCAGTGTTCGTTTTACATTGGCTATTTATTCTGACAGAGTATTTAAAAGACCGTGCTGCTCTGCTTCTCGGGATTCCGAATCCACATGCCGTACTCTGTCCACTTATGCTCGCCATCTACTGCTCAGGTCGAGTCATCGCGGAAAACTGACGACGCTGGAGTATCTGACTACTTCTGTGGCTGCGACTGGCAGAGAGGAAAATCGACTGTTAAAGACACAAAGAGCGCATCAGCAGCACACAGTGGGCAACGACGAAGTTAAATACACACTTTTTAAAGCTTTAACACGGTCTTCTCGAGCCTTTATAGGTTTGAACCACGTTTCCTATAAAGTAAAAAAACTTTCTTTTAAAGATTTTCCTACATTCGACGGACTTAAGAAGACCATAAGAAGATATTCTCTGCATATTTGTCACAATTAAATAATTAATTAACCTTATTCTCCAAAGTGACTTCACAAGAAATAACAATGAAACTTTTAAATTGACTTAAATGTTGGGTTGTTAAAACAAATTAATACCGAAAAACGTTTAAAATTTTATGTATTCTTAAATTTTAAAAGTAACCTGTTCACAAAACTTTGACTTTGTCCCTTTGGAAATGGAATTGAACCTAACTCCACAGGTTCAGCAAATTTCACCCACTGTGGCGCTTCTACCTCGATTTATTCTCTTTAGCTATTCGCTTCTCTTTATGCTGCTCTTCGCTTTTCAAGCCCTCGGGCAGTGTAACTCTTTCCATCACTACCCGACCCCTTAAGGTCACGAAACTGCTCGCCGAGTGGTTGGTTGGGGACCGCCGTAAATGAGTGTGGGCGTGGATTCAATTGTTCTGCACATACATATTGTTGCACGAATTACGAGAATTGTCTCTCTCGCTCCTTGTATTTAGACCAGTGCTCTTCTATCTCTCTATCTTACTCCTCCCCTGCCCATGAAGTTCTATGTCTGTCTCTGTTGCTCTAGTGAACGTGTCTCGATGCCGAGCGAATACATGAATGCCGAGAAACAAAAACCTTTTTGTTTTTGCCCAGCCCGAATGCAAAATCGATAGAAAGAAAGCCAAGAAGAGGGCATTGTCCAACACAATCGTAGATATGTTCAGTAAGGCTCCGCCCATTTCTGTTCAGCAACGCAGCAAGTAGGTAGTGGTGGTTACTGCTATGCTCGTCTCAGCCAATTGTTTCCTCAATTATTTGCTATTGTATTGCAGCATAGCGATTCGGTTGGCGGACGGATAGCGGAAAACCGGTAACGTAGATATACGTATTTAAAAGGACCACATGCCTTTACATTCAGTGTGTGTATGTATGCATATTTGAGTATGTACATTGCCCTTCGGCATTCGAAATCATATCTACTATTCGGCTGTGTATGGGCGTATCTATGATGCCTAGTGGTGGCTTAATCATAAGATATTTTACTGCACTAAAGTCAAATTGTACAAACACATCAACACACATAACGTACATCAGACTAATGGAGGAATTAAAACTTATACTTATCTAAATGAGAGTAAGATCATGCTCGTATAGTAAAAGAGGATATTATACTTCTTAAGATGCATGTAATCCCACCTTTTTAAGTCTTATAGTTTCGCTTAAGCGTTTAAGGTCAGAGTTTTAAGCTTTTCAGCTTTGCCTAGGGATGTTACACTTCCTGAGAACTCAGTGTTCATACAGACAAATGGATATTTAAGTTTAAACATATTTGTGTACCTATGTTATTCAAAAAATCGAAACTTTTGATTCCAAATCTTGTTAAAACTTGTAACTGCTGTGTTAAGAAAAAGATTGTACTACTTAAGGTGTATTTATTAAACTTGTGGAATTTGAGTTGATAAACTGATCTTACTTATACTTAACATTTTTTAATGTGTTTGTATTTTTTTTTTGTGTAAAATGTTTAAGGTTTAATTAACACTTGATAAACAGCTCTAGCATTTCGATTGTATAAAATGCTGTTCTATTTGGTAGTGAAATAGAAAACAAAGGAACCGATTTAATATAATATAACATAATTACTTTCTTGGTGAAGATTTATAGCTTAGTATCCATTAACTCAGACGGCTAAAAAAGTATAAGAAAAAAATATTCATTTTTAAAGTTTCCTTCGATTTCATCCTTTTTATACCCGTTACTCGTAGAGTAAAAGGGTATATTAGATTCGTTGAAAAGTATGTAACAGGTGGATGGATGCGTTTCCGACCGTATAAAGTATATATATTCTTGATCAGTATCAATAGCGAAGTCGATTAGGCTATGACCGTCTGTCCGCCGTCTGACACAAATCACGAAAACTAAAATTGCTGAAATCTCAGGAAGTATTAGAGCTAGGAAGGTGAAATTAAGTATGTATAATCTTCAGATGCCAGCGCATCTTATGGTGGTACCATTATACCACGCCCACTCTTACGCCCACCAAGCTCGAAAGACGGTTTTCGCATTTTGTAGAAAACCTGATATCTCGGTAACAATAGATAGAAAGTTCGGAGTTCCAGCCACGCCCACAAAACCCGGAAAACCAAACATTCAACAAAATATAAGAGTTAGAAAGCTGGGCTTAAGAATACGTATTTAAGAGGTGCTACTGCAACTTTCCATGAGATTTCATCCGGCCACGCCCACTGTAATGCCCACAAACCACAAAAGCTGTGGCGGCCATAATATTATAGTGGATGTCTTCGTTTGACCTTGCATAACATACTTTTGACAATATCTATCGATGTTTGCTATTTATAAAGAAATGTAGCTTTTAGGGCCTCACGTGAGCAGTGACGTCACTATCAATTATTCAATATGCTTTCTCTGACAATAGGTGGCGCTTTGTGAATTTCCGCAAGCAAAATAAATATTTTAGAATTGTGGGCATCTTATAGTCGCGGGGCTCGACTATAGCCATTCTTCTTGTATTATCTATACTTATGTATATATAGCGTTATTTCATGTTTTTGCGTTATATTATTTGGAATATATTATTTGGAATATGCAAAGATAGTGTAAGTCAACAACAATACAATTTTGTTTTGTTAAGTTAATCCACATATTGTTGTCAAGGGTTGGCTTACTTTATCGTAACATATAGTCATCATAGTTATATAATGTGATATAGTCCCGTGTTACTAATAATAGTGATATAATCGTTACTGGCGCAGTAACATTATAACAACGTTTTTTGTTGGTATATATAAGGATATATAATATCAAATTAATTTTTTTATAGTGCTGCAATCGACCGTTGTGGTTAAGATTGCTGGAACTGTAATCTAAAATAAATCTTCAAAATAAAATCGTCATTGTGTTTTAAAGACGAATTTGTGAAATAACCATACCATACCATACAACAAGGAAAGCATCAAATCGATTCCATAGTTGGAATGTGCACGCTTAATACTAACGTAAATTAAATAAATCTGTCCGGACCAGATGGACGGGCTTAAATCAAATATTTAAATAGTAGCTGAGCGCGATTATGTGTTACATAAAAAAAAAGAGTTAACTCTTCGACATACAATTTTTTAGTCTTGTAAAAAAATTAATTTGAAAATTCAAATTCAAAAATACCTTGCTAATTTTGCAATATAGTAACCGTTAATGATATGAATGAGTGATAAAGAGAACTTAACATCAACAATATGTCTTAGACGTGTTTAGCTGTCAGCCAGACAACCATAATGGAATGAGACGTATGCAATTTGTATTCGAGAATTCATCGGTTTATCTTATTACTTTGTTTAAGGCTTCACAAACATCTACGAACCGGTCGAAAATTACGCTTTGAGCGTGGAGAAGGAGAAAAAGATCAAAGGACAATTTCCTGATTGTTTTATCCCGTTATTTTATTTTGTTTGCGCTCCGTTTCGCTTCGTGTTGCTGTGTATATGCTCGTACAGTTTTATTGTTGATTTTTGGGTGTATGTTGTTTTTGCTTATTTATTCAAAGTAGCTAGAACATAGGACATAGGCTGATTATAGTACATCAGTTTTACATTTAGCTGACTTGATTTTAAAATTTTAAATACTTGTATGCACTGATACTCGGTATGTATGTGTCGCCTGAGTCAGGTATTCTATAAGATCCTCCCTCCATTGGTTTTCTGGAAGACGTGACCCTTTGCTATCCCTTGGATGAGTCCACCTGAGAACTCACCCCTACCCTCAAGTGTGCGCTCAGGTCTGCTTGTGCGTGGAGGTGCGAACTCACCCCAACCCTCAAGTGTGTGCTGATATCTGCTTGTGCGCGGAGGTGTAAAAATTTATTGTTAAGCGTTTTAATGAAAAGTTGCAGTTTTTAACTTACAATCGTATAAAGCATACCACTGGAAAGGGCTTGAAAAATGCTTTCCAATGACACCAAACACACTTTTTTTTTTTTTTTTTTTTAGTGAGGGCCTATATTGAGACCCCCAATTACCGAAATTTTTGCCTTTTTAGGGTAGTAGTGAGCACTTGGGGCATCGGCGAATTGGCACTTGGCTAAAATGGCACTCGGCGAAATGGCCCTCCACTGATTAGCCGACCGCCCAGCCAGTGTCTAGGATAAATCTTTGGTTGGGGTCTTGGCTGAGAAACCGTTTTCGGGTATAGGTCATAGGAGTCCAAGATCATTACATTACGTTTGTAATTCATTCCGTTTTCCCCAAGTGCTCACTACTACCCTAAAAAGGCAAAAATTTCGGTAATTGGGGGTCTCAATATAGGCCCTCACTAAAAAAAAAAAAAAAAAAAAAAGTGTGTTTGGTGTCATTGGAAAGCATTTTTCAAGCCCTTTCCAGTGGTATGCTTTATACGATTGTAAGTTAAAAACTGCAACTTTTCATTAAAACGCTTAACAATAAATTTTTACACCTCCGCGCACAAGCAGATATCAGCACACACTTGAGGGTTGGGGTGAGTTCGCACCTCCACGCACAAGCAGACCTGAGCGCACACTTGAGGGTAGGGGTGAGTTCTCAGGTGGACTCATCCAAGGGATAGCAAAGGGTCACGTCTTCCAGAAAACCAATGGAGGGAGGATCTTATAGAATACCTGACTCAGGCGACACATACATACCGAGTATCAGTGCATACAAGTATTTAAAATTTTAAAATCAAGTCAGCTAAATGTAAAACTGATGTACTATAATCAGCCTATGTCCTATGTTCTAGCTACTTTCAGCTTAAGGCCAGAAATTTTTAATTGCTTCACGATCGAATGCAAGTGCTGACAACGTGGTTACAAGTAAATATATATATAAAGGTAAAATGTTTATTTCATAACGATTGTGCATGACCGTTTCCGATTCCTTTTAAGTCTTAAAAAAAATATTTATTGCAATTGACGGTGTTCTGACCGTTACTTCCCACACACCTGTATTTACATTCGTGGAACCCTTGGGCATCGTTCTTATCAAGTGAACATAGAAAGGGAAAATCTTTCTTACACGGAGATTGTGCACGAACTATCCCGCTGTCCGTAGAAACCATTAAATGGAATATTTACTACACTTGTCATTTTCCTGACCAGTCTTCCGCACACACCGATATTTACTTTCACTGAACTCTCAGGCCTCATTATCATCATCCGTTAATTTGTTCGCCATCCTTGTCTTCCTTATCCTTCAATACCATATGACTGGCGTCCGGGGCTCCTATGTATACTCAAAACCAATACGATTGGTTCTAGGAGTAAAACATACCTGTATGCACTCCCTATTGGTAACATTAGGTGAACATAGTCTAGAGACTATATAAATGACACCACTCAAATTGCTCAGAATCAGTTACTCAAAGGCCTCAGAACTACATTAAAAGTCTCGGTGCTTTATTGTGTTTATCTTTGTCATTTTCGTCGGTGCTTAAAAATTATAAACAATTTTTACAAATATATATATATATATATATATACAAATACATTTCAAATATTATAATAACTTAAAAACTACATCGTTTAAATCAAAAAAATGGAGTCAACAATTGCATGTGATTTGTGTGCTATGATTGTGAAGATGTGTGAGTTTAGTGATCACTATGCCAAGTGTTCCAAACCTCGGAATGCCTTCGAGGTTTTAATGGCAAGTTCTAAAATAAGATGTGACTTGTGCTACCGTATAGTCCCCAACTATAAATTTGACGAGCACTATAAGAATTGTGAAGGACCGCAAAATGCATTCAGCATTTTAATGAAGAAGAAGGATAATAAAGGAAAACAACAGGAACCAGATATTGTTCGAGACGATATTCCCTCAACATCAGCAAATGCCCTCAAGCGGATAAGAATGGATGAGGGTAAGGAACCAAATAGTCCTACAAAAAAGCTTAAGATTTCGGGAAATATAGAAGAGCAAAAAAAGAGAAATTTTATGTCATACTTGTGGTATCCAGTATCTTGAGTCGAGGGAACGTCAGCATATGCTAACCGATTACCATAAGAATGCTTCGGTTCGAGAAGATGTAAATTATAAAAATATTTCACAAATTGTGAGTAACTCCAAGTTTCCTGTAAAAACATATAGAATTAAATGTCCCAACGAAAATGTAATTGACTTAAATGATTTTTATCAATTTTGTCAATCAAATCTACTTAAAATAATTGAGGATTGCATGTCAGAATATAGAGCAATCAAATTCTCGTTAAGAGTGTACGGGACTTATATGAAACAAATAGATGACGGAGAAACCGTTGAAACCAGGAAACACTTTGGAACGGCATATAGATCGGTATATCAAGTTGAAAATATTACTATAGAATTAAATGCCGCAATAGAATCCCTAATAACATCGAGCAGTGAATTCCAGGAAAAGGATTCTGGTTGGGCTATCAAGAACTTTGATTATTTTGAAGCCACTATAGTTAAACTAGAAAACATTCCTGCAAGCGGTTTCATACCAGCTCCGAATGCCATAAGATCGCGAAATGCGATAATAAATATTCAAAACACAGACGTATTTTGTTTTAAGTGGGCAATTTTAGCATTTCTAGCTAACAAGCGATTTCAGAATGCTACTTTTGCAACACCACAACAACAAAAGAAATATTCACGGGAGAAATTAACGAAACCGGCAAACTACCACATAAATATCAATGCAGAAGTCATTGATTATGAAGGAATGAGACTGGATTTTTCAGGAATTGAGTTCCCAATTACCAAAAAAGGAATAAATCAGTTCGAGAAAAAAAATAAAGATTTTAGCATCAATGTGTATGAAATTGATAATGACGGTAAAAAAATTGTGGGACCTACAGTTAAAACTCAAGAGATTCTACCAAACCACGTTAATATATTAGGCATTAATAACCGTCAAAATATGCACTATGCCTATATTACGTGCATCAAAAGATTATGCGGCTCGCAGCATTCAAAATCGCACGCAGGAAAATATTTCTGTGATAACTGTCTACAGTTTTATACAACAACGAACACTACCCACAATAAGCTTGAATGTGGAAAAGTGGCTTCGTACTATCCTGAACCTAATACGACCACTTCTTTCAATGGATATCATAAGAAGCTATCACCTCCAGTAGTTATATATGCAGACATAGAGGCGGTCCTTGAAAACTATGAGATCTGCTTAAATAATCCGGCTACTTCGGCAACAACAAAGGTGCAAAAACATTCAGCGTGCGCGGTATCCTTCTACATTGCACACAAATATGATCCAACTCTGAATGAGTTATGGACATATGAAGGTAAATTAAAAAAAATGATGTTAATAAATTTTGAAATAATTTAAATTTTATAAAATTACAGGTGAAGATTGCATTAAGCAATTTTGTAAAACTCTCAAAGAAAGGACTTTGAGTTTATTTTACAAATATTGGGCCACAGCAAAAAGTCCCAGTACAGATCCAATCGATGACTTTGATCAAGAAGGAAGTTGCTGCGCCTGTGAAAAGGTAATCAACGATGGCGACCTGGACAAACACTTCGACCAATTTTCTGGGAAATACGTAGGTCCTATTCATAAGAACTGTAAGCCAAAATATAAATTAAGCGATCCATTTTTTCCTGTAGTTTTTCATAATTTATCTAAGTATGATATACATTTATTTATTACTGAATTGGAAGGAGATTTAAACCCCATTCCTTGTAATAAAGAATTGTACATAGCTCTTACACAAACTATAAAACTAAATGCATTAAATAGATATAAAATTAGGTATATAGATTCAGTACGGTTTCTAAATTCTAGCTTGGAAAAATTATCAAGCTATATGGAAGATAGGGATTTTAAAATTCTCGCAACCAAATTTCAAGGAGAAAAATTCAGACAAATGCGTAGGAAGGGTGTATTTCCTTATGATTACTTGGATAGCTTTGAAAAGTTTAACGAAACCCAGCTTCCTAGCATTGATAGTTTTTATAATTCTCTTAGCGATGAAAATTGTAGTGTTGAAGATTATAGTTTTGCACAGAAAGTTTGGGACACTTTTAATTGTAATACTATAAGGGATTACTTAAAGCTTTATTTAGAAAGTGACGTTTTAATTTTAGCCGATGTCTTTGAAAACTTTCGAAATATTTGTCGTAGAATTTATAAGTTAGACCCCATAAACTATGTAACTGCTCCCTCCATATCATGGGACGCAATGTTAAAGTTCACCAACGTACACTTAGAATTAATAAGTGATGGTGATATGTATAACTTTTTAAAAAGAGCTGTAAGAGGGGGCTTAACACAATGCAGTCAAAGAATTTCCATAGCAAATAATAAGTATTTAAATAACTTTGATCCTAGCAAACGAAATAATTTCTTAAGTTACATTGACGCAAATAATTTATATGGATGGGCTATGAGTCAGCCCTTACCACTTTCAGGGTTTAAATTTTTAACTAGGGAAGAAATCGCATTATTTGACTATAAAAATATATTATCTGATGGTGATGTAGGATATATGTTAGAAGTTGACCTGGAATACCCTCCTAATCAACATGACTCTCATAATTATTTGCCTTTTTGTCCTGAAAATAAAGTTCCCCCAGGAGGCAAGCAGGCCAAACTGATAGCAGACTTAACTAACAAAAGTGGGTACATAATTCATTTAAAACAGCTTCAGCTTTGTTTACAGCATGGCTTGATTTTGCGAAAAATTCATAGGATTTTGTCATTTACACAATCATGCTGGTTAAAACCCTATATTGATTTAAATACTAATCAAAGAAAATTAGCACGAAATGACTTCGAAAAAAATTTTTATAAGTTAATGAATAATGCCGTATACGGAAAAACTATGGAAAATGTTGAAAAGCGTCGTAAAGTAGTTCTAGTAAAACATTATGAGTCTAGACAAAATTCTCCAGGCTTTAGGCAACGTATAGCTAGAAATGATTTCCATAGCGTTGAGTTATTTGGAACGGATTTAGCGGCAATTGAATCGACACCATCACAAATAATGTATGATAAGCCCATATACATAGGAGTAGCAGTTTTAGAATTATCAAAGTGGCTTATGTATGAATTTTATTACAACTTTCTATTAGTTAAAAGTCCATCTACGAAAATAATATATATGGATACAGACTCCTTTATTTTGTCATCAGAGGATGATTTCTATGAGACTATAAAAGCAAATCCCGATCGCTTTGATACCTCAAATTATAAGTTAGAAAATAAATACCAAATAATTCAGGCCAATAATAGAGAACCAGGAAAAATGAAGGATGAACATGCTGGAGATGTTATGACTTCCTTTGCTGGTCTTAAAGCTAAGGCATATTCTTGTGTAGTTGCAAAAGATAAAAATAAAACAGAATCTATTCAAAAAATTAAAGGAGTTAAAAAATCTGTTATTAAAAAACTAAGTCATACTGATTATATTGAATGTATAAAATATAAAAAAACATTTTATGGAGCACAGCGTGTAATTCGTAGTAGATCACATACTTTGTATACAGAAATTATGAACAAAATAAGTCTTAATTATAAGGATGATAAGAGATATATTTTACCAGATAATTGTAATACATTAGCTCATGGTCATTATAAAATTGAACATATTATAAATAGTGATCAAGATAATAATCTATTGTAAAGTATATATGTAAATATGTAAATATATTTTGTATTATTAAAATTTTATTTTAAGAAAAATATGTGAATAAATAAATGTTTAAAAATATATCTAATTGCGTTTTATTATTTAAGAATTTTATTTACAGGAATCCACGAGTTGTGGCTAGAATCAAATCCGCTCCACTTAACGAATACTTGATTATTTTTTCTTTGAAGTATTTTTTCTATCAGGAATGCATTCTTATCTTTAACTTTTTGTAGTTCCTGTTCATAAAATGACCCATCAATAGAGTTTCCTCTGTAATCTTGAAGCTCATATGTTACTGGATATGTAGACTTAACTTTTATAACTTTAAAAACCTCCGTTGTCCAATTGGGTTCATATCCCTTCATAAACGCTCCCTTATATTTACTTATTCGAACAAAATCATCTACAGAAAATTTATGTTTTGGAAAAACTTTAGGGAAATTATACACCGTTTTCAAAATGAACTCCTCATTTTTAATGCAAACATCAGCAGGGTTCATTTTAATGGTTCGGTGATATGAATGATTATACTGGTTTACAAGATATTTTATGTTATGAATCCATTTATAATTTCCTTGCATACTAAACATTTTCCACATGCGATTTTTTAATGTTCGATTAAAACGCTCGCATATTGAAGCCTTAAGATGTGTGAAAGTGTGATAATGATTTATATTAAATGTGCTCATTAATGTTTTAAATGTTGAATTAAAGAATTCTTTTCCTTGATCTGACTGAATATTCTTTGGTTTACTTTTGCTCGCTTTAAAGACAGTTCTCATTGCTTCTGTAACATCCAGTGCGGATTTTGACTTTACAGCTTCAGCGAATGCATACTTTGAGAATGTGTCAATAACAGTCAATAAATATCTATACCCTCTATTTTCTTTCCTAAAGGGTATCATTTCAACTAAATCAATTTGCCATGTATCATTAATCCCCTTCTGAACAAATTTACGACGCAAAAAGTTTTTGCGTGCCGGTTTGTGAATTTCATCAACAACTTGTTGTTTACTCATTTTAGGTTGCTGATTTATTTTATTTTGTTTTATTTTTTATTTGATAGTGATATTTGCTTAGTTAATATGGACTGCTTATATAGAAGTACATCTCTTTTTAATTCGTTACGCATCTTTTTCGAAATTTCAAAACATAATCGTGTTAAATCTATTTGTACATCTTTACCGAAAGAACCCTCTAAGTCAGCTAACTGAATGTCATACTTTTGTAATGACACACACTTAGGAATAATATGATTATAGTAAAGATATACCACTTGTTGTCGTAATATTGAATTCCAACATAGGAAGGTTGTAAAAAATATACCAAGTCTTAGTAAGGATCTCCAGGACTCAGAGTCAAACTCAATTTTGTTACCATACTGATTAATTACAAAAACATACTGATTATCAGATTTCCTAAATCTAAAATTACATTTCATAGATGCCATGCAGGGGTTATCAATAATTGTGTCAGGCATCAAGAAGTCATACTGGTCCAGTTTCAACTGAATATATTCCTTATATGTGAGAAGTTGCATCCATTCGTCTTTATCAAATCCAACAAAATTACTTTTACTTTGCTGCATCCAGATCATAGGCATAAATTTTTTAGAAGTGGATAAACCACATTTCAACTTTAAATTATGTACAACATAGTATTCGAATCCAAAAATGACCTCATGGTCCTGTTTCTTTCGTGGAGTTTTATTTCTTTTCGGTACACACATGTCTATTTGGTTAGAGCACTTTATTTTAACTAAAACTTTATTCTAATCTGTCCGGTATATAAAGGAAAAGGCCTTCGCATGTACACCCTCAGTCCAGTTCAAAATTTCAAACCATCATGAACACTGTAGATCGTAATTCAAGCGTTATTGTTGATTTTCAATATTTATTTGGAAACAACAAACAAGTTTTTGTCAAGGAGCTTGCATTCATGCCAGCAGGAACGGTTATACCAAATTTCTTTCATTTCAAACCGCCATTCAACATAAAAGAATTGGATAAGGAAACTCTTAAGCAGCAACATTTAAATCAACAAAATATAAATGGTTTGGAATGGGCCGCTGGAGATATACCGTATACAGCCCTAGAAGAAATTCTCTCCCCACTCAATAAGTATAGTTCAATTATTGTTCGTGAAATTGAAAAAAAAAAAATTTTTATCAAAGTATTTGTCAGCGACCATAATCGATATAGATATCGGAAGAAGCTTAACCCAACTACCCAATTTTTTCACCAATTGTAAAATACATAAGACAAAATTTCCTCTACGATGTTCCCTAAATAATTTGTTTAAGCTATTTGTAATATTGGAAAACTCAAATTACGAAGTATATTGTAATACTATAACGTATGTTTAAGCTTCAGTAATAAATAAATAGTTGAACCTACAAGTTGTCTTATACAATGGAGTCATTCAAGGGTTTGTTTGGTAATGATCCGCGCAAAAGGGGATACACACAACTGATTTATTGCAATTATTGTGGATCTGATACTCACTTCGAGAAGAACTGCTCTAAAAAACGCGATCAGGAAAAACATAAATAAACCTAATGTAGTTTAAGGATAAGATAAAAAATCTATTTCAAATATAATAAAAAATAAAAATAAATAAAATGTTTACGCAGTTTATACATCCCTTTACAATGTTGATCTGCGGACCATCAGGATCAGGAAAAACCACTTTTTTGGAAAACTTAATAAACAAGAAGAATGATTTGCTAAATACTTCAATAAATCGAATTATTTGGTGTTATGGAGAGGAGAGTGCTAAGCCAAACTTTAATAATGTTGAGTACTATAAAGGGGTTCCTGATGTAATTGAAAACGAAACTAATGAACCCATTCTTTTAATATTGGATGACTTGATGATGGGGGCTTTTAATAAAAATGTATGTGAGCTCTTTACAAAAGGATCACATCATAGGAATTTATCTGTAATAGTTGTAACTCAAAATATATTCCATAAGTCATCGCATACCCGAGACATATCATTAAACACAAAATATATTGTGATGTTTAAAAACCCTCGTGATAAACTACAATTTCAATGTTTAGCAAGACAAATTTATCCTGAAAATCCAACTGAGTTATTTAGAATATATAAGGAAGTAACGGAACAACCACACGGATATTTACTTATTGATCTTACTCAAGGAATCAACGATCTTTTAAGATTTAGAACGGATATTTTTAATTCCGAATATACCGTGTGCTTTTCAGACGAAAATGGTTTACAAAAAGAATCTAAATCGCTTGAAAGCGAACAAACATTTATTGTATGTGCTCAAAAAGGCCAACAATAAACTTCGAAAGGCAATTATAAGTAATAGTGATAGTGACCTCGTAAAAACATTAGTAGAGATTGTTTTAAACACATTACAAGGCAATCATAAAGTTACAAAATCACATCTTAATGCTCTTAAAAAGTATAAAAATGCATTGCGATATCTCTCATGTCCAAAGCGTACCCTAAGCTCTAAGAGAAAAGTTCTTATTCAGAAGGGTGGTTTCCTACCTATTTTAATCAGTTCATTGCTTTCCGGAATTTTTGGAAAAATTTTAAAAGATGATTAAAAATAAACATAACTTAAGCAAAGTAGTTCTAATGCATCCCAACGCATACCAAAAACTGGTAAACAATGACCGGGGTAGTGAACTAATAGATATAAAATTTTTACCAATTTTGAATAACAATAAAATAAGTGATTATGACAAATGGATCAAAATACGGCAAGAATTATGCTACTACCAAAACAAAAAACGTAATAAATCATTTAACTTTCGAAATATTGATTCAAAATCAACCCCTATATCTAGCAGAATTAATGAAACTCAAATATTAGATTGGAATGATGCAAAACCTGATACTTCAGAATCAATAATAAAATATGAAGAAAAATTACCAAAAAATGAAGTCCTTACAAATTTAACAACTGATAGTGATGAAGGAGAACTTAAGACCGAGGAACGGACAAAGTTGTTAGACGATAAGCGAAAATTAAGTGATACTTCTTTTTTAGACGATAAAGAAGATATTAAAAGAAGAGCAGTGACAAAAGTGAAGCTTAATGATAAACAACGTAAATTAAGGGTAAAGCTGAAAAAATATAAAATAGATTCAAATCCATTTCAAGATCTTAAATATGTGTCTGGACGTGAAAAATTAATGAGATCGGTTCGTGCTAAAAACCAAATAGGAAAAAACAAAATCAGTTGGATTTCTTATCAATAGTGCTTAATTTAAATAATAAAAATGGGGAATTTAGATGAAATGTTTATCACATTGCTCAGTAATGATTCATTAAATGTATTTCCTGATAACGTAAAGTGTGCATTTACAAACATTGTAAATATCCCACAAGACATGAACGATGATTGGGAAGTTGGCATTATAGACATGTATCTCAATAATTATATTAATCAAACTTCCAATAAAGAAATTCCAATACGTGAAGAAACGGAATTTGTTAGCTTAGTAAATGCTGAAACATTTAGATATAAAAATGTAAGCGTTGATTCAAAAACACCTGAAAATGGGTTGATTTTTATTTATACTGACATAATTAAACCTAGATCTGTAGGCTGTAAAAAACCTCGTTGTCTTCGAGTAATGTATTATAATGGAAAAGAAAAAAATATTCAATTTAAAAACATTGAATATTATCCTTTGGATATATGGTCACCAAATGAAATCTCAATACTAATTACTGATTCAAACGGATATAAGGTTCCATTTGAAACGTCAACAGTTCCGATTTTTGTTACTCTACATTTCAGAAGAAGAAGGACGTTGTAAAGTCTATAAATAATACGGGCTTAAAAATTATTTACTCATAATAAAAACAGTCATCATGGTGAAATCTTATCACGAATACTATTTAAACCAATGTGGGGGTGGTTTAAGCAATATTGGAAGTCTTTATGTATCACCACGAATAGTTCAACAAGGACGAGGAATCGGGAACTTTTTTAGTGGTCTTTTTAATTATATCAAACCACTTTTTCTTTCGGGTATAACTGCTATAAAAAGTCAGGCTGCTGCTACTGGAAAGGCTGTAATCAATGAAATCGGGAGAAAGCCCTTAAGAAATATCCTGCAAGAACAGAGCAAAATTGCTTTGAAAAATTTATCAGATAGAGCAATTGATAAAATAACCCGATTCCAAAACGGGGAAGGAAAAAGAAATAAAAAGCGAGGCACCAGAAAAAAACGACATCATTTAACATCCAAGCAACAGCGTAAACAAACCAAACCGCATCATAAACGAAAAAGAACTATAAGAAAATTAAATATTAGCGACATTTTTTCTAAGACAAAATGAATAACCATATCGAATGCATGAAGAGTGAACTGGATTTGTTTGCACCACATCCCACGCAAAGTTCCATTATAAGAACTGAAGAAGTTTCATATAATCCAATTGCTTCTTTAGACGGAGCATCATCAATAGAATTTGTCTGTTTAGGAAATGGTGAAACATATCGAGACCTATCAAGTGTTTATTTACGACTTGTTGTGCAACTTAGAAAAAGTGATAGTACCGGCATTGTAGGAAACGATGTCGGTGTAGTGAACAATATCTTACACTCTATATTTAGAAGTTCCTCAGTTTATTTAAATAATATATTAGTATCGCAGAGTGATAATAATTATCATTATAGATCGTATTTGCAAACAGTTTTAAACTATGGAAGTGATGCCTCAGAAAGTCACTTAGCCTCCCAAGGATATTTCCCGAATTTTGGACGAATAACGGCAGGCGAATATGTTTATCCAGATACCAATCTAAAGCTTAAAAATTTATTTAAAAATAGTAATAAGGTGGAACTTTTCGGAAAAATCCACGGCGATATATTTAATCAACCAAAACTACTAGTAAATAATGTTGATTTAAGAATTAATTTTAATATTGAAAAGACTGCATTTTATTTAATGGAAACTGGTACTGAGTCAAATTTAAAGATACTGGAAGCTCAACTTTTCATGAATCATATAACAGTTAACCCAAGCATTTTATTGGCTCACCATCGAGTTTTACAGACCAAAAATGCTATATACCCTTTCAATAAGGTTGAAGTAAAATCTTTTACAATATACCCAGGAAATAATACATTATCTATAGACAATGCAGTTATTGGACAGCTACCCAATTTTCTAGCGTTTTGTATGGTTAAAAACCGTTCATACTCAGGAAACCGTGGTTTAGATCCATTTCATTTTGAACATTTTAAAATTCAACGATTTAACTTATTGGTGAATGGAGTTCAAGTTCCTTCTCAAGCTCTTGAGTTTGATTACTCGAATGGTGAAAATGTTCAGAGCTCACGGGGCTATAATATGCTATTCAGATCTAGTGGGATAAAACATTATGATCGTGGTCTGCAAATTACAAAGGAAATGTTTGACACAAACAGTTTTATATTGGCTTTTGACCTAACTGCCGATCATTCAAATTCGAGTGTTTGTGCGAATTTAATAACCCAAGGAACTATACGAATCGAAGGAAGATTCTCTGAACCACTTACTGAAGCAGTTACTTGTCTGGTGTACTGCGAATACGATTCCATGATTGATATTGATAAGCATAGAAACATACGATTACTCCTTTAACATGAATACATTACAAATTAAATATTTGCTATCAAAGCATGCAAAAACACGATTGATTTTTAAAGGAGTTTTCCCTTCGGACCAGTTACCTGAAACTATAAAAAAGTATCCGGCTCTTATTATTGCGAATACCGATCCATCAGATAAACCTGGAACTCATTGGATTGCCTTCTATTTTGATAGCCCTAAGTCAGCTGAATTTTTCGATTCATATGGTCAATATCCGCAGAAAAAGGAATTCATAACATTTTTAAGATCAAACGCCCATAAATATTTTTTTAATAAACAACAACTACAAGGATATTTTTCTAACACCTGTGGTCATTATTGTATGTTGTTCGGACTTTTTAAATGTAGAAATAAATCACTTAAGTGCTTCCTGAAAAATTTCAAGAAAAATGACTTTACTTATAATAATAAACAAATACTTAAAATGTTTAAGAAAAATTTCAAAAAGTAAAATAAATTTTTTTTTATTATTAGTTGAGTTTATTTAATGTTTCTGAGCGATACAATCTCTGGTTTAACTTATAATATTTAAGCATAATATTAAGGGCCTCGTCTGGTCCAGATGTAGCATCTTCATCACTCCAAGGACAAAGTTTGTAGTGGAATCCAAACTTTGAATGTATTAACTCCTTTTCCGCTAAGTCCTCAAGGGTGGCTTTTAAATATTCAAGCCTCCTGAGGTGTTGCTCGAATAACATGTCTTCAAACTGCATCAAGAAGACTTCAATTTGTTTAGCGTGCATTTTTGTAAGACTTGTAACTTGTTAAGGTTGAACTAAGACTGATTTTGGAATAAGAAATTCAATCTTTTATAAGGGGAATTTCTTATTTACTTCATTTATTTACTTCATTTATTTACTGATAAATTCAATTTGAGCACAGCTATATCTATTGGGATCCTTTCCTTTATATACCATATGAGAAATTCCGTTCTCAGTCAATTTCTTAAATGGTGTCTTAGTAGAAAATTTGTTTACATAACTTTTTGGTAGAAATATCCAAATATCCTCATTTTCCTTATTGGCTAAATAAAGGCATATTTTAGTTCCATAAGGTGTTTTCCTTAATTTACATCCGGTGATCTTATAATCAAACCCAATACATAGATCTTCAATTTTCGTATAACCAATAACAGGTTTTGATTCATTTAGGGTCTCTAAGAAATCCTATAAGGAATAAGTAGATTAGGAAGGATTATATACATAAAGAAATGTTTATATACCATTTTTGATTGGTTAGAGATTGGAGTCGTGGTGTTCTAGTCACTAGTCGTTGAATACTAATTTGTTACACGAATTACATGGTCTTTTATACATGAAGAAATATATCTATTTCACTCTTTCATGTACACACTATATATATGTATATATTACATACAGGTGTACCACAACATTATTATTATTATGTATTAAAGTATATAATATACAATTTTTCATTTAAAACCCTTTAAAATAGATGTATTTTTTTAAAAAAAACTCAGTTCAGTTTCACATCAAAATGGGCAAGTTTCATTGTGAGTTATGCTCGGAATCAAAATCTTTTACTACGCGCAACAGTCTAAAAGTTCATACCTTAAAAGTACACAACTTTAGCTATACAAAATCAAAGTCCTTTTATTACTACTGTTATTTCTGTACTGATGTTCGGAAATTTTGGCTGCGAGACGATTTTAATATGCACATGATATTTATGCACGATGCTGAATTAAAAAGTATAAATAAAACGAAAGAGAAATATCTAATAAAGAACAAGAACTTTAAATATTGAATATATAACGTATTTTTATTTCATAATGTTTTAAGACAAGTAAACAAATATTAGGAATCTAATCTTAAGAGAACATCCATTAAAACACTATCCTGTCCGTCATCCATAAGTTGTTGATATTTTGTCTGCGGTTCATTTTCAATTATCTCATTAAAAATGTGATCATCATTTGGAAACAGGCTAGGCTCAGACTCATCCAAATCAAACGTTTGAGCACACTGCATATTCTTATATTGCTCTTCGCTTTGTTCAAGTAGAATAAGTTTTCTTAGAACTTCCTGGGTATCCTTACCCATAGGAAAGTCTTCAAAGCCTAAGGAATCCAATTCTGATGGAGTGGTTTGAGTTGACGATGAGGGTGGATCAAATACTTCTCGTAGGTATCGGTCCACGGTGTCTTCATCGTCGAGATCCAATGCGCAGTCCGGCTCAGAATCTTCAATAATTTCCACATCGGAGTCCTGGTCATCGATTTCATCTGACCCGATAACTTTAACTTTTATACCGAAAGGTTGGTTAACGAGGGTCTTATCAGCCTCAAAAGAATTATAAAATTCAACAGTAAGATCCATAGTGATGTATTTCTGAGGCCTTTGAGTAACTGATTCTGAGCAATTTGAGTGGTGTCATTTATATAGTCTCTAGACTATGTTCACCTAATGTTACCAATAGGGAGTGCATACAGGTATGTTTTACTCCTAGAACCAATCGTATTGGTTTTGAGTATACATAGGAGCCCCGGACGCCAGTCATATGGTATTGAAGGATAAGGAAGACAAGGATGGCGAACAAATTAACGGATGATGATAATGAGGCCTGAGAGTTCAGTGAAAGTAAATATCGGTGTGTGCGGAAGACTGGTCAGGAAAATGACAAGTGTAGTAAATATTCCATTTAATGGTTTCTACGGACAGCGGGATAGTTCGTGCACAATCTCCGTGTAAGAAAGATTTTCCCTTTCTATGTTCACTTGATAAGAACGATGCCCAAGGGTTCCACGAATGTAAATACAGGTGTGTGGGAAGTAACGGTCAGAACACCGTCAATTGCAATAAATATTTTTTTTAAGACTTAAAAGGAATCGGAAACGGTCATGCACAATCGTTATGAAATAAACATTTTACCTTTATATATATATTTACTTGTAACCACGTTGTCAGCACTTGCATTCGATCGTGAAGCAATTAAAAATTTCTGGCCTTAAGCTGAAAGTAGCTAGAACATAGGACATAGGCTGATTATAGTACATCAGTTTTACATTTAGCTGACTTGATTTTAAAATTTTAAATACTTGTATGCACTGATACTCGGTATGTATGTGTCGCCTGAGTCAGGTATTCTATAAGATCCTCCCTCCATTGGTTTTCTGGAAGACGTGACCCTTTGCTATCCCTTGGATGAGTCCACCTGAGAACTCACCCCTACCCTCAAGTGTGCGCTCAGGTCTGCTTGTGCGTGGAGGTGCGAACTCACCCCAACCCTCAAGTGTGTGCTGATATCTGCTTGTGCGCGGAGGTGTAAAAATTTATTGTTAAGCGTTTTAATGAAAAGTTGCAGTTTTTAACTTACAATCGTATAAAGCATACCACTGGAAAGGGCTTGAAAAATGCTTTCCAATGACACCAAACACACTTTTTTTTTTTTTTTTTTTTAGTGAGGGCCTATATTGAGACCCCCAATTACCGAAATTTTTGCCTTTTTAGGGTAGTAGTGAGCACTTGGGGAAAACGGAATGAATTACAAACGTAATGTAATGATCTTGGACTCCTATGACCTATACCCGAAAACGGTTTCTCAGCCAAGACCCCAACCAAAGATTTATCCTAGACACTGGCTGGGCGGTCGGCTAATCAGTGGAGGGCCATTTCGCCGAGTGCCATTTTAGCCGAGTGCCAATTCGCCGATGCCCCAAGTGCTCACTACTACCCTAAAAAGGCAAAAATTTCGGTAATTGGGGGTCTCAATATAGGCCCTCACTAAAAAAAAAAAAAAAAAAAAAAGTGTGTTTGGTGTCATTGGAAAGCATTTTTCAAGCCCTTTCCAGTGGTATGCTTTATACGATTGTAAGTTAAAAACTGCAACTTTTCATTAAAACGCTTAACAATAAATTTTTACACCTCCGCGCACAAGCAGATATCAGCACACACTTGAGGGTTGGGGTGAGTTCGCACCTCCACGCACAAGCAGACCTGAGCGCACACTTGAGGGTAGGGGTGAGTTCTCAGGTGGACTCATCCAAGGGATAGCAAAGGGTCACGTCTTCCAGAAAACCAATGGAGGGAGGATCTTATAGAATACCTGACTCAGGCGACACATACATACCGAGTATCAGTGCATACAAGTATTTAAAATTTTAAAATCAAGTCAGCTAAATGTAAAACTGATGTACTATAATCAGCCTATGTCCTATGTTCTAGCTACTATTCAATTCGTTTACTTTGACATTCAGTCACTCTGTTTCAAATACCCTAGGCCCTCATTGTCAACCACCCGCCATGGTCAGACCTATTTATTTATTTGTTTATTTTCATTATTAAATTGTACTTTATTTGTATATTGCGTTTTGTTTCATCTCGTTTATTGTTTGGATATTAGGAAAACGCTTTTGTTCCCCTGAAAATATAAAGCTTTTCGAACTTAAAAGCCTATTTATTGATTCTTCTACAAACTGTACTTTTTTATGACTAGAAACATTTTCATGGATTTTTCGTAATATTGTTGTCCTCAGCACTAGTAATACAAATTTAAGATAAAGCTTACCCTTCAATTAAAACAGTAAATGCTTTCAATATCACAGCCAAAGTACCACCCCTTATTTGGCACCAACAATTTAAGCCTTAAGGCTCCCATTCAGTCGAGGGCGAACCTTAGACATGGACACTGGCACCTCATTAACGCCGCGAAACGTACTTGACACAATGTGGAGCACTGAAGTATACTCTTACAGCCCAGCTCATCGGAAGAGCTGCGTCGGGATTGGGGAAAGAGGATAATGCAGATGAGGGGGGAATTGTTAAAACAATTTTTTGCCACCAAACCATAAATTTTACCTTGTCAAAATTACTTATTCGAGAGTTTACTGTAATTTTTCAAAGATACTTTAATTTATTCCTTCGGTTAAAGGATGTTGTTTACAGAACAAAACAATAAGTAACGCCGTAGTTAAGTGCCGGGAAATTTATTAAAATTGGAAAATTGATTAAAGTTGGCAGCTCTGATTAGTTATAGTTGGCAGCTCTAGCTCTTAACAGCTGAGGGAGTATATTGCAACTCTCTTCTGTTGAAGTTACAGATTGATTGTGTTGTTTTTAATTAGTAACTGTGATTAAATTTTAGTCTTTATTTTGTTTTTTTATGGTACCGCAGGTTGCGGATTTTTACAGTGTCTAAGAAGGGTTATTTTTTATGATTATTTTGGTTTTTACGTTTTTTGGTATTATATTTTATGGCATGCGAGGTTTCATTTCAAATGTCAAACAGAAAGCAAATTAGTGTTAAACATACTTTAAAGGAGACAAGTGCAAATGACCAGTTTAAAGTTTAAAAAAAACGAGTAACGGGTATAAAAATTGTTGTGACTGTGTGGAATAAAATTTCAAGTTTGGGTGAGCTTAGGTATGACTCTTTTTATAAAGGTCTACATTGCAATACAAAATTAAAATTAGGGTTTTTTTAAAACTGTTTTTATTTTTATTGCAATGTAAATTTTTATAAAAAAGTTTTTCCTAAAACTTATTTTTTGTTCTTTTTATTGTGCGATAAATAAACAACAATTTTATTGAAAATGTTGAGTACATTTCTTCATAAAACGTGTAAGTTGCATTATAAAAAATTTGAAATTGAGAAATTGAAATTTGTTTTTTTTTAACAGTTTTTCGTTTCCTTGCAATTCAATTTTTTATAAAGATTTTTTCTGAAATTCATTTAAGTTTCTCGTTGTCCTTAATTATACCCGTTACTCGTAGAGTAAAGGAGAAGGAAGCGTTTGCGACCCTATAAAGTATATATATTCTTGATCAGGATCAATAGCGAAGTCGATTGAGCCATGTCCGTCTGTCTGTCCGTCCACCGTCCGTCCGTCCGTATGAACGCTGATATCTCAGGAACTATAACAGATACAAAGTTGAGATTAACCATGAAGATGAGGTCCCGGGACAGCGCAAGTTTATTACAGAATCCTGCCCGCAACGCCCGCAAATAGCAAAAAACTAAAATTGCTGAAATCTGAGGAACTATTGGAGCTATAAAGTTGAAATTCAGAAAGTGTACTCTTTAGATGCCAGCGCATCTTATAGTGGTTCTACTATCTAGCCACACCCACCCATACGCCCACAAGGCTCAAAGGACGGTTTTCGTATTTTCTAGAAAAGCTGATATCTCGGTAACTATAAGAGATAGAAAGTTCGGATTAAGCATGTAGGTTTTAATGATGCTCCCAATGCGAATTGTATATATGCGTCTATAATATATAATATAATGCCTTCGTTTGACCTTGTATTACTTATTTCTGTTAATATCTATCGATTTACCTAAGATTTTTCAAATCGGAACCTTATTTCGCTATTTATAAAGAAATTAAGGTTATAAGGTTTCACATGGGCAGTGACGTCAATATAAGCATACTCAACATACTTCCTCTGACAATAGGTGGCGCCTTGTGAATATCCACTAGCAAAATAATATTTTAAAATTTTGTAAAACAGTAATGGGTATCTTATAGTCGCGGCACTCGACTATAGCGTTTCCTCTTGTTTTTTGTATATTTTTTAACTGATTCAAGCGCAAGCGAAAAGGGTACTTTGGGCCTCAGAATCAGCGAGCATTACGGCTAGAAAGTCTTAGAGTGTCATGTCGCAGAGACCCGTTCGTCTGAATTACCTGAACCACGGGAAGTAAGGTTAGAAAGTTATCAAGTACGCGATGCTCAGGCCCTTTCGTCTTCGACACATGAGCAACGGAAAAGTCGCCGACAAAATATTAGAGCAAGAGTGGTTCGATCAAGATGAACACTTCGCATTGATTTAAATCTTGCTGCATTCCATTATGAAGGTAACATTGACTGCAGTCTTCATCAAGGTGTCGCTATTGGAAAAATGGTTAAAATTTGCATGTATTACAGGGCACTCAAATTAAAGAACGAAACCCCAGGTATGTGTTGCGCCAGTGGAAAATCAAAGTATCAGAACAATCATTTTTTTTACTGGAAAATTCAAAGGTGAAGGCGTACTGTTGCCACGTATCCCAATGATTCCGAATTTGAAATGTTTGCAGTTCCCGGTGCGACTTGCCTTCGCAATGACTATCAACAAAGCACAAGGAAAATCAGAAAATCAGTCACAAGTGTGTGGACTAAATTTGGAGAATCCAAGCTTCTCACATGGGCAGCTCTATGTGGCCTGCTTGCGCCTCTAAAAATCTTCCGATTTATTCGTTTAAGCACCTGATGGAAAAACAAGAAACATTGTATTTCCCAAAGCACTTCAATAAATGTTGAATAGAAACCTAAACTAAATTATTTTATTTTATATTTATTAGAAGATTATGGCAAGCTTGAGAAGTGCAGCGAAGCGAGGCGGGCGCGCTAGTCAGTTATAAATGAGTAACGCCACCTGTTCTTAGACATCAGGGTGGCATTACTGTCCACCAAGCTCGAAAGACGGTTTTCTCTTTTTGTAGAAAAGATTATATCTTGGTAACTATAAGTGATAGAAATGTGGGATTAGGCATATAGTTTTTTATGAAGTCCCCTATGCGAATTATTTTTCCCATATAGCCACGCCCTCAAAACGCGGAAAACTAAAAATTGTTTAAATTGTGTAAAACCGTGACGGGTATTTTATAGCCGGAGCATTCGAATATTCCATTACTTCTTCTTTCCTTTGGCCACGCGGAAAACTTTGGACAATATGATGATTTTTTTTTGACAAAAGGTTGCGCTAGAAAATTTCTGAAAATAAAAATTAGAATTTTAAAATTTGATAACTCTGTAACGGGTATCTTATAGTCGCGGTGCTGGACTATCCCGTTTCTTCTTTTTAATACCTTAGTTGCGTCAAGGAATCCTGTTGGGTTCTTTATATTACAGACGAGTTACCGCCAAATGTTGAATAAATAACGAAAATAAAAGTAAAGGACACCCCGGCAAATGTATTGGTGAAGAGGCAGACTTAACATTGAAATATACGATGATATGGCCTACTGAATAATGTAAGTACTATCAAGCACAACGTATGTAAATAGTTAAGATATCCCATATGTGTATATATTGTTACTGTGTATACTGAATACTCGTGTGTGTTAAATGTA